ACTGAAGCTGTTGTGGCTTAGCCAAACAGTCGCAATGTTTAGACAGAGCCAAAAAATAGGAAGAGGAGTTGAAGCAGTTGAAGCAATCGCTGCCATGTGTCCAATCGAGTGTAGCATATGCTGCAGTTGCACGTACAACTCGAAGGAGAAGGCCATGCACCATTAGGCGAAAAAGTCGCGCAGCTATTGTTATATTGCATATGCAGTGGCAGCAGCTATTGAACAAGCAGAAGAACCTGAAGACATTGAATTGAACTAACAATATTTTATAACGAATCGAGTTGGGCATGCAAAGCACGTTGTTGACAACTGGGCGTGGCTGAGCCAAGGTGCCGCATGCCACAAAACTGCGACAGTTTAGCTGCAGCCTATTCTGGCAGCCAACGAATGGCACATACATGCACATATACATATGTATACGTATGTATATAAAAGATGCGCACGATTCAGGCCAGTGTGAAAATCATAATCATCAAATTAACGCGCGAGCGACTCGCACGAAGGAGCCAAAATTTGCTGCCAGGCTCAAATTGGTGCTTGGAGCATGGCCTCCCAAATACGACGTGAGCATTTAAAGCAAAGCGAATAAAACTTAAGTGCCACAGCAGAGAGGGGAGTGCGAGGGAGAGGGGAATATATAAATATGGTGTCAGAGATTGGCTGGTTTCATGTGTGGCTCGGGTTAGGCTACTCAGGTGTCCCAGACCCTCGTTAAATCCAATCTGCGCTAGCTTGAAAGGCTGCTTAATCAGCGACCAGGCCATGACAGATAACTAACTGGGCTGTAACTGGGCTCGAGCTGGGCGGGAGCAGGCATCATCATCGTTTGACTGCGTCAGCGTCATAAACAGCGACAGCAGAGCGGGGTGCGTGCACCCTACAAATCTCTACCCTCTCTCACTCCCGCGCACACTCTTCACACATTCGTCACATGGCTAGTTCAACAAGAGCATCGCCAGCGCCATCGTCATCGCCATCTCCATCTCCATCTTTTTCTCTCCCGCTTCAGTTTCAGCCAGAAGCGGTTGAGGCCATCAAATTTCAGTCATAACAATAACACTGATAGTCCCGCTCGTAAAATAAAACCCTTTTTGCCCACTGTCGCAATGTCAGGGCACTGAGGCCGGGATTTGTGTGTGTGCGAATGTTCTCATATGTAAGCATGTGTGTGTGTGTGTGTAACTGCCATTCCATTTCCAGCTCCAAAAACAATCAAGAACCCGCGCATAACATAACGTAAAACAACACGCGTTGCACAAACACTTGCAGAAAAAGTCTAGCTACAAGTAGACGAAACTTAAATTTCTTGAAAAATAACTTTTGCACGAATATAAGAGCCTTTTGTTCAGGAAATAAATAATTTGCAAATTTAATTATTTATCAATATATAAAAATAATCAATAATTTAAAATTATATTCATTAAAATAAAATAATAATTAATAAATAAGTTTTATTTGGTTTTACTAAAACGTTTTAACTTATTTGACAAATGCGAACTTTCAAATTATTTTCTTTTCATTTTATCGAATTAAACTTGGATAATATTCATAATACATCAAGAAATATATTAGAATCTGGAGTCAGGCGTTTAATAATTAATTAAAATCAACACAAATTTGTAATCTATTAAAGATTAAATATTAAAGATGTCAAAAACAATGTCAAACATTTGGCGACCTTCCAATAAGAAATGCTGTTAAATATTCTGAAGGTCTAGAATACAGCAATTAAAATCAAACTACAATCAAAATTTCTTAATAGAAAAATAAAAGCCTTATTTGCTGAAGTACCATAAGACAAATTTAAGTAAAGAAAATCCCTCAAAGGCTACGAAGCTCAAGTTTATTTGACGGCTGCCAAATGCAAAAAAATTTTATTGTTATAATTCAAGCATTTATTTTGTTATTATTTTTGTGGCATATTCCAAATTTCTTACATTCATTTTAAAATAATAATAAATTCACGTATCAAAAATAAATATTCTTCAACTGGCATCAAAAAGATTGCCCAATTATAACACACATTTCATCAAAAGCAGTTTTTGTTTAGTAAGAGAATTTTTATTGCTGCCCAAAAAAAGTTTTATTTGTATTCAAATTCTTAAAAAGTTTTACGTTTTAATTTAAACAAGTTTTTCTCTTTTAATGAAATAATTCAACTATGTCAAATGCTTTTTAAGTCCTTTTTCATTTTTGTCACATTTAGCTGATGCTCGTTTAAGGGAAAAGTTAGCTAAAGAAATTAAAAAAAAACCATTTGTTTATTTGCTAATAATTTATACAATTTCGGTTATGGTTTATAAATATTTATAGAATTTTTTTTGGCTATTTATAAATTTAATTCATTTTTGTCACAATCAAATTGATTTAAATGATTTTATTTGAAACCCTGAAACCCAAGTTTACTAAGCCAATTGGATCTCTTCTCTTTAAACTCCGTATTCGAATTTCTGTTTTTTCTGTTTTTTCTCGAAGTGCAGCGCTTGGGACAGCGACACAAAGCCCCGCCTCGCCAGCTTCTGCTTGGCCCGCCCCATTGCAGTGTGAGTCGAGCGCGGTCAAAAGGCGACGCCTAAAGCATTTAAATCCTTTTCGCACTTTGGCTGTCTCCGCTTGTTGCGTGTTTTTCCATGAACTATTTCCGGCCGCAATACGTGTGACACGCATATGACATATTAAGTGACTATGTGCGCGTGTGTGTGTGTGTGTGTGCGTGCGCTTGTCATGCTTCAATTTGTGTGTTCATAGCGCTTTCGCCATTCAATGTGCCAAGGATGAGTCGTGCCTAATACACCCATCGTGCCGTGGCAAAAAAAGGGAGAGTGAGAAGAGGAAACCCATTTCCTCTCGCAGGCCGTAAAATAGGAATTTACTTTATTAAAATTTTTCGCTTCAAAAATATGGGACAACAACAATGGCAATGAGCACAAAACAACAAGCTACGCAAATTTGTTGAAAATCCAAATACACACGCACACCCCATACCCCACGCACACACACCACCCATACACATACACATACACATACACATACACAAGTGCCAGAGCTCAAGTTCGCCAATGATGCGCCCCATCATGAACGAGGTAAAAATTTACTCAACTATGAACTCTCGCTAAAAACCAATGCGTATGTGTGTGGGTGTGCGAGTGTGTGTGTGTGTGATGTCTGTAAAATAGGCTCAAATTTGCGTAGAGCGTGCGTCGATGGGGCAAAGGTTATGACTGCGCCTGCTGCTGGCAAGGGTTTACCAGCGCGGACTCGGGTTCAGGCTCGTATGTGAACTAGGGACAAGGGAACGGGCACACAGAGGCCAACGGACAAGCACAAGAAAGGGAGCAGCGCAGAGAGAGATTGAGAGGGAGAGGGAGGGAGAGCGAAAGGGACAAGACTCGACTGCGTTTGACAGTTTCATTCAGATAAAGTCGGGCAGGGCGGCGGGTTCGGGTTGAAAATTTATATAAATTGACAGTAATGCTGGCTGCTTGCTGCTACTGCTGCTCAGCACAACAACAAGAATTTCTATGTTAAATTGCGCGACAACATTGACAACAACAACAACGACTAGATGCAGAAGCAGGAGCAACTTTTCGTATCGCATTCTTTTGGGCTCGACAGCGCAAATTATGTACGAAAAGCAAAATAATGAAATCGTAAAGAGTTGGCACACACAACTGATGCCAGACTAAGCCGACATTCTCCCGCTAGGCATATATAATACCTTTATATATGTATATGTATTATTATATTATATTTAAAATTCATTTCAGTTTCGCTTACAGAGAGTCCATGTCTATGCAAATAGTGAGCATATTAATCATTGTCTTGGGCTCGTTTTACGGTCAGCATACACTGTTTATGTTATGTAAACGAGTTTATGGGCTATATTCATAGTCAGCCAAGCTGGTTGAGAAGCTCAACCCTTGCCAGCTCTACTTAATGCCTTTAAAAGCCACAAATAAAGCATTTTATTTCTACTCCTCTTTTTCACTTAACATTTCATCAGACACTCTCTCGACTCGTGGTATTTAAATGCAGTTTTCGGCGCTAATAAATAAACAGCTCTCCACTTCTTCTCTGCATTTTTGTTGTTGTTTTTGCATTTTTTGGCCATAAGCGCGCATTCCATGTTGCCTGCTGCCTGCTTCTCTTCTCGCTTTCAGCTCGCAGATTCGTTTGAAATTTATGAAAGCTTCGCTCCGCGGCTAAAGTGCACTGAGCTCTGCGGCACGGCCTCCGACGCTCACTAAAACAACTGTAGCTGCCTGATGGCCGCGTTAAATGCTTTTGTTGATTCAGGGCTGTTGCCCGCTCGCCCTGCTCCTCCCCCGGCCACCACCTCCTCGCTCTTTTACACAATTTAATAGTTTCGGCTGGCAAGAAATAAACTGCTGGCTGGCTGGCGACTGTGAATGCAGTCCGCAATAAGTCTTGGCAAACAGTCACCGGTACAGACCGGACAACCTCGCCACTGCCCTCCCCCCTACAGGCCACGCCCACAATTGGCTTTTGTGCACTGCCCGTGGATGGTAAAAATCTGTGTGTGTTTGTTTTTCATTAAAAAACTTTTCATTTTGAACGGTCAAAGTTCGGCTCCGACTCCAACTCCAGCGCCGACTGCGATTCCGACTGCAGGACTCTGCGGCAGCTTAGTGGCATTGGCGGCCGTAAAGTCTTTCAGTGACAGCGCGGCCTGCGTCCTGCGTCCTGCGTTCTGTGTCCTGCGTCCTGTGTTATTGCGGTCAGGATTTGCTATTTAGGGAAAGTCTCTGTGCTCATTGCCCCATTGTCTCCATGGGACTGCGGGCGGCGTTCATTGTTTTTTCTTCTTCTGTGTGCCCCACTGGCTAAATACACAATTCATAATTTTCAGCTGCCATAGAAAGTCACGTAACCAATGCGACGCCAAAGACTCGGGCCAAGCATAACAAAACAGCATCACAATTAATCTTGCAGCTCTCTAAATGATATTTTTCTTTACCATCTTGCATTTTCCATTACAGTTCTGTGCGCACTGCTCGCGCCCTCCTGCTGCCACGGGCAGCAGCAAAAATTTCGCACCACGCCACACGATCTGCAGGTGCTGGAGGGCGCGGAGGCCATGATGCGCTGCGAGGTGGCCAACGTGGCCGGCGCCGTGCAATGGACAAAAGATGGCTTTGCACTTGGCTTCTCAGCCGTAATCCCTGGCTTCCCACGCTACTCCGTGCTGGGCGATCGCAAACAGGGTGTCTACAATCTGCGTATCTCCAATGCCTCGATCAACGACGATGCCGAATACCAATGCCAAGTCGGTCCAGCGCGTCTCAACTCGGCGATTCGAGCGAATGCCAAGCTAACTGTCATATGTAAGTAGAGAACAGCTATTTATCTATATATACCTATTTAAGGAAGCTTGCAATAGCAGGCCTATTATAAGATATAAACTCTTAACAAAGAAGGCCGTTTTTCTATATTATCAGCTGATTATACTATAGACTTTGCATTTCTATAGTATATACATTACTATATAATACTTGAACACAAGACAGTTACCACTTGATAAGGTTATAGGCTAAAGATCTATATAACAGATGGATGTCACAAGTTCGAAGAGAATATAAATTGTTTTTAAATAGAATAATGTTGGAGACATCATCTAGAAGAGCTGATGATAAAATGATGCTAGCGAATTCACCACAATATTACACCACATCGAAATCAATGCTGGCTTAGCTTAGGTTATGTAAATTTAAAGCATCGTTAGCAGTTTCCATACTACAATGTCATCTCTGAAGCATGAAGAGCTCTACCAACTCGGAATGAGCAGCTTATACATTCAAATTGCTAAAAAAAACTATTATTTGCAGCTATTTTTTTTTGTCGCAGTATATTCAAGTCGGGAACTGCCCATATAAGCTGCAATAACTAGAAATTTCAGATCTGCTTCATTTGAGTTAAAACGCAAACTATAAAAGTTATAGATACTCAACTTATCTTAATGAACTTCAGTTTTCGACGCCAATCTAACATTTTGTTGCCTTCGTTTTCCCGCATTTAATTTTTGTTCAATTTAAAACTGAAATTTCAGTTCGAAATCGATTCAGCTGAAATCCCATTGGCAACTGCGCTACATCCCATTTGTGGTCTGCTGCTAACTGGGATTCTCTGTTTCTCTTTTTAGTTTCAGCTCTCTGTCTCTCTTTTGCTCACTCCCTTCCTTCCTCTCTGGTTTACAGCATCAATTAATTTCTGTAATAAATACAATTCGTAACACAGAATTCGCCCCTTCGCTCCCGCGCACTGCGTTGCGTCTGTGTTTGTTTCCTGCTCATTGCACCTATAGCATTTTGCACTTGCATATTTAAATTGTCACGCCGACTCGCATGCGGGTGGTCCTGCTCCCACCAAGTGGGGGGCGTGGCTGGTTGTTGGTTGTCGCTGCCAACATTTATTGTCAGCAATTTGCAAAGCAACAGCAACAGCAACTGGAACAACAACAACAACAACAATGTGCGAGGCTGAGCTGAATTTAGCGCAGTTTATTGCTCCAAGGAGTCAGCTCGGAGGAGCTGACACTGTCACAGAACTAAGTTCAGATTGGGCCAGGGACTGAGACAGATGAGAGCGAGATAGAGGGGGTTTAGCATTTTCAAATTGAACCGAAATGAATTTATTTTTTTGTTTTTTTTTTTGTGTTGTCAATGTGTGTGGGTGTATGTGTGTGTCTGTCTGTGTGCGTGTCTCGTTGCATTGTTATTCCGGCTGTCGTGTAATCACTTTGAAAGTGTGGGTACTCCTGTTGCTAATGCTGCTGCTGCTGCTGCTGCTGCTGCTACTGCTACTGTTACTTCTTCTCGCTGCCGCTGCTGCTGCTGCTGCCTGTTGTTGTAATCACTCAAGAAATTGCGCTACATTTGATGACAGCGATTTTCATTTCCTGTGCTTAGTTTGGCTGCCTTCTATTCTATTCTTGTAGATATGTCCCCACCCACCTCCGCCCACTTCAGTAATGGGCCATGGCAACGGCAGCGACAATGCTGCTGCTGCTGCTGCTGCTGCCGTTGCTATCTTGCCCAAGGCTCACACACAGACACACACACACACACATGCGCATGCCTAATGACGTTTGTTTAGTTAATTACGCGCCATGAGCTGTGACAATGATGATGTGTGCCAAGGAGCCTTAGAAAAACTCAAAGTACAAAAATATATAAAAAAAACTCACTTAGAGAAAAAGTCGTGCGTTGACAGCTAATGCAATATTCTGCTTTATATTTAATGAGTATCTGTCACGGAGATATTTAAATATAAAAGAACTTTTACTTAATTGAATTTAGAACTTTAAAAAAAACAAGAATTTTACTTGAATTTATACTTTTATTTTAGCAGCTTGAAATAGTAAAATAAAAAAATATAATTTCAGCTTGAAAAAAAGAACATAATTTCCCCAAAAAATATTTCCCATTTATTTGGAGGTATGCAAATGGCTTAAAATTTATAAACTTAAAAGAAGTTTATGTTACGCTTGGAATTTTGGGTTAGACAAAAAGTCTTGAGCTGGGCATTTCAGGCATAGCTTTAGGAATTTCAATCTCAGCTCGATTAGCGCATAATACGCTCGGCATTTTGTTCTCTCAGTGTATGCCTGTGTATGTTTGGCTGGGATTCGTATAAGCTCGTTAGTTATTGCTGCCCTTGTTGTTGCTGTGGCAAAAGGTCGTCCGGCGGCGGCGCCTCTGTCTCCTATCTGCCCCCATGAAGAAATGTTTGTCATAATTGTCGGTACTTGTGAGTCCAGTGAGTCCTCCCCCAACTCCAGGCTTTGTCTGTGTGAGTGTGTGTGAGTCTCTCTTTTGTTCTATAATGGCATCTACTATGTTTCACTGACTTAAATATGTAGCTATGTAGCTATGTAGCTATGTAGCTATGTATGTAGGAGACGTAAGCAAAGGTATGTCCCGTAGGCATCCCAGAAAACACGTGCGACATTATTGCAGCAATTAGCCAAGCAAAATGTAGACAAATGTGTAATAATTCAATTAAGTTCAAGTAACATTTATTTGATTTATTTATTAAGCCAATTTCCCCCGCCAGTTCGATATTGATTAATGCCATAGAGCTTGGCATTGTTTTGCTAGTTAGTATTTAGTCTGTGATGGGGTCATTTGGGCCAGCGGCGCTGAGCCATGTGATTAGCTTAAGTTTTGAGCTCTTTAACAAAGCAGCAACGTTTCATTGAGTCTTAATTTCTATACAATTTGAATGTAATATTGTATTTATATTAAACATTTATAATTTATTTACTTTCTGGCTAAGCAGCTACACGGCAACAGATGATAAGTTTATTCATTACTAAGTTCATTCAGTTGAATCTAAGCTCTGCCTTTATTAGCTGTCGACAAGTCCAATATAACATGTTTTTCCATATTTGCTTTACTTTATTGAACCATGAGAAAGTTTTGTACTTGAATCCAAATGAAATGAGTTGTGCTGCAGAGCCAGTTTGTGTCATTGCCTTTCCTTTAAGAGACTTTTATGCCATGATATTAAGCTAAAGAACTGTAAAAATATATATGTTTATATCCCTGCTGTAGTTATGCCTTGAGCTCCAAGCTTGTCTGTTGGCTGCTGTGAGGACAAGATTTCTTTTTGTATATGAATGAAGAAGGGCATATTTTTATTATATACCTGAAGCACTATTCAAAGCAGCTTCAGCTTTTAATAAACTGCAAACAAAGTGTTGCGCAGTTAATTGCACTCAGCTGCAATATACCAAAATATTTTATCTCTCTGTCACCTTCTCTCTGTCTGTGGCTCAGTTGGCCTGTCTTGCTCTAATTCAAATAGCATATGCTATGTAGAAACCTAATGAACGAACCTTTGTCATTCGTAAATTAAATTTGAGACACTCCAACGAGGCAAATGCAAAAGTTCTTTTGCAACTAATTTCAACGTACGCTGCCCGCTTAGCCAAAAGTTTCATGGACCCAACCCACACACACATATAGTCTCACACAGGTGAGGGCGCAATTAGATTATAAGTTGGCATAGTAAAGAACTTTTGCACACAAAAGTCCACGTGCAAATTTATGGAAATTTAGAAAATGTTCGCATTCCATTAATTTTTAAAAACGCAGCCAAAAACACATATGCCGCAAGGCGACTACCGACCTACCGAACGACCGAACGCCCGAACCGACCGGGTCCAACAAAACTTTTTACTGCCAACGCATTGGGACCACGACCAAAGCCTGAACCTCAACCTGAACCTGAGCCAGGGCCTGTGCCTGCGTGAGCCTGAGCTTGGGCTTGGGTCCGGGTCTGGGCAATGGCGATTCAGCTGCTTCGTGCCCTGGCACAATGGAATTCCAGGCATGCACAGCCCAAAAAGCAGAGCTGCCTTTATAAATTTTGAATACAAAGCAGCATTGCGAACAGAAAAAAATGAGAAGAGAAAAGGAGAAACAATTCTTTCTTTTTTCCCTCTGTTATGCAATGCCGCCTGCACTTCAGAATGGAAATGGCGAAACGCGCTTGGAAGCGTTGGGGCCACACTTGGTGCTGACAGTGGCAGCCAATAAATGTGCTTTAATGATTTTAAAATGGTCAAAAATTTCTTCAATTTCCGCCCATTTGAGTCGAGTAATCGCATCGTAATTGTAGTGCAAATCGTCAAAGTTTGTGCTGAACCCCCTCGGCGTGAGGCTGTTTGAAATATGGCCAAACATTTGTTCTTTTTTCTCTTCTTGGACCTTAAAGTCGGGGCCAGCGACCCAGCGACTTTCAACTGGCAGCTCACCAACCCACTCGCAGTCACTCACTGGGGCTGTCTCCAGACCCCGCCGCCCCCGACAAAACAGTTGACGTCAAATGGAAAAATTGCCAATTCTTGCCCTGCAAAAAAGCAAAAAAAAAAAAAAAAAGATGAAAAAAGAGTCGAGAAATATTTCAGCGCATAAAACTTTTATGAGGCGTACTATTAGTGGGTTAGCGGGCTGAGCTTCAGCTTTGCCTGAATTCATGGCAAATTGCACTTTGTGCTGCTGCTGCTGCTGCTGTTCCTGCTGCTGCTGCTGCTGCTGCTACAGCCCAACAATGACTGCATAAATTATTTGCAGCCAGGCACCTCGCAGCAGCCCCTCTCCTAGCATTCCCCCTGACATGCTGCTGGGGCAGTGCATAAAATTTAATCAACGAATCGCTGCAGCGCTCGTATGTTTAAGGTTCGATAGGTGGGGTAAAGTGTTTACCTGCGACCTCCTGTGTACCTGCTGTGGCACCTTCTCTAAGCTCGTTCATAATCGCATGTAACGCCAATTGTAAGGACAACCTTCGCATTCTTCTAGCACTGCGTCCTGCTCGTTCGGCTACACTGATCGATTGTCGTTGTTGAATGCGCCTCGCACATGTCAATAATCAAATACAATTTGCATACCAATCAACAATGCATATAGCTCGACGCCCCACACACCTCATCATATGTAGGCGCTTGAGAGGACCTTCAACGCCACCCTCTCCAGCTACGTTGGTGCTCATAGGTCGTCGTCGCAGCCTCAGGACTTACAGCAGCTCCTTGTTACAAATCGAACTGCATTTGAAACGACTTTGTACAAAGCGGATTCATAAAATGTTCATAAGGGTATATAAATTCCACCTTATACCCCATGCATTGCTGTTGAGCAGACTAGTTTAATTTAGTGAACTAGTTCAATCTGTCACATAAATCTTATTTAGTTCATTCTACGGAATATGTATGATTTGCATTGATCTACTAAAAAGTTTTAGTAGCTCTATAGAAAATTTAGCTCTAGCTGAAACTGAATGCTTCCAACTTAATATTCATTTATCAACTGTTCAAAATTCATTAATCGCACCCTTTCGTATGGGTCTATGCGCTGGTCTTCAATCAATCAGTCAGTCAATCAGTCATGCCAAATACCTTCGCATAGAGAGTATTTCAAGTTCTACATTTCGAGCATACGCAACTGTTCTGCTACTTTCAACTGTGCAACACGCGCTACGCGCATCGTGACGCTGCGTGGCTGCTGCTCCTTGGGGCGTCCTTGCGACACCAATTTGCACACAAGAGCCTTCTCTTAAGGGTGACGTTGTCAACGAGGACAGATTCAAACAAAATATCTCGTATCTATTTTTGGAGAACCAAACGAACGACAGCAGAGAGAGAGAGAAACGCGTGTGCAAATGAGAGAAGTTAACTGAAGTGCGGACGAGTAAAGATGGATCCAAATGAGCTGAAAGATATGCATGTCCTGTTATTGTACTTATATTGTGTATACGCAGTGTGAAGTTAGAAAGAAGTCAAGCAATATGTTAATATAGCTTAACATATTGCTTGACAGCAGAGAGAAGCGCAACGACAAATTAAGTAAACTGAATTATCTCTATATCTATATCTATACCTATATCTATATCTACAGCTATATCGACATCTATATCTATAACTACATATAGTTATATTAAGCTTGCTTCATTCGGGCTATTATAATTTAATTATATATTATTTCTTATATATTATCTTCTTACATATTACGTACACGCAATGCTCAAAGTAATTATAAAGTTTGCTAGTTGTTAGTGCAAAGTTGTGACTGTAAACATTATAAATATGCAATGTTCAACAAAATTAAAAGAAAAAGTTAACTGAGCTAATTTATTAGCCTCTTCCATATGGCATTTTCAGCTGAAACTTCTTGTATAACGTATACGCAGTGTTCAACAATATTATGAAGCCTGCTCCTTATTAGTTAAAATCTCTAAGATCATAAAATTGTAAATGTTGCTAAGTCAATTTCTTTAACCTGTTCCACATAAGTCAAGCAATAAGCTTAATATATATATTTCATATATTAAGTATACGCAATGTTAAGCAAATTGAACAGAAGCCACAAGCTAGTTGAGTTGATTTTTTCTCTCATATTTCTTATACACCGTGTTGTATAGAATTATGAGAATTGCATAGAGAGCTGTATAAGGGAAATGGAGTGCCGCAGGCACCCACAACCTCACCACTACACACACACACACAGACAGAAACATGGCAAGTTCGCGCCTTTTGTGTGTGGGTGTGTTTTTGTTGTGCGTCGCGGGATTTTGTGTTTGTATATTTGATTTGTGCATAATAATTTGATGCGCCCAAAGCCAGGCAAATAAAATTCACAAACAACGCGCGCCAGCCAGCCTCGAGGCACCGAGGGCATCTCCGACCAACGCTGAGGCTATCAAACGGGACTGGGCGTGGGGCGAGAGCTCGACGCTTGGACGGACAGGGTGTTGATTTTATTTGGTAGCAACAAAAGCAATTACCTCGACATGGTGGCTTACACGGTGGCGGCGGCGCTGGCACCACGTCCCAACTGCTTGCCGCACACTCATTTTGCATGCAACAACCTCCAGAGCTAGCAGCAGCAGCAGCAGGCAACATATGTTGCATGTCAAATGCGCCCCAACTGCTTTGCTCCATACACATTTCACTTTAACTTCTATGTGCGCGTGTGTGGCAGCATTTTCTTATGCTACTTCTCCTTCTGCATCAGCTGCTGCAGCACATAGAAGACGCAATGGCTGCCTACTCCTTCAGGTGGCATTAAAATAATGCACACGTGCACTTAACTTTATCCACAATTGTTTGTTTGTTTGTTTGTATGTGTTTGCTGCAGTGCCCCATTGTTAGGCAGCCTCAACTCTCACTCTCTCTCTCTCCCCCAGTCTCTCCCTCTCTGTCCCTCTCTGGGAATATTTGCACAAATATTGAGACTCATACTTGAGCACATTAACGGGCGCTGGTGGCAGCCGTCAGCCTGCAGGCCATCCACTACTTTGGCGGCCATTCAACCTGCGACTGCAACCGCCAGCAAGAACAATGTCGTCTCCAATGGCTGCCACGCCCACTTCCCATACACACACAAACACACCCACCCACTTAGCTGGGCAACGTGCTGCATTGTGGCATAATGAGCGAGCATTGCCGCTGGTATCGCTGTTGTTGGCTTTGTCATTGTTTAGCTTAATGCCACGCCCACATCCCACAGATGTATGCATTATTTGCAACAGTTGTTGGAATCAAGCATTTGAAATAACAGTCGTCTAATCACTTATACTCTAACTCTCACTCACTCTCTCTCTCTCTCTCTCTCTTTCTCTCTGTCTCTGTCTGTTTGCAGCGCCACCTTCGTCGATCGAGATAAAAGGTTATAGCCACAACTCCAAGGTGGAGGTGCGTGAGAATCAGGATCTAACGCTCAAGTGCATCGTGGCCAATGCGAAGCCGGAGGCACAAATCGTTTGGTATCGTGGAAATGTCGAATATAAGCCAGGTTAGTAAACAAGCTATTAATATATAGTTCTAAAACTATTTGGTTTTTATCTTTAATTGTCTTTAGCTAAAGCTTTTCGTATAAGTTTTGAATTGAGTTTAATAGCTGATAGCACAAAAAATGAGTGAAGTCTCAGATAACATTAATGTATATCTATTAATCAATCATTCAATTACTCCAACAATTGGTCAGTCTGTCACTCACAGTGAGCTCCTCTATCAGCTAGTCAATCAATCAGTCAGAGGTTACTCAGTCAGTCAATTGTCCAATCCGTCAATCAGCGTATCTCAATCAGTTATAGCCAGCCGCTCAATCATTCAATCACTCAGTCAGTCAGTCTGTCAATCACTCATTCAATCTGCCGCTTAATCAATCAGTCAATTAAAAATCGTAAGTTTGTCCATCAATCCGTCATGCCCTCAATTAGTCAGCCAATCAATCAACCACACGCTCAGTCAGTCAGTCATAGTCAATCACTCAATCCCTCTTTCAGTTAGGCAGACAGTCTCTCAATCTGTCAAAACAATCTGCAACTCAGTCAGTCAATCAGCAATCGTAACTCTTTCAATCAGTCACGCCGTCAATCAGTCAATCTGTCAGCCAATGCATTAGCTAAGCAGTCAATACATCAGTCTTTGTCACTCACTCAGTCAGTGAATCAGTCATTGTCCTTCACTCAGTCAGTAATTCAGTCATTCAGTCAGCGTCACTCGGTCAATCAGCCATGCGCTCAGCCAATCCATCACTCAGTCAGTCATCCAATCAGCTAATTTGTCACGACTAACGCTTTTATATATAGTAGATATTCACTTAAATTTTCGTATATGCACATTATATACTAATGTAATGGAAGGCTGGCGCAATCAACATCAAGACCGTACACATCAGCCCACCTACACACACACATACATACACACACACACACACACACATACATATATACACACAGCTCGTGACAAGTGTCACAACACTAAGCCATCAAATTTAATGTCCACTTACACAGCAAAATTCCGTCCCGGATCACCGTATCCAACGCATGTGTCTTCTAATGGCGTGCCCAGACCTTATCCCATCTACCCCTCCTTCCCTTTCCTACGCCTGCTTGACAACCCCTCGTCCATTAACCGTTGCTGTATCGAGCGTTGCCCCGCGACGAGCTGATCCACTCTTGTCCACAAAAAAAATAAGAGAGAACTGAAAAACAAAAAAGTGTAAATGGATTTTAGCTGGCGGCGAGGCAGATCGTGAGCCTGGGCAGCCCTTTGACTGTCAACCAGTTTTGGGGCACATGTGTGAGTGGAGCAGGAGTCGCCGGTTGACTTTCTGCTTGATGACGGTGCTTAAATAATAATTTTATACCCTAACAAAACGGTTGACGTTGCCGTTGCCGTTGCCGTTGCCGTTGCCGTTGCTGCTGACGTTTTGCCTTATCTCTTTGGCCTCTGTTTGTGCCTTGTCATTTCATTGCTGCCCAGCTAAATTGGACGGACGATGCTTTTCGAAAATATGGAAAAATGCAAATGTAAAAGGCATCGCGCTGTCCTGGCCGGGACATCAGGCCATGGCCATGGGCACGAGCAGGGCTAGCAGCCGCGGCAGCAACCGAAGCGGAGGCATCATACGGCGCTTAGTCGCCTTCACGACATTTAATTTTCATAATGATTATGATATGCAGTATACATATAGGTACACTGAATGTGAGCGCGTGTGTGTGTGTGTGTGAGTGGGTGCTGTTTCCATCAGTTTCGTCTCCGGCTGTCATTTGGCGGCTAACGAAATCATTTTAACACAACTGGCGCGTTAAAAATGCTTAAAATGTGAAACGCACAGCGGCGACGATGATGATGATGGAAATTTTTGGGCAAACAAAAAAGAAAACAAAGAAAACAACAACAAGAACAACAACTGGGAGTGGGAGAAAAGAAAATAAGAAAATTTCGCAAAACAGCGTAAAATGTGGGAAAATCCGCAAAGGAAATGCGGGCAGGCAGCGCTGAAGGAAGTGCTTGGACGTAGCTGTGCATGATGAATTATGTTTACGACACAATATGTTGCGGCTGGACATGGGCATGGGGCATGGGGCATGAGCCACAGAAAAAAAGAACAAGAAACAAGACTTTACGACAATGTGGGCAATGTGGTTAACGGCTCTGCAACATCATTTGCAAGCTGTCAGTGGAGCTTGCCACGAGTGTGGCTCAGCTTGGCGGCTCAGCCGCTCAGGGTACTTTCGTCTACATATGCAGCACGGGGCCAAGCTCATATGTCTGCTCATTAGTGTTCAGGCAACAACATTTTAAGCAATATTATCTGGTTAAACCAGGACAGGAGAGAAAGCGAGAGAGAGAGATAGAGAGAGAGACTCTTTCAAATATTTCAGTTACATCGAGCCATTGGCAATTTATGACTTTAAATTATGTCACAAACTGTGTCGCGCTTTGTTGTTGTTGTTAGCAAATATTAGAGACAAAATATGCGCCTACAAATGAATTCCACAGGCCATGAGAATCGCGCAGAAGGGCAGGCGCGGGAGGTGCGAGAAAACTTCATAAAATATGCGTTAAACTTTATGACAAGGACTTAGGTGTGCGGCAGCAGGGCAGCGGGGCAGGATGCTAGCTGCACGTACGCGAAAATGGCGTGCAAATTTTGCAATATCCAGTTAGAGGGAGTAACACCCTTCAAACACACGCACACCCGCCATTTTAATTTTCTTTGTATAGAGCTCGCTGCTGAGTGCTGCTGTTGATGTTTTGTTGTTGTTATTATGATAAATCGCAGACATTTAACGCAGCGCACAAGAATTTATAACACACACACACGCAGCACACATCACACAGCACACACACACACAGCTGCATTTTTGGAAGTTTGCTTGTTGCGTCATTATTTATGGCAATGCGTGTTTCTGGCCCTTCCACATGCCACATTTCACAGTAACTGCAAAAGACAGGCAAATAAACTATACAATCTATGCATCTACATATACAAAATAGTTTTTATCTTAACTGACTGACTGATTGACAAAGCCTTGCAGCTGCTAAAGTTGACTTTTGTAGAAAATCGTTTGTTGAGAGCAAAGGATATGCTTAACACAATTTGAAAAGGAAATCTGGAAAATAACTTGATTAACTATCTGCACACTCTCTTTGCACTTGTCTGTTGTAATTGAATTTAATATATTTGTATTGCTTTCAAAAAGCAGTGAGCGAACTTAACTAAAAGTAGTTTCTAAGTTGCAAAAGAAAAGTTTTATTCAGCATTTTATTATTAAAATATTTGACTAGGTAGAGCGCTGGGCCCACCCACTAAGCTGACTTCATTTCATGCTCAAAGAGGCTGCTGACTAGAGTGTTTGGTTGATTATTTAATCGTTGAATCTTGTTAAAATATTGGAAACTTTTAGAAGAGTTTCGCTTACTCAAGTTATAAATAATACAACAACAATAACAATATATATTTTACACGCTAACTAACTTCAGTCTATCTCAATTCGCTCTGCTCCACAGAAAAACGTGATGATAAGGTAGAGGAGTCAACACCGAAGCGCTTTACAACCACCTCAAGTCTGAAACTGAAGCCCGGCGCGGATGACGACTACACGGAATACACCTGCCAGGCAAAGCACAAGGCTCTATCCCCGGACATGCCCATGCGTTCCACCGTGCAACTGTCCGTGTTGTGTGAGTAAAGATATATACACGCACACACATAGATATATATATATATAGCTATAGATAGCCGTTTGTATGGCATATCAAATATATGCGTAGTGCAAAATGCCAAATGACGACCTCATTAGCCAGCTCAAATGGCCAAGTTTGCAATACAATTGAAATGCTAGCCGCGCACACTTGTGCCAAGTGCTCACCTCGCCCAATACCCACGCCGATGCCCGAGCCCATGGCCATTTGTGAGCCGCAAAAACAGGGGCTACCGTTTGGCCACAGCCGTTGCTCTGCTGGCCTCCATGGCCGCTAATTGCGCAATTGGCGCGCGTATTAATTAGTTTTTAAATTCTAATGCGACGAGCAGCTGGTGCTGCTGCTGCTGCTGCTGCTGCTGCATGCGTCCAGGCTGGTCCAGGGGTCACAGGTTATTGTGTGTGATGTGTGTGAATAGCAGGAATGCCGTGGCACAAGAGGTCAAAACAATTGCGTGCCCAGTACGACGCATTTCAAACTTCTGTTATTGATTGCCAGCTTTGTCGAGCGGTAACCAAAGTAGGCAATGCCCCAGCTGTCCACCTGTCCCTCTCTTTCTCCCCCTCTCCTGACAGCACACATTACGTGCGCCATATTCAAATTAATTATGTTTGCTATTTATGCATTGCCTGCCGCTCCAGCTGCCTGGAGCTGTAGCTGTAGTTGACCAACAGGCTATTATTGGCGCTGCCATTCATTTAGCCATTTCGTGCTCTTTGGCCAATGCTGCCAATGCCTGTTGACAAAATAGATTGAATTCGAATTGCCCAAGCAACCAACTAGCAACCAGCTTCGCTTTATTATTTAACGCACTCTGAATGCGGCATTGCAATTATCGTTAATTAATCAATACTAATCAGTCGAATGAATATTCAGTTGGGTCTGTCTCCATTGTCTTAACCTGATATTCGTTTGCTCCTATATTATTAGAATAGCAAGTAATATATAAAGTAATTCCTTATGCATAATACTTGGGTATATAAAGCATTATATCTTAGAGTCGTTTAGATTGATCTCTGCTAGCTATAGAAAGCATCTACATCATCGTTGACTAAGGCTCTGTTTGTATTATAACTATTGAGCAAGTTTTCAGTTTGTTCTATGTTTAAATGCTTTGCAAACAAAAAACAACTTCAAGTATTAAAATACTTTTTAAATCTTATCAAATTAAAATCATTTAATTTTTCTATATCAAATCATTAAGAAAATTTTATTAATTTTTAGTTTTAACAGTAAAATATATAATTTCTTTATTTAAGTAAACAAATCTAGTTCAATTAATATATTATTATTCAATAGTTGAGTCTCTGTTTAAAGGCTAAACTAAAGCAAAGAGTTGGAAACGACGGCACCTCGCAGCCATCCGTCAGTAAAGTCAAAGAACTAAGTTGAATCATAAAGCAAATTGTAAACCTTAGCAAAATTGAATGAACTTGCCCAAAGTTGGCAACATTTGTTAATGGAAGTTGTACATTGGAAAGTACAAAATTGAATAACTTATTTAAATATAAAATAAAATTTGAATTTAAATGCTAAATCAATGCAGAGCTCAACACGAAACAAAAGTAAAATATTCAATTAAAATAAACAGCTTAATTTGAAGAGTTCAAGTTTTAAATCAATAGAAGAAAAGAATCGAAAGCAAGTTCAAAAGCTGAATTTATTGTTATAAAGTACTTCGATATTATTATTTAAACAAATACAGCCTACATTTAAAAAGTAAAGTCCATTAGCCAACTCTCAACTAGATGCTACTTTAAGGGCTTAGGCAGACTCAAAAGCTGTTCAATGAGAACTAATTGCTTAATTGGCGCTTCATTTGATTATTTAAAAACTGAAGCCAGGGCAGCTGCTAAAGCGAATACAAACATGTGATAGATCTGTTTTAATCGCTATCATCACACACACAATATCACATGCGTGTGTGTGTGTGTGTGTTGGCTATAAATATTTATACATCTTAATTGCGGCTACACTTACGCGTATCTGTGGGACATGCACATTGCCGTGATGTTGGGCCATACATATTTGCTCGCCTCGGTGCTTAATTATGCGCTATTATTGCAGACCGCCACCCGCTCTGAACTCGCCCCTGTCAAGGACCAGTCCGGGGCTGTAATCGGATTCAGTTGGCCACATGCTGGGGCCATATTCATGGGCAAATCCCCCACGCGAACGATACTCGTACACAATATTTTAAGTGATATTAATTTAATTGTGTGCCGCTACATATACTCCCTCCCACTCTCTATCTGTGTGTGTGTGTGTGTGGCATAGATTATGGCTCAGGTCGTGGCACACACTCACACACACGTTACGCATACGCACCTTTGGCAGCTGTTGTAGCATCGTTTTTTAAAGGCGTTTAAAGGTCGCTTTTTGCTTGTGGTATTTGCAATGTGATTAAAACGCCCACAAAACATGCAAAATTACAGTCAGCTAAAGCAAATGCAATGCAGATATGCCACGCCCCCAGCAAACAAATACAAATAAAAACAACATTGAAGGGCGGCGGGAAATCGGGAAAATAATGCATTTTGACCACATAAACGATTGGCGCGCAAACACTTCAATTAAAAACTGCGCGCAAATTGTGTTGCATATGCCATGGCTATGGCCGTGCCACATTTGTTTTAGTGTAAATTGAATTTATTTGTGGCAGACACAGATACAATTAAATATGCACACGCACACACATACAGCCAATATATATATATAAATATATCCATTATCCAGCTGCATTATATATGGTCGCTCTTTAACAAGTCTATTTTTTGTCTTTGTTCTTGCTTCTGTCCGCACAGATCCGCCGGGACCGCCGTACATTGAGGGCTATTCACCCACTGAAACGCTGCGACGCGGCCAGACGGTGGAGCTCATTTGTCGCAGTCGCGGCGGCAATCCGCCCGCGCAGCTCATTTGGTACAAAAACAATTCACAAATACGCATGGCCTACAGGTAAGTGAAGCAGCTCAGCTGCCGCTGCTGCTGCTGATTGTGCTGCTGCTGCTGCCGTCATTATCTCTATCAACTTGCTTGCAGAACCTCGGGCCGGCTATCAGAGAATATATACACGTTCACTGCCGAGGCGGGCGACAACAAGGCGCGCTTCCGTTGCGAGGCGAGCAACGTGATGTCACAGACGCCGCTCAAGGCGGAAGTTGATTTGACTGTGCTATGTAAGTGCAACCAGAGAGCCACTCGCCTCACACTCAGCCCACTCAACCCACCACCCAGCCACCCTGCACCATCATCAAAGTGAGAGCCAGCTGCTCTTAATGCTCTGCCATCAGATAATTTGCGTGTCCTGCTCGGGTTGGGTCTCGTTATGCAGATGGTGGCAATTGCCTTCTGCTGCAACGCCTGCTCGTTGCGACTCCTTTGCATGTTTGCCTAATTGTATTTCGTTAATTTTCATATTTACACACTCTGACGCCCACACACACACACACACACATACACACATATATACACTTATGCTTACACTCAGATTCTGTCGCTGGTTTGTGTCAACAGTCGTCCTTTTCAGCGTGCCACTTGGCACGCGACACAAAGTGAAAATAAGCCTGACAAACTCTCTCCCTGCCTCTCCCCTTGCCACCCTCTCTCGCTCTGTGTGCTTTCTTTTGCAATTAAGCTTAAGTTTGCACTCCCATCGGCCACCACCCGCCACCCGTCCCACCCCCACTTGGCTTTGTCAAATCAAGCAATGCACATTCTTTTCAAGTGCCAAATAGCATAAGCCCCACACGCCTAGCCAGCCATTCCCTGGCTACAACAATTGCAATCAGGCTGTGAGGGGACGCGACTTGTCTGTCCAAAAACGTCGTTAGTCGACGTCATTTGCATGCAGTTGCCAAAGCATCTAGTCCTCGGCTCTTAGTCTGTCTGCTCGGCAAGGCCCTCGCACACTTGTGTCTAACATGCAAATGGGCTACTTGAGGGCATACGCTGCGTATGCGTGATATTCAAATTTGAAAGCGAGGCAAGTGGCCGTAGCTGAATTGTCGCTGTTTAGTGTTAGTTTACCTGCATAATGAAAGGCTGTCAGCACGTGCCCAGCTAGAGCTAATCCCCCCACCTGCCCATCTGCTGCTACTCGGACACAGCCAACTTGTCCAGCCAATCAAATTGGCTCTTGTTACTTAACCAGCAAAGCTATGCTTTGTTTACCTTATTTTTTAGCCTCAAAATATGCCACATTGAGTGGCCAGCCAACTAGCACACACACGCACACACTCACACACACACACACACGCTGCCACATTGGCTTCAGCTGCGCTCGCTCTTCGCATTATTTATGTATAACGAAATGTGGCACAAAAATGAAGACGTAGCTGGAATACACATAGAAATTCCTGACCCACCGTTCTCTCCGCCTCTAGCGTGTGTGTTCGGAATGAAGATGTATGGCAAAAGATGCGAGAAGTTAAGAATTCATAATGTTTATTTATATGCGAAACATATCGAGACGAAGTTTTGTGTTTTTTTATTTTTGTATTTCCTCACTTTGCCCGGGCTACGAATTGGTCCAGCATGGCGTATGCGTAATGTATGCACAGCTGCTGCTGCTGCCTGCACTTATCCATCAAGAAAAATAGCAGCCAGAAGGCAGCTGCAGCTTCAGCTTCAGCTCCAGCTACTTTCGTTACTGGCATTAGGTAATAGCTCGCCAAGGCAGAGCCTCAGTCGCCTGTCACTCAGTCACTCAGTCATCATTTGCATTCAGGCTCATGCGTGAACGATACGCAGTATATGGCATATATGTATATGCATGTATATAAGCCGCGCGGCATGCCACAAGTGTGGCACTGACGCGGGCTTATTAAATATTAATGCCATGCGAAATTGCCGCTGCTCTAGCAGAGGCGTGCCACACTTTCTAACTGTGAAACTTGGCGCCTTCTACTACAGCCTTCATCTATATCCTATGTCTTCTATGTACAGTCGCACCTTCGCAAGTCACGGTGACAGGTCCGACGGAGGCGCGCGTCGGCGATGTTGTGCCCCTGATGTGCACCACAGCACCATCGAATCCGCCCGCCGAGATCAAATGGATGGTGGGCGGGCGTCAGATACGCAATGCCACCTCCAAGACTGACATCAGCCCAGAGGGTGAGTATCTAATAGAGCTCGCTGAGAGTCGACTGCATTTGCTAATTATCTTGAAATTTTCATTTGTTGCAGGCGGCTGGACCACCAACTCGAACATCACCACCATTGTGGAGCCCAACAAGCGCTCCCTGGTGGTCATCTGTCATGGCCTCAATATGCAGCTCACCGAGAACGTTGTCTCCACGCACACGATTAATGTTCTATGTAAGTATCGAGACCTGATTTCCCTTTCGTTTCTTGGTAGCCAACAGAGTTTACTTGGTTTTTTCTGCTTCTCCGATTCAACTGTCGATCGAGCTATGATTTCGAGCACATATTGTATTTATTACTAACACTCTACGTTAAGGTTCCGCATTGAGTTTTCTTTGAGTTAAATTGTTGATAAAGATGAGTTTCGAGATTCCGAAATGCGTGTCGGAACTTTCAATTGAGGAGCCAGATGCCCCCACCGAGAAAGTGGTCCGTATCAAAAGCGTCAAAAAAAAGAAATTGAAGAAGAATGTTACCAAGAAGCCAATGACTCCATTGGAAGCAATGCAGCATGTGATGTGGCGTGAGCATCGTGCACGTATTCTGAATATCTGTAGCGATCTAGATCGGTCGCCGCCCGCTATTCAAGCGGTGCGACAGACACGCGTAAATACGTTGCGCGACGAGGCACAGAACTTTATGACACGAACAAGGGATAACATTCATTTGCTGCTTGGTCTGTCGCAGACCATACGCACCCACGGCGCCATCAATCCATTTCGCTACGATGCTCCTTATGTGATGTCTGCGGTGCCGAGCATCATTGCCAACTTGGAGCGACTGGAACAGGATAATTATGACTTAGGCAAGCACCTATTGACTGTGCACAGCATGACCGACTCGGGCATTAGACCTGATGGGCAGGGCAACAAGCGGAAGTTCCAGCCCTTTGTCATGCCCGACGATGCCTTAGCCAAGTACAAGTCGTTCAACCTCAAGCTACCCACGACGAACAAGGAGCGCTGGCAGCTCTTTCGTCCGCGCATCTACTTCGACATTTACCTGAAGGACGCACGCCCACTCGGACGCTTCGTCGTTCAGCTATATACAGAGGCAGCGCCAGTGGTTGTGCTGCAGCTGGTGCGTGCTTGCATGTGCAATATGCACAACAAGTTCCAGATCAAACGCCTGTTTCCCCAGCTCTGGCTGGATGTCGAGCTGCCCACGGACAACAATCCCGCGTTGAATAGGGCCTTGGAGTACGACGGCAAGGTCATCGATCATGGCGCAAACAGCTATGTGCTCTCCTTTAGTAAAGACCATCTGCAGGGCTTTGGCAGCAGCATCCCCTTCTCCATCTCGTTCAAGCCGCTGCAGGTGGTGAACGGCACACGCGTCGGCTTCGGTCGTGTGGTCAAGGGCATCAAGATCTTTGATTGCCTGCAGAACTATGGCACCAAGAATGGCACTCTGAGCCGTGGCATTCTCATCACCGATTGCGGCGTGTTTTAATGACTTGATACCTATATCGGTTCAGTTGCGCCAAATTTAATGTAGTCCAGTAGTGTATCAGTTTATAAATTGAAACGGGGTAAACCTAGGGGTATTTATCAAATGTCAAATTATTATAGCTTCAATTTGGGATGTTCGATGTCAGTACATTTTTATAAGCTAATCATATAGGGTCGTAGGGATAAATTAAAAGATATAACAAATTTAGCGTCATTTTTTACTTTTTTGATAAACCGTTGAGTGTTGACTTGATTATCGATGACTTCGTATGAGCTTCCGGTGTGCCACTCGGTCAACTCGTTTGATTCTAGTGTGCTGAATGTGCAACAACCTCAAATAGATTCACAGCCAGACCCGCAGCCAAAAGCTGTACTGAAGAAGAAGAAGAAGAAGCCCAAAGTAAAACATGGAAACACAAGTCACGCCGAAATGTGGCGCGAACATCATAAACGAGTTCTGGGCATGGAGAGTAATCTCGATACGAAGGCTCCCGGCTATCCAGCCAGCCGCGTAACCGGCGTAATTGGGTTGCGCCGAATGGCATGGCAGTATATGGAACGTACCAAGAAAAACATCCAGATGCTTGTCGAATTATCAAAGACAATGCGCACGCACGGCGCCATCAATCCGTTTCGCTATGATCGTGTTTACACGATGTCAACACTGCCACTAATGCGGAAGACGCTCGAACGCATCGATTTGGAAAATCATGACATTGGTAAACGCATCCTGGACGTCACTAGCGAGATTGACACGGGCATCAAATCACAACGAAAATCGAAAAAGATTGAGACTAAAGAGCCCATTAAGCCGTTCCAGATGCCCAGCAAGGGTTTGGAAAAATACAAAGACTACAACATTTCGATCCCCACGACGGACAAGGACTGCTGGAATCTATTGCGTCCGCACATTTATGTGGACATCTTTCTGAAGGGGTCACGTCGGCTGGGTCGTGTGGTTGTCCAATTATATACGGAATCAGCTCCTATTGTGGTACTCCAAATGGTGCGCACCTGCATTTGCGACATGCACAACAAGTTCATCATCAAGCGAATCTTTCCCAATCTCTGGATGGATGTGGACTTGTTGGAGCATGACAATACAGACTTAAGCCAGCCACTGGAGTACGACGGCAAAATAATTGACCACGGCGCCTCAGCCTATGTGCTCTCTTTTAGCAAAGAATATCTGCAGGGGTTCTCCGGAAAAATCTGCTTTTCCATATCGTTCAAACCGCTTAGCGTTGCAAATGGTAGCCGCGTCGGCTTTGGCCAGGTGGTTAAGGGCAGTAAGATACTCGAGTGTCTACAAAGCTATGGTACCAAAAACGGCAAGCTTAGCCGCAGCCTGATATTCTCAGGCTGCGGCCTGCTCTAAATTTATTTAGAAGTCCAAAATTTCCAGTGATCATGTCAAAAGTGAATATATTTTCGGTCTTTTGCTAGAGACAAAAAATTAGATATTCATAATGAAAAGAAGTAGTATTTAATATATCTATATTTTTGATATTATTCAGTATCAAAACAGAAGATATCTTCTTTTTTAAGTAAATGTTAGGCTCTAGACGTTTTCTTTGAGTACATGTTCAAGCTATGACTGTTTTTCCTATAGTATTATCTCTTGAAGGACAATTTGCTAAGGGATTAGCGTAGGTTGGAGCTAGAATGGGTAGAATCAACAGAGCATGCATGATAGATGGAATAGAATTTGATGATTAAGTACTATTAGATGAAGTGCTCTTAAGAAGCAGCTCAAGAGTGGCTAACTGATGCTGAGACCAATTGGCTTCAGCACAATTAGAACTAATCTCACTGGTTTATTAAATGTGTTTTTACCTTATTTGAATTAAAATTTAATAAGCAAGCAAAATTTATCGCTCTTGTCTGTCTTATTCGCATTCTCAATCAGATTTTGTGCCTTCCTTTTTTGGTTTGGCTATTGTTTGGCAGCGAACTGTCATTAGCATCATTCAGAGTTTGAGTTCCAATCAGTTGGCAGCGCAACGTCAACGCCTGTCAATTTGTTAACTAAACTAGTTGCTGTTGCTGCTGCTGCCTTATTCTGTTGGCTCATGTCCAGTCTCATCTCTATTTGCCACGTTACAAACGAAGGTGTCTTAAACTCCATTATGCCATGTTCGACGTCACTCTTCATTTGCCTCAATTATAAGTGGACAGAGTGAGGAAAAAGCGCAAAACACGAGTACAAGTCAAACAGAGAGAGAGAGAGAGAGAGATAGGGAAGGAGTAGGGGAGTAAGGCAAGGAAGGCGAGTCAGGCTAAGAGCTCTGACAGTTCTCACTTCTGCATAACAAGATGCCAAGTTTTGGTTACAAGGCCCAGCACACAAGGCTTATTAATAATTGCGCTATTCGCTGGCCAATTTCTAGTTTCAGTCTTTGACTTATCCAGCGTGGCCAGCGGCAACAACTGGTAAACAAAGCCAGCTACTACTTGAAAGCCCTGTTGGTGGGCTGGCTGTTTGGTCGACTTATGTTGTTGTTGTCCACGCGTCCTTTATGTGCAGCGCTCCTGCAGCGCTAATTAATTTTTCTGACCAGCATTCACAAACAGCGGGGGCGGAGCCGCAACCCGACTGTGAGATTTACATTTATTACCCATACCCCAGGCCTGGGGCCAGTGCGTCCCCACTCACACTTGCCGCCTCTCTCTCTCTCTCTCTCTCTATCTCCCGCTCAGTGGTCGCTGACAAGCTGCAGCTGCCAGCTAGGACCATAGAATTGCTCCCCTTTCTCTTGCCCGCCAGCTGTTCGGGATTTTAGGCAAATTCAAGGCCGATGTGCCTTATGTGAATATATATGCTATATGCGTTGGGCCCTCGACATGCTTGTACTTTATGCGCGGCAAATTAAATAATTTTAATTTTTATTGTTTGGGCCCGGCTTCCTACCCTGCGCAGCGGTTGGTCCTTGGCTACGGATTCCTCTTTTAGTAGGCCATAATTTGCTGGCCAAGTTTCTTTTTCGCTTCCACTTTTCTCTTTTCTTTTTGGCCAACATTTGTTTTTCTTTGTCCTCTATGCTATGCTCTACGCTGACGCTTTTTCGCCTCTCTATCTATTTGTTTTTTTTTTTTGCAGATCCGCCCGCTCCGCCATTAATTTCGGGCTATATGGAAGGACAAATTATACCAGCCGGGTCGGTGCAAAAACTCCTCTGTGTGTCATCGGGCGGCAATCCGTTGGCAACGTTAACGTGGTACAAAAACGACAAACGGGTGAGTTTTTATGGATCTTCCTTGTCGTTATATATATATATATATATATACATATATATATATATATATATCTACTGGTTCACAAAGTGAAATGAGAGCATATTGGTTCCTTTGTGTGCTGTCTGTATTAAAGCAGCTAATGAAGCTGAAGCGTTGTGAGCTCAGCTTGAGAGACTTGAAATTGGAAATATATATTCACATAGTTTTCTTGTAGCATACAGATATCACATCAGATCTAGGCTAGGCTGTTGACTGTCTCTGTAGAGAAATTATATTACCACAATCACTAAGGGATGCTTGTGTCATTAACTCTGTAGATTCTCTCTGTATAGTTATCGAAACTCTAAGTTAAGAAACTCCAAAAGTGAAGACGTGACTAATAAGAAAATCCTGCCTTCCACAGCTTTAGATCTACAACATCAAGTCTTGCAGTTAGGTTTCGGTTCAGCTTCTAGCCAGATAGTTGCCCGCTCTTTGGGACATTGCAAATCTAAAAATTTTGCCACAAAAACGAGTATGCCAAAGTCAGTTAAGCAGAACAAACCTGATTTTTTTTTATTTGCATATGCAGCACAGTCACTAGTGCAATAGAGAGAGAAAATGTAAGCACACACAGACAGTTGGAGTCGTTATGCTATCAACAGCAGACAAACAACAAACATGCGCCAAACAATAATGGCGCTATTGTTGACCATTTCCGCTTCCGGTTTATGGGCTGAAAGTGCTAATAAGGCTGAAAGCGCAGCTGCAGATGGAGCTGGGGCTGAAGTTTGGTAGTCGCATTTTATCTGCAGCCACTTTAATGTCAGCGCGCCATGCATATCCTTTAGCACCTTTGCATAACTGATGCTGATGCTGATGCTGAAGCTGATGCCATCGAGCAATTGTCGTTGCCTGGGCTAAGCTCCAAAATTAAATCCTTAGCTGAGTTTGGCTGCAGCGGAAGTGGCCGCAAATGCACAGCTGTCGAGCTGTCGAGCTGCCGAGCTGCCTAGCAGCACAGCTGCTGCTGCATACTTATGGGCGTTGGCGTTGGGCGCAGCGATTTTTTCCAGCTGTAAACTTGATATGCAACAAAAAAGGCAACTAGCGACCGTCGACTGCTGGTTTTCTGTCACAGCAACGGAAACAAGCAACGGCTACACGCCTAGCCCTCTCTCTCTCTCTCTGTCTCTGTTCGTCTCTCTCTTGTTACCATCTTTATCACCATTGCGGTTTGCTTGCCATCTATCTCAGCCGTAAGGCGCTGCCTGCGGTGTCCTGTGCGGCTGCTCATCTGTGTGCACGCAGATTAAATGATATTTTATCAACAAAATTAAAATGCGCTGTGTTTTATGCTCCCAGCACTTCGGCACTGCGCCCGCCAGCTGCTCCCCCAGCTATCTGTCCGTCTGTCTGTCTGTGTCAACCTCTTTGCATATGCAGCACGCGGCCTCGAGTTGTTTTGCTTTTTACACACTGCGTGAGCTGCTCTTAGCTTTTAGTATGTAATATTATATACCCTGTATGTGCACAAGCAAAAGTAGTTTATATTGTTTACTTTAGAGCAGACAAACACGAATGCACACACGAGTCTAAAAGGTTGCTATCAAAAAGATTGTTATACACAAAAACCTTTGCCTGACTTCCTAGGTCCTTTGAGCCGAAGAAGCTAGAGACATGAAGCTTATCAGCTACTGCAAGCTTACAATTGAAAAGGACTATATAGTAAAGTAACAGCTATGCATAGATGCTATCATATATGCACTCATAAAAAGCCAAGAAACGTGGTATGCACGAGGACATTCATTAGGACAACCTCAAGCACGGACAGAGCTAGATGCTGTTGTTGCCTATCAGCAATATCTCAGCAATATGGTCTCGCCTAACATTTAATTTAGCTCGAAGATAAAGTTTGTCAAGATAAATAGAAATATTATGAAAGTTAGCCTGGAAATTTGCATGTTGCATGTGCCGTCCATTAGCAGCTGAGTTAATATGCATCTCCCTCTCTGTTTGTGTGCTCCTCCTTATATATTTATATATATTCATATATATATATATTTATATATAACTTGGCAATTTTTTACCTTTTGCCATTTGCTTTTGCAGATCAACTCTATAATTCGGGCCGCAGACAAATCAGTTTCGGCCGAAATAACTATTTTGGCCAACGTCACCGACAACCAGGCGCAATACCGCTGCGAGGCCGCGAACAGTGCCACAGAGATACCGCTCTTCGAGTCCACCACGCTGAGTGTACACTGTAAGTAGTTGTTGTTGTTGTTTGCCCGAGAAAAAAGTCGTTGAAGACGGCGCTCACGCCATTATTATCCGCTGGCTGTGCTTACAGTTGCGCCAGAGACGGTAAAAATACGCATTGAACCGGAAGAGCTGAGACCTGGCATGGAGGCAACCATCATTTGTGACTCCAGCTCAAGCAATCCACCGGCAAAGCTGTCCTGGTGGAAGGACGGCATATCCATTGAAGGTACGTACCAGAAGCATTGCAGATTTTGGAAGTTTGCCCAGCCGCCAGGGCAAGCCAAAGGCATGGCAAGGCATGGCATGGACTTGGCGGCGCCGTTGTCAAAATGGGCAGCTGCTGCTGCTGCTGCTGCACACCCAAGCAACCAGCTACCAAGCTGATGCTGATGCATTTTTTAAAGGCGTTTCCACGACAACATCCGGTCTGGTTGCCAGCCAGCCAGTCAACTGGCCCAGCCCAACGTCCAGTCAGTTCAGTCACTAAAGTAAAATCCCGCCCATTTTGTCTCTTTCATTGGCTGCTGCTGCTGTGCCTGCTTTTGCTTTACAGGCATTAATAACACGTCCAAGCCAGGTCTCTGGGGCGGCACAGTCTCTACGCTCGAGTTCAGGCTAAACATCACCCAGGAAATGAACGGTGTGGTCTACACTTGCCAAAGCGCCAACGAGGCACTGCAGCGCAGCGTTCACGAGGCAATCAGCCTGAATGTCCTATGTAAGTATTTAGTTCATCTCGATGTGCTAATTGAGCAATTAGACTCTGTCTGCAGTCTAATTCTCAATTTAAAATTCTCAAACTCAATGGAAATGAAATTCTAATTCGAAATGTATGCACAGATCGTCCCAAGTTTGTGCCGCCGCCGTCATCCACATCGGTGGGCTTGGAGGGTGAGTCGTTGCAGGTGCCGTTGCAGGCCAATGCGAATCCAACGCTAATTAGCTACACCTGGACAAAGAATGGCACGCCCATACCGCAGGACACCAGCGGCAGCATCTCTGCCGCCGAGCATCGCATCTTTGCCGACGGCGCTGTGCTCAACTTTACCAAGCTGCATCGCGAGGACTCTGGCATTTACTCCTGCACGGCCAGCAACTCGCAGGGCAAGGCGAGCATTAATATCACAGTCGTTGTGGAATGTAAGTAGCCTAATGCCAAGTAGAAGTGAATTCTATAGCCAGCTCCCTTGCACAGATGGCACCACCATCAAGTCTGTCTCGGAGAACATTATTGTCAATCCCGGCGAGGATGCCATGTTGTCCTGCAGCGTTGAGGGCAAGCCACTCGCCGACGAGCACGTCAAGTGGGAGCGTGTGGGCTACGATATGAAAGCGAAGACCACAACGACCTTCACCAATGGCACCGCCTATCTGCACATTAAGAACGCCCAGCGCGAGGATGTGGGCAACTTCCGTTGCGTGGCCGACAATCACGTGGCCAATCCGACCAATCGAGACGTTCTGCTCATTGTCAAATGTGAGTAGCTTAACAGTCAGGTAAATTACTTGCAGCTGCTAATTGTTAAGCTCCGGAATTGCAGTTGCTCCCGAGATCGCCAAGTCGCCGACGCTGCTGCGCGCCGCCAGCGGCACGGGCGAGCGAGGGCGTTTGCCGTGCCGGGCGCAGTCGTCACCCAAGCCGCAATTTATTTGGCGCCAGGATGGAAAGGATCTGCCCATCAATCATACATTCAAGTACGAGCTGGAGGAGCGTAAAATAGACTCGCTCACCTACGAGTCGTCGCTGATTGTGGAGAAGGTGGCGCCCGCCGACTATGGCGCCTACGAGTGTGTGGCACGCAACGAGCTGGGCGAGGATGTTGAAACAGTGCGTCTGGACATTACCTCGCAGCCGGAGCCACCGCTCAGCCTTAATATACTGAATGTGACCCATGACACGGTGACCGTTGCCTGGACGCCAGGTTTCGATGGCGGCTTGAAGGCCTCCTACCGTGTGCGCTATCGGTATGTACACACTTCCTGCTCTCTGTCCCCACTCCCTGCTCATGTCGTGCCTGAAGTGCATTCCATTGCAATTACTGCAAATGTCACGTGCACTAATGAAATTGTCCCTCATGTGTTTGCTACCTCTTCCACTGCATCTCACTCCCCCTCTCTCTCTCTCTCTCTCTCTCTCTCTCGCCGTCTCTATCTCTCATTGCAGCATGGCAGACCGCGAGCAGTATAAATATATTGACGGGTTGCCCAACAGTCACAAACTGACCATCGGCGGACTGCGTATGAATACGCTGTATCTGTTTTCGGTGATGTCGTGGAACGATTTGGGCCAGAGCTCTTACCTGCCGGATTTGACGCGTGCCCAGACCAAAGGTAAGCACCAAAGTATACCTCAGCAGCCGAGGCTAGCGCGCCCGCTGTCTCCTCCTGATTGATTGATTTATGCGCGCACAGCCATTTGGCATTTATGGTCATTCGACTGACAATGAAGTAGACAGGCTGGTCTATTTCCTCGTTCAGTGTTGCCCCCAGCGCGTTTTCTTCACTCAATCAATGATCTCTCTTTCCTTCAACGCTGCACTTAATTGGAATTGTATTATGGCGTGCGACAACGTCGAAAACTCCACCTAAAACATGAATATACATTGGATATGTGCACCGCCACCACTTGCAGAAGCGCCGCCACCCTCACAGCCGGCTTCCTCGCTGGGCGGTGGACCGCCAACCACCAGTCAGACACCGCTGGGTGGCACATCGGGCATGCTGCTTGTTGGCGTCGCAGCAGGCATTACAGTGGTGCTGCTCAACGTATTTGTCATCGGCTGTTGCCTGCACAAGCGCAACGAGAAGCGTCTGAAGCGAGGTACATCAACAACAACATCGACTCTTACCTCCTCTTGTTGTTGTTGCTGTTGCTTTTATATATGAAATTGACTTTATGATTGACAAGCCACTCATACACTGGATATATTTTCTAATGCTATTAATGAAATTGACTAATTGATTGATCGATGGATTGACAATCTGCTCATTAGCGCATATGTTAAACTTGTCATGGTGATTGATAGCTAGAAGTAGACTTGATTGACTGACTGATTGACAAGCAATACATCAATTTTATAGTGTAAACTGGGAAAATGGGAAATGTAGCACCGTTAACTATTTTTCTAATATAGTGAAGTAAAATTATTTATATATTTGGAATGCACCTGGTGATTGATTGACAATCAACGCATGAGTCGAGCTCAGCTTGGATCTAAGAAAACGCTAAATATATCGAGTTTCAAAGATTTTCTTAAAGATATACAAAATTTATATGAAACTGAAAAACTTTGCTAAGTGATTGATGGACTCTTAGACTGACAATCATCGCATAAGCTCAATGGCAGGAGCTAAGAAGCTAAATACAGTCAAATAAAGATTTAAAATACTTGAATGAAAGATATAGAAAATAGTCCGATTAATCATTTGGCTAACTGAATGGTTGACAATAACTGACAAAGCTCAATCGTTAGAGCTAACTTTTTAATATAGAAACCTTTTCAGTTCGATTGATAAATTCTTGGAAATCTCGTTTATTTTTGCAAAAAGCAAAATGGAAATGGAATGCGCAGAGTACTCGATAGTTGTGGCAACAGCTCGTAGATGACTTTAATTTAATTTCAATTTTTGAATACAGTTTCGCCGTTGCCAGTGCTGCGCCATGGTCTGCGTTCCTACGTGCCGCTGCGGTCAGCATCGGACGGCGCTAATTTCATTTGGCCCCGTCACATGTTGGGACTGCGTTTCCGCGTGCGCGCCATTGTGACTCCATGGCTACGTGATTTGCGTCACTTTTGCATGGGTTCCTTAACCGTGCCCAGAGTCACAGTCAGCTACGGCTGGAAGTAGGACGCCACTATACAGCCGACCCACTCGCACCACCCATTTGCCCCCGAAGCGCTGCTGCGTCATTTTTATTACGATTTCTCATTTCGTTTTTCGAATTTATTTATTGTTTTATTTTTACAAGCATATTTTCTGTTATTATTTTTTGTGTTTATGTTTTCATGGTCTCGTTTGGCTGACTTTGGTTTATTTTGACTTGCTGTCGCGACATTTTCATGCACCAGGAATTGAAATGCTGCCAGCCGAGCTAACGGAGGACTCCAGCAACACACCGAATCTGCTCATAATTGCCATCTCTCTGGCGGCATTCGGATTCCTCCTGGTCAATGCGGCGCTCGTCGCCTGGTTCTTTGTGCATCAGCGACGCAAAAAAGGTTCGTTGACATATTCCATGTTTTATTTTCCTTTTTATTTATTTTAATTCTTAATCTTTACATATTTGTTTAATTTTTATTTACTTGCAATTGTATTTTTATTTGCTGTGCGCTTGAGGCATTTGCCGATGTAAATTCAACTCTTTGAGCTCGTGAAAAGCCATTTCTCTGGCTGGGTATCTTTAGGGTTTTAAGTGTGGCATCCAGCAGCCACTTCCGTGACACCATAGGAAGCGAACGCGTTGTGCAACATCCGTTGCTCCCAGTGGAACGTGGACGTGGCCTGTTCACTTTATGATGCTCACTAAACAATTTCCTGCATCTACATAGATGATATATATATATCTATATATATATATATAGAAAGAGAGTTTGAGAGAGATAGAGAAAAAGAGATAGCTAGATAGATAGTCAAAGGTGGCTAACGTATAAATAGGTCTGGATATCGTATATGCGCTTCTTGTAATTTCCGCGAGAAAACCAAAGCTCGAGCGTGGCCAGAGGAAGCCAGCCAAGTCAAAGGGCAACAAAAAAAGAGAAAATAAGGAAAACGAAAAACAAACCGCTCTGAGCAGTCAACAAGAATATAATGATGACAGAAAATAATGATGCATCCTGGCAGCGGACAGCAGCCAACAGCCAGCAGCCAGCAGCCAGCGCACGACCCCGAGGTCCATGCCAAGTGCAACTGTTTATTGAACAACGACGTTGGCAGCCACCTCGTCCGGCTGCCCCCACCCCATTTGGCCGTTGGCGAAGACAAATGTGCATCGTTTTCTTAGCTGAACGCACAATCTTTCGGAAATCAGATTGCTCTGCTCCATCCACAGGCATTAGAGCAGGCAGACAGTCCGGCCAGATAGAGCAGAGAGCACGTGTTGGAAGTCCTGCGTCGCCTTGGCTGCTGCCTGCCGCTCAATTTGCAGCTAAAGCTGCAGATTGTTTATTAATATGGAATTATATTTCAACAGGCCAAGCGAGCGAAATATAAATATGAATCCCGATAGACAAATAGACAGTGAGACAGACGTCCGGACGGACGAACGGACAGACAGACCTAACGACCTATCGACCCAATCGACTCTGGAGCGTCGAAAAAAATGCAGACATTTCTTGGCAAGTCAGGTCTCAAAGACAAACCAAGCCGGAACGTGCAGAAAGTGTTAGCTGAGCGAGGCGAACAATTTCGCCAAAAGCTTCACAAAAATTCTTTTGGCCAAAGAATGAGCCGAGCATTTGGCCAGGCGTGCTAACCAAATTATTTTTAATTGAGCCAAATTTAGTGGTTTGACACGCAGCGAGCTCCAAAGCAGCAGCAGCAGCAGCCGCAGCAGCAGCATCTTCTCAATCAGACTCAAGTCCCAATGCAACGAAGCCGAATTATGCATACGCATTTGTACGTGAGCTCCTTCTGTGCCATCCCATAAGACGTGGCATTCCAACTGCCAGATGTCCTTCGCAACAGTCTGTACAGCTGTGCACATTCTTTTTCCTGCTCTCTCTTTGTGTCTGTCTCTCCCTCTGTTGCTCGCTATTTGCAGTTGTAATGTACGCTCATATACTTTTGGCAAACATTTGACTTATGAGTCGACTTTTTGCCCGCCAGCTTTTGACTTTTGACGGCTTAATGGGTCGCCTTGCATATGAATGCAAAGAGCAAAAGCGAAGCTGACGACTTTTTCGGCTTTGACTAGCTGTGAATGTGTGTGAATTTGTTAACTGACTAATTAACTGATTGACTGATTGATGATTAATCATAGGTCTAAGTTCCTAAGGCTGGAAAGTTAAATTGATTGAAATTGATCTAAGGGAATACTTAAAAGAAATTCTTGATTGATTGAACGTAATTCGTGGCAATTTGTGATTGACTGAATGATTGATTGACTGATTGACGATCAAAGTGTCATCTAATGTTGTCATACTAGAATTAAGGCTTATGTATTAAGTATAGTTAGGCACTAGGAAATTCTGATTGACTGATTGAATGATTGATTGACTGACAATCAAAGCTTCATATAATGTCATACTACTAGAAATAGTTGAGGTTTATGTAAGAAGTATATTTAAGCGTGATTGCTAGAAAATGTAGATTGATTGACTGATTGATCTTCATCTCTCTCTATCTCTCTCAGTCTCTCTGTCTATCTCTCTCTCGTTCTAACCCGCAAACCCGTAAATCAATATTGATATTTGATATTAATTTAGCTTATGGTATCATTATGATATTTTCTAGTTTGTAAATTTGATTAAAGAAGTTTGGAAATCCTTTGAAATAGAAAAAGGAAAAGAAAGGAAAAGCGCCGCCAGCTCTCGTTCAACAGGATCTGCAGCTGTAGCTTTTGTTTGCATCCTCGAATTCGGTCTGTGTGAAATGTAGGCCAAGATTTTTTGACATTATGAGCGCGCGGCACTCTCTGGCGGAGCATGAACTACAGCCGCAGGACATAAATAAGATATTTTTCTTAGAAATTCAGCTTGCTTTATTATACGGATACGGAAACGGGTTGGCTTGGGCTGGGCTATTGCTACGACTGCTGGCAATTTCTCTCTTATTTCCAGTGCACAGCTATGTTTGAACAAATGACGCGCTTGCATATGGATGCCAGCGCCGCCACCCACCGAATACCCTGCACAAAAGAAATTCATATTTCAAGTCTTAACAGCCGCTTGTTACAAGAACTGTTAAGCGAGCCAGAAAGCTGCTGCTACTCCTGCTTTCCAAGTAAACTAAAGTACAAAAAAAATGAAAACTGTCTACCCCAACAACATTTTTATGACAATGTTCGTTCGGCTGCTCCGCCGCCTTCGCGTCCCTCCATAAGCCGATAACTGACAATGCCCAAAAGCACTTTTTCTTCTATTTCTTTCTCTTTCTTTTTCTTTTTTTTGGCCATAAAGGAGTTGTCAGGGAAACTGGTGCGTCGGCCAGGATGACAGCGGTCGCTGGCAGGCGGGGGACCAGTGGACAGCTTTTAGCCTGAAGATAACTCTGCATATTTCAATGTTTTCGCTAGCGAAACTTGACTTGTGGACTGCCTGACTGCCTGCCTGACTGCCTGCCTGCCTGCCTGCTCGACTGCTGTTTGTTTGTTGTGCTCGGCCCTTTGGATATGCATTTTTAATGTGCATTTGCGCTTTTGTGTCCAAATGCCGCATGACGGAAAAGAAATTCATCCGCCTCAAACCAAAAAAGAACTCAAAACCCAAACTCCGAACCATAACCACGAGAGGAAGTCATCCGCACGGAGATAGCTAAGAAGATTTCGCTGTTGCCCGATAAACTATGCCAAAAGTCTGCGGTTGGCAGCTGGTCGGCGGTTCGGCAGTTCGGCTAGGTCATTGTACTCCAATGGACATTGGCAACGGCACACACACACACAGACAGCGATTCACACTCATATATCATTCTCATATGAGTTTTGTGCAGAATGCCATTTCTAATGTTTATTGGCTTTCAACTGGCCCACAGATGTGAAGTGTGCGTAAAGGAAAAGACCAAAGCAAAGGCAGTGCCACAGTTGCACAGTTGCACAGAGTGGAAATTACAAGACTAGACGGGGCTTACGTTAATTTGAGACTGGCAATGGCATAGTCAATGATGAAAATTCGAAAAACCAATGACAAATGGACAGTTGCTTAGAGCAAGAGACAGACAGAGAGAGAGAGAGAGAGAGATGGAGGGAGAGAGAGGTGAAAAGTAACTGCGACACCAGTGGAAAGTTTTGTGCCAACGCTGCGTTTGCCAGTGGCGATAAGCGTGAACTCGCTGCTCGCTACTTCAATATAAACGAAAAACCGCTTGACTTTGACACTCTTTAAACAATTGACTGCGGTCCCCGACTGCGCAGTGGCCATCGACTCTGGTAAGATAAGCACACAGCCTGTCAAACAATTCGGCGCCATCGCCGTTGTCCAAAAGTTTCAAACTTTCCTGCTTGCCATAGCTAACTGCCACATACTACATGCCACATATTTTTCGCTGAGACTTAAATACATTTTGCTATTTGCAATATTTGCAGCAACCAGAGGGCTTCTGGTCGACTGCTATATACACTGTAAACAGGAATACATTGCGTTGTAAAGCCTAATAGATGTTAGGAGGGGTGAGGTAAGAAGGGGAGAGGAATGAAGGAAAGTAAGAAAGAAAATAGAGGCTAAATTAAGAGAAGAGAAGAGAAAAGAACTGAAGTGAAAAGAAGAAAGGAGAATTGAAGAGGAGAGTTAAGAAGTGAAGAGATGAGAGTGGAAGAGAGAAAATAGATGAGAAGAGAAGGACATAAGGAAAAGAAAGCAGACAAAAGGAAACGAAGAAAGAAAGGGGAGAAAAAGAGGGCAAATTACAGGAAATTAGGCTTAAATTGAGGAGAGCAGAGATAAAAAATAAGGGATATGAGAAGAATATATAACAGAAGACTAGAGTAAGCAAGTGCCAGAAGAGACGAGAAGTGAAAAGCGAAAGGATAAAGGAAAAGTACAAATTCATGAGCAGAGATAAGAAGCGAGGAAGAGGAGCAGAAAGTATAATAGAAAATAATACAAAAGAGAAGAGATAAAAGGAAAGTAGAACGAAGAAATTCATGAGAGAGAAAAACAGAGAGACATCAAAAAGACGAAAGCTGTCCAATTAAATACAATTTGTCGATATGTTCCTAACAACTGCATTCCATCTTTTACTTCCCTCACTCTGTTCATACCTCCTCCTTCTCAATCGATTGTAGGGTATAAAAACTGCACACTTAGTCAATAAGTTTGCTCAACACTTGTGATTTCGAACAGAAGCTTTGCTCGCACACACTCAAAAAAAAGCTGTGAGAAGTCAAAGAATAACTGGCGGCCAGTTTTTTATATCTTTTTTGGTCCTGCGCTGCCAGCAGCTCGGCAGATTAAGAGAAAAACCTTCAAAGCAGACGTCCATGTCAACGGCCACGTCATTAACTGACCTGACGACCGCAAAAGCTGTCTAAGCCGTGTCATACTCGTGTATATCTATAGATACATACACACACACACATATATATATATATATATAACAAATATATCTTTATACGTATTTGTATAGCAAGCAAAAAAACGTTTGCTTTCTGTCCAGATTTTTCGGGCTGTCGTGGCATAAGTGCAAAATTTGTAATCTCTGTGTCCGTGTGGCGGCACATAAAGTGCAGCCGTAGCTATGTGGGCTGGCTCTACAAGTACAGTGAAGCCACCATCACAACAACAACAACAACGGGCACTGGATTATTAGACGGGGCAAGGCTTTGTCAATGCTAAGCCCGCCAGCTAACCTTTAATTCCAGCTGTCTATACATGGACCAAGTCGAGTCACACAGAAATGTTTAGTTGAGCTTACCTTCGGCTCTTGCTGTGTATTTATGACGTGTGCATTGATTTCTAATGGAATCCATTAGATAAATTTGTAGCTGAGATCAAAAATTGAGTTTATATTGTCTCTATGTCTCAGTCACTCGATGGAAGGCTGAAGATGGAAGATGGAAGATGGAAATTTGAAGTTGGAAGCTGAAAACTTCTCGCTATATAATGTATATAGTGTACATATATTATTCAATCAATCAATCAGTTCTATTTTTTTTCTCAAACCCGATTTGTCATAGACCGCAAATGAACTCAATAATTTCTAGGGTATTTCACACAGCGACATCTGGAAGCCCCACATTCAGTTCCTGTTGAAGTTAATTGTGGTTGTGTTGCTCTGGCTTTGCTGTTGTTGTTTTTTTTTTTTATTTTTTGCTGCCGCCACGTGTCATCATAAATAAAGTATGTTAAAATGGCTGGCAAAGCAAATATTTTTAATTCACTAAACTATGAATGCAATCGGATAGTTGTGAATTGCGAGTGGAGTGTGCAGGCCTGACCTCTGACCCCGGGCAACATACATGTTTTATTTACAATAAATACGTAAAGGTGTCGACACAACAGTCAGCCGGGATACGCACCACAATTGACGGCTCGCAATTAAATGCAATTTACATTTTCCATTTTTTGTTGAAGAAGAAAGGAAAGGTAGATAAAATAAAAATATATATAATATAATAATATAATATATATAAATAAAAGTTTCAAAATTAAAAATAAAAAAAAAACGTGAGACAAAAGAGTTAAAAAAATGGGAGCAGAACTAGTTGAAAGCAACAGCATAACTGTGGGAAATTCGAGCTGCCACGCGCCTCGTAACTGTATATACATCATGTTTCATCTAACTACTGAAAAGTGCCAACTGTGAAAGGTTTCTAAGAGACTATCAAAAGCTTCGCAAAGTTTAGACTAAATAATTGTATACAAAAGCAACAGCAACATAAATTTATATATATATATATATTTATTTATTTATTTATACCTGCATAATTCTATATATTTATACATTTTTCAAAATATATATTCGAATATTTTCTTACATTATTTTTTCAATTTCTTTGTATTTTTTTCAACATGTAACCTGAACACCTGCAACTGAATGAATGACGAATCACTCAACTTAATGCTGCTGTCGCATATGGATATGAAAACAACAAATGCACTCAACGAACTCACACACATACACACACACACACACACTCTCACGCACATTGACTTTGTGTAAAACACGTGTTAACCATGTGGCGCGGTCATTTTGTCGTTGCCATTTGTGAAAATGTGCCATGAATCATTTAATGGCATTTTATATACAAATTTAATTGCATTTTCACTCGTGCCGCCCGCGCGCCACTCGCTCTCCGCCGCCTTGTCACGCATCGCCAAAAACTGGACATCGCATGCATTGATTTTAACCCTTGACCACGGCCAACAAAATGCACGTTGGCGACTCTGCACCAAAATGTGAATAATTTAACGGAATGCCTGCTCCAATCCGCATGCCTCAACCCTGATCCCTTCACCCATTCGGATCCCTCCTATGCCACATTTATTTCTGCCGCCGCTGGCGAAACATTTGCTTGCGCTGCACTTTGACAATCTTTGCTATTTGCATTTGATTTGCATTGCCTGAAACTATGCCCACTGCCGCTGCCACGACCACGACCACGACCACGCCCACACCCCTGACATTTACAACAAACACCCGCTATATCCGGATAACTCGCATCCCCCACTCGCTCCCGCTCTCGCTCTCTGTCTCTGTTTCTCTTTCTGCATGGCCCGTGCGGTGTTCCAAATGACTGGCGTACTGCGCACCACCGACTGCCCGCCCGCACCACCGCCCAATCAATTTTCGGCATGTCACTGCCAATTACACCTTTTCAATATTTGCGCCGCATACTTTCTACCTACCTATACCTATACTTTTTTTACTGCGCTGCCTGGCTGAATGTCTGTGTCCTCTGTCATCCTGATCCCCCGCCACCTGCCCGCGTGGCGCTCGCTCTGTGTCTGGATGTGGCGCATCCAGTGGCGGAAACTACAAATCAACCAGGCAAAACGGCGACCATCGAAATGTACGCGCCCAGCTCGTACAATGACACCGTCACCGGCGAAACGTTGTCCAGCGTTTCGGAGAAGAGCGAGTCCTACTCCAATGAGGGCAGTCAACCGGAATATATTGTGAGTATGCCGCCACTTTTTAGCCCAGCTATAATGTTCTCAGTGTTTTTTTTTCTGCTGTTCTACATGAATATGCAATTTGTGAACGCGATTGAGTACAATGGGTCCAAAAAGTTGTCTGCTTGTCTGGCTGCTGCTGCTGCCACTGCTGGAGCAGTTAGCAAAATATAAAAAATTGTATGCCTCTCTTAAGTTATGGCCAGGCGCTCGAAAATTACAACTCTCAAGGCCGGAACTGGGGATTGGCTTGGGTGGCGACTGTTGACATCGAGGTCGCCGGAACTGGTAGGCAGTCAGTCAGGCAGTCAGCCGGATGCTGGCAACCGGCAGCCAGCTAAGACGTTGTGATTAATTACGCTCAGCTCAGGATAATGATGAGCAGCGGACTCCGAAATGTACCAAAAACCGAACCGAATTCCGAAAATTGCGAACCGAAAGCGAACCGCGGCGCTCGAGCTGCGCCAAACAAATCGTTTCAAATTATTAAAATCATTTATTATGCGCGTAATCTGACTTGCCACAAAAACTGCCGCCTAATGTTGACTGTTAACTGTACAGCGTCATCTTGCCGCAGTCTGGCCGTGGGGCGTGCCATAAATCAAAGTTGCGTATACGCAGCGTGCGACGCCCTCGACGAAGGTGTCGCGCTGTCAATTCAACTTTCAACGCCTTCCGAAAAAAACAAAAGCTTAAGTAGAGAGTAATTACGAAAACACGAAGCACTTCACAAACAGACCAGAGACATGGGCGGGGCGAGTTACTCTTACATGCATTGCATTTATACTCAATGTTTTCTCTCTCTCTCTCTCTCTCTCTTCTTCTGCAGGACGAAGCACGCAAGAAGGCGACATCGACATATCTGGTTGAGAGCACGGACATGCCACCGCCCAGATACCAAAAGGATGGCACGCTGCCAGCATTATATCCAAATAATATGGGTAAGTCAAGATCTAGCTGACCAGATAACAGATAATGAATGTGCAGACTGTGAAAAAAACAAGTAGAAGTGCTTCAAGCGGGAGTGCTCGACTAGCAAATACCCGAAAACTATTATGAATAGCATCCATACGTGTCTCAGTACCAAAATGTTGGAGTTTACTATTTGAAATGGAGAACGGGTTGGCTTATATAAAAGATTAACTATGCACAATGTGCACAGCAAAGTATTAAAGAAAAATAATTAAATATTGAAATAAACTTCTACTAATTATAGCTATTAAACATGTCAAGTCCCTATCTAAAGGAGTTTGCGAGACCTCATTCTGTTACTGTTACGCCTTCTTCTGCCTGTTTTAGATATACCCGGCATGGCCCTTTAGAGGGCATAAAAGCGAAACTAGAGCGAGATAGAGCAGAGCACATAAAAAGCATTTTAGATAATTAACTTTTGGCTACGGGAAAAAAAAACCAAAAACGAAAAGAACCCAAAGCAAAGCAAGTTGAGAGTTGCACGCGCTGTCAGCACACGTCAAGGCAAAGTCCTTGGTGCAGCTGCAGCTGCAGCGGCAACAGCAACTGCCACTGCAACTGCAGTTGTTGCCTGATTTGATGGCAATGATTGCAATCAGAGCTAAAAATAAAAGCGATGTAAAAACGGATATCGGCAAAGATGCACAGAGCAACTAAGTGCGCGAGCGTCAGATGAAAATTCAATTTGAGTGTGCAACATCTCCATCTTAATTGTAATTGAGCAGCAAAGTTTTTGCCAGTCTTGATTTTCAATTGACTCAAGAGTGTGTGTGTGACTGTGTGTGTGTGTTTGACCACATCCCGATGCCGAGTCAGTCGCCAGCTACGAACACTAGAAACCAAATCACGTTTCGGTTCTCTGCTAATTTAAGAGTGCGTCACAATTTAAGAATATCGTTTATCAAGCCGCATGAAAATGAAAAAATAATAAAACTCAAGCATGGAGAGGGAGAGAGTGAGTGGGAGAGTGGGCGAGTGGGCGAGTGGGCGAGTGCCAGAGCCAAAAGTAGAAGAAATAAGTAAAAACAATGGACGTATTATAATAACATTTCAGACTGAGACGGCAGCGAAGACAACGACTGAGGCACTGCTGAAAGCATCGCGCGCAACTGCATTTCAAATGCAAAGCGCAAAAATAATAAAAATACATTAGCTGCAAACTTTTGCTTTTGTTTTTGGGTTTGCTGCCGACTGTCGCGCTTCTCTGTGCGCTGCTGAATATCAAAAATACAATTACCTTATGTCAACGAATTTCGACAACTGAAGGCGCCAAGTGGAGCATACTTCAAAAGTGTCAGCGGCAACAACAACATCAAGAAGAATAAGAAAAAGTGAATTTGAAATGCATTAGACGACTACGAAATACACTTGCGGGCAGAGCAGCTGTTGACCAAACATGAGTGTTACTATTTTCGATAACTATATTTCAGCAGCAGCTTAAGTTATGGATGGCATTCAGTTTTAGAATTGTTCCATAAGTTGTGCCATAAAATCGAAAAACATTTTCATAAAACTTGATCGAAATTTTAACTCAAATTTGTGCATTGCTCAACTTGGCTTCAATTCCCACTATATTTGAGACATATTTTTAAAGTTACAATATAAATGAACTCTTTGATATCTTAGGTCAATAAACAGCTCAAGATAGATGCGATAGGAAGATAATGTAAGAACTTGTGTTGCAGAGGATCTAGAAAAGGGAATGCTGCGCCAATATTTGTTGGTATAATGAGAGTACGCATATATAGCCTATAATATCTACATTAGTTATATTACATATAAGTTAGATGCAAGCACAAGCCATAATTATTCGAAATCTTCTCATAGATTTATTGCCTAAACTTGAGCTACAAATATAATAAGAAAATATTTGAAGCTGCGCATACTTTTTGTCAAAATAATCATGCCGTTTGGCAGTGTATTCAAAGAGCAAAAACATTTGATAGCGTTTGACGCTGAGAGACACGGACTTGCCACAGATAAACTCAGATGGAGCTCGAGATGGAGCAGGAGACGGCGTCGGCTACAGTGCGCGTAATTATGTATGCGACTGCGTGGTAAAACAACAACAACAAAAGTGAAAGAAAAGCAAAAAAAAACGAAGAAAATAAACGAAAGAACAACACGAAAAACCACATAAAAACACGAACACGAAACGCGAGCACAAAAGGCAGGCGAGAGAAACGAATGAAAGAAAAAGAAGATGTGAACGAAAAATGGCTCGTGGCATAAAAATTAAAATGCTTGCCGGAAGCTGAAGCTCAAACAAGAGCCCCAAGCATGGGTAGCGTGTGGGGTAGTCAGCACACATATACATATGTACAAGCACACACACACACACACACACGCACATACATGCATTTACACAACTTGTCTTGCTGTTAGTTGTTGCCACCTGCTGCTGCTGCTGCTGCTGCTGCCGCCTCAATTGAGATCAAATAATAGATGAGCAGCAGCAACAACAGCAACCCAAGGTTTCCCTACAACGAACCAAACACAACCACCCTCCCCCATTTGATGGCCATTGCATTTAAGCCAAATAGCAAACTGTGAAGCGCATTTTTAATGAGATACCATTCAAAGCGCCACCCTGTTAATGAGCAAGCCGCACGAAACGGAAGGCCCAGCGCCATCTGCAGGCGATTTGCCGAACTACAAGTGTGCAAATATGCGACAGCAAACAGTAAATGCAGAAGAAGAGACAAGCATTAAATGAAAAGCCAAGTTCTGCTCGATTTCCATAGACTCTTGGTCAGCCTCAAGCGAAGCAGCGCAAATTTTGATATTCCTTTTTCGCCTACTCCTGCTGTAGAGATATATGCTTATAGCTAATACTTGGGAGTGTCCTGTAATGTCCTATAGTATACTATACACAGACATATATACATCACAGACATATAATCATTATACGTTAAAGTCTTCCCACAACTCTGGCAAATAGATATATTATTATTATTATTATTATATTATTTTTATATTATTATTATATTATGTATTATATATTATATTATATATTATATTATTATTATATCATTATTATATTATTTTTCTTCTTCTTCTACATTCTCCTCCCTCGTCTGCATCTTTAATTCTTCTCTTCTTATCTTTTGTTTTCTTTAATCCATATTTTTCTTCTTCTTTAGCTTTTCTTTTTCTTCCTTCGTTCTTCTTTTCTTCTTTAGTTCAGCTTTATCTTCTTCGTCTTGTATTTCTTTAGCTCTTCTCTTTTTTCTCCTTTAGTCCATCTTTGTCTTTTTTTCTTTAGTTCATCCTTTTCTTCTTCTCTAATTCTTATTTGTGTTCTTCTTCTTACAAAAACATTAAGCCTCCAACTCGAACTCTTTAACTTTAGTTAAGCTTTTAGGAACTACGAAAAGTTGCTCTAAACTTCAACAGAATGAGCCTTAAAGAACTTCTCGACTCTCCCTTGACATTACAGCTCCAACTGCACTATATAGCACGATATATATATATATATGTATATATATAGGAGCAATCGCATTACCTTGTACTCTCTCATTAACTATGCACAATATACTTTCGACCAAATAATTGCCTTTCAGCAAGGCTATTAATATGAAATGAGTGTTGCCTGTTGATATATGGATATGTATGCATTGTGTGTGTGTGTGGGTGTGTGATATATGTGTTGCATGCGTGGCATGCATAGTTAGTTAGTTGCAAGTATCTGGCCAATTATGTGCATTATATATGCACAAAAGTGAACTTCTCCTTCTTCTTCCGTCTCTTCGTCTTTTTCTTTTTGAAGCTGCTCTGATTTTGATTTAGCTGTAACTGGCAATTGGTTAGTGCGGTTTCAGCTGCTGCTGCTGCTGCTGCTCTTGCTGCTGCTGCTGCTGATCGAAAAATCAATAATTCATGAGGACACCCTATGCTGCGACCTCCTTTGAAGGTGCTACTACTGACTCCGGCATCGTCAGCGCCTCCGCCACCGCCACCACCTCCACCCCCGCCTAGCCAAGGCAGTAATACACTTTGTATTACACACGCATACACAATACGCATATGCAAAGTAAACAAGCCACAAAATGAACATGGGAGCCACGTAAGCAGCTCAGCTACAGCCATGGCTACCACCGCTACCCTCCTCTCTCTTTCTCTCTCGCCCACTCTCCCCGTCTGCTACACACTTTTTCGTTTCCTCTGTGGGGCGTCTTCGATTTGTCTGCTTGTTTGGCAATGCCACAGCCCGCAGCTTGCTGAAGTTTCTTAACAAAATTATTGTTGCCTACATTTGAGCGCACGCTGGAATTTGTGCCAAAATATGTGTCAGTGTGGGTGTGTGTGTGTGTGACTCGTTGTCTAAGTCTATTTTACAAAATTACAAATTTGTTACGTTTGTGGCTTTCACGCCTTTACGAATGACAGCCAAATTTGAAGTGGTTAAGGCCCTTGCACAGATATGTGTGTGTGTGTGTGTGTGTGTGTGTGCCACCAGATAATTTGTCTTATCATAAGTAGATGCCATAAATAGCTGGCAATGGCAGAGCTTGTATTGGTTTTCGCCACTGATTTACCTAGCTGAACTTATCACAGCAACACCTGAGTCTCTTATCACCTGTAAGTGCTGCTGCAACTGCAATTAATGGTTTTCGTTTTATGCACTTCCAAACGTTTGCACAGCAAATGAACCAGAAAGCAGCAAAATGTTGCACCTACGTGAAAACGCAAACGCATGTCTAACAGGATGAGCAGCAGCAGGGGAAGGAGCAGGAGTCGGACGACCAACAGGAGGAGCAAATGCAATGCAATTCGAATGTTGAATGGAGGCTACGTGTGCATTTCCACAGCTCAATGTGCAGCTAGTATGTGTGTGTGTGTCTTAGTGAAAAGTCTTTGCCATTTTTTTCTTTTTGTAGCCAATGCGGCTATAAATGTGTCATTTGCAGCAAACAAATTGCATTTGTGCTGCAGTTCATCTGCGGTTTGGCTGGAGCTACGTGCAACAGCCCCAACTAAATACATAATACTCGTTTATGGCCTCAAAACAGCTAAATTTATACACATAACGATATTTTCTAAGCTGCCAAGACACAACTCATAGAACTTATAGGTTCATATCCGTGTGTAGAGTGGGTCAACATTGATTTGCATGCAAAACTTGTTGAGTCTGGTGCGAAAACTGCTGAAATTATAGATATATGTATACATATAAATATATCTATAATTATAATATAATAAATAAATATATTTTTAAATAAATATATATATATATATATATGCCACGCCTACCAAGGTTTATGCCTCATCATTCTTATCAATCTAAAGAAGACGTGAAGCATGAAACTTTATGAAACATAATTCAGATTTGCCTGATTTCTCAACTCTCTAGCCTGAACAGATCTGCAACAAAACTAATATACCCTATTCTATACTCTACTCTCCATAAGAAGCCATAATCACATATTGCTCTGAGCTATTCACACATAACTAATTAATCTCTCTCTATCTCTCGCCCTGCTTACAGTCAATGCCTGCACTTTGCCACATCCGCGGCATAATAATGGCCATGCCGCTGCCATTGCCGCTGGTCATATGACGCGCGACGATCAGATGCTCATCAGCAAGGGCGTCTACATTCCGTCCCCATCGCCAGCACCGCCGCCGGATGGCTCCTACTACAACATGAACAGCGAACGATATCTGTCGTATCCACCAATGGTGAGTGCACACAAAAGCTTTATGTTTCTTATCTCCGATTCACTTGCCATATCACGCCTGGTCGCTTCTTTAAGACTCGACGGGATTAAGTGCAGCTGCAGCGGCAGCTTCAAGCTTCAAATGCTGCCGCTGCGAGGATGTTAATTGCCCGCCTAGATCCGTAATATCGTTCCTTTTTGCGCTTATGGCTAGTCACGGCCAAGGATTAGTTCGCGCAATTAGTTGCAGTTTTATGCACGTTTCCCAGCTAACACACACAGACACACACCCGCCAGTCCGTCGCCTTAACAAATCCTACTCCATTTGCATCGCTCTGCAAGCGAGAGGGAGCCACTGCACACTTACACATACATATACTCGCATGCACTTAGAGAAAAAGCAAGTGGGAAAGTGCTAGAGCTCAAGTAAAACTTAAAACCCAAATAAGGGAAGTAGACAATCGAGAAAAATAACTGTGCTAATTAAGCATACTAGATTTGATAAGTACTTTAAGACGTAGCAATTTCAGCTTTGAATAGCTATACATATGTGCATACACTGAACATTTTTTGTGCGTGTTTTTGACTTCAAAATCATATAAAAAAAATCGAAAATTTCTAAACAACATTCAAAGGTTTTTCTATTCTATACTCTATAGAATTTCTTCAAGTGTAATAACATTTCTCATAAAATACTTTATCTCCTCTGACTGCAATTTCTTGCAGTGTAAATACTAATGCACATGTTAGCTATATATGTACAGAGACATATACGCAGAGATATATTCGATCAGGCTGTTGGGGTAGCAGCCACGTGGCATGTGGCATGTGGCATGTGGCAGCTGCCAATGTGCGCTGAGCAGAATGGCTGCCAGTTAACTCGGTTCGACTTTTATAATCCGCGTGCCGCATGCAACGCTCCAAAGACAAATGACAAACTCAAATGCATTAAGCTGCAGCCCAAAGGGCAGACTGGGAGGCGAGGGCGGTTAGAGGGCGTGGCAGCATAACATATTGGGTAAGTTGGCAACATGGGAGCTGCTGCTGTTGCTCTGTTGTTTGCTGCTACTGCTGCTGCTGCTGCTGCTGCTGTTTGTACTTGCCAAAGTAAACATTATTTTCTCAAGACAACAATTTAATATTACTCATACGCAGCGTGGAGCGTGAATCGCTTATGATGACAAGCTCCACTCGTATTTCATGCGCCAGAGTCTTAAAGCATATTGAACTTGTGCTCAGATTTTCATATCTCAAATATGCGCTTGGCCTTCATTTGTTGCCTTTCACCGATTTTTGTGGCATGCCACGCTATCTGACCAGGTCGACAGCAACAGAGGAAAATGGCAATGCCCACATGACACATCATTGGCATCTACTTGTCGCATTAGGGTAAACCAATATAAATTCCACAAATTCACAATAAACAGGGCAAAATCAATTTTCGAAATTTATTGCCCACGTTTTCCATTTGGAGGTATCACAACTGCTGCTGCTGCTGCCGTTAAAGGGGTGTAAATGTGACAAGTTAAGACGACACTCAATGCGTCTGACACGCCAGCCAGCGCCAACCCAGCTCCAGTTTTGACCCGAGCCCAACCCAGTCGACTGTCAGCTGGCATTTTATGTCGCTGCGAGGCCAATAATTGTATAAATTAGATACGAACGAAATGCAGTTAGCAGACAGACACTCTCTCTGTGTGTGTGTGTGTGTGTGTGGATCCCTAAAGGGCTGTCGCCAGCTGCATGGCACACACACACACACACTCGTTGGCCTGCCTAATGGCGGCTAATGTAATAATATTTATGCTAGCTGCTGACCATTTTTATGGGCTTTATGCTTTATGCGATTTGGCCAGTTACTCAATTTCAGCTAGCAGCAGCGAGCAGCGAGCAGCCAGGGCGTTTCTTGTTTACTCTGGATAACAGTTAAATGATGAAGAGTCGTGCGAGATAGAGGGGGAGAGTGAGAGCGAGAGAGATATTATATCTGAGGACAGCTGCAGGCTTTCTCTGCCACAATTCTCTATTGCATGCACACATGTTCATTCAGTCATTCAGCATGGGACGCAAAACCTTTTGTTTGCGGTTTTTAGTCAACTAGGGAGAAAAATTCAATTTCGGTTTAGTTGGCCAACAATGGCACTTTATATATAAGTGTGTGTAAGTATGTGTGTCTGTGTGTGTGCCTACACGCTCGGGAGAAAGGTCTGCTGGCTCTTGTGAGAGCCCACACACACATAAGAAATGTTTTGTGGAGCCAAATTGAATTATTTGATAAACATCATTAGAAAAATTACAAAATATATAGAGCACTCAGCATGCGGCAACAAATCACGAGAGTCAGCGCCAGAGCGAGAGCGAGCGAGAGAGAGAGAGCGCGCGCGGCACAGCTGCGGCTTTTTTTTCTTATTTCTTAAACATTTGCCCAGCACTAAATTACTTTTTGGTGCACAGATGTCCAGTCGTTGCTCGCTGCTCTCTACTCGATGCTCGACGTTCGATGCTCGATGCCCGCTGCTCGCACCACTCAAACCTAAATGAATAAAAACAATTTTGTTGTAGTAAATCAAATTAAATTTCAATCGCATGCTTGACAGCTAACAAAAAGGATTCATTCCCAGTCGCCGATGACACTTCACCCAGCCAACCGAAACGAGCAACAACCATTGGACACAAATGTGGCCACAGAAACGGCACACGCTGCGTATACGCAATATTGCAGCTTATTTAACAATACTAACAAGTTTTTTTGATAAGCTCTTCAGCCAACAATCGAGCTTAAAACTGCGAACTCTATAAATGTTAGTTTTAGCTGCAGCTAAAAGAAATCACAGGTCGGAAGTGCTCGACGCGCAGATACCCTGACTTTCGACGCAGTACACTTCCAAGTGTATCATCTAAATAAGAGCTTGGGCTTCTGACAGCCATATATTCCACATACTATATAGTCCAAGACTCTACTCTTTGACATAAGCTAAGGTAGTCACAGCGCAAGGCAGACGAACCGCAGGGCATAGAACGACTCTGATTGACTCGACTCGACTAGAACGTTTTAGGTTGTAGTCCTCATCTAAAATACATACATTTACCTGAGGGCAAGCACAGCTACTGCTGCCTGTTATATACAACTGCAGAATACCTTTATGGAACTACACAGCAATTGCAATACGTGCATAATGCATACACTCGCTCTTAGCTCACAAACTGCCTGATTTGTAAGCAAGAGTCAATGTTTCTCAGTTGTAATTGATGTAGAAGAAGTTTATATATCAAATTTGACGAAGAAGCAACATATTCTGATGCAGTTTGTGTTGTTTAAAAATTGAAAACTCTTGTAAAGTTATTGAATGCAAAAGCTATTTACTTTAAGTGATATTCATAGCAAGCTTACAACTTTTTTTAGATATTTTTATAAAAGTAACAACCTTGTATGCCCGTCGATAGACGTAACTTCGAATCAGTAAATAACGTAGTATTATAGTTAACTCTAAGAGAGGCTTGACTGTAGTCGTATTTCTTAGTTACTACTGAAGTGAGTGAATGACATTTATTGTATTGAATGCCAACAGAATTAAAGGCAAATGAAATTATCGAAGCAGTTTCTAAATTGCATTTAATTAGGCTTGATCTCAATGAACAGCCTAAACATATATATATATATATATATATATATATAAATACAATTGTGGCCAACGCCCAGTTTTCGTGTTGTGGACCAACATGTGTAACTATTTAAGCGGCAATTTGTATTTTATTGCCAATTGCGTTCTGCATGTCCATTTAACAACAACAACAGCAACAACAAGAACAAAACTTTGTATGGAACAGACAAAAGTCGGCTCGCCCCTCCGCTCAACTGGTGTTTGATAAGTTAAATGCTGGCTGTGAGCTGCTGTCCCATTTTAGATATTCGAGCTGTGTGTTGGATCAGGGCCTGTAGACTGGGCTATCTGGCAGCAGCGACGTGTGCATGTGCCAAGTGAACTCGTCCAACTTAACTATGGCTCACTTTGTTAGCGAGTTTTGCACAGTTTGAAATTCAATTAGTTTTTTGTGCGGGCATTGTCTCTGTCTCTCTCTTACGCTCTTCATCTCCCCCTCTCTCTGTGTCTCTGCTCTGTCATGGACAGTTGGAAAGTCAGCTAGTTGCACGATATCGCGCATACGCATTGTATGCCCAGTAAAAGGCTCAACACGGCTCGAGACGACTTGTGTTTAAAATTCAAGGCTCAGAGCAGCTGATGTCGATTAAATAAATAACCGAAATATATACTCGCTCGCAGCATCGTGTAGTGTCGTGTAGTGTCCATAATTTAATTTTAGCTAAGAACGCGGCGTCCTGGCGCCGCATTTGCTGGATTTAATGTGTAAAGTTTGATGGCTCTTTGCTAAAGAACGAGCAAAGGAAAGGGAAAGTGGGAACAGCAGAGAGAGCAGGAGCAGGCTGCTAGTCATACATTTGATATTCTATTTACGCAAAATGAACTCCTTTGCCCTGCTGATGCTGCTGCTGCTGCTGCGGCTGCTTCTTGGCAACTTTAACAATAACGACAATAATGAGCCGTGCCCCGCCCACAATTAGCGCCCACTTGGCATAGAGAGGCACGCGAGCCACAGGACAACAAAGAAGACCTTTAAATGCCACACCAACCAAAAACTTTTTCAAGTGTGTCAGAGAGAGAGTAAGGCAGGGAGCTAGAGTGCGAGTGCGAGTTCGAGTGAAACCCCTTTACAGGCCATGCTGATTCTAGCTAGTGCAACAAATTGCTGCCGCACAAACTCAGCTCAAAAACTTTTCGTTAAAGACAATTTAACTTTGTAAACTGATACAAAATGTTCGCCTTGGTATACTTAAGTCCTTTTATCCTCCTTAGCTAGCAATTCCCATGCCACCTACTCCAATGTCTTCTACTGTTAATCAGTGCCAGCTAAATTGTGCGTGTATCAGAATATACCAAACTACCTCTAGGATATAAACAAATATTTTCCAATATAAAAGTACTTAAAAAAAAAACAACAAAACTAATTTTATTGAAAATTCTATATTTCCGAGTTTGCCAAGCATACTATATCGCTTTTATCTATAGATACACATAATTATATAGATATTGTAGGCCAGCAATGCTGAGGCTGGAAAATCTGATTCTGGTTCTGAAACTGAGTGGCTTATGACACCTGCAGTGGGCAGCTTCAAGCCGATTATTTATACCCAGTATTTGGTCTCTAGCCTGGCTTGTCAGAGTGAAATAAAGTATCTCAACTGAACTATTATTAAATTCTTTCATAGTCTCGAACTATGCAGCATTTCTGTTAGCTCTGGACAGCACTAACAAACAGTTTATTCCCGGTGTTTTCCGAAAGTAACTGGAATTAACAATGTCAAACGAACATTTTTGAGCAGCTTAAGAAAGAGCTGACATTTCTAAAACAATCTGTTTGGCTTGGCACATTATGCTGCTAAGAAATCAAGCCGTCATCGCAAAGAAGTCCCCAATAGTGGAATACAGATTGAAGCATTCATTTTTGTTGCTAATGCAAATAAACTGCTAAATATTGTTTGGGCTGAAAGCTTTCAATTTAGTCTAAGTGATTTTATATTGCAAGTGATTCAACGTAGACGATAGCAATCTATATTTAAACCAGGACCCAATCAACCTGATTATTCTTGACATAAATGATATATTATGTTCCAGTCATGACACCTGCCAGCACCTGTTGGCAAGGCTGCTTAAGACATACATCGCATGCGCTTAAATTTCCAACATAATTTCCTTAACGATTGATAAATTGAAAGAAAAGAATGTGGAAAATTTCTTGCCGCTTGGCTGCTGCAGCCTCAGTTCCTCAATATTCCAATTAGGCAGAGAAGTTGAGTTTTCCTTTCTTTGGAGGCCAAACTTAAAAAAGTTGAAGCTGCAGCATTAAACTTGCGTCAACTATGGCAAATACGCTCGCGCGGACTGGACCTGGCTCTGGCCCTCACTTCAAGTCTGACGCTGACTCTGTCGCTGCTTCGCTACGAAACAATTTTCAAACTGACACAAAGTGTCATGTCAATCGAAGTAGAAGATAATATTTCCAACTAAGGCAACTTCCAACGGCAGCAGCAAACACGAAAAATTCAGCACATTTTTAGCAACTTGCAACGCGCAACTTGCGACTTGTCCACAACTTTGCTACATGCAACTCGCACACAATTCTCGTGTTGCTACGACATTTCAAGCCAAGCAGCGCACAATTTACAATTATCGCATTGTTAGTCTCTCGTTCCATAAGCATTTAGATCAATTCACAATTTATGTAGCAAAACTTAGCGCAGCATCCAATATGCAATGGAATATTGGGCGAGCAAAAGGCAGAGGAATTGGAATCGAGTAAAAACTATTCGAGATGTTGTTTCTGGCTCGATTTTGAGGCTACTTTAGTGACTATAAATATGACAAATGGCTAATAAAACTGGAGCATGGTTATCAGAATCGGCAATGCTCTTATTGCATCAACCTATATGGAGTATATAGCTTAAAGCAAGTAAAACAGCTCAAGTCGAGGGCCAACAGACGGGCAGTAAGACATGTCTAGATCGGTCCTGTCTGCCACACCTCCTTTTGCCTGTTACATACCTTATCACTAAGCCATCTTAGCAAAGGAAAAATAAATATTAGGAAATATTTTAGAGATTTTAGATTTTTTTAAACTATAAACTAGATCAAAATAATATAATTAAATAATAATAAAATACTGCAGATAATAAAAGAGGCTTGCAGGCTCTTTCCATGCAGCTGCTTGCCTTTAGCTGTAACAAGGGAAAGTTCTATTGTCTTCATAGTATTAAGTCTAAGTTGAACTATATGTTATATGTTATATATATACAGTTATTTAATTAAAGTTATAAGCAGCTGACAAGGAATATAATGCAAACCTCTTCTAATTAAGTCTTTGAAGCAACGTCTTTTAGCTGCAATTCAAACGTTTGCCAATTAGCTTCTCTGTCTTCAGGCTAGGCTGAAGAGATTCTGGCCTTGCTATTTGAGTCCTGTTCAAAGTTTCACTAAGCTACTCTTAAGCCAGCTATGGCTGTTAATGATGCCCACAATTCAATATGACTGACAACTGTAAGAGGTTTGCCATTGCCTTTCGCTTGGGGCTCTCACCTGTTATTACATTCGTTATTGCTATGCCTGCCGCTGCTATTCATCAATCGAAATTGGCTTTAATTTGCCTTTAAATTCTCTTTTTAAAAATAATAAATATGCGTAATCGTCAGCTGCAGCTATTATTTCACTGCGTGCCTGCAAGCTGAGAAGCAGAATAAAAGTTTTGCCTGGAGTAGACAAAGGCGCAACAAAAGCTGAACTTGAGCCGGCTGCCGTTCAGTGCTCACTTTGTTCGCTTTGGCGACTCCTGTGAGTCCTGCTGCTATCTCTGACGAGGGCTAAATGAGAAAAGTTTTGCATTGCAAACTGAAATCGAAGCAGACTCGGCCGCAGTGCCACTGCGAGCATGGACCATGCATAATTATGAGCCGGGCCTAACTGATACTCTACATTTATTTTTGTTGCAGGAATATCCGACTGCGCTGGACTTTAGTGCGCCGCCGTTGCCGCTGGCGCACCTGCAGCCCATGCAGCCCATTACGGTTACCTCGCAGGCGGCGCTGCTGGCGGCGAGCAATGGAGGCGCCACGCTGGTGGGCAATGGCAGTGCCACAGGGGGCACGCTGCGTCGCGGCATATTGCGTGGCGTGGTGGGCGTAAACGTGGGCGTGCCACCGCCTGATGTTACGCATCACACCTCCGCCGGCGGCCCAGCCATGCAAATGCTGCACGATCTGCATCCGGTGAATCTCAGTGCGACGACGCTAACCACGAGCACCACGCTCAACGGAAGCATGACGACAGCATTGCCACTGGCCACATCCACGTTGCCACGCCAGCCGCACGGCATACTCAAGGATCCCAATCGCAATAAGCAGCAACAGCAGCAGCAGCAACAACAACAACAGCAACAGCAACAGCAGCAGCAGCAGCAGCAACAGCAGCTGCTCAATGCTAGTTTAGTGGGCGTGCCCGTATCTGGGCCCGTGGGCAGCTTGCAGATTCTGAATCTGAATCCGGTGAGCAGCGCAGCGCTGGGCAACAATTTGCTAATGACAACTAGCGCCACCTACGACCCAGCCACGCTGAGCAGCTTCAATGCGAGCGCAGCAGGCGTCGGCGCCGGAGTCGGAGTTGGAGCTGGCGTCCAGGTGGCCTATACAGACGCCGACGGGCATCTCGTATAGCTGTAGGCCGAGACTGGGGCCAGCTCTGAGTCCCGGTACTAAGGATAGCTGTTTGTCTGTCCACACAACGAGGTAACTACTGGCATCTACACATATACATATACATACAGGCCTACATACATATATATATATATATATATATATGTATATTCTATATATATATAACTAACTGTACTCCACACTCGACTCGTAGCTAGTTTAGAAGCTTTCCCTCTCTTCAACGTTTGAGTGTTTCTGTGTGTGTGTGAGTGTACACAAAAATGTATCCTAGACGTGTGCCAGGCAGTTGCGAAAGTAGTTAATAACACCAAATTATAGATACCCTGTAAAAACAAAAGCACTTGGATAGCCAGTAACATGTAAAGCCTCGAGTTGGTAAGCGAAACAAGAACATTTTCTACAGCCTGATGCTATCAACTATCATGCCCCACTAAATAAAGTATAGAGTATATGTCTGACAAATGTTAATGAAACGAGCAGAAAAAGGTTGTAGCATAGCTTCTTCTATAAGAACTATCATGCAGCACTGGCTAAAGGAATTAAGGAGTATAACAAATGGGCATTGTCTTATAAAAACAGCAAATACCCTGTAAAAAGTGAACAGCTTGAGTAGCTAGTCACAGTTGATGTAGGCAGAAAACATGAAAAGATAATTCAAATAAACTCTCCTTCCTTCTTCCTATCATACCCCATTCGATAAATTGTATTACAGAGTATAACAAGTACCTTAATTACCCTATTCAAAGTGTGGCTGCCGTGTGAAAAGCTCACAACTTGGATAGCTAATCCCAAAGCTAAGCTGAACACCTTTTACTCTCGCCCGCTTCATATGCCCAATTGGCCCAATTGGATTACAGAGTATAGCAAGTGCCCATTACCTTATTCAAATCAGCTACAGAATTAGTTTATGTAAATTTTTAAAACGATTCTCACTTCCCCATAAGACACTGCACGCTGTTTATTCAGATAAACAAGCCCCAAAGACGATCTCATTCTGCTGACCAGTTCGTCTCCTCGTATCTCCATCTGTTCGTCTGTCTGTTTGTCAGTCCGCTTGAGGATTTGCGTTTTGCTAATTAGGTTTCGCAAGCAGCAATAACAACAGCCATAACGAAAAACTTTGAGCGGGACGACAGCAGCGACAGCAGCAGCAGCAGCAGCAGCAGCAGGAAGCGGTCAAAATTTTTGGGAAATTAGTTCAGTGGAACGAACGACACAAAGAGCCGCGCAGCCGTTTGACAGCTCCCTAGGGCGTGCTCAGGCCTCAAGTCGATGGGCACGTGATTGCACTAGAGAAGCGCTCACTGGGCGTGGCAGAAAAAGAAAAGTAAGAGTGCGCTGGTCGGGAGTGCACGCCTAACAGATACTCTAACTGAGACTGAGACTGAGACTGAGACTGAGACTGAGACTGAGACTGAGACTGAGACTGGACTGAGACTGAGACTGAGACTGAGACTGAGACTGAGACTGAGACTGAGACTGAGACTGAGACTGAGACTGAGACTGAGACTGAGACTGAGACTGAGACTGAGACTGAGACTGAGACTGAGACTGAGACTGAGACTGAGACTGAGACTGAGACTGAGACTGAGACTGAGACTGAGACTGAGACTGAGACTGAGACTGAGACTGAGACTGAGACTGAGACTGAGACTGAGACTGAGACTGAGACTGAGACTGAGACTGAGACTGAGACTGAGACTGAGACTGAGACTGAGACTGAGACTGAGACTGAGACTGAGACTGAGACTGAGACTGAGACTGAGACTGAGACTGAGACTGAGACTGAGACTGAGACTGAGACTGAGACTGAGACTGAGACTGAGACTGAGACTGAGACTGAGACTGAGACTGAGACTGAGACTGAGACTGAGACTGAGACTGAGACTGAGACTGAGACTGAGACTGAGACTGAGACTGAGACTGAGACTGAGACTGAGACTGAGACTGAGACTGAGACTGAGACTGAGACTGAGACTGAGACTGAGACTGAGACTGAGACTGAGACTGAGACTGAGACAAAGACAAAGACAACATGGAACCTACCACGGCTTCTTCTGCATGTTACATACATTTGCACAAACCGATTATGCCCTAAAATCACATTTGCCATCAGCTCAGGGTATAAGCAAACGCAAACAGATGACAGCAGCTGCAGAGGAGCAGCTGGAGTAGCGCTGGGCGTTCAGCAAAAGTGCTTGAACTGTTGCTGGAAGTTAGAGCGCCATATTTGCAGAGGGAGTAGCTAGTGAAGGCTGCTGCCACGCCCAGTAGAGATTCACATTATGTGCAGGCAACGCAGTTGCTTTGGCATAATCAAAGGATTCATTCGCCTTTCGGTCTCTGCGATCTATGTCTACTTATAGGTATCATTATTGTCTTACCCCGGCAGCAGCAGTTTTTGGATGGAGTCTTAAGTGCTTGCCGCACATTTGCTGCTCGTCGCAGCTCAGCGAGCGTGACATGCTCATCTTGGGGACGCCATTAACTTCTGCTAGCCGCGCTGGAGCACATCATGACAATTCTATTATGCGGAGCATCAATGCAATGCGAGCACCCTTAGCTGCCTCTCGACGGGCATCCTTTGCCAAGGGCAAACGCAGGCGACAGACGTGGCTGTGTATCTGGGTGTGCGTGTGGTTGTGCCTGTCTCTGTGTGTGTGTGTGTGTGTGTTAATTAATATTCATCGAGCTGTAATTACCAAGTCTCACGCTAATGCAGTCGCAGATAAACGCAGCTGCAGGCAGCGAGAGAGAAAACTGTGCAAGCATCTCCACCCGTTCGATTGACTGACTGAGCCGAGTGAAAGTAATTAAAAATGAAATTAAATATATTTCGAAATTCATTGCGCTGAGGCAAGAGGCAAAGACAAAGAAATTTCCAAGCAGCAGAACTAAGAAAGTCGAATATTAAGAATAGGCCAACAGTCAAAGAGGCCAACAGCACATGGACTATACATATCATTGGGCTGATATGTCTGAAAGTGTGCCTGAGTGGGTGTGTGTGTGCGAGTGTGTGTTTATCAATTTGAAAGGGCCTTGCATGAGCTTGCAGCCAGCACATTGTCACGCCTGGCGTCTGTGTGCGTTCGCCTTTCGCTGGGATTTCCGCTATTGAATAATTGTGATTGCCGTTCGCAGATAAAAGTTAAATGAGCGGGAAAATAAGTAAAATTATAATGGAGCTTAATGCCACATCGGAGTGGCAGCAGCACGTACACTTCAAGAAAATATCTACCACAACTCAGCAGAACTTTTTGCAAATTAAAACAAATAGAATTTTAGTTCTCCGCCAGGCTAAACATTTTAAGTTTTCGCTAAGTGTAACTGACTACTTCTATTTTCACAGAGTTTATTTATGTTTTGAGGCACTGTATTTATATAACATTCACAAATATTGAACTGATTGATTCGTACTTCTCTACAGAGTCTCGTATTTCCAATCCATATGCACAGACAGACAATAAATGGAAATACTTTTTGCACAGAAGACACAAGATGTTGGCCAAAAACTTTCAGTTAAGATAAACATGTGCAGAAATTTGAATATAGCATAACGTCTGGGATGAGCTACACCCACACACACACACACACACAGCTAAAGATATGTAAAGCTTATACTCACATAGGTCTGCCAAAATTGCATTAAAAAAACGAAATAAAAATGAAAAGCATTTAAAATAAATTCTAGACTTAAGTAGCTAAGCGAACTAATTAATTAAAGAGAGATAGAAAGAGAGAAACATTGAGAGAGAAAATCAATAAACTGGTATGAAAACAAAACACAAGAAGTTAGAGCAGGAATTTCGAACTACTCAATCAATATGCCAAAATTTAATTTGTACAATAAAAAGCTAAAATAAAAATGTATTTAAAAGGACAAATGCAGGTACACACACACACACTCACACACACACTTACGTACACATAGTGAAGAGACAGTCATACAAGCATAATTAATATATATAAAGAAAAGTAGAATAAATTTCGCATCTCGTACATGTAGAACTGTGTGTTGTTGGACTAATTGTCTCAGCTAAGCCCTAAACAAGCTGTCCCCGAATACTTACATAATGTGTGAATTAACATAGAACTTAAGAACATTTAATCACCACCAAGAGATAGAGAGCGAGCGAGAGAGAGAGAGAGGGAGAGAAGGAGAGAGAAAGGAATACAACATATTCCAATACTCAAAGTCTATCAGTGTGTCTCACGCATATACTAACTATATATAGATACAGACTATATATATATATATTGATTATCTTGCTGGTTTTTTAAAAGTATATAACTATCGCACTTTATGCATATATCTCGATTATAATGGCATGTAAAGCATATGAGAATAGATTTTTATACAGAGAAAACAAGAAAAAGATTGAAAAAAACACAATTAAATCATTGCTGTCGGTTGCTATCGACTGCCTAATGCTCGTTCACGCTAAATCGTTGTTTTAACATGCATATCTATCCGAATTTAGCCGTGGCTAAACGCATTAACCAACTGCTTCTAACTCTAAAACTGAGAAGTATTTTGAGATTTTGTCTTACGATTTGCTCAGCTCCCAAGGGAGAGAGGAGCAATGAGCAATGAGCGTAGATAAAGTATAATAACAAGTCAATCTATAGAGAGATTTGCCACGCCCCACAAGAAACTTAAGCACTTCGACTTCAGGTTCAATGGAAAATTTCAAGACACATGAAAAGGGCATAAAACCTATATGCACGCTTTGCATTTCGTGAACGAGTATCGAAAACTAAAATGTCTTCCCCGCATAATAGAGAATACTTATTTGTGTGTGTGTGTGGGATTATTATGATGGCTAATTAAATAATTTTAATTTTTAAACATGATTTATTCTTTTCACACACGCACACGCACACACAGTCGCAGCTATGGTACGAGTATGTATTTATTTAGTTTGTAAAGCTAACATATGAAAATGGGGGAAAACTAAATAAGACTTAAGCATTAATTATGTTAAACTATGATAAGTGAATATATATCTATAAGTTTTATTATTATTATTATTATTATTATTATTATCATTATTATTATGCTTATATTGTAGTTGAAAGCTAGGCCAAAGAGATTTGTTAACAAAGCAAATAATTATTTACCAATTAATCGAATGTTTTCTTCTCAATTCGGGCCGAAATCACAGTTAAAGAAAAGTAAAGAAATTCTCTTGTTAATACGCATATGTAATATGTTTAAATGTAGTTTAATGGAACCGAAAGGACAAAGACTTCAAATACTGAATTTAGTTTAATTGTAATTCAAACTCAAGCAACGTAACTAGCATACGGAACACAGAGAACAAACTCATAGACGTAGACAGAGCTAAACGATGGAGAATATAACCAGGAACGATTTGACTATTGTGAATGTTTTTGTTTCAACGGTGATCACAATGATTTCGATTACATTTATGCTAAATAATATATATAAATATATAGCTAAGCTGTTGTACAGAAGCCAGAGATTAAAGCAAAACAATAAGAAAAACAAAAACCAAACAAAAAAAAAACAGAATTTAAATTTAAGTTTATTTGCTAAAAAAAAAAAACAAGAAAAAATGCAGTCAAAAATTGTATAAAAAATAAATATAAATTAATTTGATGGAATGGGGTTAATGCATATGAAATTTATTGCATTTTTAAGAAATCTGTTAATATATGAATAAAAAAAGCATAAAAAAAGAAAGAATAAAACAATATTCAGTGCATTCACAGTTTTATTCGCATCAATTTTCATCGAGCGTAAATAACACTAACACGCGCTGTGGAACAAAAGAAGGAGGAGGCAGCTAGCCAGCCAAGAGGACGTTGAGAGGTTGAGGCAAACGTGTGTGTGCGCACGGCTGCTATGGCTGCTGGCAGGGGGAGGCAGTGCTGTTTGGGGTGTGGGCGTGGCCTAGCGACGCCCTCGAGAAAGTATCCACTATTCGTCTTACTTGGTGAGGCGCAAAAAAAAAAAAGAATTGAATTCCTTGTTAAACTTACGAGCTGGCATTAATTTAACAGCAGCTCCAGCAGCCTAGCCCCAGTTTCAGATTGCGTATACGGCCCATTGGACATGTGATGGGTGCGTGCATTATTTTTGCTCTCACTGACTTTATGATGCTCGTTCGGCGTTCGACGTTCGACGTTCTCCGTGTGGCCAAATCGCAGCTCGTATTTCATTTAAATTGAACTTAATTAGTTCCGCCAAACTGCCAAAGAATGCTTTAACACACACCCACCCACACACACACACACATTTAGTCTTGGCTTTACGCAGCCATCGATAAAGCACTTTGAGGTAAAGATAATACGCTTTTGGGCTGCTCTTTCAATAAATAGCTGACGAAGTACTCGCTCGATGGCCGCAGCCCTCAGCAAGCCGCCGCGACTCGAGCAGTTCTAAAAGGATTAACGCGCTGCCAAAAGAAAACTCGCCTTCAAGCGCGCGAGCAGTTCATCTGTTTGAGTAAATGGAAAAGTTTTGTTAGTACGCCACCTTGGCTAAAACTTTATCCAACAACTAGAAGCACAAAAGCAAAAAAACACCAGCCAAAGCTACGCTGCAGCTGGTCAAAATCAGAGCAGGCAGCGAGAGACAAGGAAAACAAAAAAAACCATTTGCCATGGCTGTGGAAAAGTTTTTGTGGGCATAATCATTGTCACGGCCATTGTCGAGGAAATTTACAAATTATCATGTCCAAAAAAAATTGAACTCGGCCCAGCGACACTGTCAATTGAAGGAGCGCAGTACACTCACAGCAAAGGTAGGTAAATAAAAGAAGAAACTGCATTAAAACAGTTTGTTGCATACTTTTGGGCAGGTGGAAAAGTTGATGGATGCCCCGTGAATGGATATAAATGTATCTTCTCGATCTATTTTCAGATTATTTCAATTTTTAAATTAGTATAACACATTACATATATACAAATTGTATATATTATATTAAAAATATTTTTTTTTAATATATAAATAATGCAAATTAAGTAGCTAACAAAAAGCTGTTTATATACATCAATAAAAAAGTTGTTAAAGCGTATTTTCATTTCAATAGAAACTTTTTTACAAGCAATGAAAAAATGTAAAAAACAAAAAAAAAACAGATTTATTGCATAGACTCACGAGGCGACAGTTGGCGACCCGAAGCACCAGGTGCACAGAAATGAGTGGGAGCAGCTCAAAAATGTTACATAACAGGCAAGGCGCCATAAGCAGTGCATTGATAGAATACTGTTAGCTAAAATAAATATGTTATGTTAGGTTAACAGTGAGTTAACAGGGCTAGGCACATAAAAGCCAGAGAAGCATAACATGACTATATCGCTGTAAAGCTGAAAGCTATCAAATATGATTCCAAGAATGTGACTCATATTGATGTGCATAGAGATCTGTGTTCACCAAAATAGTTGAGCGACTGAGCAATAAATGTTGAACATTAACGCAATATTTTGGAAACAATTTGAACCTTTTGCATATTAAGAGTTACATATTTCGTATTAATATGGATTTTTTTTGTGACAAGTAAGAAAACTTAACCAAATAAAAATAGTAGTGGCTACTATAATATTTAAAATTAGTTCCAGCTTCTATATTAAGTTTTACATATATATTTTTCGGTCTAATACCACGCCTCCTGAACTACTTGCTACAGCTGTGCTTTGGCAAAGTTTTGTCTTATTTTATTTTTTTTGTGCAGTGCAGCACTACTATTTTTATGAACACAACTATACATTTCTATATAAATACTTATACAGAATGTATGGAAAAGTCAGAGTAAAAAAGTCATGTGTCATGGCAAAAACAAGTATTAGCTCAGCTATATCCAGGCAGATTCTTATTGATTATTATCTTCTAAACTGCGCCTTTAGATAAATATTCATGATGATATTTGTGTATTAAACAACTTTTGCAAATAGTCTTGAATGTATGGATTAGGAGTCAGAGCCACATATATGCAGTCAGATGGAATGAAATCACGTTTCGCTTGCATAAACAATTTGTTATACTTAGATGAGATGTAGCTGGGCATTAGCCAACTGGAAACTGGAAGCTGAAATCTGGAGTTACGCATTCATTCCGGCAGCCAGAGCAAACCAAAACAAAGTGCGCCAAGCAGCAAATCCTTCATTGTGGCTAAGCATTCTAGATATACATATTTGAATATGGCATGGTAAAGCAAAGCGTATCCTTATTCGCCTTGCAAGTCGGGCTTTTGTTTGGTATTTTCCCAAAATTCATTTCGAGGCATAGAAAGATTTTAATATGCAGCACTTTATCGCTGCATTGCAGTGGTGGGCATCAACCAGCCGTACAGCAACCCAGCAACGGCTCACACACATGGCTAATTTATGCTCAAAGTTGGCTCAATGTTTATTCTCGCAGGGATGTCGTGGGGCCCAGGGAGGCAAAAAGGATTTGCAATGCACAATAATTTACATTACGCATCCTGCGAATCATAGAAGGAAACTTTTCAACTTGAAAGAAACTTATATCAAGCGCTTCCAATTGAATACATCCATCTCTCTCTCCCACTCTCTCCCTATCTCTATCTTTCTCCTTCTCTTTTGAGACATTTGCATATGAGAGTTGAGTAACGTTTTCTTGGCTGCGATTTCATTCATTAAAACATGATTTTTGGCAAGTTCAAGTTGAATGAAATAAATGTCTGGGCAAGCATTTAGCATATATATAGAAATACATATATTAAGACTTATGTTATTTTTATCAAGTCTATTACACATTTCCCATTTTATATATGTTGAGACATGCAAATGCTTTGAGCACTTAGCGAGCCACTACTTAAAAATAAGTTTATAGAAGAAACGATTTGCTGTTGAGATGTTTATGTTATTTCTGTTTAATCTATACGAAGTCAGCTAGCAAAACAGCTGTTCCAAATACTTGGCCGAACAGAGGCCTCTGGCCAAAGACAGAGAAAGAGAGCGAGAGCGAGAGAGAACGTGGCTAACAAGCAACAGGCAACACGCTGCCTGCCGACATTCGCCCATTCAAGTGCCACGCCCACTCTACCCACTTTAAACAGAGAGCACTTCTTGTTGCCTTCGTGCAACAGTGTGCTAAGACACTGTGAAAAAGTTGTGAAAAGTGAGCTAGAGAAACGGCAAATGTCTTAGCTGTTTAAGTATTTAAAAATTAAATTTTAAATCCCAATAATAATTATAATAATAAGAATCATATGTAAATTCTACTGAAAATATTATTAAACATATACTTAAACAAATGGAAGTCAAATATTGGGGAAACTGATTCGAGTCGCAGTCAAGAATCTTTAGATCGTAGCTGAAGTTGATTGGTAGACTTTTCGATATAATAATTAATATATAATTAAAATATATTATATTATTATGTTAATATATAATAATTATTATTTAAATTAAAATTTGACGACGCTTACATGAAGCACATTATTCGCAGCATTACTGATAGATCAGCTTTGATAATTGATGTCTGTGTGCCACATCTATAATAAAAATGTAAAGCCTAAACACGTTGTTACACACTGTTCATAAATGAGGCTTGCTTGAACCACTGTGCAGTGAGATAGATTTACCATTGCCGCATGCTGCGTGCCGCAATATTTGGCGCTTGGCGCTGGGCGCTCGGCCGCTCGTTCGCTCGGCATTTGGCAATCGGGACTTTCGTAGCCGCCGTTGCTCGACGATGCTCGTCAGTCTAGAGAGTAATATCGACACGAAAAGTAAGTTGGCCTGTGGGTCCGTTGGCCCACAGCAGCTGTATCGAGTATAGAATTTATAAGTATGTGCACACACACACAGGCCTGAGTACACGAGTGTGTGTGTGTGTGTTGGAGCTCGTGGAAATTCGTGGAAAATCCATGCGTGCGAGAGTCGAGTTCCAGCGCGTGTGACATTCCAAATAAATCAATTGCATAAGAAATGCAATGCGAATGAAAAGTGCTTGAAGAAAATATGAAAAATGTGTGAAAAACGCTTCAAAAAAATTCAAATTCAAATTCTGTGCTAGTTTTTTGTGGCTGCCCAGGTCTTTGCGTGTGATATTTTTGGACATGTGTGCGCTCGTCGCTGCTTCGGTTGGCGCGTTCGTGCGGCGATGAAACCCAAAAATAAACACACGACAGTGCTGCAAACCCGATTGAAGATTGAAAGAAGTAGCTGAGACACACACACACACGCACACACTTTGACATGCATATGTATAGATATCTATCGAAATCTTTAATAGATATAATGGTCCATGCTAGTGCCGGGTATACAAATTTCTATCTAACAAAGACGGATGCTGCGCTCCATGCGTGCCATCGGACCCTGGATTACCGATGCTCGCACTGGACAGTGTCCCAGTGAAAAGCAAACAACAATATTAAAATATAAATATAAATATAATAAATATAAGAAATATATATATATATATCTTTGTGTATATATCTACAATTTGAATATCATATTCAATCTAAATGAATGACAAATACATACAAACACTTTTAGTGCCATGCTCTGAACTTTGAAAAGAATGCCTCGTTTTCTATCTATTCAGATACATATGTTCTGTCTACGTAACATTCGCATATTTGCGGCTAAGAGTCGGCAGTAAATTTTGGCAAAGCACCAAAAGAAAAGCAGAAAATCTTAAATCTAATCTGCCTATTTATACAATTAACAAACATCTGAGCCAACTGAACAAGCACGCGAAAGCGCAAAGCAAAGCAAACTGACAAATGACAAGTGACACAGAAATCGCGACCAGGAAGAGTGGGAAGAAAAACAAAAGTGAAAAGTGAGAAAAGCCGGCAAGGAAAAACAGCTGAGCAAACTTGGCAAGCAAAAAGCATATGACAAACTATGAAAAGACCCGACGAGCCCTCCACGAGAGCAAGAGAGAGCGAGGGAGACACAGGGAAATAGAGAGGGAGAGAGGGCGAGAGAGAGAGAGAGAGAGAGAGTGCTCTCTACTCAGAGTAAATCTATTTTTACAATAAAATCAAACGACAGAATTTTGCAATATTTTTTTTATATTTTTCATTTTGATGGCAAACTCTTAGTCAGGCATGAGAAAAGAATGTGTTTGTATGTATGTTTCGTAAGCAGAATTTTAGTTCGAGCCTCTTTTAATCCATTTAGGGACCTGTTTGAGTTACCCGGTCACATAGACAAATCAATCGAAATACTACACAAATAATTGCTTCAAACTCTGTTTGGACGCTGCAGTCGTTGCGTTAACCGGCAAAATGGCTGAAGCGGAAGGTGGCTCCGAACAGGATGATGTTTCATTCCTGCGTACGGTAAGTGCTCAAAGCAAATCAAATAGAATTAAGTAAATATGCTCTAGTTAAGAGTGTCCGCCTAAAAACAAACGAAATATCATCAAATAACTAATGCTTGTTATCGATATCGACTTTAATCGATCATTTTAAAACTTGTGTAGGCTGGCGAAAAGATCGATATCTATATATAGTCGAAATATATAAATATTTGGGGAATGTAATGCCTAAAACTTACAGACTAAATGGCTAAAGGCTATGCTTATTAGAGTGTGATATCGATTAAGCAATCTTCTGTGATTGGAAAAGGAATCGATATTTCAAATGAACTTCATGATAAATAAATATAAATATTTAGGATCGATAGCCTTTCCTTTAACCCGTCACATACATTAGCACAAAACCATGTTACCCCATTCAGTCATATTGAATGGGTATGAAAAGAAATCACATTGTATGAACAGTATTGAAAAACATCTCAAATCAATTACGTTCAGTCAATAAAATATTAGCGAGGATTTCACACAATTGATGTCATAAAGCACACACACACACAGCTAGAACTCCATAAAGGATGTAGGATATTTATGGGCGCCGACTTTACAGACAGACAGCGCCAACTTTCTTTATGGCTGCCAATAAATACGAAAAGTCAGGTCCACACTTTTCAATCACAGCAAATTTTTAAGCTCTCGCCAGATTTGTTCGCTTCACTTTACATAAACGAGAGATAAGCACAACAAAAGAGATAGATAGACATATACACACACAGTCACATGCATATACATCTATATATATAGATAGATATATCAACGACTACACCTGACGCCGAAAATGACAGTCATTATGTGTAAATGTGTATGGAGCTACGTCTGTTATAAATAAATAGCATCAGTGACCAGCGACTTGGCCACTCGCTCAGTCGTCCTTTGGTAATCCTTGGCGCTCGCCTGCCTGCCCCTTGGGGCTAGAAGGTCAGCGCCGAGCACCTGGCTGCAATAAATAAACACATTCTGCTATGCTCGGTATCCGTATCTATTTCCTACTTGCTGCTTCTGCCCGCTGGCTCACTCGATGCTCAAATTCAATAAATATGCTTCGCATATATAGGCTGGAAATACTGTAAGTGTTTTTTCGCTTTGACCATTTTGATACATTCGAGAGGTTGGGGGACTCGATTTGCTGTTTTCCCCGGACAGCTACGCCGGGGGAGCAATTTTCCTTATGCTCTCTTTTTTAGTTGTCTGCCGTTAAATTAGACTTAACGATAATTCTTTCGAATTTATAGCAAAGCCTGTATTTACAGTCCTCTCTGACCCAAATAGGTCACAATGCGAGTCTAATAGAATATTCTAGATGAACTTATTCTATAAAGATCTCAAGTTTAGCTAACTTTGCGCTTAGCAACTAAAAATTACTAGGCGAATTGTGTTAAATTGTTCGTTCTACTTTTATTTTGATACAAATTAAATAGAGTCTTGTATTGATTTAATTTTATAAAGAAACTAAGTTGCAAGTTCTATAGACAGCTAAAGTATAGTCCCAAGAATCTCCTATTCAATGACATCTAGGTAACTGCTCTATTTCCATAACTAAACTGCAAAGAGGCAAGCTCAAATCCCAATATCTAGGAATTTAGTGTTGACTTAGGTGAAGTTCATTTTTGTCTTAAAAGTGTAAAGAAAATGTGCTTTGATTTAATTTAAGGTATTATTCGAAGACTAATTGAAAAACAACTTTAAATAAAATATAGCCTGATGCTTGGTAACTTAATCCTAGCCAGTTTTGTGCAGTTAGTTGAAATCCTAATACAATATAGGCAAACCATACACTAAAAAGTCTAAGGTCTCATTGAGCTTAACATATTCTACATAGTAATATAACAATATATTACTCTACAATCAAGCATGAATTAGTTGTGAATTACAATGAAAAACAGTAACAAAAGGAAGCCAAATATGCAGCTTCAGTGTTGTGGCCAGAGTGAACTATTGCAATGGGACGATTCGTTTTCATTTAAATTATGTAAATTGTTCGATTCGAAATCCATTACCGTTCATTTAACTTGGACACCAGACACACACTCACACACACTCACACACACTTGCACACATAGTAGACAACACTTCTGGTTACACATCCCACTTAGCTGACTTTGGTCGGGGTGTTGAGGTCTGGCTCGTGTGGCTGCAGCTCTGTTGCCTCAAATTTAGGAACCTCCACGTAATCGTTCCATTTTGCATCGATTCATCGGCCCCGTTTTGCGTGTGGCATAGCTTCTGGTTGAATGGACGCTTGGGCAAACCAATTGGAATTTGCTATTTTGCATGACATGTTGATGCCTGCTGACTGGGTACAATCAATAAACACTGTGATTAATAAACTTGATCTCTCAATTTACAGGAAGATATGGTCACGCTCTCCTGCACAGCAACTGGCGAACGTGTCTGCCTGGCCGCTGAGGGATTCGGTAATCGGCATTGCTTCCTCGAAAACATTGCCGATAAAAATGTGCCGCCCGATTTGTCGCAATGCGTGTTCGTCATCGAACAAGCGCTATCGGTGCGTGCGCTCCAGGAACTGGTGACAGCAGCTGGCTCAGAGACCGTAAGTCCCCAATCAATTGATAGTCAATAACAATTGAAAACGTCACTTATCAGCATGTGTTAAAACCGTCTTCAAGTCAAATCAAAAACAACAAATATCTATCGACTCTACCCATGCTGTACTTTAAGTCGTTTGCTACTTCTCGTCTCTTCCTCTATCCGATTCCTAGTCCATATCTTACTTTGGAACATTATATGATCACATTTCCTTCTGTGACAGACATTGACTACATACATATATTCCCTACCTTCTGCATGTTGATCTCACTACAATTTCCAATTCTGTTTTCACACAAATTGTAACCTATAAATTTCTCGTTATTTTTCAAAATTTTTCTAAATACCCAACAGGATAGTCAAGTTGTAAGTATTACAGAACGTTCTTTTGACTTTAAACTCGCGCTTCTTTCTCTCTACTTTCTTTATCTATAACTATAACTTACTGTATCTATTCTATCTCTATCTCACTCTGCCGGTCTAATGTAGTAGTTGTTCTTATTCTTATTATTATTCTAATTACCATTATTATTATTATTATTATTATTATTATTTATTGCTATTATTGCTACTTTGCTTCTCTGTCTCGTCCAGCGAGCTTCAGCTAGTTTAAATCTATGTGTAACTCGCCCTCTCTCTCTCTCTCTCTCTATTTATCTCTTTATCTGTCTGTCTCTTTGTATATGTTTTCTACGATTTGTGAAAAATCAGACCGTGGAATCGATTGCTCTTTGCCGCATTTAACAAACCCATTGACATGCTCATTAAGAGTGAATTGCTAGCATCGCATTCTCAATTAACTTCAAGTGCAAACTCTCAACTACACAAATGCTAATTATCAACACTTTGCAACGGTTCACTCAGAGAAAGTCTTAGCGCATTGCAACTAGAAATGCATATACAATTAATCAATCAGAAATTTCTCTAAGTGAGCCAAATTTGTAATTCTTGAAGTTGGTAGCGTAGAGAACCAAGCATATACCATTTCTTAATCCGATTAAGAATCATCTCTCGCTTGCACTCACTAATTACTATTAAAATCTACAGGGCAAGGGCACAGGATCTGGCCATAGAACTCTGCTCTATGGCAATGCCATACTCCTGAGGCATCATAACAGCGACATGGTGAGCTAAGCACTGAGTCGTCAGACAATAGATAATCCCAAATGAATTTAATTATATTGCATCCCACGAAACAGTATCTGGCCTGTTTGTCAACATCGTCGTCGAATGATAAGCTCTCCTTCGATGTGGGCCTGCAGGAGCATAGCCAGGGGGAGGCCTGTTGGTGGACCGTTCATCCGGCGAGCAAACAGCGTTCGGAGGGTGAAAAGGTGCGTGTGGGCGATGATTTGATTTTGGTCTCCGTTGCCACCGAACGGTATCTGCACACAACCAAGGAGAACGAACAGTCCATTGTGAACGCCAGCTTCCATGTGACCCACTGGTCCGTACAGCCCTACGGCACCGGCATCTCACGCATGAAATATGTTGGCTATGTGTTCGGTGGCGATGTCTTGCGTTTCTTTCATGGCGGCGACGAGTGTCTGACCATACCCAGCACCTGGGGCCGTGAGGCAGGTCAAAAGTAAGCCTCAACTTAAGTCTCCATTGATTTAACTACACTAATAATGCGAATCCTCAACAGCATTGTCATATACGAAGGAGGCGTGGTCATGGCTCAGGCACGTTCTCTGTGGCGCTTGGAACTGGCACGGACCAAATGGACGGGCGGCTTCATAAACTGGTATCATCCCATGCGTATACGTCATATAACGACGGGACGCTATCTGGGCGTCAACGAGAGCAACGAGCTAATCCTCGTTAAAAAGGAGGAAGCATCGATTGCAACGACGACTTTCTGCCTGAGGCAAGAAAAAGACGACGAAAAGAAAGTACTCGAGGACAAAGACTTAGAAATAATCGGTTCGCCGATCATCAAATACGGTGACACCACCGTCATTGTGCAGCACTGCGAGTCTAGCCTGTGGCTCAGCTACAAGAGCTACGAAACGAAAAAGAAGGGCGTCGGCAAGGTGGAAGAGAAGCAAGCGATACTCCACGAGGAGGGTAAAATGGACGATTGCCTCGACTTTTCGCGCTCACAGGAAGAGGAATCAAAGACGGCACGCGTCATTCGAAAGTGTAGCAGCCTCTTCACACAGTTTATAACGTAAGACAAACCTGACAAAATAATTCCCAAATCTTGTAAAAAAAAATCCCAAACTCTTCCACTTATAGCGCCTTAGAAACCTTACAATCCAATCGTCGACATTCAATATTTTTCCAAAAAGTTAATCTCAACGAAATGGTCATGTGCCTGGAAGATTTAATCAATTACTTCTCGCAGCCAGAAGATGATATGGGTAAGCAAAACTGAATAGCTCAATGGAAAGTATATAAGCTCTCTGTCTTTTATCATAGAACACGAGGAGAAGCAAAACCGTTTTCGTGCCTTGCGCAATCGTCAGGATCTGTTCCAGGAGGAAGGCGTGCTCAATCTCATATTGGAGGCCATTGATAAGATTAATATAATTACCTCTCAAGGCTTTTTGGCCAGCTTCCTGGCCGGCGACGAGACCGGCCAGAGTTGGGATCTAATCTCCACTTATCTGTACCAGCTGCTGGCCGCCATCATCAAGGGCAATCACACCAATTGCGCCCAGTTTGCGAACAGCAATCGCCTGAATTGGCTTTTCTCTCGCCTGGGCTCGCAGGCATCAAGCGAAGGATCTGGCATGTTGGATGTGCTTCATTGTGTGTTAATTGACTCTCCCGAGGCGCTGAACATGATGAGGGACGAGCATATTAAAGTAATTATATCGCTGCTGGAGAAACACGGCCGAGACCCCAAAGTTCTCGACGTCCTCTGCTCTCTGTGTGTGGGCAATGGCGTTGCGGTGCGCTCCTCGCAAAATAACATTTGTGATTTCCTGCTGCCTGGCAAGAACCTGCTGCTGCAGACACTGCTTGTGGATCATGTGGCCAGCATACGTCCCAACATCTTTGTTGGACGCGTCGATGGCTCATCCATGTACCAAAAGTGGTACTTTGAGGTGACCATGGATCACATCGAGCAAACCACCCACATAATGCCACATCTACGCATTGGCTGGGCCAACACCTCCGGCTATGTACCCTATCCGGGCGGTGGCAAGAAGTGGGGCGGCAATGGCGTTGGCGATGACCTCTATTCGTTTGGCTTCGATGGCGCTCACTTGTGGACGGGAGGACGCAAGACACTTGTGGTGGACACACTGCCCGAAGAGCCATACATTCGCAAGGGCGATGTCATTGGCGTTGCCATCGATCTGTCCGTGCCGGTCATAACGTTCACATTTAATGGCGGCAAGGTACGCGGCTGCTTCAGAGACTTTAATCTGGATGGGATGTTCTTCCCAGTGATGAGTTGCTCGTCGAAGCTCAGTTGTCGCTTTTTGTTTGGCGGCGACCACGGCCGCTTGAAGTACGCCCCACCCATGGGCTTCTCGGCGCTCGTACAGTGCCTCATGCCGCATCAGATCTTAAGCTTGGATCCCTGCTTTTACTTTGGTAATCTGAGCAAAAATGTATTGGCCGGTCCCTGGCTCATCGAGGACGATACACCATTTGTGCCCAAGCCCGTGGATACGACAGGCGTATCGCTGCCCAGCTCTGTGGATCAGATTAAGGAGAAGCTGGCAGAAAATATACACGAAATGTGGGCTTTGAATAAGATCGACGCTGGCTGGACCTGGGGAGAGCAACGAGAGGATTATCATCGCATACATCCCTGCCTCACGCAGTTCGAGAAACTGCCAGCTGCCGAGAAGCGGTACGACAATCAACTAGCGGTCCAAACACTAAAGTAAGCAGCTGCCACATATCAAAAGATGTTCCAAATCTAAATATGTTCTTTCCATATACAGAACTATCATTTCATTGGGTTACTACATAACCATGGACAAGCCACCAGCACGCATACGACCTGTTCGACTGCCCAATGAGATATTTATGCAGGCCAATGGCTACAAGCCGGCGCCGCTCGACCTGAGCGCTGTCACCCTAACGCCAAAGCTGGAAGAGCTCGTGGATCAGCTGGCCGAGAACACGCACAATTTGTGGGCACGCGAGCGTATTCAGCAGGGCTGGACCTACGGCCTAAACGAGGACTCCGAAAATCATCGCAGCCCTCATCTGGTGCCCTATGCCAAGGTCGATGAGGCAATCAAGAAAGCGAATCGCGACACTGCCTCCGAGACAGTGCGCACTCTGTTGGTCTATGGCTATGTCCTGGATCCGCCCACTGGCGAGGGCACCGAAGCATTGCTAGCCGAGGCACAACGTCTGAAGTTCGCAGCCTTTCGAACGTATCGAGTGGAACGCAACTATGCCGTCACCTCTGGCAAATGGTATTTCGAGTTTGAGGTGCTAACAGCGGGTCCCATGCGCGTTGGCTGGGCCCGCGCCGATTGCTATCCGGGCGCCATGTTGGGCAGCGAAGACACCAGCTGGGCATTTGATGGACACAATGTGAGTATGCAGGGTTCTAGGTTTCCATATTGTAAACTATGTCCACCAGTGATTGGTATATGACGACGAGCAAAGGTTCCATTGTGGGTTAATGTGATGTGACGTCTAGTTCAAAACGTTTGGTTAGACTTTAATGCAAGTTCAAATTCAAAACCCTCCAAAAAAATGATTATAGGTAACGAAAATGCATGCCGGAACGATCGAGCACTTCGGTGTTCGCTATGAGGCTGGCGACGTCATTGGTTGTTTCATCGACGTCAAGGAGCAAACCATCAGTAAGGATCCTAGCTGCACTGGCAACGTTAGCAACGTTGTTTAACTTATTGAAATTTCGTTATGATCGAACGCATTTTGTTTAACTCTATTCTATTCTACTCAACTCAATTTTTTCTTTACTATTTTCACATAATTATTTGTTTTCTAATCAATACTTTTTTGTTATATATATAAATATAATTTAGCGATACTCTCATATCTGATCATTAACAAAAATACCAAACAAACAATACGTTTAATTGGGGCTTTGATAGATCATGCGATCAATTGACACATTTTAAACATCAAATTACAACTTTTTAGGAAGAGAAAGTCTACGGTGGCAACAGTGAATCGTTCGGTAAACAATGTGGACCCGGGGATATAGTCGGCGTCTTTTTAGATCTAGCCGATCATACAATTAGTAAGAATTGCTTCTGAATGCTCGTTTGTTGTAATGTAAAACAAAACAAAAACAATTCCCCCAATACAAGATTTGTACATCCGTGCTTTTGATATCTACTAAATGTCAAGGTCCCTGCTATACGAAAGCTAAGTACATATACAATATGTCACACAAAACCACATCAGCTAAGATCCAACGTCAACCCGACTGCAACTCAACCATAAACAATGAAAATATATAATAATTATATAGACGACATTTCGAACAGGGCATCATATATCGAACTACATACCAATCAGATAATGTTATATACAATAAAATTGAAATTTGCAAACTTAGAAATATTTTCTAGTACATTTTCGATCACTTTAAATTTTGTTTTTTTTTGAAGTCCAACAAATGTCCCATGCCCTAACACCTGATTTTTATTACTTTGAACACAAAAGCCTAACTATTGCATAATATAACGAAGGACTACCTGAGCAAAAGGTGACACATCAGCTCATCTGAAAAAAAGCTTTTTACTTTGTTCGATTTGCCTGTGAATTTACACCCTTAAATTTTGACTAATCAACGATTGAAGGCGAAATTGAATTCGTTGCGATGGCAATTCAATTTCGATTTCAATCCGTCTACTAATATATATATATATATATATAGTATACAAGAATTTGGCATGACATCTAACAGCTGAATCTGCTTTATCTTTTTTGCCAACTAAACTAAACCGATAAACTGCAAACAGAGAATTGCAAGCAATCTAATAGCACGCATTTTGAATAGGATTTTTTTGTTTTTTTTTCTAGTGCGATGCGACTTTTTGATGAATTTTGATTTCTATTTAGAAAGTCAAGGCATTACGGATCGATTACTAGTACGCACACATATTATGATCCTGCGCAGATTTCAGCCTGACTAGAATTCTTAATTTATTTAAAAGCAGCTTCGTTTAGATCCATTAATATATATAACAAGTCGAAGCCAAGTTCCTCTTATACGAGGCTAATCAAATGTTACTATTTGCACAGGCTTCTCATTGAATGGAGAGCTACTTATGGATGCCTTGGGTGGCGAGACAACTTTTGCCGATGTAACCGCTGAGGGCGTGGGCTTTGTGCCCGCCTGCACCTTGGGCGTGGGCCAGAAGGCGCGTTTGATTTATGGTCAAGACGTGGACTCCCTAAAGTTCTTTACCACATGTGGTCTGCAAGAGGGCTACGAGCCATTCTGTGTGTAAGTGTATAGAGAAATAAATATGTTTTTCATGGAACTATAATTTCTAACGAGTTCCATTTCACAGCAATATGCGACGCCCTGTCACGCACTGGTATACCAAGGATCAGCCCATTTTTGAAAATACCGAGGAAATGCCCGATTGTCGCATCGATGTGACGCGCATACCTGGTGGAGCTGACACTCCGCCGCATTTGAAGATCTCGCATAACACGTTCGAGACCATGGAGAAGGCGAATTGGGAATTCCTGCGTCTCTCCCTGCCTGTCACCTGCATGAGCGACTTCATCAGTGAGCAGGAAAAGGCGAGACGCTGGGAGGAGATCAAATTACGCCAATATCGCTTAATGCGCGAAGCACAAGAGGCAGCTATCCAAATGCAAACCCAAACCGCAGCACATATGGATCACATGCTCAAGGGCGGCTTCAATATGAACGATATTAAGGGCTTGACACGCAATTTCGATGATCACACCGAGGCAGAAGCCGAGCACATGATGCGTAATCCCCCACGGCCACCACGCAAAGGTTCCCTGACCCGCAATATAACGTTTGAAACCGATATGACGGCTGCATTGGATGAGATGCAGCGTTCGTCTTCCGTATTGGATATGAATGGCCTGGGCGATGACCTAGATGACAAAAAGAAACGTGGCCGCAGCCCGTTCAAGTTCTTCTCGAAGAAATCACGTGATCAGAGTCGTGAGAAAAATGGTTCTAGAACTGCGGACACCTCGCTGGAGCGCAGAAATACCGTAGCACATGGCAGAAACGTGGTTAACCAGCAGATGACAACACGAACACCAACTTTGCGACTAAACAATGTGAGTAGAACACAAAATCTATTTGTAGATTTTTATGTTTAGCTATGTTTACTTCCACTTCAGGCCGAAATACCGCCCAGTCCAGTGCCTCAGGGACCTAAACAATTGAGCGCTACGAATTTGGGCCAGCCCCCTGTCGAATCATCTGGCAACGAGATGTTCGATGCCGAGTGCCTTAAGTTGATCAACGAGTATTTCTATGGTGTGCGCATATTCCCCGGTCAGGATCCCACCCACGTGTACGTGGGCTGGGTAACGACTCAGTACCATTTGCATAGTCGCGAATTCAATAAGAACAAAGTGCGACGCGGCTCGGTCTACATTGAGGATTATTATGAAGTGCCCATTGAACGCATAGATCGTCAGAGCTGCTACGTGGTACGCGCCGACGAGCTATTCAACGAGGTAACACAAGATGCCTCTGGCAAAGGTGCATCGCAGGGTATGTTCGTCGGTTGCTTCGTGGATACAGCTACGGGCATAATACGCTTCACGTGCGAGGGCAAGGAGACATCGCATCGCTGGATGATGGAACCGGATACCAAACTATTTCCAGCAATTTTCGTCGAAGCCACCAGCAAAGAGATCCTACAAATTGAATTGGGCCGCACACCCACTACGCTGCCATTGTCAGCAGCCGTGCTGCCCACCAGCGACAAGCACATAAACCCGCAGTCACCGCCCCGTTTGAAGGTGCAGTGCCTGCGACCGCACCAATGGGCACGAGTGCCCAACACCTCACTGCAGGTGCATGCGCTGAAGCTGTCCGATATACGTGGCTGGTCAATGCTCTGCGAAGATCCAGTCTCAATGCTGGCCCTACACATACCCGAAGAAGATCGCTGCATCGATATATTGGAGCTAATTGAAATGGATAAACTACTCTCCTTCCATGCCCACACGCTTACACTCTATGCTGCGCTGTGCTATCAATCCAATTATCGTGCCGCGCATGCGCTCTGCCAGCATGTCGATCAGAAGCAACTGCTCTATGCCATCCGGTCCGAGTATATGAGTGGACCATTGCGTCAGGGATTCTATGATCTGCTGATAGCGCTGCATCTGGAATCGCATGCCACCACAATGGAGGTATGCAAAAATGAATACATTACACCGTTGGGCGCGGAACTGAAGGAGCTCTACGCCGAGGATGAGATGCGCCACTCACTGCGTTCGCTTGTCACGGAGTCTGTGCGCCCGCAGTTGCGTATGACGGAAATCACGTAAGTGCAGACGGTCTAAGATAAGTTCCTTGGGTAAACACACTGTTGTAGTATATCACATTTACATACATGTCCATTTCAACGACGAGCTTTAAGTACGACTGGTTCGCTCGTTCGTTGATTTGATTTTGTCATAATGCACCTGTGATTACCTCATAACTCATTTTATTTCCAATACTTTCAATCCAAAAAAAAAAAAAAACAAAAACTATAAAACACCTGCACTGATCCAACACTCTATGCACCACCAATCGAACCGCAACCGATTACCGATTACCGATCACAACAACAACAACAACAACTCCACCCGTTCAGTCCCCCTGTGATTGCAACATCTAGTATGCCAAGTGTTTCCAGCGAACCGATACCCAACATCGATCAGTTGTATTCCCCGAAGTTCCCATTAGAAGTAGTCAGAGAATTTGTAATGGAAGCACTTAAAGATGCTGTGGAAATAAATCAAGTGCATAACCGTGATCCCATCGGTTGGACCAACGAGAATCTATTCTTGTAAGTATATACATCAGTTTATATATATTAGTTATACTTGATCAAACACTTTATATTTTGTGTAGGCCACTCATTAAGCTAACGGATCGCCTACTGTTAGTTGGCGTCCTTACTGATGAGGACGTTCAAAAGCTATTAGTAATGGTGGATCCAGAGACTTGGGATGCCACTTTCGCGAGAGGTGGGAGAGAAAAGAAAACAAAAAAAGAAGAAATAATCCATCCAATATATATTATATCTATCTAATTCGTTTATTTAACTGTTTGCAGAGGGCAAAGATGAACATCGCAAGGGTTTGCTCACCATGAAAATGGCCGAGGGAGCCAAGTTGCAAATGTGCTATCTATTGCATCATCTGTACGACACACAGCTACGCCATCGGGTGGAGAGCATAATAGCGTTCTCCCACGATTTTGTGGGCGATCTGCAAACCGATCAGTTGCGCCGTTATATTGAGATTAAGCAATCCGATTTGCCAAGTGCTGTTGCGGCCAAAAAGACTAAGGAATTCCGTTGTCCACCCAGAGAACAAATGAATCAGATTCTTTGCTTTAAGAATCTAGAGTCTGACGATCAGGATAATTGCACCTGTGGTCTTGAGTTGCGCAGTCGCTTAAGCGAATTCCACGACTGTCTAATGCAAAAGGTATCGCTGAATGCGCTGCAGGAGCCGGATGGTACTGAGACTAATGCAATCGAAGAGATCAAAACGGGACCCATAACAAAAATCTACAATTTCATCAATACCGTCAAGGAACTAGAGGAGGGACCCAAAGAAGTGGAGGAGCCTGAGAAAAAGACACCTGAAGAGGTTTTCCGCAAGGTCCTAATCAAAACCATCGTCAGCTGGGCTGAAGAATCACAAATCGAGAATCCAAAATTAGTTCGCGAAATGTTTAGCTTACTGGTACGGCAATACGATACGGTCGGTGAGCTGGTACGTGCTCTTGAAAAGACATATGTGATCAACAACCGTGCACGGGATGATGTAGCTGAGATGTGGGTTGGCTTAAGCCAAATACGTGCATTGCTGCCCGTCCAAATGAGCCAGGAAGAGGAGGAGCTGATGCGTAAGCGTCTGTGGAAACTGGTAAACAACGCCACATTCTTCCAGCATCCAGATTTGATACGCATCTTACGTGTGCACGAAAACGTAATGGCCGTCATGATGAATACTCTAGGCCGTCGTGCTCAGGCACAAAGCGATGCCCCCGCACAAACCGAGGGTGCCGAGGGTGTGCCCTCAAAGGAGAAAGACACCTCGCACGAAATGGTTGTGGCTTGTTGTCGCTTTCTATGTTACTTTTGCCGTACCGGACGCCAGAATCAGAAGGCCATGTTCGATCATTTTGACTTTTTACTGGACAATGCGAACATATTGTTAGCCAGACCCAGTCTGCGTGGTTCCACCCCATTGGATGTGGCATATTCGAGTTTAATGGAGAACACAGAATTAGCTCTGGCACTTAGGGAACATTATTTGGAGAAGATTGCAGTGTACCTGTCCAGATGTGGATTGCAAAGCAATTCAGAGCTTGTTGAAAAGGGTTACCCCGATTTGGGCTGGGACCCGGTCGAGGGTGAGCGATATCTGGACTTTTTGCGCTATTGCGTTTGGGTCAATGGCGAGAGTGTCGAGGAGAATGCCAACCTTGTCATTCGTCTTCTTATCCGTCGTCCAGAATGTTTGGGACCGGCTCTAAGAGGAGAAGGGGAAGGTCTCTTCCGTGCAATCGTCGAGGCCAATCGTATGTCGGAGCGCATATCGGATCGTTGTAAAATGCAAGACGAAGCCGAAGGCACCATAGCTGGACTCAATTTTACACATCCCCTTCCGGAAGGCGAAGAAGACGAAGACTATATTGATACAGGTGCTGCCATATTGAATTTCTATTGTACACTTGTTGACCTGCTGGGAAGATGCGCCCCGGACGTGTCTGTTATCGAGCAAGGCAAGAACGAATCACTGAGAGCTAGAGCTATTTTGAGATCTCTTGTGCCACTGGAAGACCTTCAAGGTGTGCTTAGCCTAAAGTTTACGCTCACACAAACTGCTCCTGGCGAGGAGAAACCGAAATCGGATATGCCATCTGGCCTCTTACCCAATAACAAACAGAGTATTGTCCTATTTTTGGAACGTGTCTATGGTATAGAGACACAAGATCTCTTCTATCGGCTGCTAGAAGACGCTTTTCTGCCAGATCTGCGTACAGCCACAATTTTAGATAAGAGCGATGGCTCGGAGAGCGATATGGCCTTAGCCATGAATCGCTACATCGGCAACTCTATTTTGCCACTGCTCATCAAGCACTCAAAGTTCTATAACGAGGCTGAGAACTATGCAAGTCTCTTGGATGCCACACTGCACACGGTCTACAGGTTATCCAAGAACCGTATGCTAACCAAGGGGCAGCGAGAGGCAGTATCCGATTTTCTAGTGGCGTTAACATCACAAATGCAACCTGCCATGCTCTTAAAGCTATTGCGCAAGTTGACTGTTGATGTCTCCAAACTATCCGAATACACGACAGTCGCACTCAGGGTAAGTTTGATAATTCCCACTCAAGTTACTAGTATCATTAACTGACAAACTCTCTCGTATTCGTAGCTACTCACACTACACTTCGATCGCTGCGCTAAGTACTATGGCTCGACTCAAGGCCAGGGCTCGTATGGAGCTTCGTCAGATGAGGAGAAGCGTCTAACGATGCTTCTGTTCTCAAATATTTTTGACTCGCTGAGCAACATGGACTATGACCCGGAACTGTTCGGTAAAGCTTTGCCCTGTCTAATTGCTATTGGCTGTGCCTTGCCACCAGATTATAGTTTATCAAAGAACACCGACGAGGACTATTATGGCAGACAAATGGGTGCACCGGATCAACCACAATATGTGCCAAATCCAATCGATACGAACAATGTACATTTGGACAATGATTTAAATTCGTTGGTTCAAAAGTTCAGCGAACACTATCACGATGCTTGGGCCAGTCGCCGCTTGGAAGGTAGCTGGACATATGGCGAAATTCGATCAGATAACGATCGCAAGCACCCACGTCTAAAGCCCTACAATATGCTCAGTGAATATGTACGTAGTATAGATATCAATATCAATCAACTCGACTACTTTTAACGTTCTAATGGGCATACTCATCGCTAATCGACATCATATATCTATCTACAGATATCTATATATCTCTATAAATCTAATACTTATTTACATACTTTCACAGGAGCGTGAACGCTACCGGGATCCGGTGCGTGAATGCCTCAAAGGTCTCCTGGCCATTGGCTGGACCGTTGAGCACTCTGAAATCGATTTGCCACTCAATCATCGTGGCTCGACGCGTCGTCAATCGAAGCCCCAAATTGTATGTATTACTACATGAATCGACTAACACATATATTTCCCAAAAATTTATTTCATTAACGCCTTTCCAAAAATTTCTTATGCTTACAATTACGGAATACCCCTAACGCACAATTGGTCACATCTACATCTTCGCTTTTACTTGAAAACACTTTGGTGCTTACACAAATAGCATGAATTTCAGAATGAGGGCAGTCCCTTCAACTATAATCCACATCCTGTGGACATGAGCAACCTGACGCTGAGCAGAGAAATGCAGAACATGGCCGAGCGTCTGGCCGAAAACTCTCATGATATATGGGCGAAGAAGAAGAACGAAGAGTTGAATGGATGCGGTGGTGTTATACATCCACAGTTGGTGCCCTATGACTTGCTTACGGATAAGGAGAAGAAAAAGGACCGCGAGCGTTCACAGGAGTTCCTCAAATACATGCAGTACCAGGGATACAAATTGCATAAGTAAGAAAGATCAGCCTAGGATCCTTTTTTTTTGTTATAATATAAATAATAATAATAATAATATAATATAATAAGCTAATTTATTAACAATAGTATTACGTAACCGGATGGCTTGGGCTCCTATGAGATCAATCCATATATTTACCTACTTGAGTCATCCCGTAGTCTTAGTGCTAGAGCATTATCGTGGTTATGTAGTTTATTCATGTATCTATTTTCATATAGTTGTATTTCTTCTTTAACAAGGGGCAGTTTAACATCTTTGAGGATATTATAATGTCACATACCATATAATATATACATATAAAATTCTGTTTACTTGTAGGCCCTCAAAGGGTGGCGCTGTTGAGGAAGGAGGTGCCACACAAGCTGCCGTTGAGCTGCGCTTCTCCTATTCACTACTAGAGAAGCTTATCCAATATCTGGACCGCGCCACCATCAACATGAAGCTATTGAAGCCATCCACCACGTTCAGTCGACGAACATCATTCAAGACGGCATCGCGTGACATCAAGTTCTTCTCAAAGGTAGTCTTGCCTTTAATGGAGAAGTACTTCTCGACGCATCGCAATTATTTTATTGCCATTGCCACGGCTACGAACAACATAGGTGCCGCTTCGCTAAAGGAGAAGGAAATGGTTGCATCCATATTCTGTAAGTTGGCAGCTCTTTTGCGCAATCGTCTCAGCGCCTTTGGACCTGATGTGCGCATCACTGTGCGCTGCCTACAAGTTCTTGTCAAGGGCATTGATGCCAAGACTTTGACCAAAAACTGTCCCGAATTCATACGCACATCGATGCTGACGTTCTTCAATCAAACTTCCGATGATCTCGGCAATACGATAATGAATCTACAGGATGGCAAGTACAGCCATTTGCGTGGCACGCATCTTAAGACCTCCACATCATTGGGCTATGTAAATCAGGTGGTGCTGCCGGTGCTGACTGCGATGTTTGACCACCTGGCTGCCTGTGATTATGGCAGTGATTTGCTACTCGACGAGATTCAAGTGGCGTCTTATAAGATATTAGCTGCCTTGTATCACTTGGGCACCGATGCGACATTGACACACGATCGCAAATACCTGAAAACGGAAATTGAGAGACACCGACCTGCGTTGGGCTCTTGCTTGGGCGCCTACAGCTCGTGCTTTCCAGTTGCCTATCTGGAGCCGCATCTCAATAAGCACAATCAGTACTCGTTGCTAAATCGCATTGCAGACCATTCGCTAGAGGCACAGGACATTATGGTCAAAATGGAAAGCTGTATGCCCAATTTGGAAGCGATCCTCACTGAAGTGGATCAGTTCGTTGAGTCAGATAAGACTTATACCGATGCACCGCACATCATTGACGTTATATTGCCACTGCTATGCGCCTATTTGCCCTTCTGGTGGTCCCAGGGTCCGGATAACGTGAGTCCGACCAGCGGCAATCATGTGACCATGGTCACAGCCGATCACATGAATTCGCTACTACGCAATGTGCTCAAGATGATCAAGAAAAATATCGGCAATGATAATGCACCCTGGATGACACGCATTGCGGCCTACACTCAGCAGATCATCATCAATACGTCGGAGGAGCTGCTCAAGGATCCATTCCTGCCATTGGCCGAGCGGGTCAAGAAACGTACTGAGAATATGCTACACAAGGAGGACAGCATGCGAGGATTTATAAAATCGGCAACAGACGATACTTCGCAAGTGGAGACGCAGCTTCAAGAGGATTGGAATTTGCTTGTGCGAGATATATACTCGTTTTATCCTCTACTCATCAAATATGTGGATCTGCAGCGCAATCATTGGCTAAAGGATAATATTCCAGAGGCCGAAGAGCTCTACAATCATGTTGCAGAGATCTTCAATATCTGGTCGAAGAGTCAATACTTCTTGAAGGAGGAACAAAACTTTATATCAGCCAATGAAATTGATAATATGGCTCTGATAATGCCAACGGCTACGCGACGATCGGCCATATCAGAGGGCGTGCCGGCAGTGGGTGGCAAGGTGAAGAAGAAGAAGAAGAACAGGGACAAGAAACGTGACAAGGACAAGGAAGTGCAGGCCAGCTTAATGGTTGCCTGTCTGAAGCGTCTACTGCCCGTTGGTCTAAATCTATTCGCGGGTCGCGAACAGGAGCTGGTGCAGCATTGCAAGGATAGATACTTGAAGAAAATGAACGAATACGATGTCATAGAATTTGCACGCAATCAGTTGACATTGCCCGACAAACTAGATCCATCGGATGAGATGTCGTGGCAGCATTATCTCTACTCGAAGCTGGGCAAAACTGAAGAGCCAGTCGATGAGCAGGCTTTGGAGAAGGTGAATGCCAATTCGAATGAGAAGGGTAAAGACAAGACGACAGAGACCGTTGATCGAATTGTGGCTATGGCTAAGGTTCTATTTGGCCTGCATATGGTAAGTAGATGGGGAGATGGGATTGACATTCTATGCCCACATATGGTATTGCAAATACATATACTCTTATACAAGTATCTCTCCTTTCTCTTGTATTTTATATATATTTATTTCTCAATACCAACTGATATTACTTACTTATATATATACTTTTATACTTATATATACTTTTTCAACTTTGCACTTTCAACTTTTCTTTTCGATACGATTTGCCCCAAATAAATATATAACTTATCTTTCAACGACACATAATATTCAACTGCTGACCAAATCGTGAACGAAACAATTACAGATCGACCATCCACAACAGCAGAGCAAAAATGTCTACAGGAGCGTTGTGTCAATACAAAGGAAGCGTGCCGTTATCGCATGTTTCCGTCAGACATCGCTACATTCTCTACCCAGGTTATTACCGATATATTAACTGCATTACTAATACACATGCGTACGCACATTTATGCAACGGCTGAAGCTGAAGAATTCAAGTGTGTGTGTATGTATGTAAAGTAACGGTACTTTATGAAGATCAACATTTAGTGATTTAGAAACGGGCTGTATTTATTTACATGCACATAGCTTCAGCTAATACTTGGGACCAAGCGTTAGGCCTTTAAACAGATTTGAATTACTATTATTATTTATAATTTACATCACATTGCGCACTTTGGTTTTTTTTTTGTCTTTTTGTATTTCGTTCACCAACTGATTTCAACTAACTAAAAATATACTAATACGCAATACCACTTAGTGTGACTGTAGTGCTGTAACTCATTTTTGTCTTTTAATATGTATGTATGTATTTTTATGCTCTTGCTTGCAATTGTACGCTCCATATAGGCAACCGGCGCTAAGAACAAAACAAAACGTTGGAGTTCCAAAATATCGGTCGCTCGACGCCAGGCAGTTATTTCAAGCTTACGCGCCAAGCATCTATATCGTATGAGCAGGTGGTAGCCACAAAAAAATACTAATATCCTATACGAACATAAATCTTATACATCAACTTATACACTTATACATATGAATATAAGAATGCAATTTCTTGCAGTTATTTATTTTCTTTAGTATTTAAGCCCTTGCAGATCGCTGTATTTAGTAAATATCATGTATATGGTCACTCTGTCATTCGAAATTGAATTATTCTTCGAAGGGATCTGCAAGGGTTTTATTTAACGCTCGGCGTACCGATAAGCTTTCATTTCGTAGCGTTTTTAGCAGTTTAACTCGAATACTAAAAGCATGTCATTTGTGTTATCGCTTATCATAGTCAAGTCGAAATTAATAACGATCTCTTATTGCCCGCAGACATCGTGCTTGCAATATCTTTGCACGCACCTATTACGAACAATGGCTGCAGGAGGAGAACGTTGGCCAGGAAGTAATGATCGAGGATCTGACCCAGACATTTGAAGAGTCAGAAAAATCGAAGAAGGACGAAGAGGAAACTGACGGCAAACCGGATCCTTTGACACAGCTGGTTACCACCTTCTGCCGCGGTGCCATGACAGAGCGCAGTGGCGCACTTCAAGAGGACTTACTGTACATGTCCTATGCCCAAATAGCAGCCAAGTCTTGTGGCGAAGAGGAAGAGGAAGGCGGCGAGGAAGGTGAAGGGGGCGAGGGCGGCGAAGAGGGCGAAGGCACAAGTATTCATGTGAGTTAAGACAATATCAAACAAAAATACAAAATTATGAACTAATCTATCCAAATCCCAATTGTGCTTGCAAATTAATCTAATTTGATTGAAAAGTGTCGCATGTCCCAGCTAATGGTAAATATTGTCATACAAATTCAGATTAAACGGTTCAACTGAGCGTATGAAGGGCTGCTAGAGCTAACGGATTGATTGATTGACTTCTTTACATCAGTTAAATTTGATTGATTGATTGATTAACTTGTGCATTGACTGACAGCTAAAAGTTCTATATTTATTATATGTTTTCTAACAAAACAAACAGCGCTAATCCTCAAAGGGAATTATAAGAGCTGACTGACTGACTGATTGATTGATAGAGTTAAGCTAAATTAAAGCTCGTCCCACTAACAGCTATGCACTCCATACATATTCAGTGTATATATATTCTAACTATACCATACTCTTAACGCTCGACAGGAACAAGAAATGGAGAAGCAGAAGCTGCTGTTCCATCAAGCGCGTCTGTCGAATCGTGGCGTTGCCGAAATGGTGCTGTTGCACATATCCGCCTCCAAAGGTATACCTTCGGAGATGGTCATGACGACACTCAATTTGGGCATCGCCATATTGCGTGGCGGTAATATTGACATTCAAATGGGTATGTTGAATCACTTGAAGGAGAAAAAGGATGTGGGCTTCTTCACCTCCATAGCCGGACTGATGAACTCGTGCAGCGTGCTCGATCTGGATGCATTCGAGCGCAACACAAAGGCCGAGGGTGAGTTGCCTTAGTAATTAGCCTTGCTGTGTGGACCAGAAACTATCCTGCTTTAAGTTTGCTGAGCTCTTAACTTATAATTGATTATTATTATAGTTAGTGTTATTATTATTATTATTGTGATTATGGCATCATCACGACTCATGCATTATTCTAAGTTCAATTATTGATTTCGTCTCTCCTTCCAACTACTTTCCCCCAATCATCCAACCAACATATACACACGCATGCCGTTTATATCCCGTATCCCGTATATATGTACTTGATCCCCGCTATCGTTGTAAAAACCACAAAAACAAAGAGTATATTCCAAGTGCGGGTGCAGGTCTTGGTGTCGGCTCGGAGGGCGCTGCGGGTGAGAAGAATATGCACGATGCGGAGTTTACGTGTGCTCTGTTCCGTTTCATTCAGCTAACCTGCGAGGGTCACAACTTGGGTAAGTCCCTCATCAATTCCCTAACAACTATGTATATAGTAAATACTACTTTCGTCAAATCTAGAATGGCAAAACTATTTGCGAACACAGGCTGGAAATACAACCACTGTGAACGTGGTCATATGTACAGTGGATTATTTGCTGCGTCTGCAGGAATCGATTATGGACTTCTATTGGCACTACTCCAGCAAGGAGATCATTGATCCGGCTGGCAAGGCTAACTTCTTCAAGGCCATCGGCGTGGCTAGCCAAGTGTTCAATACACTCACTGAGGTCATCCAGGGTCCATGTACTTTGAATCAGCAGGCCTTGGCCCATTCCAGATTGTGGGATGCGGTCGGCGGTTTTCTATTTCTATTTTCGCATATGCAGGACAAGCTCTCGAAGCATTCGAGTCAAGTGGATCTGCTAAAGGAGCTGCTCAATCTACAAAAGGATATGATCACCATGATGTTGTCCATGCTGGAAGGCAATGTTGTGAATGGCAAGTCGCACAATCTGTTCCAGAAGGTCTGCATGCCATCAATACAAATTTCCTCTTCCAAAATTTCCCAGGCACTATTGGCAAGCAGATGGTGGATACTCTTGTGGAGTCGGCTAGCAATGTTGAATTGATTCTTAAGTATTTCGATATGTTCCTGAAGTTGGCCGACTTGATCGAGTCGCCCAGTTTCCATGAGATCGATATGAAGAACGAGGGCTGGGTAATACCCAAGGACTTCAGAGAGAAAATGGAGCAGTCCAAGAACTACACACCGTAAGTGAAGAGAGTCCTAGCTAATGGGCAACTGTTGACGATTTGTTTTACATATTTTCAGGGAGGAAATGGATTTCCTTTTGGCCTGCTGTGAACGCAATCACGAAGGCAAAATTGATTATAGAGCCTTTGTCGAACGTTTCCACGAGCCATCAAAGGAGATCGGTTTCAACCTGGCTGTGCTGCTGACCAACCTAAGTGAACACATGCCCAACGAGCCGCGCTTGGCGCGTTTCCTGGAGACAGCGGGCTCTGTGCTGAACTATTTTGAGCCGTTCCTGGGTCGCATCGAAATCTTGGGCAGCTCGAAGCGCATTGAGCGTGTTTACTTCGAGATCAAGGACTCGAACATCGAACAGTGGGAGAAGCCACAGATTCGTGAATCGAAGCGCGCCTTCTTCTACTCGATTGTCACGGAGGGCGGCGACAAGGAGAAGCTGGAAGCATTTGTTAACTTCTGTGAGGATGCGATCTTTGAGATGACCCACGCCTCTGGTCTCATGGCCACGGACGATGGTGGCGGCAATGTGAAGCGGGATACGGCCTACAGTTCCTATATGAGTGAAGAAGAGGAAGAGCGCGCAGCTCGGGATCCGATTAGGCGCACAATAACTGCTGTCAAGGACGGTCTGAAGTTCGGAGTTCACATGCTGAGTCCATCGAATATCAAGCATCAAATTGGAGTTATGCAAACGAAATCGATACCTGAACTAATTGTTGGCTTCTTTAAGATAATATTCTATATGTTCTACTACACGGGCTATGCACACTACTGTGTGGTGCGCTATATCTTTGGCATTCTATTGAATCTGATGCGTGGCCCCGCACCCGAGCAGGAGGAGGAACAAACTGTAGTTGAGGAGGAAACATTTGGACGTGCGCTGCCGCCGTTGCCGTTGGAAGAGCCGCCGGGTCCGGTTCAAGCATTTGGCCTGGACATAAACAAGGAAGAAAATGGCATGTATAAGGTGGTGGTGCACGAGTCGCCAGCGAGCTCTTCTGTGGAAGAGGGCGGTGAATCTAGCCCAGAAGACGGCGCAGCTGTTGCTGGAGAACTACTCGAAGGCGATCTTCATCAGGATCCAATTTCAATAGTTGATATGCTCGGTGGTGAGGCGGCTAAGAAGGCAGCTCAAGAGCGCCAGGAGGCACAAAAGGCTCAAGAAGCTGCCATGGCATCCATTGAGGCGGAGGCCAAGAAGTCATCATCGGCACCACAAGAGACTCCAGCAGTGCACCAGATCGACTTCTCGCAGTACACGCACCGCGCCGTTAGCTTCTTGGCTCGTAACTTCTACAATTTGAAATATGTGGCGCTCGTCTTGGCATTCAGCATTAACTTTATGTTGCTCTTCTATAAGGTCACCTCATTTAACGATGAATCGGAAGGATCGGCTGAGGAGGAACTCATTCTAGGCTCGGGTTCGGGTGCCGGTGCGGATATGGGCTCTGGCCTGGGTGGTTCAGGCGATGGGTCGGGCGATGGCGATTTCGAAGACGATGATATACCGGAGCTTGTGCATGTGGACGAGGACTTCTTCTATATGGAACATGTGCTACGCATAGCTGCCCTACTCCACTCCTTGGTATCGCTGGCCATGCTGATCGCGTATTATCATCTGAAGGTGCCACTGGCTATATTCAAGCGGGAAAAGGAGATCGCCCGTCGTCTGGAATTCGATGGTCTCTTCATAGCCGAGCAGCCCGAGGACGATGACTTTAAGTCCCATTGGGATAAGCTGGTCATCTCGGCCAAGAGTTTCCCTGTCAACTATTGGGATAAATTTGTCAAGAAGAAGGTCAGGCAAAAGTACAGTGAGACCTACGACTTTGATTCCATCTCTAATTTGCTGGGCATGGAGAAGAGCGCATTTACCGCACAGGAGAGCGAAGAGACGGGCATTCTGCGTTACATCATGAACATCGACTGGCGCTATCAGGTGTGGAAAGCGGGCGTCACCTTTACGGACAACTCCTTCCTCTACTCCCTGTGGTATTTCAGCTTCTCGGTGATGGGCAACTTTAATAACTTCTTCTTTGCGGCCCATTTGTTGGATGTGGCTGTCGGCTTCAAGACACTGCGCACGATTCTGCAATCCGTAACACACAATGGCAAACAGCTCGTCTTGACCGTGATGCTCCTTACGATTATTGTGTACATATATACGGTGATTGCGTTCAATTTCTTCCGCAAGTTCTATATACAGGAGGAGGATGAGGAGGTGGACAAGAAGTGCCATGACATGTTGACGTGCTTCGTCTTCCATTTGTACAAGGGCGTTAGAGCAGGCGGTGGCATAGGTGATGAAATTGGAGATCCGGATGGAGATGACTATGAAGTCTATCGCATCATCTTCGACATTACATTCTTCTTTTTCGTCATTGTCATCCTGTTGGCCATCATCCAGGGTTTGATTATCGACGCCTTCGGCGAGTTGCGTGATCAATTGGAATCGGTCAAGGATAATATGGAATCGAATTGCTTCATTTGTGGCATGGGCAAGGACTTCTTTGATATAGTTCCGCATGGCTTCGATACACACGTGCAGAAGGAGCACAATCTGGCCAACTATATGTTCTTCCTGATGCATTTGATCAATAAGCCGGATACAGAATATACCGGCCAGGAGACGTACGTGTGGAATATGTACCAACAGCGCAGCTGGGACTTCTTCCCAGTGGGCGACTGCTTCCGCAAGCAGTACGAGGACGAGCTCTCTGGCGGCGGCGGTGGCGGTGGCTGAGCTCCACCGACTTAGTCTCGTTCTTATTACAATTTATATGATGACGGTTAATATCTCTATAATAATATTGATATATGTTTGAATTCTCTCAATGATAAACAATATTCTAATTAATTTAAGTATATTTTACACATATTACGGATGCTCGACCAAATAAATCGATTCATTTTTACCGAAGTTGAAAGCAAATTCAATTCATTGTTATATTTTTTTATTAAATACACTTTGATAACATCAATAAATATAAAATATGTTAACTTATTTGTAAAAACAAATCACATAATTAATTTTTCAAATTTCTTAAAATTCTCTTTAAAAATCACAGCTACTTAATCCATGTTTAACATCTAAATAGGGCCTAACTTAAAATAAGTTAAGCTTTAATTGCTTGGTGGACATTTAACGAGCATATTGTTCATATCTGTGCGATATATATAGTATATGTATGTATACTATAGAAGTGCCATTTATATAATGTATTTTATATTCAATTCGATTTGCCTCTTAGGCTAACTTGACTAGCGAAAATTGTACAATTGAAAATAATACAGTATAAATACAACGAAAATTGCAACAAAATATCAGCAATCGAGTCGTTTCTTCAAGCGAAAGAATTCGGCATTATCGATGTTATTCATATTGTCCATGTGCAAATTGCGAAGTGTCCGAACGCCCGACAAGCGATCCTCAATATCCGTATACATCCGACGACAGCGATATATGGACAGAGTCTCCAGACATTCACAGTTCACAATTATAGCGTCGATCGTGTGATCCGTCAACTGGCTGCAGCCGCTGATGTCCAGGGACCGCAGCCGTTGCAGCTTCTCCGTAATTATCTTAATGCCCTGATCACTGATGTTATAACAATCGGATAGATCGAGCACCTCAATGGCTGGGCAGTTATTAACTAAGGCATCCATGCCCAACAGCGATATCTGTTGGCAATTCGAGAGCAAAAGCTTGTTCAGCTCTATGTGCTTAAGGCCATATTTAAGGGAGACATCACTTATTTTATTACAGCCGCGCAGATTGAGGGATCGCAATCCACGCAGTTCTTGTATATTGTGACCTTCGAAGTCCTCCTCGTTGATCAGATTCATTTCGTAGGCCGCAAACATTGCCTGCTTACGTTTCGCATCCCGTACAATCTCCTCCTCAGCCTTGCTGCGCAACGATATCTTGATCGACTGCAATGAGCCGCTGAATCCATCGGACGGTGGGTAAAAATTTCCTATAGCAGAGCTGCGATTCAGTTCCAGCTTAGCTATATTGATCCCAGTCAAAGCGGCATCGGTTAGCTAAATAAATTAATAATCAGTTAAATTAATTATATCAGGAACTCCAGCTTTATTGACTTACCCGACAACAGCTTTCAAGCGAGAGCTCTCTTAGCCAGCATAGGTGATTGATTATGAGCTGCATTACCTCATCTGTGACAGCGTTGACGCAATGGTTGAGATGAAGGGAGCGTAGAGCGTGTAGATTTCTTGCTATAGACTTGATGGACTCCTCACATATTGTCAGGTAAGAGACGTTTAGCTCCTGGAGCACATTATTCTCTGTCCGGGCAATGCCGTCTATAATGCCGCTGCTGTTGATGCCATCACAATTGGATATATCGAGCAGGCGCAATCGAGACAAATTACGTAAATTTGCAGCGCCTGTATTTGAGATGCCGGAACAGGCATTTATCTTCAGATCCTGCAGGAGGGGATTTGCCTGAACAATTACCGCTAAGCAGTCATCATTCAGGCACATCGTAGACGATAGATCCAGAACACTCAATTGAGATTGAGTGCAGAGAAAGCTGCGTATGGTCGACGCATTCAATTGCCTGCAGCCGGCCAAATACAGACGTCGCAGCTGCAGCCCGGGCTGAGCATGCTCATCGGTCTTCGTTAGCTCACAGAGAGCCATCAGCGAGTGTCCGATGAGCGTGTGACTAAAGTCGAGCGTGTGTAGAAGTCTCCGCTGCTGGCTGAGCACATTTTGTATGTATTTGAATGTCAGCACCGATTCACTGGGCGTGCTTGGCTCATTAGGATAGAAGCGTCGATGGATTGCATTGTGAAAGGAAATTTGGCAGCCGGACATATTCAACAATTCCAAATTGGGCATTAAAGCTGTTAGTCTTAGCAGTATGGCATCGGTTAGATATTGATTTTTGCATATAGTCAACTCTTTGATGCTTAACAAATTAGCCGAGATTTCATTCAAATCACACGAATTGCTATCCAAAAACGTGGCGGACATAAATAAAGGCAAACAGCGTGTCACAGAAAGTATTTGCAAATGAGGCAACAGGCTTAAAATGCCATAGAATTGTTTATCATTCAAGTCCACATTATCTAGGCTCAAGGAGTGCGCCGACTCTCCGATGAATGTCATCAGTTCCTGCACCTGACCCAGCGTCACATCCTCGAATAGAAAATGACGAAAACGTCGTTCACATCGCATCAAGTCCAATGCAGGACTGTGTTGATCCGATAAAACTATCTTAGAGAAACGAACACGTGTGCGTGCTAGGAATTCCGTATGATATAGAGCGCTTCGCCAACGTTGACAAGTCGTGCCAGCTGCCAATAAATCCGAATACCCCAGATATTTATATATATGCAGCACAATCTGTATCAAATATCAAAATCGTTTATTTTGTCAGCTGACTTTCGGTCACGAGTCTTAAATCAATCAGCATACCTCTAGGGGCAGATCACTATAGCTGTATAGACAATAGTCCATGGACGACATTCTATATATATATATATATATATATATATATATAAATATATATATAATTATAGTTCCAAATTCCAAGCCCCAATAAACCAACTTTTAGCTCAACTACCCCAACAACTAAACCGACTCTATAACTATTAGCCAATGTGACCGTCTGCTAAAAAATACCACTCGGTCAAGGATAGTGGTGTTCCTTGCAAAAATTCAACAAATCAAGCGGAGTTTCTTTCAGTGCGTCCCATGCGCTTAACACCTTGAGTGAACGGGTAAATGTGGAACACATATATGTATGTATATTTTATAAACGCCGTAATACTCGAAAAGTAGCAACGAAATCGAGTAAGCCTTATGAATAACATATGTTAACAAATATTTATCTTTTTAGTAAATATGATGTCGTCCCGTATTTATTATTTCAATTTGTTGTAAATAGTAGATAAAAAAATACTTGATGCAGAAAAAGTGTATGAATGAAAAACAAAGGTATATTTATATATAAAACGCACGAAAAGTATAAAGTTAAAATTAGTATTTTTTAAGCACAGCTGTTTTACTGATTTCATGGTATATTTTCCTTTGTTGCCGCAGCCACACTTTGTCTATGACATCAGTTTTAGCTTAGCTGTCCAATTTTGTTTCACAAAGCTTTTTGCAAACTTGCAAATAGTTAATAAACTGTCGAAGATAACAAATCGCAGTGCCCAACATAATGGCCGACCCAAAATTTCAAAACCTGCCCGGCATTGTAAGCTACAATCTTGGTGACTTACGCATAAGAACTAGCTTTTACATACATACATATATTTTGTATATATTATATTTAGGCTTATGACCAGCCGGATGTTTTTGAGACACCCGACGATCCGGAGGTCGATACTTCTGACTATTATGAGGAGGAGCCGGAAAACGAAGCCATTGAGCGATTGCACATTTCACCTAGCATCGCCCACAAACGCTTTAGTAATGCAACGCTTGAGGGAAACGTCGACTTTACGGATCGAATTGGGCGTCGCTTGTGTCGTGGCTACGATGTAAGAGGTGGAGAATATGAGTTGGTTGGCCAAGGTGAAAAGGAGACGCCAGTGCAAAAGTGCCAACGCTTGCAAATTGAAATGAACGAGCTGCTCGATGAGGTAGCTGCCTTGCAAGTGGATCGTAAGATTGCCGATGAGGAAAAGCAATCCTATGATGCAGTCGCCACTGTAATAAGCACAGCCAAGAGAGTATTGGATACATTAAAACTTGAGCAAGTACTGGGCAAGGAGCAAATGCCCAATGATAAACAAGTCAAAGCACTTGTTGCCCAAGTCGAAGAATTTAAGCAATCGGGCGTGCTAACTGCTCTGCCCACACCCGGCACGGATTTGGCATCGACAGCACGTATAGCGAATCTCGAACAGCGTTTGCATCAGCTGGAAAAGGCAGTGGGTGCACAGCCCGAGAAACTGAGTCGTCTCACAGCCGTCACTAACACCTCCAATGTGCTCGAAGCTGTCCGGCATTTGAGCACCAAGGCGGCTCTACTCCAGCCGGATAAACTGGACGCCATTGAACAACGTCTAACTACATTAACTGGCAAAATGGATGCAATTGCTGAGAAGTCCAGCGGCAGCGCACAGGACGCCAAACGTGATCAGAAAGTCTCAGAGCTCTACGACCTGGCGAAACGTACAGAACCAGTTGTTGAGATGTTGCCACATGTTATTGAACGAATGCAAGCATTGGAAGCTTTACATAAATATGGTAAATATTTCCATAATTAAATAAATTGCGTAATTAACTATTGCTTCTCTCTTTGTAGCTAACAACTTTGCTAAGATCATAGCGGAGATTGAACAAAAGCAGGGCACTATTACCACCAGTTTGGTTAATAACAAAGAGCTTTTACATTCAGTGCAGGAAACATTTGCCCAAAATCTGGAAACAATCAACACTAAAGTCGCTAAAGTTGAGCAAAGAGTGGCGGCTATAACTAGCGCTAAATAAATATGCTCAGCATTTTAAACATATGTAGCACACCTCTAGCATTATAACACTTATACATGAAATATATTTATTTGTATCAATAAAGCAAATGCTTCAAATTTCCATGATAATTAAAAGATTGTGCCAAATTTTTACTTCAAAATTATTTACACACACATGGACATAACGCGCCCACAAACATAAAAATCTTAATCGATTCATCGATATTTATTTTAATTTGTTTGCATATCGCAAACAATGTACCTGCTTTCGATAGCAGCATTATCGATTGTGCCACAGCTTGTAGTTCTTAAAACGAATTGGAAAAACCTATTTATATAAAATTATAAATCATTTACACATATTGTTTTATTTAACAATAAACACAAAAAAAAGCTGCGTAAGTTGATATTTATAATTAACACTTATTTACATAATGCGGCATGCAACTTTTGTTGGCCACGCCAATGTTTTTTTTTTTGAAGAAAAAAAGTGATGACGAGGCGCGCTCCAATTGGACGTTCCATTACATTTCGCTTTAAATTCCATTAAGTTAATGTAAACGAAATTGTATTTGCAGAGCGCAACAACAATGAAAATCAAAGAGCTGCAAAAGACGGTGAACATTGCCTGGTCGCCAGCGCAGCAACAACAAATTTTGTTAGCTGCCGGCACAGCGGCTCAGCAATTCGATTCAAATGCAAATGCCACATTGGAAATCTACTCGCCGAGCATTGGCGATGCCAGCTATGATTTGGAGCTAAAGGCTAGCGTGCCGAGCGACTTCAAGTAAGCATATATCGAATATATCTGTATATATCTCAAGCAATAACCAATAATAAATTTGCTTTCTTAGATTTCAAAAACTGATTTGGAGTCCTCATGCAACGCATACAAATGGATTGATTGTTGGTGGCTGCGAGGCTGGCCATATCAATGTCTATTCGGCAGCTAAGATGCTGGCCAATGAGGAATCATTGGTCGCAAGACAGGATAAGCATACAGGCGCAGTTAGCGGCTTAGATTTTAATCCGTTTCTAAACAATTTGCTCGCTTCGTGTGCTTCAGAATCTGAGATTTACATTTGGGATTTGAATAACCCAGTTACTCCTCTTAATCCAGGCGCTAAGACACAGCCGCTTGAGGATGTGAAGAATGTCGCTTGGAATCGGCAAGTGCAGCATATCTTGGCATCAGTGTTTAGCACTCGCTGCGTCATTTGGGACTTGCGCAAAAGTCAGCAGATCATCAAATTGTCCGACACTCAGTCGAGGGTTAGATGGCATGCCATTGAATGGCACCCGGAGGTGGCCACCCAGGTCTGGTTGGCCTCTGAAGATGATCAAGCGCCGGTTGTGCAATTGTGGGACTTGCGTTATGCTACTGCACCAGCAAAAACATACCAGATACACGATCGCGGAGTTCTGGGCATGTCCTGGTGCTTGCAGGACACCGATTTGATGGTCTCTTGTGGCAAGGATAATCGCATCTACTGCTGGAATCCAAATACCAAAATACCTGAAGGCGAAATCCTTTCAGAGGTAGCCACCACTGCCTCTTGGTATTCAGATGTGCAATTCTGTCCACGCAACCCAGCGTTGATAGCCAGCGCCAGCTTGGAAGGCGCTGTTTCTATATACTCCTTAAATGGTGGTACACACCAGCTGGTGCAAACATCTGAGAAGATTGCCGACTCCTTCCCAGGCATGGATCAATTCGCTCAAGCTCCACTTCCCCAGCAAGCCACGCAAGTTGTTTATCACGATTTGACGCATGCGCCTAAGTGGATGAAGCGGCCATGTGGTGTGGCATTTGGTGTTAGTATAACAAAGTATTCTTTTTATTGTAGCCAACTAAATCGAATTTCGTTTACAGTTTGGTGGCAAATTGGTTAGCTTCAATAACACATCGAAGACAGTGACAGTATCACAGTTGACCACCGAACCAGAACTCGTAGAGCGTGCCAATGCCTTGGAAGTGTCCTTGGCGGAGGCCGACTATGCCGATTATTGCAGGCAACGAGCAGACAAGTCTACCGATCAGCACGGTCGCTACATTTGGTATTTCATCAAAGCGAACTTTGAATTGAATCCAAAGGAAGAAATGCTGAACCTTTTGGGTAAACACGTCGCCCACATCTAACTGAAATAGCTACTATATTTATTTTTAAATTGTAGGCTACAACAAGGATGACATCGACGGGAAATTTACAAAGTACATCAAGGAGGCTGAAGAGAGCAACTCTCAATCTGACGTGGATACGCTGACAACTCGCATATCAACCCTAACTCATGTGAGTTTCCGTTCTCTATATTTAGCTCTTATCTCTATGAGCATATAAACATATTTGTCCCACATTACGTTATCAATATTTGGGCATTGCTTCAGTTTTGTTCATCTTTCCTCTTGTATATTCCACTGATAACGATTTTTTTTGTCATGCTTGCCCAACATTCGGTTGCTTTGTAGAGCGATTCATCTGAGGTTGAATGCGATCAAAGCACCAACTCAAGCACCGATAATTCGGTAAGAAATTCGATGCGCAAGAAATTCATTTACAAATTATCACTCTCAATTATTACAAGCAGCAATGAAGTTCCCGTTAGAGTTAATTCATATACAATTTAAATCTTTAGCAAACGAACGACATTAAAACTCCATTTGATGGCTCAATCGATCAGCAAACGTTGAACGACTATGCAGCTGCAGCCAGGCCGCAATTTAAGATACCCAGCGGCGATCGTAAGTGTATATACTTGATTTTATATATATATATATAGATTCTCTAATCCATGTGGGTTGCTTACAGATACCGACAGTTTGATTACGGAGGCCATACTCACAGGCAATGTGGAGGCTGCTGTTGAGCTCTGTCTGGAGGCGCAGCGCATACCGGAGGCTTTGATCATTGCTTCGACAGCGGGCTTAGAGATTCTAACACGCACTCAGACACGTTATTTGCTGCAGCAGAAGAACGAATTGTCGAATGTCATATCGGCCTTGGTCACGCGCGATTGGCTCGACTTTGTCAATCGCTGCACCGTAGACTCCTGGAAGGAGGCACTAGTAGCTGCACTTAAGCATAGCGAGCGCAAATTGGTGGACATATGTGAGAGGCTAGGCGATCGCTTGTTGAACGAGTCTAGCAGCAGCAGCATCGAGCTGACACGCAATGCAATGCTGTGCTATATCTGTGCTGGCAGCATTGACAAGCTAGTCACTGCCTGGTATCAATTGAAGCAACTGGAGCAACAGAATCAGAACTACAAATTAAATACGAATGAGTTGCAGGAGTTGGCCGAGGTGGTTATGCTGCTGACTAAGTCATTGGAACAGCAGGGCATTGCTGTGGATCTAGCTGGCAGATTTGCAGGCTTTATATCTGAATATAGTGGACTACTTGCCTCCCAGGGCGCTCTGACCGCTGCTCTACAGTATATAACCACATTGAGCAGAGCTAATGCGGACAGCGAGGACTTGAATGCGCTGCGTGAACGCATCAGCAAAGCGGTAAATGTGGATCATGTGCAACCTACAGCAGCAGCAACTGCAGCTCCTATGGGCTATATGCGACAAATGGAACCGCGTGGTTCCTTCTCAAACCCGGCTAATCCTATTTCCTATAATCCATACAATCCAAATGCTACGACGACAAATGGCAGCTGGCAACAGCCAGCAGTACCGCCGGCTGCACCCTTCCAGCCAGCTCAACCACCCACACAAATCTTCAATCCGCCACAACTTAAAGCTGAACCGCTAACGCATCCGCCACGACCACTCAGCAACGCCAGCGCCTCAAGTGGAGCTACAGGCACAGCAGCAACAGGCCTTCACTCGCGATCTAAATACGTTTTAGATCCTTCCGTAGCAGCGCCAAACTCTACTTATGGCATGGCTTACAATCCAGTGCCAGCTCCAGCAGCTGTTCCTTTTGCTGGTGCTCCTATCTCACAGCCAGCCAGTGTGCCACTGGTAAATAATAGCAACGCCTTCAATACCAATCCCCTATCTTCGGCTCAGCAATACAATCCAAATCCGTTCACTGGGGCCACCCAAAACAACTACCTACCAGGTGTTGCACCTATTGACGCTATGCCGGCTGCAGGTGCTCCACCACCGCTTGTGCAGAATATTCAACGTAATCCGACTCCTCCACCCGGTTGGAATGATCCACCAGCCTTAAAATCCTCTCGAGTGGTACGTATTTCAGTTAATATTTAATTTATGTCCATATTTTCATAACGTAATCTTCTATTTTTAGCCGAAGCCACGACCAGCAACGGATTCTACTGCAGCACCCATTTTACACCCATTGTATGGAGCCGATCCCAATCAAAATCAGAACAGCTACATGGATCCTAATCAATATCAGGTATTAGTCTTCTGATCATCTTAAAATAATAGAGCAGGGTATCTCTCGGTCGTATACACTTTCCCTTTTCACAAGGGTAGTCTATTACATTTCTGTATCTCTTTCCTTAGCAGGGTGCTCCACCTTCTGGTACATCTTTCTACAATCCCGCTGCTAATAATAATCCACAGGCTTTTCCGCCACAACAACAACAGCAAATGAATTTCCAGGCAACGGCTGTGCCTAATCTACAACCACAGCAGCAGCAATCACAACAACAGCAGCAACAATTTTGGCCTGGACAACCACAACAGCAGCAATCGTTCGGTTATGCCGAACAACCAGCTCCGGTACAGGAACAGCGTCAGCCGGAACCCGTTAAGGAGAAGCCTCCATTGCCAGAGGAATATATTTATTTGCAAACCGTTTTAGAAGAGCTTAAAAAACAATGCCTTAGCGCAACTAATGATCCAGTAAGTAGACAAAAAATGTTGCTAAATTCATTTAATTAATCAACCTTTGGCTTAACAGCGCACCAAACGGAAATTTGTGGATGTGGTGAAACGCCTGGAAAATCTCTACGACTGCTTGCGCTACGAACGGGTAAGCAAATAAATAAAATAACATAATTTCACTTAAAATAACTACTGAACTTATTCGGTGAACCATTAAGCTCTGTCCGACACAGAGAAAACTTCATATTCAGTTTCTTAATCTCATGTGAACGATTTATTTTGTTCAACTGTTCATTTGTCGAGCATGAGCGAACGCCTTGACTCTTTTATTTGAACTAGTGAACAAAAAGATCAACTAAAAATGCATTAGAATTGCCAATTCTTTTGAAAAGTCAGTGCTAATGTATCCATTTTTATTAACAGCTCACATCGGCTACTGTGCAGAATCTAAATCAAATTGTGCAGTTCATACAAATAGCCGATTATACTAATGCCCTTGCGGTGCACCAACGCATCGCCTTTGGCACGGACTTTGCTCAGTGTGCGGGCTTCATGCAGGGCCTGAAAGTCTTGCTACAGTCGGCAGCGGAAATGCAACTGGTTCTACGCTAGTTTATTATATGATTTAATTGTGTGTCAATCAAATTTGCCCATATATATGTTTTTCTAATTTGATTTTGTGTGTACTCCCCGGCTTTTAGTTGATGCAGTTATAATTATAATATGGTACTAAAAACAATTTCAAAACAAATTTAAAAAAATTATACAAAAATATACAATATATATATTATAATAAAGAAAAACTCGATGTTTTACAATAGCTTTGGCTGGTTGCGTATGTTGTCCAAGTCCAGCATGGGCTCCTGGCTCCTTGCCTGCGGCGATGATAAACGTTGATGATGATCGTAGCCCATTTGTTCTTCGGGCAGCAGCCGATATTTCTTGAGATATTTATAGGAAGCATTTGACATATTACTCGGACTCTGGGTGAAATTGTCAATGGGACGTAATGGGGTTCCAGTTGACACGACATCGTTGCCTGTCTTTGGTGACACATGCAAATCTTCCATCAATTCATTGATTTGACGTTGCGGCAAATACTTCAGAGCCAACTCGTTCATGACCAAAGTTTTGTCCGTATTCGATTTGACGGGCAACGCTGGCGATTGTTTACCCTGTGGCGTATTGCTACGATATCCCGTGGATTGAGCTATTGGAGGTGGACCTCGTGGCGATTGAAATTGCGGCAATGCTCTAGCTGGCAGCTCCTCCTCTTCAACAATATAATCGTGAACAATTGGCGTAGTGCGTTTAACCATACCAACATTACCTAAGAGTCGTTATTAGAAGATATCTATTAGTATGATCAACAGTGTTCGAAACTTACTTTTAGCTGAACCAAGGAGCGCACACTGCGACGCAGTTTCTTTGAAAGTCTTCTCGCTCGGCAGTTTCTGTTGCAGCTGTTGCTGTTGCTGCTGAGCGAGGGATTCACAGAGGCGTCTTAATTGCTGTTGTTCCTGGCGCATAGTTTCCAATAGTGTGAGCACTTCTCTAATGTCTTTCTTCTCTAATAAATTGCTAGGCTCCGGTCTATACTCATTGACAGCTGATATAGTGTCTGTTTCTGTTTGGGTGCTGGCACAAATTGTGAGCACATCCGTAGCAGTTGCATTGGAATTAGACAAGCGAGGGGAGGGCACCACCTCATCTGTGGCATATGTTTCGCGTGGATAATGTGAGGGAACAGACGCAACATATCCTCGATTCAGATTGCCAACTACAGGCTCCGCATCGAAGGCGCGACTGCGCGGTAGAAAATTATATTCATTTCCTCCAACAACTCCACTGATTGCTACTGCAGAAGCGGCAGGGGGAGTGGCTGGGCCTAATTCTGTTGTCAGCACTGGGGAAAAATTGACACGAGGCAATACTTGCTTCTTCCATGAAGCGAAAGTACTTGCAGGACGTTGTTGTAACTGAGCTTGCTGCTGTTGTTGTTGAAGTTGAGCTTGTTGCTGAGGCGGTTGCCCAAACAATATTGAAACTTCAGGCACAGTCGGCTTAACTATCTCGTCAGCATGACCCAATGGTATGGGTGCACTTGGCCTGGGAGCCGCGCGCGGTAACATATCTTCGGTTTCAAACATTTTTAATTCTTATTGAAATTGAATTCGGGCGCGACAGAAATTGCACTGTCCAAGCGAACAGGGCTGATATTAGCCAGGGCTTACTATAAGTGAAATTCAACGAAGTAATAGCACAATTTACAGTAGCCCTACTACCCACTATGTCATTAAAAGGAAACTCCCTGAATTAGACGACTGATGCACTTTGCAATTTCATTCATTTAATTTTATATGCATATTCTATATTGAAGGACTAACGTCACGAAAGCAAACTCAAAACCAGCATCACTGTTTTCCACTACAAATAAATTTAAATTGAATTCGAGCGCGAATCAAAGTGTACTTCAAAAACGAACAGAGCTGTTATTTACTAGGGCTAACGAGCGTTAAAATCCGACGAACAATTAATAGTATTATTGCTGCAGCCCTAGCAGCTGTGTCATAGGAAGAAAAATAAAGAGATCTAGCATTCAGAATCATAGTTTCAGTAACTAAACAAAGACTCGCGGTATGCCATTATTGGAGAATATCGATGCCATGCCTGTTAACTCACCACCAGCGCCAACTACAGAAACAAATGATACACACCAGGATCCGCCCGTACGTGAGATAACACAGACGGATCACCTGAATAAGCGTTTGTTGAAGTCTTTGCTGGATTCAATGAAAACCACAACTGAACCGGAGGAAGAGTCAACTGAAACGGAGTCCAGCAACAGTGATTTCGATGACTAAAGTTGCTATATATACATTTAATTATTAAGTCAAAGTTTGGTCATGATTTAACTACAACTAAAAAAGAATTATATTTGTTCTCTTAAATACGACGGCGCTTGCTGCTCTGCATGGGAGGAGGTGTGGTCGAAGGGCTAATCGATTCATTTGACATGGAACCCCGAGTTCGTTTTGCTGGTCTTTTTGGCAAATCCGAAAGTTTTGTTGGCATCTTCTTTTCACTATCTTTTGCTTGAGCCACTGCAAGCTTAGTGCCTGTAATTTGAACAATATATTATGTAATTTGAGATTGTATTTACTTTTTTTTGACTCACTTTTACTGTGACTTTCTGTCGCTACAGCAGAAATCGGTGCTCCAATGGGAGTCGGTGCATCTGTGTTTTCTTCTAAAGCGTTTGTTCCAATCGTCTTCTTGTTCACGAATGTGGCGTAATCCTGTTCCGGCAAACAGAACTCACGCTCCTCATTGGGAAATGGCAAGCCCTCAAGATCATCTAGCTCTTTTAGTTTGTACATTGTGCTTAAATGCCTCCAGATTAAGTCACTGGGCATTTCACGGTTAAGCGATTTCGAGAGACGTTCCGCTATGCAAGACATGTAGAAATGTTTGTTTATGCCTACGGGTCGTAAGCCTTCCATTGCATGGAAGAGCTGTAACTCCTCCTCAGCGGACCACTCGTCCTTCGTCATCATCATTGCACTAATAGCGAACAACCAGGGATGGATGCACACAGGCACCCGCATGTAATATACCGATAGTTCATTAAAACGCCATCGATATCGATTAATATCTACTCGCAGCCAACTTCACGTTTCATTGGTTTGGGTGTGTATCTTTTTGTTCAAGTCAAGCGAACCTGAGCTCATTTTTCGGAAATCTTAACAAAATATTTGACATAAAGCTGGTAAATGTTGTGAATATTACGTTATTAATATGTAGTTGTGCTTGTGTGTGTTCTATTAACCAAAATTGTTAGTGTAAAGAAAAGATTGACGTGTATGTGTAGTCATATGTATGCATGTATGTGTGACCATAAATTTTGCATATGAGAAATAAAATCAATTCGAAAGAATTTAGAAAAGACACATATATATATACTATATTTAAATGAATCCTTATCGATGCGATGAGCTATGCATCCCGCTGAGTTTTTTATGCTGAAAATGATTCATTTATAAGCAATAAATGCATATAATAATGCTATTGTATTTACATAGACACACATACATGCATATATACATATGTGTGCACTTTAATATGAACGTGAACTTGGAACAAAAGTACTTATTTAATGAACAAATTTAACTTCTTTAAAAGCTACCTAACACAATCCTCTCTAGACCTCATACTTCTTTTCAAGCTGTCCAACTTTCTGTGTATATGTACTTGATGTCGTGTCCACTGTCCGTGCCAATATGTGAAAATTTAAAAACATATTTTAAAACAATATTTTTTTTTGGCATTTGCTCTGTTTTTCTTACTACATTTACAGCGCGCCCCCTCCATACAGATTCATCCAAAAACAACACAAAAAATTGAGTAACAAAAAAAGAAAGAAATTAAGACAATTTTGAAAGCATTTTAAGCAACAAATTAAGCACACAATCACCAACTACACTTACTATATTGTATTTGCATATCGTATCTGAGAACATTTTCAACCATAGGCTTATCCGAGACAGCCGTAATGGACGTAATGTCATCTTCCCTACAACAGCAGCGCATTGTCGTTGACCAGCTACGCCGGGAGGCGGCGATCGATAGGCAGTCCGTGTCGGTGTCGTGCGATAAAATGAAGAAGTATATATCGGAGCACGAGCAAGAAGATTATCTGTTGACTGGCTTCACCAGTCAAAAGGTAAACCCATTCCGTGAGAAGTCCTCGTGCACTGCTCTTTAAGCAGGTTTTTATGGATGGATCGGTGGATGATATATGTATTCCGTTTTTAAGTTCTTTATAAAAACACAAGCACACAAAATTAAAATAGATAAACTTGAACAATAAAAAAGTCGACACCACCAGCTAAATATAAATATATTAAAACAACAAAAAACAATTACAAATACATATTACAAAAAGCAATATTATAGCAAAAAAGGATAGACGGGGCTATTAAATACTTATAAAAAGAAGCAGAACAAACAAACAACATAGCAACAATTGAAATTTTGAAATTCTTTAATGAAAATAACACTTGGCATTTATTCGGAAAATATCAGCAAAACTTTCTTTATCCCTATATATAGATATATATATATATGTATCAGAAATATATATAGTAAAGCATCCAGTGTACACGAATATCCCAACTCGAAGGACAATTTAAGTGCGGACTATATAGCAACAACTACCTAAACTATGAAATCTATATCTAAATAATATATATAAATATATATATATATTTATCAATCCAAATATATTTATTAAAACCTAGTAAACCCCACAAATAAAAATCACAAAGAAACCAACAAATCTCAACACTCATTTTTTCGCCTACTTATTTAAATGCAAAATTAATCTGTTCACGTTGTTAAGCATACGCGAATTATGCAGTATGTTATAATCAATAAATATAATTAATAATAAGTCCCAGCTAAGCGGATTCAACAAACTATATGATTACTTTAAAAGCTTTAAAATCCAGCAGGCAAGCTAGATCAGCTTTAGTGTGTTTAATTATCCAACGTTTTTATTAGCAGAAATATTACTAAAAAATCGTTGCAGTAACGCAACAAAAACATACAAATGCAAATATTTATATATAATTAATATATATCTAAAATGTAGTCTTTTTCGTCTTCTTGATTATTAACCGGCAATCCATGCCAATATAATATGAACGATAATTTATTTTAAAAATTTTGGATCTCTATGAAACTTGCAAATGAGCCCGAAAATTATTTCTTCAATATTCAATTCTAAACAAATTTCAAGCATGTGTGATTCTCTTATAAAAGTGAGCCAAATAGAAAGAAATGCACTCATAATACTTGTATACATTTTTTTAAATATATACTTTGTTGACTATGCAAATTCCACTATTGTCGAATAATACTTTCAAATGATTTGTCCGCGGTTGAGCCTATATTTTTGTAAAGGATTAACGAAACCGAAACGTAATTGGCATGAATGGCAAAGTATATATACATATTAAAGCTGAGTTATTTTTCTACACTCTGATATGGTAATGGGCATATTCGTAGGGTATTGGAATGTGACAAAACGGTTCTGCCTCAGAAGAGAAGCATCAAATTTCCATATTCACCACATGAGCAGCATTGAAAGTTCCATATTGTTGAAATTTACCACAGTGAATGCAGCTATGCTTCTATATTCACCCCGTTTCAGAGGAGCTGCATTCTAGATTCCATATTCACCAATACCATTTGATGTCCAAAGATTACTCATTAAATAACTAAATAAAATCAAATATTAAGATAATACGAATTTGCTTTGTCGACAAATATATTACTAATTAATAACTAATCGATTCTTCCATTGTCGTATTTAAGTAAATTATTAAATAACAAGAATCACACATTTTCCAAAACGAAAGAGAATACTTTTTCAACTGATTCAAATAGATTTTGAACTCTGTTCTGCTGTCGTGAGCATTCAGCAGAAAATTGTTCAAAATTGAATATGCTATTCCCCGCTCGAAGAGCGGAGTTTTCTGACAAACTTTTAATACCAAAACTGCAGTTGGATTAAAAGTAAATTGAAATAATAAAAAAAGAATAATGAAAGAACAATCTTCGATTCATTGCCTGTTTCAAATAAAAATCAAATTTCTTAACTCTTGATTTTAATTTGTTCAAAAAAAGAATTCAAATTTGCTGGGAAACCAAACAAAAAATATCCAATGGAGCACGGATAATTTTTGTTTTGTTTTCCAATTGGCAAACTTTGCATCTGAAAACAAATATTTACAACTGTTAAAATAAAAAAACTAGTAAAAGTTACAAGAAAATTATGAATATATATTATAGCACGGAATACCCTAGAAAATTGAGATAACACTTTAAAAACTTTATTAACTTCAAACTTTGAAAACGACAACGATATCGTATTTTATTCGAACCAAAACAAATATTCAATTGTATCTGAAATAAGTATGTAATGTACTCCAAAAAAATCAACAAATAATCGTTTGCTTGAATTCCAAAAAATAAAAAGCTTAGATGAGTTATCTAGCGGAGAGAAAAAACTTCAAAATGTCTTTGATTTCAGTGCTATGAAAATGGAAACCCTTTCAAATATCTTAAAAAATATATACAAATGTTATTTTGTTTCCAATATTACTGAATATAAAACTATACATCATTTTATTAACTTTTTTTTAAGTTCATATAAATATTCTTTCCATATATAAACTTGCTTCTTCCAATATTTTTTTTTATAAAAACATAAATACATTTTTCAGTTTTTTTAGGTTTAGTTTATTAATACAAAGAAGCTGTGTGAGTGTGTTGCATTTTGTTGGTTTTGTATGTGTGAGTGTGTTTTGTTAATGAAATTTATAATTTCCAATGTGTGCCTACAAAAATACATGTAAGAGCATATGTTGTTTGCAACTAAAATAATGAATTTATAGATTTTAGCGAAACTTGAAATATTTGTATGAATTTGGACTTCGATTTAACTCTCATCATCGCTGCCAGCGGCCTGTCTTGGTTTTGGTCCACCGGCCCGCTTGGCCATGATAATCTGATCCACTTTCAATATGGTTGTAGCTGCACCCACAGCATACTTGAGACCCCAGAATTTGGCCTGATACAGATCGAAGAGTTTCGCTTCGACAGCATCGATGGTCGTTGGTTTTTCCGCTTCAATGTCAAAGCCAATGTTCTTGCCCTTCTCGGAATTATGTGCCAGATAGAGTTGATTGACAATATCTGTGCCATTGGAGCCGGAGTTTTCGGCGAGAGCTTTGGGGAAGACTTCCAAGGCGTTGGCAAACTTGCGCACAGCATACTGATCGAGTCCTGGCAAAGTGTCCGCATATGTAGCTAACTGTGTAGCCAGCTCTATTTCAGTAGCACCTGCACCTGGCAGATAGCGTCCATCACGAGTCAAACATTTGAAATTGTTGACGCCATCATCCATCGCGCGCTCAATGTCATCCATGAAGTTATCTGTTGCGCCGCGAATAACAATGGTAGCAACGCGTGAATCCTTGCCTTCATTTCTAGAAAACACAAAACATTAAAATTAATATTTAGTTTTATAATTTGATCATTGAATTGTTACCTGAATGCGACAATTGTGGTATCACCCAGTTCCTCGATGCAGACCTTATCGCAATAGCCCAGCTCTTCCTGGCTGGGTGTTGTAATCCTTGGCAGAACTGTGGCATTTACGGTACGACTCAAGCGGCGCAAATCAAATTTGGAATTCAAACGAACGGCCATCAAACCATATTTGTTTAAGAAATGCAAAGCCATATCTCCAACTTTACCGCCAGAAACAACAACCTTCACACCTGTATCGGCAATAGCCTTGATTTGGTTCTCCAGCAAACCTTCCTCGCCGGAGGAGAAGTTCATTAGCTCATCGGCAGATTTGATTAGCACTGTGCCTTTCGTCTCTGTTTGAATAATATCGACGGGACAGGAGAATATGACAATCTTTGCCTTTTCAGCAAAGGTGACATCACCTTCAACGAAACGCTTGAAGACCATGCCGCGCACAACCTCTGATTTGGCCAGTCCACTGCCCAAAATCTTACAGATGCGTATGTTGTCCACATTAAAGGTGCCATCGTCCGGCAATATAGAGACGCAGGCCTTGCTAACCAAATCATTGAGGAAATCCTCCTGGCCATATTGCTTGGACATAATGGCAGAACGAAGTACCTCCTTCACTTTTTCAGCATCGCGATAGTCTTCAACCTTGTGACAGACTAGAGTTGGCAGAATTTCTAAGGATTTATTCAACGCCTTCTCATAGCCATCGGCTATTTCAGCTGTGGTTATGCCCAATCGGAGAAGTTCCTCTGCCGACTCGAGCAGCGCACCGGCCAGTACAACAACAAAGTTCGTGCCATCGCCCACTTCAGCGTCTTGCATTTGACTGGCCATTACAATCAGCTTCGCAGCCGGATGCTCTACATCCAGTTCTCGCATTATGGTGCCTGCATCGCTGGTCACGAATTGCTTCTCGATGTGATTAATGATCATTTTGTTCATGCCATTGGGGCCGTAGGCGGACCGCATTGTCTGTGAGAACTCTTTGCAGGCGGTGATGTTGCGATAGACTGCCTCCTCCAGACCACTGTACATCTGCAAAAATTATATTCATCATGGAATTAAATCATTGTAAAAGAACATCTGCGATGACTAATCACGCGCTTCGAAAAACACACCGGCGGTTTACTTTTTCGCAATCTCAATTAAATTAATAGTAATTTCTTGATTTTCACATGTCTTTCACTTACCCGAGCGCCATCCTTTAGCATTTGCGCCACTCCGGGAGCTTTTGGAACAGATAAAGCCATTTTTATGCACAGATATTCAACAAAACGCGAAGAGTAGCTAAAGCAAGTCAATCAGTCGGTAGAGCGCTTAACCTCAAAGTGTAGTCAACGAAATTTCTCGATTGCACACTGGTTCTTACCAAAAAATACTGATTTCATACACTTGATAATACTGAAAACGTATTTTCGTTCAGTTAATCGACGAAACTTCACGTACAAAGCCTAATAATATTAAAGATCTTTATGACATATAAATGATACAGAACTTACCTGATTTTTGTTTCAATTCGAGCCATTTAGAATTTATTTCGATTTCACTCTAAGATAATAAATGATGTTTTGTCACTGCAAAATAACTCGCCTAGTTGCATTCTAAATATTGTTTGTTATTAATTGACTTCAAAATGTATATATTATATTATTATATATTATATTTTTATTAAAGTTCAATTATTTATCAGAAGCTAGAAATTCAGATCAAAGAATATTTTCTTATATTTACACGAGTTTATGTTAATTTAAATAGTATTTATTATGTATTTTCCTATGGGAAAGAAAAGTACCAAGACACTTGCTCGGTTTTTGTGTTTTGTTAACCAACACTGGAGTTGGTGTTGTCTGTTCCAAACGATTTAAAGCGATGTCGCTGGTCAAGAAGCACGTGTTGGGATTCTCATCAAATGGTGGGAAACTTTTTGCATTAATTGATGAACACGGCACCCTACGAATATGGGACACTGAGTCGAATACATTAAAGCAGGAATACAAACCAAACTTTCAAATATCTGGCCATTGCACTGCCCTCACATGGATTACAATTAGTGCTCCGCGTCCAAAGAAGTCTCGCAAATCACTGCAAGTTAATTCTACACTAAACGATAAGCATTGTATAGCACTCGGCACGTCTAAGGGAACAGTTGTGCTCTATTCAGTGATAGAGGGGAAGGTATGTGCTTAACTCCTTTATATTTTAGAGCGTTTATTCAAAGTTTTGATGTGCCCTTAGATTGATCGAATTTTGGGAGGCGATAAACATGATGGATCAATCACATCCATTGCCTATGACAATGATGGACATCTATATACTGTTGGCACAGACGGTCGAGCGTTGGTGTGGTCCTTAGCCGAGGAGCGGTGCATTAACCAGTGGCCAGTTGGACCCGAAAATCCATTAAATGTAGTATTTTTGCCAAAGAGTCGAACTCTGGCCGTTGCCTCACGTCAATTGAAGATCTTTGATGTGGACAAGAAGGAGCTGGTAGAAACATGCATCGGGCATTCGGGCGAAATTAATGCAATCAATAGTTTTCACTGCAACAATAATGAATATGTCATAACGACAGCCAAAATGGAAAGGGTTATTTCGTTCTGGAAAATTGATAGAAAAGGCAGAAATAAGGCTTCAGTATGCACGCTGCTAATGGAGGATGTGGCACACAGTGTAGCGTGTGATGTGCACGATGATGGAGAATTGCGCGTAGCAAGTGTGACCCGCAATGGAAACATACACATTTACTTGCTCAATGCGGAGAGGTAAGTAGTTGATCTATAAAATGTTTATCTAATATTTATGCTTCGTTTTTTTACAGCCTCTCTGCTGAGAAATATATTAAACCAAAAGTTTCGCTGCAAATCGCTTCGGATGGCGCTGAGACTGTGGAACCGATTCATGCAATCGCTGCTTATTTTGTCAAAGATGCTCAACGGTCGCACGATATACTTTTTGGCTACGGCAGTCGTCAACTGCTACAGTTCGAACGTTACACTCCAAACTACGCTGAGAAACTGAATGTTATTGTACGCACCGCACCGAAGAAATTGTATATCAAGAACAAGCGTAATGAACCGGGCACAGAAGCTGCTCTGAAAGCTCAAACACCAATTGTTCGCACTAATGAGGTGGAGTACAATAGCGCCTTGCCCATGTCCAAAAAGAAGGTACAGAACGAGGTGCCTATGGAGGCAAGACTGCAGAACTTGTCGATCCAACCGACGAAGCTGCCGGGTGGCAAACTGCAAAGCCAGAGTAAGACGCAACTGCTGATGCAGGCGCTACACAGCCAGGATCAAACGTAAGCTATTGAGCTTTAGTTTAATAATTAACACTAATATCGTTTCCTTGAAGCATGTTGCAATCCGTGTTGGCTTCAAACGATGAGAAGACCGTTCAGTTAACACTCGATCGTTTACCCCTTGAATATATAGGCCCACTAATCAACGAGCTGTCCACGCTGCTCCAAGGCAAAGCGGCCAAGTGAGTAATGCATCTATATGAATTAAGTAATATGTATATGGAAATATTTTCTTGTAGTGTAATTTGTGCTCTACGCTGGCTGCAAACCCTGGCAACAACTCATACGAGTGTCATGATGTCTGAGAACAAGGAGGAACTGCGCGATAAGTTGGGCATTTGCCTCGGCATTGCGGAGCAACGTCTACATTGCATTACAGAAGCCCTGCAGTAAGTTTTACAATTCTCAATACTATATCGATGGTATAGAATCTTCAAGCCAAGCTAAGCTACGCTGAGAACTGTCGTTAAATGTTTTAAGATACCCCAATCAATCCCAGCAATTACATTAGTTTTTAAGAGAAATCTGTTTCTCGTTTAATACATATACGTGTAAATTCAACAATCTTTTTTGGGTTGAATATTATTCTTCGGCTTATCGACGCTGCCATGACGACACTCACAGATCTCCGCATAGAAACTTAGTTTGCTATGCAAGATGCTATCAATATAGAATCTTTGAAATGTATTTGTTGGTATCGCCCGTTCACCCAAAGCATAATATAGTGTGCGAAATCCTTCGAAGCGATATGTAATCATTACTGGATAATAACTTTGCATGATACTCGATACGGTGATGATGAACCGAACCTTGGCAACGGCCAAAGGATTGGGACAACGTTGAGTGGGTCGCGAGAAGTGAGCGTCGACAAAGTAAATAGTGCCTTTTAGAGCCACCTCGTGGTGCCGATTATTTGTAAGGACCACACATTTCGTATGTGGCGATAAGATCCATTTACCGATAAAGTCTCGGATCACAGCCAACACATTACTATACTCGAATTCACTAATCTTTAGCCATTGCTGAACGAAATCACTCGAGCCATCACTTAAATTAAACGAGGGTGAATTTACTCCAAGGACGTCGTTCATAAAATTTAAAAGTGTTATTGGATACTTGTAGCAAAAGAGCCCACGCGGATCTGACTCAATGATCTTAATTGCTGTACAGATGGTTGCATCAATCACATCGTAAAGTACTTGCATATCTGCATCATCGCCCAATGGCATATTGCACTGGGCAACCGAACGGAGAAGTTCATCGGCTTGGTTTAATTTTGCACTGATTTGTACATCAGGGGTCACTATATATGATGATGACATGGTGTCAATTTGTGTGGTAATTCTAATAGATAATTTTGTGGTATTTGTTAACTGCGCTGTTTTGAATATTATATTTACGTTCTATAAGAGTAGCTTATCAAGAATTGTTTGCTTAATATTTTATAAATTTTGTTGTATTTTAGAGTTTCTGGTCGAGTTAACTTGATTATAAATCAAATGAAACGAAATGCGGAAAACAAGTTGAATGCAAACAATGTTTTAGTTATAGACGAGGATCCAGGTAATGGGCTTATATTTAATTTACTATGCTTTATAATATTTAATGTAACAAATACGTTTCTAGAAGATGCCACGCAAGCGGGCGAAAACAATTGGAGCGATTTGGAGGAGGAGGCAGAAACCAGTAGAAACTACGCCCTGGATAATGATCAAATGGAAGCGGATGATGATTTGGCAGCTGATGAGGAGAACCTCATAGAGACACAGAATTCATCGGAAGATGATAATGATGAAGAGGGTACAGACACAGATGCCTCTGCGGGCTAAAAAAAAATAACCTTTCCCTCCCTCCTGCCCAAAACAATTAAATAAACTACAACAGCTTTGATTTCAAATACATTTTCTGTTTTACATTTCATGCAATCTTCTTTTTTAAACTTTTTTACATGTAATTTAGCTACATTTAACAACATATATATCTGTGTAATATAGTGTAACTACCGATAGTGAATTTTTGCCAATTTGCAAACAAATGCTTTATGTATATAATCCCAATATGCATGCAAATATAGTATAGTTTGAATTTTGTGCCAAAGAACAGAATTTCGTAGCGCGAGTATATAAATAAGTAAAAGACGTAATTGTCAATTTTTGGTATGCGCGTGGCTTACTTCCAGTTGGCCTTGATGAAATTGATTAAGCCATTTGTGGAGCCATCGTGGCTAGAGATCTCCTCGCAGTTGTCCAGCTCTGGTTCAATTGCCTTGGCCAACTGTTTGCCTAACTCGACGCCCCACTGATCGAACGAGTTTATGTCCCAAATGATGCCTTGCACAAAGATCTTGTGCTCATAGAGGGCTGAAAAGTGAATTCAGCATAAAGTTAGTCTAAAATTCGTAGGGCTTTCTCTACAGTTAACTTACCGATCAATGCACCTAGGGTGAAGGGTGATACTTTCTTGACCACAATCGAGTTGGTTGGGCGGTTGCCAAGGAACACCTTGTGTGGCAACAAGTTTTCCAGCTCGTTGCCGCACAGGCCCGCCGTGGTTAGCTCATTTTTGGCCTCATCGGCGGTCTTACCCATCATTAGGGCCTCCGTTTGAGCCAGGAAATTCGAGAGCAATATCTTATGATGTTTACCACCGGCAATGGGATTGTGCGTCTGTGCTGGTGCGATAAAATCGCAGGGAATCAAACGCGTGCCCTGATGTATGAGCTGATAGAAGGCATGTTGGCCATTTGTGCCTGGCTCGCCCCAAACAATTGGACCCGTATTATAGCTAACTTTCTTGCCCGATTTGCTAACAAATTTGCCATTGCTTTCCATGTCGCCCTGTTGGAAATATGCAGCAAATCGATGCATATACTGATCGTATGGCAGTAGGGCGTGCGTTTCGGCATTATAAAAATTGGAATACCAAACGCCAAGCAAAGCCAGAATAACGGGTGCCTACGAAATGTAAAAGTTCATTATGTTAATTTATATTTAATTACATGCCAGAGCCTTTGTTTACTCACATTTTTCGCCAGCGGTGCAGTGCGGAAATGATTATCCATATAGTGCGCGCCCTCGAGCAGCTGTTCAAAGTTCTCAAAACCAATGGACAAGCAAATGGACAAGCCAATGGCAGACCAGAGAGAGTAACGGCCGCCCACCCAATCCCAGAAGCCGAACATGTTGGCGCTGTCGATACCAAACGCAGTCACCTTTTCCTTGTTTGTGGACAGAGCCACAAAATGTTTGGCTACCGAATCCTCCTAGAAGCAAATTACATATATTAAAGATTTACACTATCTCAAAAAATATCTACACTCACATCCTTGGCATGCTCGAGCAACCAAGTCTTAGCCGAAGTGGCATTTGTGATCGTTTCTTGTGTTGTAAAGGTCTTGGACGCAATGATGAACAGCGTTGTCTCGTAGCTGACCTTTTTCAGTACCTCAGCCATGTGGGTGCCATCGATGTTCGAGACGAAATGCGAATGCAAGCCCTTGCCATAAGGTTTCAGCGCTTCGGTAACCATCAGTGGACCCAAATCGGAGCCACCGATGCCAATGTTAACCACATCGGTGATTTGTTTGCCGGTGCAGCCACGCCAAACGCCAGAGATGACCTTGTTGGTAAACTCCTTCATATGCGCCAACTCAGCGCGTACATCAGACATCACATCCTTTCCATCAAGCAGCACAGGTTCCGTGCCGCGATTACGCAACGCCGTATGCAAAACAGCACGATTTTCGGTAATGTTGATGTGCTGCCCGCTGAACATGGCATCACGAGCCACCTCAATACGTCGCGTCTTCGCCAATTCCAATAGCAAAGGCCACACTTCATCGTTCACACGATTCTTAGAGTAGTCCAACAGAATTTCACCATCGTTGGGCGTTGACAGTCGTAAACTAAATTGACCAAAAGAAAAATAAAACAAAAATTTATTATTAATTAATAAAAAGTAATTTGTTTGACCTTAACCAAGTTTAAATTGATATTGGATATGACAATGAAAAAAAGCGAAAGTTGAATATGAAATACACTAGCAAATAGTGAAGTTTATGGTAAAAATAATATCGAGGTCTGAATTGGATAATTCGAAACAACTACATGAGACATGTTTACTCTTCTTAAACCTAATATTTAAGATATTGCTTTCGAATATATTTAAAAAGATTTTGAAAATTTAGAAACTAAAAAACTCAGTAACAAACAAGCAGAGCTTTTTGGTTATATCAATCAATACACAAATAAATATATACATACATATGCATAGATGTTTGTTGTATCAATGTGTGTGTGTAACATATTTGATAACCATATCATAATACTCCTGCAAGGGTATAAAAGTCATTGATTTGACCTTACGCAAGGACAAAGATAATCAGATAACTCGCCGTAAATAAATATTAAGTATTTATTCGATTATCAAAAATGTTATAACATTATTTCTTATCAATTCTTAATTTCGTATAATTAACCAACACTTTTTTCATTTGAGGTCCAAAGCTTTGTGATTTGACCGCCCAATTAATACATTCAAATAAATATGTGTATATGTTTTTGCAGATATACGCACATATTCAATCTTATACATATGCATGTGTGCTTCTGTTGAAGTATAGATAATTGTAAAAACTCACCTGTATTTGGAGAAGCGCTTAGGATCGTTGATGAACAGATTCTTAATGACCAGATCCTTGTTGTGGGCGTCATAGAACTCCTGGAGTTTCTTGAAAATTGGCTCTTGATTAAGCGGAGGCAGTGTACCAGCCATTTTCCTTTCGAAGGTTTTGTTAACACACGTTGACACAAACAAAGACAAAACTCAACTGCTTAAGCAAAAGAGATGACACTTTACTTAAATGTGATTAAAACTGCGTCGATTTGACTACTGCACAAATTCTTTGATAATCGGTATTGGGCAGCACGGCCCACAGCGTAGCTCCACAAAAGCGCCGTTGTTATACTAATTGCCGATATGGTACCGCAATGGTAGTCCTTTTCACCCACCCGCCAGCTGGAAATGTGTGCAACTTCAATGTCAAATGAAAAACAAGTCGCGATGTTGCCACACTGCAAATATATCTCGGTACCAAAGGCAATTGTATTTGAGAAACTTAAACTGTTAAAATTTAAATTTTATTATTTTAGCATATATCAAAAGTATCGAAAAAGACATTTTATTTTTGTATAAAATAGAAAATACAAAATATTTGATATTTATGTTCTGTAAAAAAGTGGCAGCTCTGTTTCTACAGAACTACCAAATCGAATCATTTTAAATATTGCTATAGATGAGGGAAAAATATAAACAAAAAAACGATTAACCTCTGCAAAAATACTAATAATAATTATTATAAATAGTTTGCTTATATCTTATGTGCAGCATGATTTTAGGCAATGACATTTTTGAATAGAATCTTTTTCGAACAGTTGTCATGCACGTCGTAACGTGTGTGACTCCCTACTTCACTTGTTGGCCATTCAGTTGTAACGTGTTTGTTTAGGCACTGCACCAGCATATGAACAACCCAACACTACAAAAAGATGGCGACGCGCTCGCTACTTGTTAATTAACAGTGCCAGTTGTTATTTTTTTTATATTGCCCTTTAACTTTAATCGAACGAAATAAATAAAATGTAAACAACAAATACGCGAGACTTGCATGCAGAACAAAACCATAATGCACTGCGCCTGCAAAAACGAGAGTGAAGTGAAACAAATACAAAACACTACAAAGGTAAATTGAGCAACAAGTAGCCAAAAATGTTTAAATTAATGTGAGCCCAGAAAATGATAAATAATGACATTCCAAATGTTCAATTGCACGTTGCAAGTGGCTGGTGTACAATATATGTGTGCAAGTTGCAAAGAAAATTAAATGCACACGTAACCTTGTGAATACGCGTAATTCGGTGGCACTTGCAAAGGCATTGGCTTGGCTTGCATTTGAGTTTTTTATTAAAAAAATGAAATGCTCATTTATTTGCAGTGCACAATTTAACAATTGAAAAGGACGTCGGGTACGTCAACTGTAATAAACAAAACGCAACATGGACACGGAAACGGGCAGCACCACCAGCAGCAACAGCAGCAGCAGTAATTCAAGTAGCAGCAGCAGCAGCAGCAATGGAAATATTGTCTATGCCATCACAGATGTCTCCACAAATCATCTCAACGAACAGCCGCAAACGAAGCGACAGAAAATAGAGAAGCAAATACATTTAGTGGCTGCCAAATCACCGCCAGATATATTGGCGTCGGCGGCAGCGGATGTCATGGATGCCAATGGCAACAATAGGAGTCATCTGTTATCCTCATCGCTATCTTCGTCCTGTTCCACACACTCGCTGTCCAGCAGCACAAACAACTCGCCGACAACGACGCCAAGTAATTCGCGCGCCGCCTCCTATGCGCAGCTACTAGGCGGCGTACAACATTTAGTCAACAACATCTTGCCACAAAAGGGTAGCGAAGGCGTTGCCAAGGATGAGGTGGATCGAGCTGCGCAGCTAACCGAATTGCTAATGGCAACAAAGGAGTTGACACAGACAACGACCGGCAGCAGCAGCAATAGCAGCAGTAGCAACAACATATGCTCCTCCTCCTCCGCCTCGACCATTGACGATATGCTGGAGTTTGAGCAATCGCTAACGCGCCAATGTCTGTGCGGCGTCTCGGAGCGTACGTTAAGGAAACCCTTTCAATCGCACTACTCACACGACTCGAATGGTCAGAAGCGCATTGCCTATTTGCGTGAATGGCCTACCAACAAGCTGCTGCAGTTCCTCTCTAATTTGCAGCTGCTCTTCGACATTTACTTAAAGCAGAATGCGAAGGGCTTCATTTGTACACGGATTATGGATGTGTGCGATGCTTTAATACGCAACGATCATAAGCTGATCGATGAGATTATTGTACTGGCTGGCTATAACAATTCCTATGTGCAATTTTTGGCAGCGCGCGTCTTAGCCGCCTTTTTGGTTATTGCCAAACAGGAGCTGAACGACGAGTGGCTGCAAAAGATTGTTGATCAATTGTTCAACTATGATCTGCTCGATCAGACAGCTGTGCAAAAGATACACTTTAGCTTAGATATAATCAAACGGATTGTGGAATGGAAGGATGTGGAGCTGCATCCGCTGGATGATGAATATACGACGAGCAGTACGGCGGCCAGCACAGCTGCAGATACTTCCATTAGCTATATGCATTTCCCTGTGCAGGATCAGCCGCTGGCGAATAACTATTTTGCGTTACAATTTCGTGATGCAGTCGAGGCTGACGTGGACCACTACGACAATAGCCAGAGTACAACAACAACAACAACAAATAGCAGTAATTCACCCGCTAACTATATACCAGCAAATGGTTGCCATGTCGTTGCCCTTACCGATTCGGAGAGTTTCGATACAACGCATTTAAAATGCGTGACCATACAGAAGTTGGAGCATAAATGGCCAACGTTGGTGAAGCATATGTCGGAACTGATGGCGCCTGTGCATCAGGACAGTGCCGAGCATTGTGTACTCAACTTTCTGCAGCTGTGGGAGAACATAATTTCGGTTAAAGCGAATCTCTCGATAGATGAGACGCGGCCGTTCTATGCGCAGCTGGATAAATTTGAGCTGCTGCTCAATCAGAATCTGTCCTGCACGGTTTACAAGCAGATGCTCTGTCTATTCAATGAAGCGCTCTGCTATGGCTCCACGCTGGCGCTGCAGGACATGCTGCCGGAGGAGACATGCAGGCTGGCCCATCAGATTGTCTGCCATGTGCGCAGCTTACGCATACTCGAATCCTTGCCACGGCGCCAACCTGAAAACATTGTTGGACTCATTGGTTACAATGGTGCGCCGATTAATTATGTCCCTGGCACGCTACTCCTTCACAACGCGCTGCCGACACAGGAAGCGACGGAGGCTGCAGCGGCAGCAGCAGCCGCAGCAGCTGGTGGAGTAGGCCTCATCGAAATGGATAAGACTTTGCTGCAAAAGATGGTGCTACTGGTGCTGAAATCGATAGCGGTGACTGTTAAGGAAATACGGAGCGATTCATCTGATTCATCAATTGATTCAACCGATTACGATGCATTTCAGGATATACAGCTGATCGAACGATCGATAAGAGATGTCTTAAGTAAACTGGAAGCATTCATTAAGCAAACATTGGAGTTCCATCCGGAATGCCATTTTAGTAAAATACTAATACACCTCTTTGATGATCAGGATGATCATTTGATAGAGGCAATGGTTTGCACCTTGGATGTCACGTCGGGCATCTCGTTTCGGAATAATGCCTTTCCAGAGCTGGTCGCAATGCTGAATCCTGTATATACATTCCTTGAGTTTCTCAAAATGGCATCGAATAACTCCGATCTGTTGCTCGATTTGCTCGTCAGCAATGAGACCTGCTTTCTGCTGTATTTACTTCGATTGCTCAAATATATACGGATGAATTGGACGATGTTCGTGCATAGCTGTCATAGCTTTGGCATGGGCAACGCCATGCTGGACGAGGCGATGGGCGTGCTCATCCGTTTGCGTCTGCAAATATCCCGGCTCGTCTCTCGACAACTATATCCCTATGATATATCGCCAGTTCTCCGTTTGCTGGAGAGCTGCGAGAGCCTGTACGAAGGCAATGAGCTTAGTTAAAGATTAATCCTTAATCACACTTCCACAATTGCAATTAAAATACGTAATTTATTATTTTGTATTTAAATGAATAGCTGAAGATGAAGAAAATAACGAAAAACTAGCACAAAATTCAAGAAAGTTTTTGTAGATTTGTCACATAATTCTTAATCTAAGTTAGACTTTATGCTCTTCCTTTACTCGTACTCTAAAACAATGCATAGACTTTCTTTATGTTTCCCATCTCAATCTAAAAGCTAAGTTAATAAAAAATAGAATACTTTATATATATTTATATATATATATATGTATGTACATCAACTGGTTTTGAATACTTTTGATATTTGATTCCAAAAAAACGAGAAGAAAAGAAAAACAAAACACAAAAATGTTAGCCTAAGATTGTTTTAAATCTTGCCCTTAAGTAGATTATTAGCATATATATATAAATAGATCTATATGTTCTGGTAATACGGCTCATCTGTGCAATTGATTAAATGTGTGTATATTTGTATATCTTCATAATTGCATGGGCGTAGTTATAATGTAATTTCTATGTTTCAAAATGCCTTAATAATACTACACTTATTGATTAAAAGCAAAAACAAAAAACTGACAAAATATAATCTACAATTTATTTGAGGTGGAAAATAGATTTCAAGCAATGAGAGACTGGAATATATGTATGAAATGTGAACCTGCAACTTTAATATTATTTGTTAATATATATAATATATCAAATCATAGTTTTATTTATATTTATCAGATATGAAATATTTAGCATGCAAACTTTTTACTGAGAGACTCGAATATAAAACTATTTAATAATTTCCTTGAGCTTGAAGGGGTTCTGCTTCTGAGACTTAATGCTCAACATTTATATATATATATATATCAAATATTATTCATAAATTGCTTATTTAATATAGATTAAAAAGTTTTTATAATTAGTTTGAGACACGTAAGAATGTGGTTTGATTAGAGAACAAAAAACTTAAATACTTTTTATAGCTGTAGAGCTATGGAGCCGTATTGGGCGGTACTAAAATATTGCCTAAATTCGTTTCGAAGTTAAAAATTTCAAAAAGTTTTTGGTATATAGACTGGCCTATGAATTTGGCATAACATAACATTTATAACATTTTGTTATATATTCTATTAAAAGCTATAGAGCTCTTAAATTAGTTTTAGGGTGGGTCTCAAGTAACTCTGAAGTGTTTCATAAATTCGTTGAATACGTATTTCCATTCGTTTTTAAACTTTCAAGCACGAAGGTAGTCTTAAAATCTGCCAAATTTAATTAATGAAAAATAAAATTGTTTATTTTACATTAAGCTAAAATCAATTTTTCTTTAAGCTTTAAGTTGAACTTACAAATTTTTCGAACTACCCTCGCACATATATATATATATATATTTATATATATATATGTATATAGTGTAGTATCATTATTTTAGTGTCGATTTATCATGCGCACCCGCCTCTTCGGATCGGGTGTCTGGACACTGGGCGCTGTCGCGGGCAGAATCATATCGGCTACGGAGCCACGTCTGGCCAGTTCGGGATTCACTAGCGGAGACACCTGCACCACTTGATAGTTAATGCTGATGGGCACCGAAAGGCGACGACTCATACGCGGCTCTAGAATTGGGTGGGGAGAAAGATAAACTTAACTGGGTGTACATAATGGAAGCGATCCATTACCCAAATGGACATCGCCGGGTAGATGTTTGCCTATGGCTGGATGAATGGGTTTGCTGGGATAGGCTCGCTTCACCAGGTCCCTGGCTGTCTGCTCTTTAGCCTTATAACGATCCAGCGATATGGAACGTCCCTCTATAAATATGTTGTGTCTCGTTTGCAATGGAAGAACATCTTGTAAGAGAAAAGTTCGTATATAATATATATATATATATATATGTATATATGTATGCATATCAGATTTTGGTATTTAAAATAGAAGAATTAGAAAATAGGATAAATAAAACACAAATCTTGTGGTTAGATAATACTTTGTAAAATCATCACAGGAGTGCGGAAAAGAGTTTTATTTCACACAGTATATAGAATATATATACACATATATATAGGCACATAAACATACAAAGTCATTAACACTTAAAATTATATATATATATATAGTTATAGGAATCGAAGTACACATACATATAGAAATTGCAGATAAAGTTCAAGTGTAAAGGTATATAGCTTTTGAGACAGGATATGTTTTACATCGATAGCTCACAACATTTATTACAGTAAAAACTATTTGTATTTAGTTTGTTTTGATTTGTTCCCTAATTATGTAATATAACATATATGTAATTATGTAGATCCTCTTTAAAATTTTGGCAAACTTTTTGTTGAAATACCTTTTGAAGCGCGCCGATCTTGGTGATTGTGCCTTTGCTCCTTCTGCGCATAGGATTGTAGGGAGCAGCGACGAAGCCGTTTGTCCCCTTTGCTCTGCTGTGGACAAAACATATATTAATATAGAAAAATTTTAGGTTGGTAGTAGGGCCATTACCGTTTTATAATGCTGATTTATATCGGAAGCCGCTTTTAGCAGCAGATATATAAACACCAAGGCGAACAGATATATAATGGGCTCAGCTGTATTTGGTTTCTTATCCTTTTTTCTTTGCAATTCAGATTTTGATTGTTTGCCCGACGACTTAATTGACTTCATTTGCTGTTTACGTCTCTTAATAGTTGCTAACTGCTGCCCTTTGGAAACCTTGACATCCTTTAAAGTAAACTCTTCCTTGCTGAATACTTCAATTTCTCTGCATACTGGCTGCTCCTCCGGAACGATATCCTTTTCAATTGCGAGTAAATGGTGAAATTGGTTGTTGGCATTTTCTTGATTTAGCTTTAAGGCAGCAACTCCTGGCTTTAGGTAATAATTGTAGTTGTTTTGTACTCCCGCAATCATCAGATAAACTGTGCAAAGCACTATAATTATGCCAATAGGAACCACATGATGATTGTTATTTAAATCAGTTGGTTTTACATTGCGATAACTAATTATATCATCTCTTGAAATATCTTTCGTTTGCATTGCTCTTCAATTTGTAAGCTATAAATAATAAATCTATGTATATTTATGTATCTACAAGTCCAACTGGCTTTCGCTTGGATAAATCGATATTCGAATGTTTAGCATAGCACAATTTTACGCTTGCTCTTGCTGTTTTAATAGAACAATTTCTATTGGACGTTATTTGATGTGATTTTATAAATTATCTTTGATATTATTTGAAGTTTTTTGTATGCTTCAGAAGCAAAGCTAAATAACAAACACTGCGTACTAACACTACGAATGCGAGTATGAATACGAATACGAACTAAAAATACGAATGCGGTATACGAAGGGAATTTATGATGCTCGGAATAAATCTCTTTACTTCGGCTGCAGACTCTTGTTGAAGCTGGACGTTAGGCATGTGAGTTGATTGAGTATTTCTGTAGGGGAAGAAACACAGTATATATTATATATTATTAAATTACAAATTGGTCTTACCACTAATTTCCAGACTCGCTGAGTTGCTCTCATTGTTTGTGGCAAGCTTGACGCTTTCAAAAACATTATGACGCTTAAACATCGTAGTGCGTAGGCTTTCCTCTGTAATAGAAAATGACGTATATATAATACTCAGTATTATAAAGTATAAAGTCAAGCTGCATTGCTCTATGTCTCTTTCGATAACTTACTTCTGCGTAAACAGTTCTGCACTTTCAACTTAAGATACTCGGATTGCATTTGATCAGTATTAAAATTTTCCAGCTTAGAGCTATTCACTTTACTGCGTTGCTTGTGAGTATTGTAAAGTATGCTGCGTGATGGAGAGGCTACTAGACCTTGCAAACTGTCTGTTGTTTCTTCCACTTCAACCTCCAGAGGCTGCTCCGCTTTTTCCCTGAAACCAGTTGGTTTATTCTCCTCGTCGACAATATGCACGTGTAACTTACGCAGAATGTTGCGTAATATTTTAAATCTCTTAATAATGCGCTCGGGCTCTACTTGGGAAGCGCACATTAGAATCGCTTTGCATTCGCGCACAATTTTCACAAAGTTTTGCAGCTGTTCATGTCCTTGTGGCAGTACAGTCTTTCGATTGACATCCAGTTGAAAGTGTTCCAGTATTGAGAAAGCCATTTGCAAAAGATCCTCTAGTTTCGCCTTGTCGAATTGTTTTTCAATTGAATTGAGCGCATTCGTCAATATTTGCAGATAACATGCGACAAAGGCGCGACTATTTATTATCTCTTGCAGAGCTTGCTTAAATTTTGACATTTCCTCCTTGAAGTGCTGTTCCAATAGTTCGGAATGTAAATCAGATGCATTCGATTGCAGCGAGGGTATTAAACTGGTATCCAAATATTCAAAGGAAGCCAAACAGCTGCGTACAATGGTTTTAACTGAAAAGAATTTCAGAATGGATATAGATATAAAGATTATGGGATATCGAACTAATGTAAAAACCTTTTAAGTTGGGCGCAAAAGCTATGGCATATATGCCAATTTGTGTTGCACGATCCAAATTGACATCGAAATCAGCTATGAATTCATCTGCAGCTGCTTCTGTATTTGAGCTCCTCAATAAATTACGTATTTTATCAACGGAAATTCTTTGAAAATCCAAAAAACATGTATAGACCAAACGTAGGAGAGCCTCGTTGAGATACTCCTCGAGTTGATAAAGCGCCTGCTCCAAGGTTAAGGCTCTCAATTTTTGATTGGAATAGTTGCTGGCTAGAAGACAATCCTCTTGAAAGGCGCTGCAATCGCGCATAACCTGAAAGAGTAAAATATAAACGTTAACATCTCATATAATTGATATTCAACACATATAAATGAATACCCTTTGACATAGCGCGCTAAGTGCCCTTTTATCCTGTTGCAAAGCCACATTGGCAAAGGACAACGTCTGACCTAGCAGCAAATCCACTTGGCACTTTATTTGCTTGCTTAAAAGATTCACATCCATAAAGCTTTTATCCACATGCTCGCTTGTGAAATCTGTAAGCGAGTCAAGCAAAGAATCCAGTAATTTAAGAAAGGAAACGCCTTCTGTGGCGTTATCTTGAGGAGCTCCTTTTACTGTGGACAGCAGACAAATGCATAGTCGATTGAGGCAAACTTTGATGCGATCAGTGAAATGTAAATGACTAGCCTGAAATAACAGAAGTTTCAATATTCGTAGATACTATCAAATGCCGTCTTACGGGAATCCTTAAGCCACTCGATTCCTCCGTTTGAATTGTACATTCCAATTGTCGAACACATATTAGTATTTGCGTTAAGCACAGACAAATAATTTCCAATGAATCAGGTTCAATTTGATTACTAATATAAATTTGCAACTTATTTGCAAATATTAAAAATTTTGCACAGAAGTCCTAAAAAAAATACAATGCAAACAACTGCAACCGGTAAATTGAAATGCTTACATTTAGCCAATTTATGTCGCCCTTGTTCACCCTACTACAATCTAGCATACGCAGGCATGCATCCAATTGCTCTTTTAATGGTTGCATTATTCAAGAAATTCAAAAACACTTTACTTGTTGCACATGCAAATAAAAGAACACACAACAAAGGTTTGGTTTACTTTTTTTTTTTGAAAACAGTGGCTTGTAGTGTGCATGTCTGGCAGCACTCTTTGCAATTTCGCATTTTGACATTATTGTTGCCAGACTTTCGAAATGAGTGTGACGTACAGACGCAGACGTACACTATTTTCGATAGCAAAAATTGTAGTATTCTTTAACCATTAAAAAATTCATTTACATCTATGCAAAAAACAGTAAACATCGGCTTATAACTTAAAGAAGCAAGCACATAACCCATAATCTGTTTAACATATTATTAACACACACATTACAGACATTTAGTGCAGCGCATCCAGAACGACAAGTGCAAGAAAATGAGCACGTCAAATGCAAGCCGTAAGGAAACGGAACGCACGAAATTGATGCAGGAAAAATGTCAAACCCTATTAACGCAAATGCTACGCGATGATGACAATAAATATTGTGTGGATTGTGATGCCAAGGGTAAGTTAACACTGCAACAAGATATCCACACACTTGTCCTTAGTGTACATACATAAATACACAAGAAAAAAATGAGTTGTATGTAAACATATGTACACATGCATGCATTCATATATTCATTATATTTATCCTCTTCAGTTATTACTCAGGACAGATTGTTAAGGATTCTTACTCATCCATAGCTTACATTACGTACATCATTTTAATTTAGTTAATGGCACTGCACGCAATCCGAATGTTTTAAGTGTACTCCTCCCCTTTTTTAATAGGGGTCAGGGACGATTTAACAGTACAGTGAAATCTCCACATAACAAACAGCTTTCTCAAAGAAAAGTTGTGCTATTAGCTGTTAGGAATTGTTTTTACTGTAGCGGATTCAGGCTGTCAGCAGCCATATCTGATGTGTAGCACATAACCACATTTGTAAATAGTCTTTACATATATTTAACGTACGGTTGTCCACTCTCTTGAGCTTTCACTGTTGCTGATAATATTACCATCCATATATAACTCGACATGCATATTTTTAGCATCATAAGTGTGGTTTTCTAGATAAGCATAAAATAAATTCTCGCTAAAAACTGTTTTTTAGTTCTTTGTTTGTTTGTAAATAATTAATAATAATTTATTGCAGGTCCCCGTTGGGCATCATGGAATCTGGGCGTGTTTCTGTGCATTCGATGCGCTGGCATCCATCGTAATCTGGGCGTCCACATATCGCGTGTGAAGAGCGTCAATCTGGATGCCTGGACACCGGAGCAGGTGATTTCGTTGCAATTGATGGGCAATTCGCGTGCTCGAGCTGTTTACGAGGCGCAGCTGCCGGATGGTTTTAGACGGCCACAAACAGATACGGCCCTGGAGAATTTCATACGGGCGAAATATGAGCATAAAAAGTATTTGGCTAGAGAATGGGTGCCGCCCTCGCCGCCTAAAGTCGATTGGGCCAAGGAGATAGACGAAGAGCTCGAAAGGCAGAAGCGTAAAAAGAAAGCAGGCCAAACTGGATTGGGCATTAGCAATATAACGAGCAACAGTGACAAGCGCATCTCGGCAACTACAGCAGCGAAAAGTGCACCATTGCCAGCGCCACTGCCCAAACCAAAGCCAAATCAGGTGGGTGGCTGCAGTCCAAAGACTTCGCATCGAGTGCAAAACACCAATAGCATTAATAGTGGTGCTGCTGAAAGTGATCTATTAGGGCTTTCCTCGCCGACAAAGCCAATAGCAGCGAGTGCTGTACAGGATCTGCAGAATGATAGCTTCACTAGCTTCCTGAGTGCTGGCAGCAGTAATGTGACACCAGAGAAAACGAACGGTAATGGTAACGGAATTTGTGGCGATGCGTCGCTTACTATGCCAAACAGTCAACCAAATTCGTTGGCTCAGCAGGAGCAGGACTTCTTCAGTCAAGGCACACTCACTGCCAGCGACAAGGATCAGTCGGGCAAGATGTCCAAGGATAGCATATTGGCATTATATGGCAATGCACCAACCACACATAATCCACAACTGAGCTTCGGTAATTTTACAGGCATGGCACCTGGCGGCTACATGCACCATCACCATCAGCAGCAGCAGGTGCCACAACAAACGCATCATCATCATCAGTTTATGACACCTCCCAACTCAGTGAGCATGTATAATGCACCCGTTATGGCCGCGCCAAATGCATTCAGCAATGCACCCACCGCTGGGGCAATGAATCTGGTTGGCAATGTCGCCTTTGGTGGTGGCCAATTTCCAAATGCCACCACAGCTAGCTCCTATATGGTGGGCAACAATCAACAATCAGCAAACAATTTGATGCAAACCAATCAGAGTTTGCTCAGTGGCATGCAACTGTTTGGCAACGCTGGGTCAGCGGTGCAGACGACACCACAATCACAACCACAGCTCCAGCAGCAACCACAACTTGGCATTGGCATGAATCTGATGCAGCCGCTGCCAAGTGGTTTGCCTTCGACGGGTTATCCGGCGGCAACCGGCATTACGGCCACGTCTGTGACGTCCAATTTAAATCAACAATTTGGGAATTTAAATATCGGTAATGTTTGGCAATAAATGAGGGGAAGAGAGACTCTTCTGCTGCATTCCTTTATTGAAGAAACGTTCACATATGCTGAATATAAGTTATAAATTGTTAATGTATAACTTTTTGTACCTACTTGCCTGCGTTGTCGTCGAAACTTCAGTTGTATTAATAGATGAATTCTGTATTTTTTTTCTGTTCTCCCCCCCTCCGTTTATTTGTTTATAAGATGTTGTCAACAGCCAAAACTGCATATACATACATACATGTGCATATATACGTGTATATACATATACATACGAACTGTTTGCAATTATAATATTGGCCCATTTGTACATCCATACATTAAATATCGTACATATATATGTAATTAAAGATAACATAAGACGAATGTAGCAATTGGAATATAAGTTCTCTGTATGTGTATATATGTATATACATACACCATATTATACTATATACATCCAGCCATACGTATGTACGTTCCAACAACACTGGGGAAAGTAAGTGAGATTTTTGTGGCTTTTGGCAAGCGTACTTGTAAGTTATATTTTATCCTTAGAGCGAGCAACATATGTATGTATATGTCCTTCAATACCTAATTGAGAATCCGCAGTGTGAAATACGTATGTACTTCTATTTAATAAGTGGATACAATTTTAATAAATAAATATTCATTAAATATATAATAAATTAATTCAATTTAGTGGTTATTACAAATCGGGAGAAATTTCACTTAACTTTGGTAATTTTAATTAAATTTTAGTCCTATAAATTTGATTCGATTCAAATAATTAATTCTGCTTACTAAAATGAGTATGAAATAAAATCGAATTTGAGGGGCTCAAAATATCACAAAAATGTTACTGTCAGTCTGTGCCTTCCCTGCTGGAATTTAAATTCGCATAATTTTGACAAAAATAAACAAGTTTTTATGTCTTGCTTGATTTTAATAATAAATTATATCATTTATATAAAAAAAAAATTGAATTACTGTCGCTGCCTAAATACAAACTTTTTCATAGCGAAAAGTAGGAGAGCGGGCACTGGTTATTGTCCCACTGGGTATTTCAATGCAACCCTGTAACGATATGAATACCTCCCTTTACTTTTCACACCCCGCCGCCTATTGTTTAACACGTCAACTGCAACAACAAAACTAAAGACTAAATACAAATTGGGTTTGCAAATTTAAAATACTTCAAAAATTGATAGTAATTGGACATGGAGAGCTCCGAAGAGGCATCTGGCAGCACTAATGAGCTGCGAGAGCGAAAATCGACGAACATAAATAAGGAGATGTCAACGAAGGAGGCATATTTTGCCAGCCTTGCCGAGTGGGCTAAACAGGCGGCGCTCATGCAAATGTTTCCAAATTATCTGTTGGCCAACTATAACTATCCCCAATTATTGCAAACGCAATTGCCATATGCAGCGCCAGGCATTGAGCAGCTGCACCCAAATCGTCAGCAACAGAGCCCATTAACGCAGCCACTGCCGCAGCAGGCTACGGCTCAGGCAGCAGCTGCAGCTGTTCGACCAACCTTCAATCGCTTTCGTGTGTTGGACGAGGCGCAGCAGCAGGAGATCATACAAAGATTGGGTGGCACAGAGTTAATCGTGGCGCCCTTTTGGAAACGAGCTGTTGCAGAGGCAATCGATGTCGTCATATTATTTATATTGAAAATTATTGTAACCTTTTCGCTGTTTCATGTTTTTGATCTGGACTTCGATAAGGAGGTGATGCGTAAAACTCTGGAGGATGAGGATATCTTTTTAAATTTCCTAGACATTTCTATGGACTTTATCACACTGTCCTCGGACTTGATACTAATTGAGTTGCTGACCAAGCTTCTAGTCTGTTGCTATGAATGCCTATGGACGGTTTTCTATAATGGAGCTACACCTGGCAAATCGCTGATGAAGATTCGTATCCTCTATGTAGAGGCCGTGGTGCCGCTGCAGGCGCCTGTAATGCCACAATTTGTTTTCCAGGCACAGCGAGAACCTTTGCGTGCCCTGCTCTACCCCGCAGAGACTCCAAGCTTCTTGCGTGCTTTAATGCGCGCCTTTGCTAAGAATCTCGTAATGACGCTATTGTTTCCCATTTGCGTTGTTATGGTTTTCTTCAAAAACAATCGCACGGCCTATGATATTTTAACTAAGACAATTGTGGTCGAGGTAAATCGGAATCCAACTCCTGCCGCGGTGCCTCCTGTTCAAAGGCCTCATCAACAGTAGTCAAATTTTATCTATGCAATGCCAAATCTTGTATGTGTATGAAATATGACAAACTAATTTATGTAATTTTTGTTAACGCTGAAAACTGACTAACAGCTGAGCTCACACTGATTTCCATTATATTGTAAATAGATGAAATGTAAAGACAAGTGTTATTCAAGAAAATGCATATGCGTTCTTATTCCTGTGAACTTAGTATCAATTCCAGTTTCTCAAGTAATTTTACTTTAATATCAAGTTGAGGAACTAATACTAAGCATCGTTATTCTATTGATTCTTAGTGCAAATAAATGGAGAATTTAAATGGAAATAAAAATAAAACTTAAATGTTTCAATCTTTTTAATATTCCACTAAATGAGAATCCACTCCACGATTCTGAAATAAAGTAGTAATATCGATTAAGGCAATGGTAGATATAGAAAAGAATGGTAAGCTTCGTATTATTTAATGATAATAAAAAACCATTATTTAACATGAACATTCTTCAGAGACTGTGCTACAACGGTTCCTTTGCCTGGCACATGGAGTGGAGCTCCTTTATAGCAGGCCACCAGATCCGCATTGGTCATCAAATCCGGCGCACACGTCTCAAAAACTTTCTTCTTCGGATTGAGCTGTGCATCCGGTTGACGTTCATAGCCCTCACAATGAACTAGATCTCCAGGCACAGCACCAGCAGGTGGACTTAGCACTTCAACCTTGTCCGGTGTTGAAGCACACATGACCATTGCCTCGGAAGTAACGCCACGCATCTTGGCTGGCTTCAAATTGCAGAGAACAACGACTAAACGATTTTGCATTTCCTCTAGTGGCACAAATTTCACTAGTCCCGAGACAACAGTACGCGGAGCTGCTTCTCCGCAATCAATCTTTTCCAGATACAGGCTGTCCGCGTCAGGATGGCGACCGACCTCAACAATTTTACCCACACGCATATCTAAGCGGCCAACATCAACAGGAGCTTCGGCAACGGCTTTTGGCTTTTCAGCTGGAGCTTTCTTCTCCTTTATCTTTTTCTCTTTGGGAGCAGATACTGGAGCTGGAGCTGGAGACGCAGATGCGGCTTTCGTTTCAGTTTCCGCTGGAACAGCTGCGGTGGACGTTGCTTCGGTTTGGGTACAGAATCCTCGATTACCCGGCACCGGTATTTGTCTCTTGCCGTTGCGTATTTCCAGAGCGACGAGTTGTGCTAAAGCTGCTTCAATTTCCTTCGTTAAAGTTGCGTTTTCCTCAATAAGCTCCTGCTTCTTGCGTTCGACGAGCTCGTGTTGAACAGCCTCCATCTGAAATTGGTTAAAATTAACTTATTTGAACATGATTTTCCATTAATGTTACCTCTTGCTTTATTGAGTTAATAAGACTTTCGGCACGCCGATTGTTTTCAACAATTTTTTGTAAATCAGCCATTTTCAAGCTTTTTCCGAACTGATCTCTAGTTAAGTTTAATGCAAATCTGCATGTGGCACGAAGCATTCTTATGGGACAGCCAGGGCTACAAAATTGATACGATGATTTGACATGTACATTAAGAACTAAGCTCAAATATTGGTATTTGGTAAAATGAAAAAATTATTTCATTTTTTCGAATTACTAGTATTCATTCTGATTCAAAATGCATTCAATTTGTTTAAATTTGTGATTTAAAATTATGTATATCGATAATTTATTTGGCGTTTGTTTCATATTTTTACTACAACATATCGATACATTTTGGATGTTAAACGATGATGATTCGTGAGCCTATATATATACGCAACAACAACTGATGCAAATAAAACTTCAATATAAATAATAAGCGTAAACAGTAGATAAAGAGTGTCCTTGGTTCCCAAAATGGATTACGTTTATTGCGGCGGCGCCGATCAAATCGGCGCGTCAGAAGACATTTTAAGTACGTCAACCAATACACATATACACAACTTACATGTATGCGTATTGTATATTTTTTGAAACTTTCTCCATTTTTATTTATATATGTATATATAAACATTAATTCATTATAAACTATATCTATACATTTAGGTGTTTACGATACTGGCCCCGCGCGTAACTCGGATCATTATTCACCTAGTTTTAATGGATTTAATATTGGCTCCAGCGATGCAGATTATGTCGCTAGCCCGATACCAATTCTTGCTGACGGCGGTGAAAATTTCGGGGTCTCAACTGTGGCCTTCGATGACTATGAAGAGCTTCTCTGGATGGGCAACCAAGGCGTGAGGCATTCACTATCTGAACTAACAATCGACTTTGCTATAAAAATATATCTTCATTGACAGGGCCATGTTACGTCGTACTATACTAGCTCCTTGCAGAAATACACATCATTCCAGGTGCATGCCAGCGATATAGTCAGACAAATAATAACGATTGATTCGGGAGTGCTAGTATTAACGCAGACATCGCTGCGCCATCAGATACGCCGGGGACTACCAAAGTTTACGCACAAGTAAATCGTTTATATACTCCTAAATTCTGTATGTTTCACTATTTATGTCTCATATATTGATTCTCAACTCTTGTTTTAAACAGATCCAACAACATGGCTGAAATGGTGTGCATGCTGCAGTTGTCCCCACATCGTCTGGTCATGGCTGGTCTGCAGGAGGAGCTCATCGACTTCGATATGCGCAGCTTGAAGGAAACACGGCTGGAGCATGTCGGATCTGCTGGTTGCACGGTCCTTCGCAAGAATTCTCGCTATCTCTTTGCAGGCGATCAGTTTGGCACAGTCACTTTGAGAGATTTGAACACCCTCAGCGTGGAGCATACCATCAAAACACATACGAACAGCCTTTCCGATTTCGATGTGCAGGGCAATTATCTCATATCATGTGGCTATAGTGGGAGGCAAAATAATTTGGCGATCGATCGTTTCTTAATTGTATACGATCTGCGTATGCTGCGTCCGATCTCTCCCATTCAAGTGCTAATTGATCCACAAATGTTGAAGTTCTTGCCTTCGCTTACATCCCGCCTGGCCGTTGTATCGAGCTACGGTCAATTCCAGTTGGTTGATACTGTCGAACTGAGTGAGCCACGCGTTTCTATGTATCAAATCAATACAAATGGTAGCCAATGCTTGAGCTTTGACATCAGCTCATCATCGCAAGCGATGGCATTCGGTGATCAATCAGGTCATATTAATACAATTACCTCAGTACAGACGCCACAGCCGCAATTTAATGCTTTTTCGAGAAACACAGAATTCGCGGACGTAGTGCCACAGTTACCGATGGTTCCCTTTGGGGACACCAATTTCCCCTTGTCCTCGGTTATGTTGCCTCATTTGACAACGGGTACGCGTTGGTTTTCTGACTGGCCCGAGGAGCTCTTGCACTATGGCTATCACCGTCCAAAGACCATCGATGCAGATGTGCTGAATAATATGAAAATGCAGGGACCTATTGGCTACTCCCCCAATCCTAGAACAGCTCGACGTAATCAAATACCCTATTGCTTGGTTGAACAAGGCCAAGGCGGTGCAGGCAATCCCAATGCCAATGGCAATACGGCAGCTACGAAAGCAGAAAGCGGTGTTAAGATCATCCCGAGGCGATACCGTAAAGTGGAATTGAAATACACGAAGCTGGGCACGCAGGATTTTGATTTCGAGCAACATAACCAGACGTGTTTTGCCGGACTAGAAGCCACCTTACCCAACTCCTATTGCAATGCCATGCTGCAGGTTAGAAATTCGATTACAAACCTTAAACTGGTTATCTAATCTAATCATTGTTGTATATATATAGATCCTCTACTTCACGGAACCCTTGCGCATAAAGCTAATGGGTCACACCTGCTCGAAGGAGTTCTGCTTATCCTGCGAATTGGGTTTCCTCTTTCACATGCTGGACAAAAGCACTGGTTGGTTTTTTGTATGCATACAACTATACGGCTATTAGATGATGTACACAAAAACACTTATTTATAGCTTCAACCCCTTGCCAAGCGAGTAACTTTTTGCGGTCATTTCGCACAGTGCCTGAAGCGTCCGCTTTGGGCTTGATTTTGTCTGATCGATCTTCGAATGTTAATCTGATTAGTTTAATTCAGGCAAGTAATAGATGTTGTCTAAATAATGTTTTATACGTATTTATCATATTTTAATTTTACAGAACTGGAATCGTTTTATATTACATCAAATGCATTATGAAATTCTCGATTCGGGCAAGAACTCTGGCTTAAATGGTCCCCAAAATGCATTATTTGTTGGTAAATGTATTTTGTCTATTTAAATATTTGTTATCGTATTGTATTATGCATAATAATGTTTTAGCTGAAAGTATGTGCACAGATAGCAACGCGTCCTCTGAAGTATATGAAACAATTGCTGGTAGGAATTAATTCTATCTTACAACTTCTATTAAATAGAATATATTTAACTGTTTATACTCTACAGACGACAATGCGAAGGAAGAGGAAAGGGAACGTTGCAAAATAAATGCTGAAACGGATATAAGTAAAATATTTGGTACCAAACAGATATGCATAAACAGATGTATCAAATGTCAGGCAGAGGTAAATTGTAGCTTGAATAGTTTAAGATCGCATGGTTATGAGTCTCTCCTAGTCTGATACTCCCTCGACTACAACACTCTTCTTTCTTTGTTAGAAATCAAAAGAGAACATACTGTTGGCCTGCAATTTATCATATCCCACGCACTTGAAGGACAACGAACAGCATTATGATTTTGGTAACATTTTGAAACGTTCTTTAAGCTCAGAGAAAAACATTCAAGCATTTTGTGAGAGTTGTAAAAAGTTTTCGCCCACCAATCAGAGCGTTAAGGTATTATACAAAATTAATTTTAATTTATATTCAGTTATACGTCAATTGTGTGTCGTTTAGGTAACATCCTTGCCGCAAATGCTGGCAATTAACTGCGGCCTGAATAATGAAAAGGATATTAGTTTCTTGAAGCGTCAATTGAATCGTTCGAATGAGCGACCTGTTGCCGAGGCCACTTCATTGAGCACCAGCAAACCTTGTCGCTATGGTGTGAATTGTTCTCGCAGTGATTGTCATTTTATGCATCCAGATAGGAAGTCCCCGTCGCACACTAATCAAACGAGCAATGTCAACAGTTCACCGAGCGCACGTCAAAAGTCTTGGTTTCCTTTGGCCTTTAATATGGGCATCAGCGAAACTGGCGAGCTGAACGTCCTCTCGCCCACGCATGCCTCCAAAACAGAACAAGAATCTGAAGATGAGGAGCAGCAACAACAGCAACCACAACTGCAGCAACAACAGCAGCAGCAACAGGTGAACCAGATTCAAAGAATGTATGCGCTGCATGCAGTTGTCTGCCAGGTAGACGATGGCACCCAAAAGAACTTGGTGTCCCTAATCAATGTGCGACAAAAGTATCATTCAATGAAGTCAGCAACCTCAGATGCATCGGACGAAACTCAACAGCAATGGTATATATTTAATGACTTTAGCATTTCACCTGTTGCACCACAAGAATCCGTGTGGTTTACATTGGATTGGAAGGTGCCGTGTGTGCTTTTCTATCGCAGTCTGGAGGATGAAGCAGAAGCTGCACCAAGTGCAGAAGAGCCAATCTCCACGAAATGCAATGATTTAATCAATAACCCAGCCAATCCATTCATGCACGTAAGAGAGTATTATACGGACATATGTGAAATTGAGTACAAATTTTTCTAATTTAATTTTGGTTCTTAGGAAATTTTGAATCCGTTGCCCAACAATCTCGCCACAGATGCCACTTTGCGGCCCTTGCAACCGGATGAGATGCCTAAAGCTGGTGATTTAATTGCAATGGATGCGGAGTTTGTAACATTGAATCCGGAAGAAAATGAAATACGTCCGGATGGCAAAACAGCAACAATTAAACCTTGTCACATGAGCGTTGCCCGCATCTCCTGCATTCGAGGGCGAGTTTACATATAAATAGATGTATATTAGTTTCGATTTGTTAACTAAATTAATCTGTTCTATATTGCAGTCAAGGTCGAGATGAGGGCGTGCCTTTTATAGACGATTATATTTCGACACAAGAGAAGGTCGTTGATTACCTAACACAATTTTCAGGCATTAAGCCTGGCGATTTGGATGCCAATTTCAGCAATAAGCGTTTGACTGCCTTGAAGTATTCGTATCAGAAATTAAAGTTTCTCGTCGATGTGGGCGTTATATTTGTGGGCCATGGCTTAAAGAATGATTTCAGGTATATTTACGAGATATATAAATGGGTTTATATTTAACTTGTTATATTCCATATTGCAGAGTCATTAATATTTATGTACCATCCGATCAAATTATTGATACTGTACATCTGTTTCATCTGCCACATCATCGTATGGTTTCACTGCGTTTCTTGGCCTGGCACTTCTTGGGTACGTAACAAATATATAATAAATGTAAGGCATATTATTAAATACACTTTCAATTGCGTATAGGCACTAAGATACAATCGGAAACACATGACTCTATCGAGGATGCACGCACAACCCTTCAGCTCTACAAACATTATTTGCAACTGCAGGCGGAAAAGAAATTTACGCTTGCATTGAAAAACTTATACGATCGGGGCAAGCAGCTGCAATGGAAAGTGCCGGAGGACTAGAAGCACTAACGATCGACAGATTGAGACAGAGAGAGAGAGAGAGAAATAGATCTAAGCCAGTAAAAACGTTTCGACCGGCCAGCAAGAATGCAAGTTTTTAAAATGTTTTTTTGTAACTGATAAAAAAAAAGAAATTCCATTTAATTTTAAGTTGAATAACTGTTTACAAAGACACATACCCACAATTAAATCAAACTTAATATATTTTCAATAACTGTTTGCGTTAGATCTTAAGCTAATCAATAATTGATCATTTATACACTGTATATAATGACGTTTTATGCAGGGTATGTTATTAGTAAGGGGAAAAGAAACTGGAATAGAAAAGTATAATGCATAGGGAACAGGATATTCTAAGTGCTTAAACCATATGATTTATTTTCTGTACACTGATATGGCTGCTGGGCTCAGACAGTTCTACAAAAGCCATAAATTGGGTTATCTAGACTGGAATGTCATCTAGAACAGCTATGTATAAATGAAAGAATTCAAAAGGAATACATTTGAGAAGAGTATATAGATAAGTAAAGGTTATCTATATTTGGACGTATGGAGTATTTGCTAGTTTGACACTTGAGTCGTTCAGCTCATCATTGGAAGTCCCATATACTTCTCGTTATGGCTTACAACCGGTTTGCAGTGCTTATATTAATAAGTATATTTATCTAGGAAAACATCTCTAAGAAAATATCTGTACCAAAGCTGATTGTAAAACTTGTTCGCATTTCCCCCCTTACTGAAGGTTGCTCTCGTACTTAGACTTGATTTAACGAGCATGATTTGTATGTCATTTAAAGCAATACTTATAGACATATATGCATGTATTTATATATACAGATATATATATATATATATATTTATGCATATATGTGCATTGAAACGAACTTGATCTACGGCAGATTATTGAAACTTGTTCGTTCGCTGGGTAATGCCCGATTCATAATTCTGTGTAATCAGAACCTAAGCAAGATGAACTTATTATAAACATGTACTATATAAAGCATTGTATTTATAGATATATTATATGTATATATGCCTTATATACCCTATGCATATGTCAGTTTTCTATGATTTGCTAGATAAAATCGCGTTAACTTGATAGATTTATCAGTTTCGTTGGGCGTTGTCAATTTTAACATATAGAGAGCAAATGTCTTATATATATATAAAAAAAATTGTTATATAGCTTGGTCGAACTTCTGAATTTCCCAAGCTAGATTTGCTTGCTTATCAAATCAAATGTCGTCGTGGTCGTCGTAGCTGGGGAAACTTACTGCTGTATGAGAATGTGTATAAATACTGGAGGAGCTCAATGCTGATGGCATTCAACTGAAATCTGTTGAGCTATAGGTAACATGGGTTCGCGAGGAATACTTGGATTGAGCTGCGCGCTCTTGCTGTGCGCAGGTAAATTGATTAAAATACTCAAAATATAATTCGAATAATATAGATTCAATATTCGCTTTGATTTTAGTGATTAGCGCACAACAAACGTACGATGGACGCAATGGACCGCATGTGTTTGGCCCGCCAGGTCAGCAGGTGTATATACGTGGTCAGAATGAAGGTAGCTATCAGGTACCTGGAGTACCCGGCACATTCCAGAACTCGGCTACTGGTGGCGGAGCACACAGCTACACGGACGAGAACGGCAACACGTATGTGCATAATAAGAATGGAGGTGGTAGACCAGGTGAATAGCAATCAGCTACTATTTTCGACATTACTCTTATATGCCTGACTTATAGCTACACACAGCATAGATGGCCCGGACCTAGTGGCTCGTCGTGGAGGCGCACAGCGTCGTGTAAGCGATCCTTCTGCCAATGCTTATCGTAGCCGACGAGATACTGTAATTAGTCGCCCGGATCGTGTTGTTAGCATCACAAGGAGTGGCCCAACCGTAATTAGTCGCAGTCGTCGTGACTTCCATGTCGGACGCCCCGATCGCACCGTCGACTACAGCACCGGATCCGGTGATTTTGTCATACAGCGCGGCCGACGCAGTCCCGAGTCTGTGTACGTTAGTCGTCCGGATGGCCGTTCAGTGAGCTATGGCGATGGTGGCTTCATTGCCAATGGCCGTGATGGACGCACTGTTGCCCACTCCCGGCATAGACGCGCACGTGTCCAGGGCGAAAACTTTGTGGCACGCGATGATCAGGCTGGCATCTGGAACGATAACGTCTCCATTTGGAAGCGTCCCGATGGACGCACAGTTACCGTTGATAGCAATGGCAATGTCATCACCTCCGGCAGTCCCAACGGACGCGGTCCACAGCGCGTAAGTGACAGAGATATTATGAAGTACTTTTATCTGTAATACTTTTCTTATTCGTTTCTTTAGTATTCCGGCTAAACGAGGAAGGACTGAAGAGGCAACATTAAATGTAGTACGAAATACTTAAATCAAATACATCAATTTTCACAAATGTATATATAGTATATATAATAATAATTATTTGATAAAAATGAAGGAATCCTTTCGAAACATTCGAGCACTTGTCGTGTTTCATGCCGTCTGGCTTAATGGAGTCTGATCTGGAAAGCTCTGCAAGCTTCTCGTCTGTCAGACCTTCTGTCCTTCCCTGTGCACCTATCACTGTACCACAGAGGTCTAAATGCTTCTCTTGAAACAGACAGAGACTTGCCAACTTTCAGGCTTACTACTCTCCCTTGGACTTCTCTTCTCCTTTACATCTCGATTGGGGTTCTTTTGAAATACCATAAAATTAGTATTAGCTGATATATTTGGTACCTTTATTGGAACTTTATTTTAAACATAATATTCACCAGATTCTCAAGTTAATATTTTTGATACGATAATTTATCACTAATTTTTTAATTTGTTTTCTGGAATTAGTAATTATTCTTGATTTTTATTTTATTATTATATTATATTATACCATAAAAGATTGCAAGAGTTGCTAATTGATCTCTTAATTTACTATTTGTGATTTACCTGAGCCTCAGTAGAGAAGAGAAGAGTATATCATATTAGGGCTAACATTGAGAGCATAATTGATGTCTAAATATTATTTAAATCGACTTGAAATTCCCTAGATTTGTAATCTATCGTATGAAAATTCAGGAACAAGAGTTTCTCCAAATTCGATTTCACCCAACAAGAGTTGCCTTGATTTATTATGTTAAGGGACTTCATATCATTCAGAATGTTCAGTTTTTCTGAATCTAATTGAAAAGTGTATCCAATTTTCGCTGCTATTGAAGATGTATATTTTGATTTGGCGAGCAGCGAAATAGTTAAATTTAGAAACCCAGAACCAGGCCAGAAGGTTTCTGCAGTATATAAACTATAGAGAGACATATGTGTCTATATAACTAAACGGATATACATATATCTGTATAGTATATTTGCCTAGTTCTCTCTGAGGCTGTGAAAAAGTTGTATATATTTGGAAAATATTCGTTTTAAATCGTGAAACTGTCACAGACTTGGTATTATAACTGTTTCAAGTACAATATAGATACACCGTTTAACCAGGTAATGGACGCGGTTTGCCATTTCTTTCGGACCAATTATATATTGGCCAACTGCGAGGATGTCATTCGAAAGAAGGGATTCACCCTAAATCTATCCCATTACCAAATGGACGAATTACCGGAGATAATTGAGCACTGTGAAACGTTGATGAAGCTCTTTCTCAATCAGAATAAGCTAACAAAGGTAGGAGAGTGAATCATGTATAGAATATATAAATATTTCATGGAAATTTATTTATATCCAGGTACCCTCCAGTCTGGGCAACTTAATGCGCTTGCAGGTCCTGGCACTCGACTATAATAAGCTCGATGAATTTCCCGATTGTGTTTGTGAACTAGTTCGATTGAAATTCCTAAATGTTAGCTGTAATAATATCATAAGATTGCCCCCGCAACTGGGACAACTTACGGCTCTGGAGACTTTCTGGTGCAATAATACGGGTCTCCGTGCGTTGCCCGTTGAAATATCGAATTGCGATCGCCTTGAAACGCTGGGAGTGCGAGGAAATTGTTTGCGCAAGCTACCCGAGGAAATAGGAAAATTATCGGAGCTACGTTGGTTTACCGCAGAGAATAATGATATAGTAGAGGTGCCGAAAACATTGGGTATGTTGCAGAATCTGGTACATCTGAATCTAAAGAACAATCGTTTGAAACGGCTGCCGCGCATGTTAATTGTCATGCCCAAACTGAGATTCGTATTCCTCAATGACAATCAAATTGACCAAATGCCAAATCGCGCAGACCTGGAACAACTAAAATATCTGCGCTTGCTGAACCTATCCATGAATCCAATAAGCATCCAGCCTGAGATGCAGGAGCTGGCAGGAGTAAGTCGTGCTCGGTCTAATCCCTGAGAATAGCTTGTAAAACTTTCGTTACATTTACAGCATTTGATGAATATTTATGTGGAGTCTTTAGATGACTCGCATCAGGGACCCATCAACGGCAATCTTTTCAATACCAACAGTGACGCACTGCCCAATGTACAGGAAGATCAGGATCAAGATTCATCATCGGATTGGGCTAACAGTGCAAGGACTAGCCAATTGGATAGTTCCGATGAGAGCACATTGGAGAATACCATCGAAGATTTAAGCGTCATGCTGCCCGAAATGTCTCGCTTTGTAACAACATTTTAAGACTATTAATCAAAATATATAAATCTGTTGCGTACGGTTTATTCGTGTCTGTCTGTGCAGAGTTGTGTGTGTGTAAAACGTAACAATTGAAATGCGCTTTGGTTTGGCAGCTGGATAGCAGCTACACAAAATATACAGGGGGTCAATATGACCAAAAACCTAGAAACTTGAAATTTAACTAGACATTTTCTTGATCAGCTCTTCGTCCTGCATGGACATGGCCGTTAGCTTCTTGCCAATCTTTTCATGTATGTCCAAATACTTGGCAACACATCTGTCGATGCAAACCATTTCGCCTTTACCTGTAAGAACATCGACATATGTTATGTTCTTTCATGATAGTCGAGGATAATTCGAAACTTACCCAATTCCGATTCGCCGTAACGCGGCGGAATGCACTTTTTGTGGCAGGCATTAGTCATGCGGTTATATAAATCCGACATCATCTCAATCTCCATTTCTTGCATCAGCTGCAATTTTGCCTGGTCAGCTACGCTTATTTGGGGCATTGCCATGTTGTTTGATGTTTTATTATAAATTGATTATATATTTTTTGTTGTTTTGTTTTACAATTTTGCTTTTGGTTTCTAGTCAAAACGCCTGTCGGAAATAGTGTGATCGTATTCGCCGTGGTTTGCCTTTTTCATGCGCTCACGCACTCGTAATGTCTCTGACCTTCGGCCTTCGACTGATCTTTTGGACAAGACAAAAGCGTACACACCACCAACAGTTAAAAATGCCCTAATGAACACACAATTTTAATTTAAGTCAACGTGTATAATTTATTACACATATGTTACGAACCAACAAACAGCAATTCGCCCAGCGTTTCCAAGCGGCATTGTCAATAGACCCAGTGTGACTGTGATGTCAATTTTAAGAAAATACCGAATATTTTGTTCTGTCATTTTTTAGCGATAACAAGCTATCGATAAGTTTACGTGGTCGATTTTGCGATTGTGACTTAAATTCTAATTCATTTCAACTAAATTTGACTTGGTTATATTTTAAATTTCATTAAAATTGCATTAGATATAGAGCTTTTATTGACAGTGCATCACAAACCGTTCTATATGTATGTATATAAGTATGAATATGTATACTCAGGAATTATTTGATAATATTTAACATAAAAAATCAGACTAATAAAATAATTTTTTAATTACCAATATATATATCAAGAAATAAATAACGTGCAATGAAAACTGTGGACCGTCATGTACGAGCAACAGATTTTAACAGAAAACATATTCAGTATATAAATATTTAACAATCTATTTTTAATTTTGGTGCTGGTAAATCAGATTTTAACAGAAAAAATATTCAATCACAATGTAATGCAATGTATTATGTACATAGTACAAATGACCCTTATTGAAAAACGAATATATATATATATCAATATGTAGGAATGCATGAAAAGTATGGAAATATGTACATATGTATGTACTTAATTATTGCACATTTAAATTAATGCATTTATCACTAAGCCGTGATAGAGTTTAACTAGGTTTCACGCCAAACCAACTCATTTTCCAATTAAGCGTATCGTGCAACAGTTTTTCCTCCTCCGGCGATAGCTGCAACAACGTCGAAACTGCTCTCACCAGATGACGTGCTTCGACCTATACAAAGAGAGATTAACTTTGTGTTAATCTTGTAGCATTTTCTATCGTTATATTTATGTGCAAGTACCTCTCTGCTAGTCAAAAATTTGACAATGACATGTTTTAAATACATAAAATTTACTTCGTCCATGATAATGCAATTTGGTTTGTTGTCGGATTGAAAGTTCTCAATTGGTGCATTGGTTACTCTAAAGGCGGGCATTACTTGTTCCGTATCCACATCAATGGTAGCGGTTTGTGCGCTGCGAAACTCCTTTTGCAGCGTCTTTTTCAGATCCCCCAAACGTTGATTTAAAGTCTTTATTGTCTGCACAGAAACATAGAAAAATACATAAATTTATAATAAATAATCCAATTTAAAGTAAATTCGCACCTTATTCTTCTCTGCAATTTCGCGCTGACTCAGCTCGTATTTAGCCTGATCATTTGCATTTTGCTCCGCTGCATCCTTGAGCAAATGCAATGCCTGCTTGGTCTCCTGCAGGTCCTGCTCTAGTTGCTTATTCTTGTCATGCAATTCATTGGATTCCGTTTGTTCCATGCGCAGCTCCTTCTTCAGCAGCTCTTCACTCTGCGAGATCTCCGCATTTCGTAATAGGGCAGTCAATTTCTCTTCTCGCTCCAGTTCCAGTTTCATTTGCGTGTCACCTAGAATATCTTGTTTCTCCGTAACTTGCGAACGCAACTTTTGAGCAATTTGCTCGGCATTTTTCACATATTCACTAAATCTTTCGTCAGCGGTCGTAAGGCGATTTTTCAAATCTTTTGTTTCAGCTGCCAGCGTTTCCTAAGTTTTTAAGTTTTTTTTTGGAATAAGTAAAATATGCTTTTCTCTCTCTTTTAATAAAACATAAAAGCTATTTAATAGAAAATGGATACTTGGATTGTAATAGAATTTTTTTAATAAGAAAAGCTGTTTCTGTTTAGTAAAACATTAAAGCAATTTAATAGATAATAGAATTAGATTATAATACAAAATTTTGTTAAATTAGGAATTGCAAAACAAGGTAAATTAAATATATATTTTCATTGCGAGCAAATTGTTAATGTACGTGCTAAGTTTGTTTTTGGTTAGTTATACAATTAGTCATACCAGTTAAACAGATATAGGTAGAGGTATAGGTATGTGTGTGTGTGTGGAAAGTGTGTTTGCGTGTGTGTTATTGATGTCACTGCTAAACGCCAACTTCCGAAGGAAGGATACTCACAGATTTGTTGCGTTCGAAGAGAATTTGCTGTTCGTTCTCTTCGCGACATTCCTTCAAAGCAACATTCAGCTCATCAAGTTCGTCTTCCAATAATTTAATCTGCAATAAAAGAGTATTCATACAAAGAACTCTTAGTCTCTTTATTAAATGTTGCGACGTACCTTATCGTCTCTTTGCTTGATCTCAATATTGGCTTTCTCGAGCTCAAATGCGACTTGCTTACGATTCTCTATGGCATCATCTCTCGATTTTAAAGCTTTTCTCTTTTCAGTGGTTTCCTCGGCCACCTGCTGTGAGAGGCGACTCACTTGTTTCTCGAGCGCAAAGTTTTGGCCACTCCATGAGCTCTTGATGTCCGATAACTGTAGGTGCGCTTCCTCGAGATGCTGCTCCAAAAGTTTATGCTCCTGTACAAGTGCCTGCACTTGTTGTTCCGTACTCAATTGAGGCAGTGCATCCAAGCGAAGTTCCTCTACAATTCTCATACGCATTTTCATATTACGATTATCCTCTTGCACGGCAGCCAGCGTAGTGGTCAATAAGCTCTTCTCCTGCTGCGTGGCATGACGCAACTGCTCCAATTCATCGCGCAGATCCTCAGCGATGGGTTCTATGTTGCGCAAACGTTCCAGCTCCTGGTTAAAGTTCTCAATTTGCTGTTGATATTGGCGTATGGAATTCATATGATCAACGGCTTCCTGTTCGCGAAAGCCGAGCAAGCTTTTCAGCTTATCAATTTCGATTTGCTGCAACGTTTGTATCTTCTCCTGTTCTTCGCAGTAAATGTCTTTTTGTGTTTGAGCTACTCGCACGGTTTCCAATAGGATTTCGTTCGTCTTATCCACTCGCATCTTCTCCTCCTGTAGCTGTTGCAAACTTTGGTTTAGGCTGGCTACCCTAGAGGATAGCTCATTGCATTGACTGCGTAGCTGGCACAACTGTTCCGACTGAATATAAACAGTTGTTTGTATTTTTTTTATTTTGTTAAGTATATAAATATAAATTGTATTTGCTCACCTCGCTGTAGACTCCGCCCGTATCGTCAGCTACACTCGAATTTATGCTCACACGACGGCTACGTATGCGATAATTGTTAATATTGTTATTATTATGTCGCTGAAGCGTCTGGCTTGCCGACGTGGACACATCTTCGCCAGTTTCCTCCTTAATTTTGTTTTTTAACGTAGCAAACATTTTTATATGCTTGCCTGCCTTTTGCCAATTGTCTGGTTAAGACTTGATTAAACGTTATTTGGTACGAAATGGATCGCGTTGCGGCACAACAGCGGTACGGCTGCTTTATTTTTTATATCATTGCTCCAATTCGGGTATGTTTTGTGTTTAGGCTTATCAAAGAAATGTAAATCTATTTAAATTTGCAGTCTATATATGTTGCTTCTTCTTATTAGAAGCAATACGTGCAGCACCGAGCTTGCCACTGAGGTAAATTTTCACATCTGGCAGCACAGCTGTAAAGCTGCCATCGCAATTATCGATAAGACTTAAACATTTAGACGCCAAAAACATCTGAGGAGCGCGCTAAATTTTTATAATTGCTTAATAGCAGAAGTAAATCTAAAGCTGCAGTTTTAACGTATAGTACAAAAATAATATAAAAGACAAACTAAGAATATGGATCAAGACTACTCGAAGCAAACGACGCGAGAATTTTGCGACAGTGATGCAATGTGTACGTCGTCCTTAAAGGAAATCTCCCTAATAGAAACTGTGACAAGTTTTCTGGAGGAGAATGGCGCTGGCGAGGTCGATCCACGGATTTTGAAAAACTTGGCCGAGGCTCTATCCAAACGCATAAGCACAGATGAGTGAGTACTAATTCAATTTATTCTTATTGTGCATGCATGCTGTGTACCTCGGGAGGTGCATGTGCGTATGCTGTAGATACCCCTTTGAAGTTTTGTTTGGCAGTGCTACATTGCAAGTGCAACGCGTACTTTGGCTTTGATCCAAAACTAAATTTGGATTCATTAAAATGAAAAATGAAATCACACACAGCATACATATCTATTTACTAATGCCAATGTTTAGCCATCCGCGTCTGAGTACTAAGTGGACAGAACTGCATCAAAAGATCATAAGCATTGGTGCTCAGTGGCAGGTTCGATATGTTCTCCCCTCACTCGTTGGTGAGTAAATTATGTATATATGCATGTGTGTGTGTACATAACCCACCCCATTTGCGTGCGAGAGCAAAATCCAACACAGCCGTTCGCCTTATGTGGTGGGTGAGAAAAAGAGCGCACGTTACGGAAAACACGAGCGCAACATCTGTCGTGCATTTGAGCTGAGCGCGTTTTTCCTTGCGGAGCTAACGAACTCTCCTATGGGATGAACGGCGGATGATGCTGCTACCCACTGTGGTGGGGTTTTTCTCTCGTTATCGCGATGCGCATTTTCAGTAATATTCTGGCATTCGGTTCAATTAGACATACTATATGTACAATATATGAAGACAACTTTAATCTAGTATATTTCAATTGTATTTTTGTTCGTTTGTTGTGATTGTGCTTCTTCGTTTAACGCCTATCAGTCTTTCTTTTTGCGCAATACAAATATACATACATATGGACAAACGTACATACAATTAATTATTTACATATATAAACGTTGCTCGGACCGCGGCTAAGTAAATAAAGACTGCTGTGTATATACACGTATATACAAATATATGCGCGTGTGTGTGTGCAAAAATGCAACAACAAAAGTGAGAATAAGATAGTTGTTTGTTTTTTATCACTGTGTGTTATATGTAGATAAACAGCCTTGACGAATGCTCTCCATTGGTGTAAAAAGACACAATGTTCTTATATAAATTAAGCGACGTACATACACATATATGTCTGATATGAATGTGTGTGTTTGTGTGCATGAGCGTGCATGTGTGTGCGTGCATAAATTACGGCTACGCGCGCCTCATCTTGTTGATTTGCTTTGTGGTTGTTGTTGTTGTTATTGTTGCTGCGGCTGCATCTAAATTTAGTTATGGAATAATATAACACAACATCTTTTGTACATATCTATATATATATATATAGTGTTATTGTGCTCGATTAATCGAGTAAATAGAAGATATCAAAAAGTCTTCTAATACACGACTGAGCCTTATACATTTTATGGTATAAGACTTTTGTTAAAGTCTTCTTAAAGCGGATATATGCGCTCGGTATTTGAGTGGAAAGTTATTTGGTTTATTTACGCACGTATCTTGCCTTTGGCCTTTGTTATGAACCCCCTAAAACCCTGCACTGCATTGTCATAAGACCCTCAACTTTCGCTTTGCACCACCACAAATTCGGATGTTTGGTACAGTTTGTTATATCAATGCTAGTTTTTATACGTTTTATCCTTTCATATGTTTTTATATACTATTCATATTTGTTGTAGCTGCCTCTGCGTTTTTGCAGTGCATCACTTTTTTCACAAATGAGTTCAGTAATTCATTTATGGTCAGCAAAACAATCGAGTTTCTTGTCTAACGTTCTCGATCTAGGAAAACTGTGAGAGGAAAATTACATTTAGAATGCGTTTTGTCGTCGTACTTTTTGGCGCCAATTGTTGTTAATTATGTTCGAAGACCATTTATATTTAGATAATAATTATGTCGAATGCAATTAAGTTAGTTCAGGTAGTCGGCCTGAAAGCGGCATTTAGGACACATATGTTGGCATGTGCAACAGCTGTTACAATTACAGTGCTCACTCGTTAAGTAGGCATTACAGTTGGCATCCGGAAAGTAAAATATAAAACAGAACAACTTATTCGTGCCCAAAAAATATCTGGGTATGAATTAATGTTTTTAATGTTTTGTTTTTCCTATAATTTCATTATATTTATATATTTATATTTTGCTGTCAACTCAAAACTTAAAACTTCCATTAGCTTTTGTACCTTGACAAAGTTACGTAAGCTTCTTTTTTATATAAACCCAGTCACTTAGAAAGTTTTACAAGTCACATTTTTTTACATTTTTAAATGAACACTAATGTGAAACCACATAAAAAGTTTTAAAACTTTTCATTATTTATTTTTTTTTTTTTTTACCAATTTTAACGCATTCAAAATTAATAAAAATTAAAATTCGAACAAAGAAAATTTCGAAGAAGCCTTTATTTCTAGTAATTAAAAAGTGAAAAGTTCGAACAGTGTTTAGTCAGAGTTAATAGCTTATAAATTTTTAATGTACATTTAAGTGACAGGATAAATCATGAAGAAAATAAGAAAAAATCGTTCGAGTTTCAACTATGTTAAGTAAGTTTAAAATGTAAAAAGAATAATATATATATTGCACGTCGATGATTTGCCGGGTAATTTCTAGTCGAGCACTCTCCGCTAAAGGATTCCATTAGGTCCGTCCTTTTTGTTGAGATTGAATGAGAAATTCTCTTACAGTTCCAATGTACTACTTAAGTTATAGTATGAGTTAGAATTATGGCGGGGTCACACTGTAGCACACCTGTTGTTTGTCCTGCAACACATGGACCTTTCGTACGTCCAATTCTTAGTAATTGTGTATACCTATTTGGTTGGCCCAGCTGGCTGTAACCATAGCTATGGCCAAAATAGTCAGCGGGTCAAAACAAAACCTGACGACAACAATAACAACAAATTGTGGCCAATAAATTGTAGTTGTATATCAGCTCATAAGTTTTGGTATTTGTGTTTTTGCTCATTTCCCAAAATAATTCATAGAGGAGACACGCACGTGAAAACGTGAAAATGTGCAAATGTGAAAATGTGTGGCCCACATGTGTCGCCGGGACTGCGAATTGCAAATTGCGAATAGAAACTGCGAGATGCAGCCAAAATAAATATATATAAAAAAATAAGTAAAGCAGATATATCTATGCTGCCCAGATAAAGAAAGCATAAAACATCTCCTGTGATGTGATGCGATGCTGCGTAGCATCATTTGGGGACATTTGCCCAAGCAATGCAAGCGCCAATCGCTGGCTGCCCGTGCTGCCAATGACTCATAGAAGGCACACACACACACAGATATATGTATCTATGTGCTTGTAGTACAGAGTACTTGTACCTGCACTGAAGTTGCTTTTATTTAGACTCGGTGTGCCGCAAAGCTATTTAGGATAAGCACACCAACAACAACAACCACAAAAGGGATGACGCATTCGTTTGACTTTAAATAAAATCAAAGTCAGGTTTCTTATATATGTATATTTTTAAAATCGTATCGATCAGCATATTGACTGAACTGGAGTGAATAATACCTAAAACAAAAAAAAAAAAAAAGAAAAAAGGCCAAAAAGTCTGCTGTTTTAATGCCAAACCAATTTAAGTCTTATCATAATGGCGGGCTTATTTCGTACGAACTCTATGATCACCACAAATGATTCCCCTAAAAGATCGCCATTTAAACGATTTTCTGTTTGTTCCGGAACGCCGAGCACTATTTGGTAAGTTTCCTCAATATTTGTTTCGTAAATGTTTCGTTAGAACTTATTAAATATGATTTCGCCTATTATTCAATACTTCTGATATGAACTTCTGTAATAGAACATCTAGCATTTCAGAGTTATATACAAAGGTTTCAATAGAACTTTTCTAGTATTACATACTGCTAGTATTTCATAGTTATATATAACCGTTTAAATATAATTTCTTCTAGTATTTCCAAGTTATATACAAAAGTTTAGATATGACTCATTCTAGTATAACTTATTTGTGCGTAGAACTTTTTCGGCAGAACTCCGGCTACAGTTTAAATAAAATAAAAGTACTTTATAAGTATACAGAAAGTAGTTCTTTGATATATAAATTTTCAATAGGATGCAGCTCATATTTCTTGCTCTAATACTAATACAGATAGGTTTATTATTACAATTATATATAAAGGCGAAGTATAGATTGCTTTTATTTCTGCTAGCTTTTGTAGCTTTAAACTTCTTGATTTACTTTTTATTATTCCAATTCACATATATGGCTTGACTCTTGGAAATTAAACGTTTCATTGATTTGGAAATAAAAAGTAATCAAGGTGTGCCATTTCTATGCTACAGAAACAATTTACACGCTTCACTTAACGCGAGTCCAAATTTTTCGGCTGTTGTTTCTATATATGTAGTTGTATATATATATGCGTGTAGATAGATATATATTCATATGTATGTCATGTGCAATTAAAATGATTTGTCGCTGAGTTTTTGATCCGATAGCTAAATGAGACTTAATTTTGAAAGCTTTCAAATAAGCTTAGATGTCAACATCTGTTTGCCAATTGAAGCTGAATAACTATTACCTATTGAGAATTGAATAGAGAGGCAGCATCTATAGAAATGTAAATTATTTTACCTACCTCTTACTTATATATACTATCAAAATAATTGCTTTCACCAATTCAAATTGCTTACCTTAACTTCCTTCATTAAATAAAATCTATGTTAGAGCCATTCGGTAATCGGCGTACGGTATCAATTATTCGACAAGTCTTATTACTATTTGATTTATTGATAGATTTATCAGGTGTATTCATATATGTTTGCATGTCGATAGAAGTTAATTATAGTTGCTTGAAGCAGCATTAAAACAATTCAAACCCGTTTTAAATTGACCTCCAGACTAGAGATGGCAGCGTGCATAAAATGAAAATTAAATATTGATTAGGGATTTGGTATGGTGGAGGTATAGCGCAGAGAACTGAGTCCTCATGAGAACTGCTTAGAGAGGCGTTGTTTTGAAATTAAATTCATTTTACTTCAGGAATTCTCAATAAAATTCTGTAAATTTCCACTAAATTCGAAAGCATAGTAAATATCTTATATGTAGTTTTTTTTTCGTGCATCTATGAATATGACGTTGATAGCTTGACCATCTCTATGCCATTGAGCTACAAGTGTCTTGATTCACAGAGTTAGCTTTGTAGTTAAATGTTAGTTTAGTATAATGAATAAGTTTGCTCTGGCCAGCTGGATGTGCCTGCTAGGCTTCAGCTCTATGTTAGCCGTACGTTTAGAGCCGTGCGACTTAGCTGGACAGCTTTATATATTGGATGTGCCCAAAGTGGAGCTGTCCCAATGGCTGTGCATAGCCGATTTCGAGAGTCGCTTTAATACCCATGTTATTGGACGGGCCAATGCGGATGGCAGTCTGGACTATGGACTCTTTCAGATCAGCGATCGATATTGGTGTGCTCCGCCGGAAGAAACGCTCTACCACGCCTTCAACGGATGCAATGTGAACTGCACCGAGCTCTTGAGTGATAATATCACAACGGCCGTTCGATGTGCCCAGCTTATCAAGAAACAACAGGGCTGGACGGCTTGGTCTGTTTATGCGGAATTCTGCAATGGAACTCTGACAGATACGGACAAGTGTTTCCAACCAATGGAAATGACAACCGAGCAGATTACGGAAGTAGAAACGACGACTGCTGACACGGAAATTAATTAAGCTGTTCTCATTTTTTTATTCTGCTCTTATCACTGCCTTTAGAAATCAATTATTATAGAATTTTAGAATATATATTAAGTGAAGTAAGAATATATTTAAGTTTTCGAATGTATTAATAAGTGGAGATTATTAATAAAAGATTGATTTGGCCTAAGAATAGAAGTAAATAGATCTAATATAGTTTAAAACAATAATTTGAAAACCACATTTGATTAAATAAATATAAAATAAATATATATTAATCTATGCTTGACATTTTTTTTTACAACTGAAGGAAATTCATCTTGAGTTAATTCTAACGAGAAGTAAAAGTAGAATTGATTTTCTTGTTTTCTTTACTGAACGTAAAAGCGAAATAGCCTTTGAGCTTATTTATAGGGCAACTGCTACAAAACTTTTCAAGTTCTAATCAATTTTTATGGCTTTTCTTTTTCATTTGCAGCACAAGTCCCGGGGGTATGCAAGATGTAACCATGGAAACTTCATGTGAGTATCAAACAGGAGAAGCAAAAAACCTCAACAATAAATACCCTGCAAAAAGAAAACGAGGAACTCTGACGTTGACATGAAATTTTAGAATATAAATAAATAAAAATAAATGAGTTTAGATATATATATGTATATAGTCAGATCGAAGATCTTTCAACTCTATTCCACAAATATAAATAGTATTTGATTTGCTTAATGTCTTTATACCCGCTATTTGTGTGAGCTTCAAAAAAGTACAGGGTATGACGACTGCCGTTAAGCATTTGCTGTCAATTCTCCGATTTGATAGCACTTATTCACTAGACTTTGTCGAGACTTATTATCCGTGTGTATTATGTCAACACATACATCTATTTTATTAGAGTTTAGTTTCGAAACACACCCGTAAATACTATATGCAAATCAATCACTTAGTTTCCTTTTATATATATATTTTTTTTATTTATTTGCCGCAATGGGCAAGAACGGCATGCTATCAGCGGTCTCGCCACGGACGAACAGAACAAGTAGCTTACGCATGTTTGATGGTTGTATGAAAATGGAAAATTCGTAAGGCGCAACTAATGATATTTTTTGTTGTTTTTTTTTTTCGGACTGACAGATACCAGCTTCGATGCGGCGCGTGCAGCGGGTGGCATCCATTCCCCGATGCAGGGTCGATCCGTGCGGGAGCTGGAAGAGCAAATGTCAACACTGCGAAAAGAGAACTTCAACTTAAAGCTTCGAATTTATTTTATGGAGGAAGGTCAACATGGCTCACGTGGTGGCAAAACTGCTGCCGATTCACCAGCCAAACAGTTGATTGACTCTAAAATTGAGATTGAAATACTGCGGAAGAGAGTCGATGAGAAGACGGAGCTACTTAAAGACGCGGCACGCGCGATATCACAGCACGAAGAAATGCAAAAGAAGGCCGATTTAGAAAGTCAGGCAATGATTGAACAAATGCAACAGTACATTCAACAGTTAGAGGTAAACTCCATGGACAATATATATATTTATTTGAATTTGAAAACTAAATTCGTTTTCTTCTCTGGTCCACAGAGCTCCGCCAAGCAGAAAGTAACCAAAAATTCTATGGATTCTTTGGACACAGAAAAATTTAAAGCTCTCGAAGCAGAGGTTAGTGAATTTACGTCGATTTCCAGGAGTGCATTTAGTTTAACATTGTGTATATGTATATTGGATAATTGTTGCGAAATTTTTAATAAGTTCGATAGAACGCATCTGCCAAATGAACTAGTGAACTATTGACGTCATTAGTGAATTTGCGTTTTGCATGGTGAATGTTTATTCTTTTGAATGAACTATGTGGTCTATCGAACTATCAAACTGTTGCTGAAAAATTATCAAATGGAATTGTTTCGAACCAATTGGATACCATTAATGAACTGGCGAACTATACTATCGGCTAAAGTGTCCGTTATAGCTATATTGAACATATAATTCTCATCTCTAATTATGTGCAATTTGTATTAATTTTTGTTTAATTTATTTACCACCCATAAAACAGCTATTAAATTTAGAAAACGCCTTGCTCGAAGCAGATTTGCGCGAGACAGAGTCTAAGCGCCATCAGGAGCTGCTGACAGCAGATTTAGCTGAAAAGCAGGAGACGCTTATGGCATGCGAGGCGAAGATCGAGGAGCTAGCTATTAAAAATGCCAAGCTGCTTGAGCAGCTAGAGAAGCGAAACAACGATAGCAATCAGCAAACAAATGTAAGTATAATACAAATTGTAGTTTATATTGAATTCGTAGTGGGTTGAGTGAGTTCTGGCCCGATGGTTTGAAACATACTCTTACCAAACTATAAAGAGTCAGAAGCTCGAAGTTAGCGCCAACTTAAGTGAGAATGGACGACTGCTCAGCGAGCTTAGCATTGCTGAGCACGAAATCGAGAGACAAAATAAGTGGATAGGCGATGCAGTCAATGTGCTAGATGTACAGCGGAAGACCATAAAACTAATGGAAGTAAGTAACCAAAGCATGTGGGAGAGAGGATCGAGCTCTAATTTAAAACAACCTCCACAAGGACATGAACAGTGAAAAAGACCGTGCCCAGCGGCGTCTATTTATAAGATTGATTGAGTATGAGGGCATGATTAGGAAGCAAAGCTGCGAGGTTAACACGGTGCGACGTGAAAAGCAATTTTTCCAGGATCTCAGCAATAAGTTGCAACACCCAGATCGGATGCACTGCCTGGAACGAATTGCCTTCGTACAGCCGATCCGCTTTAATAAGTTCCGTGAGATTCCGAGTCGAGCGCAAAACTTTTCAGCGATTAGCATATTGTTTAATAATCAAGACCAACTGACTGCAAAGCAAGTGAGGCGCTTGTATTACTCCATGCCCGAGGTGAAGCAATGGCAATATTGTTCTCCTTTCATATATATGTTATATATTTATTTGTTCAATTTAAATACGATTCGTTTCGCAGCATTGCAGAGCAGTCACAATGCCTTTGTCGGTTGCAGCTCCTAGTACGGCCTTTTATAATTATTCCCTGCCGCCGTTTAATGGATTGCGAGAGCTGCTTAGCCGCTGGTGCTGGTGCTCGATGCAGTCACCTAATTAATGGATATTACCAAATCAATACAATCAATCAATCATATTCAATCTTCGTTTAAGTAGTTACACTGCCGCGAGGCCGAGGCCTTTGCCACAGTATCCACTGTTGATGTCTTTCACTTTGTCTTCAAAATGCAAAATGGCCCATGAAACTTTACAATGTACAGCTAAATCTATATATTTATGTGTATATATGTATATATATCCATATATATGTGTCTATATATATGTATATATATATATATCTATATATATATATATTCATTCACTCTGCTGATGAATTGATGACATACCACTTTCTATATATATGTATCACAGATATGTATATGTATGTATTTCTCATACATATATATATAAGAATGTATGTACGGCCGTCGCATTTTCGCATGTTCAATTGATTCAGAGTTCCAAAACAATTTGTTAGCTAGTATGTCGATACATCATTCGCTGGTAGTTATGCAAAAATTTCTCGTTATTATAAACTTATATAATGAAAATAAAATTTAACAAAAACATCGTGGCATCCCATTTACAAATTGTTTTTGAAATGTTGAATTTTTAGTTAAAAGATAAGTTAATGTAAAACACACGCGTTTCAATAAATTGTAATACATTTTGTTTTAACGAAGTTCGTCTTGAAAAAAAAACTGAAATATAGAAAGGGTTTGAGCTCTCTTTGTGTGATGTTCATCAGTCAGTCATGCAATCAATCAATCATTCATAAATAAATTGTAATATATACCAATACATAGGTTGTGTGCTCTCTATGCCTGTCGCTCATCCATCCATCAATCAATATATTACGACTACCAAAAGTGAAGCGCAGTTGCTCATCGATCCGTCAAGCTGGAAAGCAAGCAATCATTCAAAGCTCACATCTTTAATAAATTGTAATATATTCAAAATTATAAAGAGAAATAAAGTAATATTTAGCACTCAGCTCTCTAGCCAGTTGTTCATCGATCAATCAATCGTTCATTCATAGATCTAGCATTATTCTTTACATTTATTTCAAATTGCTTCTATTCTATATTTCAGGCCCAGCCAGAGCTGCGCGCCCAATTGGCTGACAAAATCTGCGAGCTGCAGGATGCAGAGGAGAAGCTTAAGGAGCGGGAGCGAGTGCACGAGAAAGCGTGCCGCACAATTCAAAAGCTAATGCAAAAACTGAGCAGCCAGGAGAAGGAAATCAATCGACACAAACAGCAAAAGCAGCAACAGGTGCAGAATGAATGAAATTCTGTATACATTTATGTGCTATATTTAAGACATTTCCTTTTTAGAACAAATCGTTAACAGAGAATTCTTCGCCTGCCAAGCAGTTGCATTCGTTAAGCGATACCGAGGCGTGTGCTGTGGACATTTCACGCAGCCTAAAGCAACGCTATGAGAAACAAATTGAAGATCAGGATGAGCTAATCAAGCAGCTGCAGTCGGAGGTTAAAAAGAAGACCGCAAACTTGCAGAATCTCGTTAACAAGGAGCTCTGGGAGAAAAATCGTGAAGTGGAGCGCCTAACCAAGTTGGTCAGCGGTAAACAGCATTCGCAGCAATCTGTAGAACATTCAGGCGATGATTCCACCGGTGGCGTAGATTTGCAACAATCCTTTACAGAGGCTGACTTCGTCAAGGCTGTCAAGCGCAATCAGCTGTTGCAGCGTAAGGTAGATGTGCTGCTTCAAAGATTGGGTAGTGCGCAGGAGGAGACCAAGCTGGCCTCTCAGCTGAAACAGGAGCTGCAAAACATGCAGCTTAAAGTGGAGAATGCCAACAAGTGGCGTCTAGAGTGTGCCGATGTGTGCAGTGTATTAACGAATCGATTGGATGAGCTGGCTGGCTTCCTTAATTCCCTGCTCAAGCACAAAGATGTGCTTGGTGTGCTGGCAGCGGACCGTCGACATGCTATGCGACGAGCTGTAGATCGCAGTCTAGACCTGTCGAAGAGCCTAAACATGACGTTGTCCATCACAGGCGTGTCGCTGGCCGATCAAAGTCTGGCGCAGCTGAGCAAGCTCTCCGAAATGCTCTACAATGATGCAGATGAATGCAACCATACATACAATTCGCATGAGGATCTGCAGGCGGCCAAGGCAGCTAAAGCAGAAGCACGCAAAGAGCGACGCTCGCTGCCTCTGCCTCAGCAGCTGGACAATCAAAGCGAATCGGAAGCTTGGTCGGAGCCGGATCGTAAGGTATCCTTGGCGCGCATCGGTCTGGAGGATACGTCGAATAGCATAGCTGGCGAGCAGCATCATAGCGAATCGGACAGCGAAGGCCATGCTTGTGCGACTAATACGATGAAACAGGAGCGCAGAAGCGAACGTATTGGCCAGTTGGAGACATTGATAGCGCAACGTGATGAGCGCCTGCTTCAAGCCCAATGTCAGCTGGTTGAGGCTGACAATCGCTACAAGCAGGAGCAGCTGCGTGTCCTGGAGTTGAGTCAGCAGTTGGATCAGCTGCGTTTACAAAACGAAGCGTTGCATGCGGATCTACGTGCAATTGGCTGCCAGGAAGAACAGCAAATGGAAGAGCTACAGTCTCTAATTGAGCAAAAGACGCAGCAGTTGGAGAAACTGCAAGTGGAGCACAAGACGCTGCAGGCGGACGCACAAATAACAGAGATAGAGCTGCATGAAGCGCGTCAACAACTCCTGGAAATTCAAAAAGAAAATGAAACCAAGTTTGCAGAGTTCCAGCTAGAAGTTTCTCAACGCTTGGAGGCACAACACCTACTCCAGCAACAAGAATTGGAACGGAATTGGGTAGCGTTAACCCAGTACGAGGAGCTTAAGAGTCAGTTAGTCCATTTACAAAGCTCCTTGGAGTTCTACCAAGAAAATGAGAAAGAACTGAAGCAGACACTCGTAGAGAACGAGCTGTCATCACGTGCGCTCAAAAAGGAGCTGGACGAAAGTACGTTGCAAGCTTCAAAGGCTATCATGGAGCGCACCAAGGCCTACAATGACAAACTCCAGCTGGAACAAAGGCTGGAAGAGATAAAGCTACAGCTGGTTAAATTGCAGGACGAGCAAAAGCAAAAGCAAAGACAGAGGGAGCCCAGCGATGTCTCACAATCTGGCTATACATCAGAGGAGCTGCCTCAGCGTCAAAGAGTGGGACGTCTTAGCAATCCCTCACCGGATCTGGGCATCGAGAGTGATACGGGTCGGGTGCATAGTGTCGAGCTATCGAATACACAGCATCCCTTGCTTAAGACCGTCGAGTTGGTCAATGATGACATACTGGACGAAAAGAATGGTAAGTCGTTGAAAGCATATTAAACATGAATACAAACTCACAGATTGCTATTCCACAGATCTGTCACCGGATACGGAACTACCAGCCGGAGAACGGCCCGTGTCCGTGCCCGTGCACGATTGCCTAAAGGTAGAGCAAGAAAATGCCGAATTACGGCGCAAATTAATACGCACAAAGCGCGCATTCGAAGACACCTATGAAAAGTTACGTGTGGTTAACAAAGCAAAAGCACAAGTCGAAAAGGATATTAAAAATCAAATACTTAAGACGCACAATGTCCTGCGCAATGTACGCTCCAATATGGAGAATGTTTTATAACAACAATTGATTTGATTGCAAATTTCATGCGGGTCCACAATTATTTTTAATTTTTCACAATTTTCACATTTTTTATTTTTCTACTAATTACTTGTTTCAACGTTTTCTTGTAAATGTCCTGTACATAAGGCACGCAAAGCAACGAGTTATATAGCACTTGCATTTTTTAAAGACTGTATAATAATACTAATAAAAATGAATATATAATTTTGTATGTAACAAATGCAAGACAGCCAGGCACAAAATCGTTCATATTGAATGACTAATATATACATATATACATATACATATACATATTTATATACAGTAATATACTATAGATAAGTGCACTACTAACTGATTTCAAAAACAGTATCATAATCTTATATATAATTCTTGAATAACTGATGCCATCTCTTGCCATATCAGATCGTTAATTTCTATAACAAAATAAATGAATAATCTTCATATTCTGCTTAATTTGATATTAATTTGTTTGCTATGAATTTTCGTTTTCAGTTTAAAATCGGCATGGATATTGAAGTTAAATTATGATTTATCTCTCTATGTATAATCTGTAAAAAAGTTGAATTCGACAAGTTCTTAGTGTATACGACTAAAGACTTTTGTACCAATGTTATAGAATAAAATACATTTGTAGTTCGTTTTAAATATTTGTCTTTTCATATATTTGTTTGCCACTCGATGCATTTGAATAACGCATATTTGTGTTATTTTATATTTAAATAATAACGTACATCTATAGCTATTTGGTGTTGCCAGATATTTCAATGGATATGTAGCCCTGGTATAATCAGAGTCGCTGTTAGACAGCTGTTATCTATAAATAAGGTTCTATAATTTAAATTAAAAAAACTACAAAACAAAAGATTTGGATAATATATTGGCACACAATTAATTTCCTTAAAATGTATTTTAAAAATAAGTCTTATTGGTTTGAAGCAGGTAACAGCAACTGCTCGTCGTTATTAACAGGAAAATGTTATCTTACGCTTTTTATTAATTAGTCTGTCTTTGCGTCTCGCGGTTGCAACCGTGTGTTTGTTTTTATTTGCTTGGTTTACTCTTATCAACAATTATTAAACAATAACAATATTTGTGTGTGAGTGTATAGATAATTCCAACAATTCCAACCATGCATTAGATACAAAGACAACCTACAGTTTGATTTTTATATTTTGTTTGTGAGGGTTTGTGAGTTCCTTTTTTTGTACTCGTCCACACCAGTTGCTCAAATATCTGCGCATATCTGAAGCCCCTCACATACTCACATGGTGTCCCGTTACCAGCTACAAGAAGATGCCGATGCACAGACAACTGCACCAAGGCAAAATCGTCGTCGTTCACGCCCCGAATCTGCCGGCCTCTTGCAATCACGTAAGTAAATATTAGCAATACGTATTCGCAATCACGTAAGTAAGTAAACATTAGGCATACAAAATATATTCACATGAATCATAAGTTAGAATGAATAGTGTTTCCATTTAGAAGAAATGTTTCTAATTTGAATGGTATATGCTACAACAATATTGATAAGATTGGAAGAGTGGTGTGTGCTATTTATAAGATAGACACGTATGCCTTAAACTGTTAGTACGGCATTGTTTATAACAAAAAAAATTTAAAAAAATTATTGGCCCATGGGGGGATCGAACCCGCGACCTTCGCGTTATTAGCACGACGCTCTAACCAGCTGAGCTAATGGGCCATGTTGCTAGCTGTTGTCTAAATGTCGCATATGTAGTAAATGCTTAGCGTTTGTTTATATGAATGAAAATAAATTTGTAGCTTTTATCGACTTAACATGCAGTGGAAATCAATAAATATTTATTATTTAATTTTATTTATGTACTAAAATATTTAGCTTCACTTGCTTTTGTTTTGATTTTCTAACTCATTTTATTGCTAGCTTTCGGCTTCGCTGTAGTTGACAACTTTCACTTCGGCTTTCGTTCGTGGACAGCGAAGGACATTTTATTGAATGTCTTTTTTTGTTTTTGTTTTTCGCTTGCCTTGGCTTTGCTTGGTTTGGCTTGGCTTGGCTTTGACAGTTGGCTTTCGGCTCTCGCACGTTATGGACGCGTATTTGTGGTACGGCGGCAGGGCTACGGCAAATAGAAGTTATTTGGGCGAAAATCAGAACAGCGCATCTCTAGTTATGTAGATATAGATACGCGTATATATCACTAACTATATCATAATTGGCCTTAACTTTAATTAATTAATGTATTTAATTGTGCGATAATTGGGAACTTGTGCATTTACGTGATGAAAACTTAGCAGCTGCATAGCTAATGAAAACGTGTGCCTTTAGGAAAATCAACAAATCTGATTGTTGATGCATATATACCACACTATATATATACATAAACTGTATAGTAGATTTGCTGTCAGCGAGAACTGCATATGCGTGACGGCCAAATAACTATGTGTGTTTTAAGTGCTATAAATTTTTGATGTACAACTTGCAATGGTTAGAGAGACAAAATAAGTAGAAATTTTAGACGGGCCGAGCTGTGGCTGGCTGGCAGTTGTTTAGGTTCTCAGAGACATGTCCTTAGCGCTCTAAGTTCAAGGCTTGAGCTTGGGTTAAAGACCTTATATAACTGTGAATATGTTCTAATTAAATAAACTGAATAGCTAACTGCTTTAAAAGGTGCCTTGCTCTATACGCTATACGCACATATACCTGCTAAGTGCCTTGGCTTTCTAAGCCCTCACCTCTAACGAATATGTCTGGCTGTTATCAGCGCCAGAGCTTGGAGCTGCAAGCCAAACACTCGCCGAGCATTTCCGTGGAGCTAAATAGGACCAATACGACAGCCAGCTGCAATCCCAGCCAGCGACGGCGACAGCAGCGCGCTTCACTGCATCGCCAGGAGTCCTGGTTTCGACACTCGATGCCGCCAGCCATCAACCGAGATTTCGAATCGCTGGAGCATCTGCAGACGCAGGACACGGGCAACGGCCTCGATGAGCAGCTGGCAGCCTCGTTGAGCGGCAAGCTGCCCGTGCTCAGCCACACGAGCATCCATCTGAACAGTGCCAATAGCAATCTGGGATTCATTGACTCCGACACACCCAACACGCCGATCACTCCGCCGTCCAGCTCCGTGGCGGGCACCCTCTCCTCCTGTCAGCCGCCAGCCGAGCCCGGCTCTCGGCACAGATCGTCGCGTAATCGCAAGGACTCACGTGCCTCCATCCTGTCCAATGCGGCACGCGGCCTACGCATGACCACTTCATTCCTACGTCGCAAACGCAAGGAATACGAAGGTGAGTGACCTGTACCCAAGGCGCTTGAAGTACGAATAAGAAGTTCTCATAAAGCTCTAAGCAATTTGTTTTGTGTTCTTATCTTAAGAGGCAATGTTCCCGCATCAAATCTGAGAGTTTTATAATTATTTATAAATTTTGTAGCCAAGTGAATCATATTTTATATAACAAGTTGTCGATAAACAAAAATTAACTAAAATACAAAAGCTTTTATTCATCTTTAACTATTGGGTAGGAGTTGAGAACGCAGGGAGCATCCTCTACTTAACCCTGACATAAGTTTGTTTGAATGAACCACTGAACTGGTTCCGTGAGTCAGCTATTGAACTAAGCTGGTTCAATGGAAAGGATTCAATAATGATAATGATCATTTCATAGTTGTTGTGTTTATACGCCTGATCAGTGCCAATATCATTATCATCATCAGTTTGATCATTAACCAGTCTCAATGATCATAGACGAAGCTCAACGAAAGTAAAGTGAGCATATTAGCTTTGTATATTAAGTAAATTGAATGTAAATAGAAGTAGACCTAGAGACAGTTGAAAATTATTGAATGACAAAGGGGCGGAGAGACTGACAAGGCTTGATCAACTGATTAAGATGATTGCAGCTGATTAAGAATATATATACTTCATATCATGCTTGCCTACTACTGCCTGCCCTTATAATAGAAGCGCTGAATTGTTTCCCAGTCAGCGTATACTAAGTAAATATATTTTTAATGAGAGCTACCCGACTAGCAGTTGCCCTGCATGCCAAGAAGTACTTCCTATTTGTAACTCAAGTGATTTCCCTTCATTAACTCGTCAAATTAAAGGCGAAATCTCAGCTAAGACCCCGTCGGGTTTCCCCTCTCTCTCCCAACTTTTCAGCATTTTACAGCACTGTTTTGGTAATGCTCTCTTAAATTTATTGGTTAATTGCAAGTCTAGGATATAGTTATAAACTATAAGCCCAGCTCAATAAGCACTTGGCTACAACATCATCCGGCTAAGAGGTCATCATCAAACCCGTCCGGAACGATTTGACCACTTAAATACCGAATATTTAATTGCTTAATCTAAAATCAGCTTTGTTTAAGCTAAATTGTCTGCTCCGTTTGGCTGATCCAATCGCGTAGCTCCGCCACATTCGCATAGACGCCCGGATATTTGGGCTGGGCGCAGTTTGTGCCCCATGAAACGATGCCGACCAGCTTGCCGCCGGATACAAGGGGTCCGCCGGAGTCGCCCTGGCAGGCATCCTTGTTGTTCGCCGAGGCACAGATCATAGTCTGCTTGATCTTGGAGCCATAGCTATAGCTGCCACTGGCGCACTCCGAGCGGCCCACAATGCTGGTATTGATATAGAGCAGAACTGCGGAATTGGTGCCCTGGTATTTGGTGGAGCCCCAGCCGGAGCAGGTGGCAGCGGCGCCATGTTGCGGCGTGCTGCTGGCCAAGCCAATCGTATTGATGGTCCTGCTCAATGTCAGCTTCGTCTTCAATCTGACCAAACCAATGTCGTTCATTTTGGCACTCGCGTCGTATCCGCTGTGCGCCTTATAGGCCGTGACGCTGGCGAGAATGCCGCCAGAGTACTTGGCCGTGGAGCCAGCTCTAATGCGCAAATTGGCCACAGTGAGGCCATCCTTGAGCAGACAGTGGGCGGCGGTTACAACCAGATTTTGCCCAATTAGGCTGCCGCCACAGTAGTGGGCGCCCGAGCGCTGCAGCGAAACCTGCCAAGGATGCGCGCCAAGTGCAGCCGGTGAGCCGCCCACAATGCGTCCATCCAGCTGCGGCTCCAGGCCCAAGGGTCGTACAGCTCCATTGGCCAAGGCCAGCAGCGAGCTGAGCACTACAATTGAGGTCTTCACAAACATTTCGATTCGTGTCTTGTGTTCCAGTCTTTGGCCTAGCTCCGCTTTATATAGACCCAACGGCTGCAGCTGGCCTGTCGACAGATATCGATGCACACTTCGCATTACTATTTACAATATCGCCATAAATTTACGTAGCTGTAAACCGAGTAAGCCTTCTACTCGAGACCTCCGCAGTTCCAGTCAGGGGCATGGCTGCAGCCATATTTCGTAAATTCTCCTGCGTCATTCAGACCCCAGGGAAAATCTGCCCTAATGATATTATACGGTCTCCCGATCTCATTATATATTACAGCTACTCTTTTTGATTTCTCCTATCAGCTAGCATTATCTTGCGCTGCTTATATGGCCCATAATCCATCCGGCTGCACTTGGGGCTTTTGCCCATTGTAAATATCGGCAAAATGCATAAACAAACTTTTGCGTCAAATTGTTTAAAAAATGAAGAGGAATACATAATATCTGATAAAGGTGTTTTCAAATATCAAAATTCAAATTATCTAAATAAAAGTCCTTATCGATATGGAACTTTACTGCTTATTTTGTAGGCAAATCTAAAGCTTTCGCGTGGGACTGTGGCTATACGCTGTGCTATAGCTTAAGAGCTAGAGTCTTATGATACAAGAGACCTTGTCTAAACTGGTGCTTTTCCACGCCCGCAATATATAGGTCAAACTATAGAGTTTTCCGAAGGTCTACGTACGATAATATCATGGAAAACCTCTCTTAGTTTCAGTTGTATTTTGGTATATGGTACATGTTAGGCATGCTCGCTTTCTCTCTCTCTCTCTCTCTCTCTCTCTCTCTCTCTCTCTCTCTCTCCCTCTCTCTCTCTCTCTTCCTCTCTCTCCATAATACCATATATTGTAGTACTCTTAAGTGATATAGTAGACTGGCCGTAGATACCTTATTGCACAGCTTTTCCATTTAAGTAACTATAGAGAAGCTCTTCAAGGTGTGCCTACGATATGACATAGTGCTTTGAGGCTGGCTAAGTGCTTAAGAGAACGCTCCAGCGATAAATTTTCTTGATGACACCTTTTAAAATCGTAATCGATAGCTAAGCAAATCCATAAACTGATTACACAACAACTTTTGGAACTAGAAAACGGTACTTTATTGAGACACTGGTCGACTGTCACGTCGTCCATTAAAACGTTTTCAGCTTCCGGGCAGGTTTTATCGTCCGTTTGCCTACTCCCGTTTATTACGTCATATAAAATAAATAGATAAATATGTTTTGAAACTGTGCGACGGTTCTTTTACTTTCGATGGATAGACATTTCACTTAGCTGCTCGTCACTTAGACCCTGAAAATAAGCGAATTGATTATGATTGGAATTGAAAATAGAGACTAATGCAAGGCAGAAGCTACCCAATCATCATCATTTGGATAGAAGCACGGCATCTCTTCCATTTGCAAATTTTCTGTATAAATGTGATAGTCGACGAATCGATTGAAAGTTACTTGTTTTTTGGTAATTTTTGATTCGTTTCCTTTAATTTCATCCTTAGACGCATCCTTGAGCGAGAGTATAGACTTTTGGCAGAGGCTTTTATCCAACTTTGATGAGGTTGCGTTCATTTTGCCTGTGTACTTTTTGGATTTAAATAGAAAACAAATTTGAATGTTACATTAGAAATACAACTGCTTACTCTGTGAAGGGAAAAACTAAGGATGTGTTGATGAATAGATGTATTTATGTATACGTAGTCCTTGCTTGACTTTAAAACTAATTAAAACCATTAGCTCTAGGGCTGTGCCATCTTTGATAGATAAGAAACTAAGTGGCACTGGGCCTAGTCAGCTCTGAGATCATCAAATGCCTCAGCATAAGCGCACTTACTTGGATTTCTCTTACTTGATTTCGCAATAACATCATCCACATGGGGGTTGGGACCTTCTATCCTAATGTGTATTACTAGGTTGTGATTGTGCCTGCGGATACGGTGACATTTTCCATTCATTGCTAAAAAGCTTTTCACTCTAAATTGTTTCATGTCCAGCATATAATATCTTTCCGTAGTCTTAACGACTTGGTTTCCCGGGGATTACCGCTGTTTTAAAAATCAATGAAAATTTCTTCACGTGTGTGGCCGCGTTTGTGTCCTCCTCCTATCTCTCTCACTCTCTGTATTCTCAGTACATTTGCGAGCAATAAAAAACTGCTTCATACATTCACTTCAGATACCTTGAAAAAGTTGTAGACAAATTAAAAAAAAAATCAACTGGCCCATGGGGGGATCGAACCCGCGACCTTCGCGTTATTAGCACGACGCTCTAACCAGCTGAGCTAATGGGCCGATATAAATTTGCAGGCAAATATACCATATGACTGATTTAACACACATAAAAGAAAAACTTTTAGTTTTTTGTCGCAGTTACACGGAAATATAAACATTAAGTTGTAATATAATAATAATATATGCATAAAAATGTGTCAACTTAAGTTATTTATATATAAATTGATAAAAGGATAAATTTAGATTAAAAAATAATAATAATTTTCAAATATAGTAGAAAATAATATTAATAATAATAAATAATGATAATAATATTTAAAATAGATTATGCATATTTAAATATAACATTAATATATATAACGAAAAAAATTTTGTAAATATAACGTCAATAACATTAGTAAAAATCTACTTGTGCGACGAGCAAGCTTTTAAATATGTATACCATAGTATTTCGCTACTACTACATTCGGTTCTCACGTATAAGTTTCATTTACGACATGCTTCATCCAAGTGTCAGGATGGCCGAGCGGTCTAAGGCGCCAGACTCAAGATTATAAATCTTGCCTCTCAAACAGAGGTTTGTATGAGCGTTCTGGTCCTCTCTGAGGGCGTGGGTTCGAATCCCACTTCTGACAAATACTTTTTTTATAAATTTATATTTTTAACAATTATTTTTTACGACGATAAACTTATAATTTTTTTTATAAAGAGTACTGTTTAAATATTTTAACAAAACATTTCTGAATAATACACGATATGCAAGTACGTAACTACTTACAACACATATACTAAATTATATTGTATCTGGCAGTTCAACAAGTGCCTCCGTGGCGCAATCGGTTAGCGCGTTCGGCTGTTAACCGAAAGGTTGGTGGTTCGAGTCCACCCGGGGGCGGCTAAAACTTTTTTTTATTAGTATTAAATTTATAATTACATGTACAACCTTAAATTTGTGAGGCGCTTGCAAAAATAGCGGAACCAAACGTATTTTTGCTTTTCTAAAGTAATATTTATATATTGTGACATTAATATTAGACCTTAACAGTGGAATAACAGCAGCAGGCAATAATTTTAAATCCACTAAATGTAATGTGGTGGGTTCGTGAGGTTGATATTTTTGCGCCACTTTTGTTAGTGGTGAAATCACAATTCAGGTGGTAGCCTCTGCTATGTTTTAGCGCTATTCAACATATGCATATGTGAAGTACTCTCTCGCTCACGCACGCATAGGTTAGTCGCTGGCGGCTTTTATTCAGTTGCTTTCGAAACCCACGCGCGCACACTACGTGGATCGACTGAGTTGCTAAAAGAATCTCGTTGAGATAAATTGCTTTGAATAATGTATCGTGTTAGTAGCACTACATATTTGGAATAGCATATTGTGGAATAATGCCCGGAAGCATATCCGTCTTTGAATATATTCTGAATTTAAATGCAGAGTGAATAGTCATTGAAGAAGAAAAACGGCAAAGGTGGATAATAGAAGTTAACGAAAACTGTTATTCACACATCACATATACAACGTGCACATGTGCATTAGTATTGGCAAAATTAAAAAGTAGTTGCGGCTTAACGGTGGCTTCTTATGCGCCACGTCTTAAATACAAAAGTGTGCGTATAAATGTGTTAGTGCTTGAATAAGTTAAATCCATGACCAATCTAATGTTGATTCAATGAAATACATACATATATATACATGTGTGCATGCATGGCTAATAAATGTGTGTTTACATATATTTGAGATGGTGTAGGTTGGCGCCTTCTCTATTAATTCTGCTTTATTCTGCGAAACACCTTATACTCTCTGTGTGTTGTGTGTATGTGTGTGTGAGTGTCGCGCTCTCTTGCTCTCTCTCTCTCTCTCTCATTTGTCAACGGCAATTGTCTTGTTTTGTATTTCTCGCGGTTATTTCTTTGCCATTGTTGCATTATTGTAATTGTACTTTTTCTCATACACACACATGCATACACATGGTTTGTGATTGTGTGTGTGTACAGAAATGTTGTTCAAACTAGTTTCCTCGTGTTTTATTATTTTTTCGGACTCTGTTTTAAATAATATCGCCTACCCCTTTTTATCAAGTGTTCCGCTTTCAATCTCTATTTGTTAATTTTTTTGTTATTGTTTTCTTTTTCCTGCAATTTCATTGCAAACCTTCTGGCTGCATTTCAGTTGATATTTTGTAAATTTTGAAAGAAGTGAAATTTATTTCGCGCAGTTTTTAATAAAAAAAAATATGTTTAATATTTACTATGCAGAAAGTAAACACAAATTACGCTCGGAAGGTAAAATATAGCTGTCATTTTTTACTGGTAATAAAATGCATAAAAGTAAATATTGTCATAGAATAAACTTAGATAAATATATATATATTTATATATATATATTTATATGTTTTTCAATTTATTTATACATTGGTTACGTACGAATTTCAAAATAAATACAAAAATAAATAAAACGTCATTATTTTTATATTATACAAATAGGCCAAAAACAAATATAAATAATACATGTTCGTTTCATTTTTATGTAAGCAAACGAAAGTATTTCTAATTTCTATAATGAAATTTAGAACATATTTTGCAATTCCGATATTCACTAGTTTTTGTCACTGTCGTTTAACCCGTATATTACATGTTTCCTCTAGAGAACTTGGACTTTAGATCTGAATTCTTTTGAAATACCTCAAGAGATTTGTACTTTTACATTCCACTTGCTTACTCCACTAATTTAATTTGTTTTCTGATTTTTTATATTTATTTGTTTTCTCTACAAATTTGGTATACTTTGAAAGTATTTAACATCTTTTACCTTTCACTTGCTTTCTCTATGCATATAAAAAGCTCCCTGCTTATTCCTTCCCTTTGTTTTAGAGATTTTAAATCCTGTGTTCGATATTTTTCCGAGTTTTATGTTAAATTTGTTTCCTCTAGGGATGTGAGAGCTTTAGATCATCTTCAAGTCGTTTTAGATCTTGTAAAAGATATTTTAGTACTTACTTTGTTAGCATGGCATAAAAGTTGCGTTTAATTGGATTTTGACTTTAGCCTGATTTTCTGCTAAATTTATCTATACAAACAAATCTGTTATTTGTATTCAGCTTTAATCATGTTGCTATAGTATGTTATATAACTTAACTATTCGATATAATTTTCGATAAGTCGTTTCCGTCCACTGTGCAAATAGCGTGGCCGCCTTTGACCAGCCATCTACTCAATTATTGTTCGTTGGACAATAATTTCGTATTGATTCGTTTTTTACAATTACTTTCTATGCGATTGTATTTGGTATTGAGATACTTATACATATAAAAATACATATATATATACATACATGCGTATATATGTATGTATATTTTGGGACCTTGCAGTCAGTCAAAGTTTTGTCACACTTTTGTATGTGTATTTCCATGCAAATTATTTCATTTCAAAGTGATGACTTTATTTACCTAAAGTGCCCCTATTTGAAAAACCTTAGAAAAGGCGTTGGCTTGCCATAAAAGGCATAACAAGATATTATACGTTTCCATTCTTAATTGAGTGTGCTGTAGTATACATATATAACACCTGTACCTAAATAATAAATATATAAATGCCAGATGAATATTTACATTAGGGTTCATAAGACGTTCAATTTAACTGTTAACTCGTAAGAAGTAGTAAATAGTTCATATGAATCACGCTCGCTTATAAGCATTATATAAATTCAGATTGGACTAACAAGGAAAAAGATCTGAATAAAAAGATAAGACTAGCTTTGTGGAGAATAGAACTACGAACTTAATAAAATTCTAATCACAATTCTAAATCCTACTATATATAATTGAGCAAATGAACAGTTCATAAACTAGTTAATCAATTTAAATGAGTATTTCCAACTGTAAATGCATATGAGTTTGTTTAACATCATTTTTAATTTTTTAGTTCATGAACTAGTTCAAAAGTAACTGAAATAAAATGGGCTGGAAATTAAAATTGTTAATTTATAAGCTAATTCATGAACTTGTTCATCTGCAATTGTCAATATATAAAGTTGTCGAACCAGTCACAGCTAACTGATAATTTGAATCAACAAATAAAATGATTCATTTGTGAAGTTGTTCACGAACTTTCTCATTATGAATTGTCAACTTACATTTATATATGAATTTGTTGAACCAGTTAACGAACTGTGTCGGTCATAGCCAACTGATAAGATGATTCATTTGTGAACTTGTTCACTGTGAACTGTCAACATGCATTTACATACGAATGTTACTATAGGCTGGCCTTTGTTGTTGTGCTTTCGCAACGCTGTCGTGCTAACTGTTTGTACAAGTGTTGACTGTACAGGTACACCTGTGCTATATATGCTAGATATACTATATACGATGCAATATACTATATACACAATGAGCTGTGCTGCTGTGAACTATGTCATTTATCGTTAACTGATTGAGTGAGTCAACTTGAAGGTATTTTGGTTTTTGTTTTTGTTTTTGTTTTTGTTTAAGCTTCGCAAATGTTTGAAGCCATTTGTTTTGTTAAGTTTAAATTAACTACTTGTAAACCCCATTAGAAACCAGAATTTGAAATATTTTTAGTTGTTTAGTTGTTTTTGTTTTTGTTTTTCAAACAGAATCCACAAGTAAAAATGTTTGGAATGAATCCAAAATATATATTATTTGATGCTGTTATTTATAGAAACCGAATAAAAACACGAAGCCAATTTTATTTTGTCTGTCTATACGTTCTGGTCTGCTATCTGGATAGAGCTCTATATAGTATATGTATATTTCGGTATTTTTGGATTTCTTTTCAAGTTAACAAAGCAAAAAAATGACTCGTAATTATTTTCCTTTTCATGATAGCTATACGATGTATATATGTATATATTTTTATACACTTGGCCTTCCAATAGGACAAATGTCATCCTCTAATTACAGAAACCTACGACGTTGAGTGCCTACTTTAATATTTATGATCAATTTTCGTCAGGGAAGAAAACTAAGTTAGGGCTACTACGCTTAGCTACTCTGCTATTGATGTATTCTCTGTAATTTAGCACACGGAACTGAAGAACTACGGCTAACTTGTGCTTTATATAGTGTATTACACTACACGACAAAGATTTTGGCAAAGGCATAGCGCGATTAGACTGCAGAAGAATATGTAGATGTGAATTTTATGATTCACGTCTGACAAAATGTAACTCAGAGCATTAAAACCTGATGATTTGATGATCTTTAGAACTAGAACGTAAAGCTGAAAGATTTCCGAGTGACATCAACTGAAAGAAAAGTTTGTTCTATAATATATATTGGCTTTACATTCTACCGACATAATGCTTTTATAATATATATCACATATCACTAATGAGGCCTTTATAAAAACTTGTATTTTGTTCAATAGTGTTATTAATACTTGACGTTGTTTAAGGGAATGTTAGTTATTGTCTATGGAATGTTAGTTCTTAACTAATTTTAAATCGAATTGGTTTTCATCATATCTATACTATGAAGTCATAATTAGATATATGCTTTATGAACAATCAAGAATGAAACATTCAAAATACATATACATATTTAATATATATCTATATATAGTATAGCTCATCCGATTCAGACATTTGCTTTTACCACCTTTCATTTCAATTTCTATGAATTAATATTCGAATTCTAAGTATATGTCTCATAATTAGTAGCAGGTAAATTGCATTTAACCAGCAGCTGTGCCAGTTAAGCTAATTACAGCTAAACAAAAGTTTATTTGTTCTAAGAAAAGAACAGTTACTGCAGTTGACTGTGTGAAGTCTGATTAAATTTCCATTATTTTTCAAAGTATTAAATTTAAGCATTTTCATTAAAGTTCGAGTGAGTTTGAATTCGCTTAATTATACCTGAGTATTTGTGTACTTTGGCTGTTTACTGTAGTCAAGGTGCACACGCTAAAGGCCAGATCCTAACTCGGGCTAGCACCAACGCTTTTTACTGTTCCCTCTACATACCTGGCGTGGACACACGCAAATTAAGGTGTTTACTTATGATTTGTGAATGACTGAGCGACAGGTGAACACCGTTGTGTGTGGGTGAGCGACTGTGTGTGTTTGTTTATTTCCTTGTTATATGTTTTAGAGAAGGTCGTTGACTTGGTAAGGCGTTGCCTACCTGTGTGTCTTTTATCATATCTAATGAATTTCCATTCATAAAATCAATATTCGATGTGTGAATAATTAGTTGAGAACTTGAATAAAACGGCTTAATTGAAGGCAGCTCCGGAAGGACACTCAAAATGTTCAATCGAATTGAAAGTTAAATCAAAAGTATAATCAAAATTTCTTTTCAACTGTAAAGAACTAAAAAGTGATATATGTGAAGAATCATGTCAACATGACAGATCCCAATAGGAATTATAATCCGAATCGTGATCCAAATCCAAATAATACCAATGGCAATCACAAGTCAAGAAATGGTGCACCACAAGCGGAGTCAGCTAGCTGCTCTACTAGAGTCAATCCCGCCTACGATTCCGGTTCCGGTTCCGGTTCGGGCAGAAGATTTCAACTGCCTCCGGCCTGGGCAACGATGCCGGAGAAATTCCAATTGTGGTGCCAGGACTGCCTGCGCCGGCTGAGAGGTGAAGCCTTGAGGCACACAGCGACGACAAGACCCACAAGCTTTGCACCGGATGCCGGCACAAACACCGGAGAGACCGACGAGCACGCAGTCCACTATGTGGAGAACAGCAGCGAAAGTATCACCGAAGCCGATGGCGCCACTGCCCCACGGCCACTGCCAAAGAGGGAGGGGGAGAAATGTGAATGGCTCTCGAACGTCAAAAGCCATATCGTGGAGAAAATATTCAAGAGGAAGCGCAAATGTAAAGGTGTTTATTCTTTTTACATTACTATAACCCTATATCATATGTCATATATATATTTCAATCTGAGCCTAAGATATTTCAATTTATAGAGTGAGTAAATCACAGAAATGTGAAGCTATTTATCTTTATTATCTGGTTTATATATCTCAGCTATATTAATGCTATTCTTCAGAATGTTGTGAATTGCACTGCAATTGCAATTTCTATATATATCTAGATTTCTTTGTTTTGGATTGTAATCTTATCTGAAAGAGCAAACGACATTTAATAATGCATATTGCAGATAGTTTGTAAATATAATACATGCACAGGTATATATATATATACAGACATATATAAAGAGTCTGAAAAGTATATTATCAAACTACCCTCGTATGTATGTCAATTTAGCTGTCTATGAATCTAAATGTCTGTCTTGCTGACATGCTAATTGCTATCTTATCCTTTTACAAACTATTTAACTTAAGGCCAGCCAAGTTATAAACTGCTATACATATATAAATGAGTATATATCATATATATATATATATATGCTAACATATATGACAACTGCTGGTCGAATACGTCCATCTATGGCCCCACACTATTCAGCTTTAAATCGTTATTGTTCCCTTGCGGCTGTGAAATGCACTCAAGGGAAGTTACTTTAGCCAGATATCCAAATATGAAAGAGTTCCAAGTTGTAGTGCTTAGCTTTTGAGATACCCTGTAAAAGCTATGCAACTTTTTCGTTTCACTTTAGACTACACAAAAACTGAACTCAAAGAAAAACTTAGCAAAAAGTATGGCATCTTATATATTATATTATAGTATAGATAATATAAAAGTAATGTTACTGGGCATATGGTATATATTTAACGAATATATAATAATATGAGAGATATATTAGAAATTGTTAGATATATAATAAGTCAGGTAGCTGCCGATTGCATATACCCCTTTTGTTTGATGTTGAGCTTAGGGTAAGCCATATTTCAATGGGTCTGCGACACACAGCCCAAAGGACACAAATCAGAGCGTTGAAATCGCCGTTCCCTCCTGCCTCTGCCACTGCCACAGCCCGTGCCCCGTTCCCTGTACCCCGTTTTCCCTACTTGCTTCTAACTCTGCATTTGGTTTGCTGTGCGTTATGCTTCGACCCTGAGTGCCTGGCAATATTTGCTCATTATGGCCTACCTGGGCCAATTCGAACGGCATCTGAAGTTTGGGGGCGCCACCCCGTGGCAAACGACGCTCTCTCGCATTGTATTCAGTCGCACAGTCAAGCTGCAAGAGCGCACAACACGCAGCACGCAGCAAACAAAAAACAGAAGGACAAGAAAAACTGGGGCAACAATTTGTTGAAATATTCGAAATGTGTTAAAAAGTTTTTTGGGGAAATTTTGATTTGTTTTTTGTTTTCGGCAAGTGTTAAGTGCTGTCCTCCGGTGTTAAGTGCAACAAATTGTGGCACAGTCCTAGTCTACTATCGTGTGCATCACGTGGCATACAGCTGCGTTCAATGTGTGACAAATCGATAATGCGCACTTTTTGACGCACTTTGATAAAAGAGTTTCCAAATTGCTCGAAATTGACCGAAGTTGAAGCTATTTACTGATTAGTGTCAGATCAAATGTCTATAGAGTGTATCGTATATAGTATATATATCTATATAAACTATTCATGTTGTTAGCAAAATGTCAAAGTTGAAGCGAGTTGAGCAAGTTATTCTGGCATTTGTACGAAATGTGGCCAAAATTAAGAGCGCAAGCGCTGGCTCCGGCTTCGTGAAGATATTGCAACGCCTATTTGCCACGCCCACTTGTGGCTTACCAACAACAGCAGCAGCAGCAGCAGCAGCAGAGTAGAGCTATAAAACATACAACCTGGAGGGCATATTGAGAGCAAAGTCAGCCAGCAGCAGGGAGAGCATCGCCTTTCAGGCGGTTGGCTCAGGCATCGACGAGCACTACGTGGCAGATGGAACGGATCAGGAATCAATAGAGACGGCTGCAACTGAACTAATTGGCGACCTCAACGACGATTCTAATCGTTTTTTAAATTTGAAAAAACGTCCACTTCGACGACGCAGACTATCGGGCAGGCCGTGCAGCAGACGTTGGGGCAGAATGAACTTCCGCAACGTCTATAGAGCGCTGCGTATACGCTGGAGTCGTAAGTTGAACTCAAGATCTTTCGTAAATCAATACCAAAAACGAAGGGAAATATTCTGAAGAGAATATATATATAATTTATATTAAAAGTCCACCTACGTAAAATATCTGTATGTACGTAATTATATATATATAAAATAGCAGTAACCTTGTGGAGCTAGCTTATACGAGCTCAAAAATCCGGTACGGATTTTCAAAATTCCAAAATCAGAATGTTTGTCACCTGCCCCGTGGTAGCTCCGGTTATTCAACTGGGCAAACAGATGAAAGAGCATGGAATCATACCAGACGTGGTTACCTGCATTCCGGAGTATGTGGTCAGCATATTATATCCATGCGAAATTACTGTCTCGCCTGGCTGCCATCTGACCCCATTCCAGGTGAGGCGTGAGCCAATTATTCGTTGGATGGCCGATCCGCACAAGTTCTATACGCTGGCCTTGATCGATCCGGATGCACCAAGCCGTGCCAAGCCCACGTATCGCGAATGGCTCCATTGGCTCGTTGGCAATATACCTGGCTGCGATGTGGTCCGTGGCCAGCAGATTGTGGAATACATTGGCAGTCGTCCGCCCGCAGAGACGGGCAAACATCGTTACGTATTCGTGGTATTCAAGCAGCTTTGTGAAGTGGACTTTGACGAAAGCTATATACCTCGGGCCACCTACGACGGCAGACCCTGCTTTAGCCTCCGGCGATTTGCCAAAAAGTATGCCCTAGGCAATCCCGTAGCACTTAATTTTTTCTTTGCCAAATGGGAAAATGATTTGCATTGAGTCCCTTTATATTCTGTGTTTGCGTAGGTGACAATAAAACTCGGATTGATACAAAATAGCTGGGTGCTTGATATATGAAAGCGTTTCAAATGATTGATTGAACTGAAGTCTGATCGATGAGTAATACTCTTCGAGCTAGACCTTTAGGCTTTTATGTCTAAAATGAATTTTCGATTAAGTTTCGGACTCTTTTCTTGTAGATGATGATGAAGAGCCTCCGAACTTTGGCAGTTACGCGTCGACTGACGACGAGAAACGCATCATTGTGCTGAATGGGTCGCAGCCAACAAAATATTGCAATAACCGAATATCAACGGCTAAATATAAGTGAGTAATTGGAATGGGCATCGATTATCAGGAGTAATGTCCATACGTATTCATTTGCCTATGCGCTATGCGCTATTTAAGTGACATGGCTTACTCTGATAAGATACGATCTAAGCCTATGTTTGTGGTAAACTAATTGATTAATAAATGCTGCCCTTTTCTATTTTTTCGTACACAGTGTCCTCACCTTTATACCGTCGTTTCTCTTTGAGCAATTTCGACGATATTCCAATATATTTTTCTTACTAATTGCATTATTACAACAAATTCCGGATGTATCGCCAACGGGTCGCTACACCACACTGGTGCCACTCGTATTTATACTCTCAGTAAGCGCCATTAAGGAAATTATTGAGGATGTAGTAAGTAATTAAATACAATAATCGGTTATATATGACATATATTTATATAAATATTTAATATCTTTACAGAAACGACATCGTGCTGATAATGAAATTAACCATCGCTTGATTGAACGGCTAGAAAATGGCGCTTGGACCACTGTACGGTGGTCCGAGCTGACAGTTGGGGACATTATAAAGGTGGTCATCGATACATTCTTTCCTGCCGACTTAATATTGCTATCGTCTAGGTGAGTACCGATTGGATAACATGCCAAGCATTGGGCTCACCAACTGCTATGGTAAACGAACCACTACTAAACAATTTATCGAATCTGTTGCAGTGAACCGCAGGGTATGTGTTTCATTGAAACTGCAAATCTGGATGGAGAGACAAATTTGAAGATTCGCCAAGGTATGACGTCGACAGCCAAATTATTGGACACAAAAGACTTGACGCAATTACAGGGAAAAATCGAATGTGAACTGCCGAATCGGCTGTTGTACGAGTTTAATGGTGTGCTCAAGGAGTATGGCAAACCGTAAGTAATTCGGTTTAGAAATTTAAATTGTGAACTGTGAGTCATTCGCTAGTTCAGTTCAGTTCAACAGCTCGTGATCGATGCGTACTATCGAGTCCTTTATGAACAATTGAACTAAATGAACTTCGGTTTAGAAATTTAAATTGTGAACTGTGAGTCATTCGCTAGTTCAGTTCAGTTCAACAGCTCGTGATCGATGCATACTATCGAATCCTTTGTGAACAATTGAACTAAATTAACTTTTATGAACATAGTCCGTTTAAATATATCGCTGACTAATTCTGTATTATGAACTATATTTAATATTAAAGAAAAATTCATATTTTAGGTTGGTTCCTTTGGGCAATGATCAGGTGCTGCAGCGCGGTGCCATGCTGAGGAACACGGCTTGGATATTTGGCGTCGTCATCTACTCCGGACATGAAACGAAACTGATGAAGAACTCAACATCTGCCCCGCTTAAGCGTTCGACTGTTGATAAGCTGACCAATACACAGATTTTGATGCTGTTCATGATATTGATCACACTCTGCATAACGAGTGGATTGTGCAATTTGTTTTGGACGCAAAAACATTCCATAACGGATTGGTATCTGGGCATTGGAGATTTCGTGAGCTTGAGTCTCGGCTACAATCTGTTGACCTTTTTTATTTTGTACAACAATTTGATACCCATTTCGTTGCAAGTGACTTTGGAGCTGGTGCGTTTTCTGCAGGCGATCTTCATTAACTATGACATCGAGATGTATCACGAGGAATCGAATATGCCAGCTAGTGCACGCACCTCGAATCTCAATGAGGAGTTGGGCCTGATCAAGTACATTTTCTCGGACAAGACGGGCACATTAACGCGGAATGTAATGGAGTTCAAGAAATGTTCCATTGCCAAGCGCATTTATCAAACGGAGCACACACCCGAGCAATCAGAGTTGGTACAGAATATATTGCGAAAGCACGAATCCTCTAGGGACATAGAGGAGTTTCTCGTCTTGTTATCCGTGTGCCATACGGTTATACCAGAGAAAAAGGAGGATGGCAGCATTATTTACCATGCCGCCAGTCCAGATGAACGAGCTTTAGTCGATGGAGCTCGCAAGTTTGGCTACATTTTTGATACACGCACGCCAGAATATGTGGAGATAAATGCTTTGGGCAAGCGACTGCGTTACGAAGTCCTGAATGTCCTAGAATTTACGTCGTCAAGGAAACGCATGTCGATCATAGTACGTACGCCCGGGGGACGAATTAAGCTCTTTACCAAAGGTGCCGATTCGGTTATATACGAACGTCTCTCTCCCAGAGATCAATCGTATCGAGAGTCAACGTTGCAGCATTTAGAAGAGTTTGCCTCGGAAGGTTTGCGTACGCTTTGTCTGGCCGTGGCGGATATTGATGATGAAGTTTATGAGGAATGGACGCAGACACATCACAAGGCATCGATCGCATTGCAGTATAGGGAAAGCAAGCTGGAAGACTCTTGTAACCTAATTGAGACCAATTTACGTCTGTTGGGTGCAACGGCTATTGAGGATAAGCTACAGGAAGGCGTGCCAGAGACAATTGCCGCTCTACTCGAAGCTGGCATATACATTTGGGTGCTAACGGGCGATAAGCAGGAGACGGCCATCAACATTGGCTACTCCTGCAAATTAATCTCACACAACATGGACATCCTCATACTCAATGAGGGCAGTTTGGACGTAAGTTAGAGACCTGATTAGATAAAATATTTTAGGAAATTCATCTGGTTTCCAATAATCCAATAATAATACATATGTAATACATCAGTAATAATCAACTTTCTATTGTAGGCCACACGAGATGCTGTGCTGCGACATGTGGACGAATTCAAGACCACCTCGACCAAGGATGCAAATGTGGCGCTGGTCATCGATGGTAAAACATTGAAGTATGCCCTGACCTGTGATCTGCGAGGTGATTTTCAGGAGCTTTGCCTCGTGTGTCGTGTCGTCATCTGTTGCCGCGTGTCACCCATCCAAAAAGCCGAAGTTGTTGACATGGTCACACAGAGCACGAAAGCCGTAACCTTGGCTATTGGAGACGGCGCCAACGATGTGGCTATGATTCAGAAAGCAAGCGTGGGCATTGGCATTTCAGGCGTTGAGGGTTTGCAAGCGGCCTGCGCCTCCGACTATTCAATTGCCCAGTTTCGATTTTTGCGTCGTCTCATTCTCGTTCATGGCGCCTGGAATTATGCGCGAATCAGCAAGCTAATCCTCTACAGTTTCTATAAAAATGTATGCTTATATGTGATTGAGCTCTGGTTCGCCCTATACTCTGGCTGGTCAGGTCAAATTCTGTTCGAACGCTGGACCATTGGTCTGTACAACGTTGTCTTCACGGCCATGCCACCATTTGCAATTGGACTCTTTGAGAAGTTCTGTACGGCAGAAACAATGCTTAAGTATCCGCTGCTCTACAAGCCCTCACAGAATGCCAAACTCTTCAATGTACGCGTGTTTTGGATTTGGATCTTCAATGCCCTGCTACACTCTGTGTTTCTCTTCTGGCTGCCACTGTGCGCCTTCGAGACGGAAGCGATTTGGTCCGACGGCAAGACTAGCGATTATCTGATGCTCGGCAACATGGTCTACACGGTGAGTTACTGTCGGGCGTACAGAGGAGAGAGGATTTTCCATGCTAAAGGATGTCAGTAAAATGAGCTATATTGTTTATTCTTTTTCAGTATGTAATTGTGACTGTTTGCTTGAAAGCGGGCTTAATTACCAGCTCATGGACTTGGCTAACGCATGCCGCCATTTGGGGATCGATTCTGCTCTGGTTCTTGTTTGTGGTGATCTATAGTCATATCTGGCCATCGTTGAATTTTGCGAGTAACTTTGCTGGAATGGACAGTCAGCTGCTGTCGACGCCTGTATTTTGGCTGGCTTTAATTCTGGTACCCATTACCAGTCTGCTGATCGATGTCATCTGCAAGCTGTACGTATAAGCAATTTTAGTTATGGACCAGATGTATTTGATATATATATTTTCATTTGCTTTTAGCATACATAATACCGTATTCAAAACTCTGACGGATGCTGTACGTGAGTCGGAGATACAGCGTAATGATCCGTCACAGGTGATGGAAGAGTCGCGCTCCTCGTAAGTATTCCGCTTAAAGACAGACATAGAGATAGAGCGAGACTATCTGCTCTGTATATGTACACTACGTATTTTGCATTATTTCTGGATTTATTTTCCTATACAATTGGTTAAACTATTTATCTGGCAAAAAGAAAAAAAAAAAGCGAAAAACAAAAATATGCTACTACGTTTTCAATTTGAATTGTTGCGCATCTTAAGTAGAGTTAATTTTGATTTGAAGCAATTCTATTTCCTTTACTTTATTAAGCACGGATCGCTCATATAGTTGTCTATATAATTGCAATTCGTTGTGATCCGTGCTTTATTTTTGCATTTTTCGTTTTGTATTTGTATTTGTATTTTGCACCAACTTGTGAAGCTAATCAGCAATGAGTTAATTTTGCATTTAATTAGTCACCCAATTTAATTAATATATTAGTCACATATTGTCTAACTGTTTATCTCTTAGTTTAAATGAAACCCACCTTAACTCTTAGCGCAAGTTCTACATTTGTTTCACTTAACAAACCACACGAAAGTTCTGAAAACTAGTTGGCTCTAACGATAACTAATACCCTTTAAATTTAAAACATATACACAACGGTAAACATAACATACAATTTATTATTGGAAAACCAAATAGTTATATATGAAAAAGAAATGATTCTGAAACATTTTTTTACTTTTCACAAAGTAAAAACAAATTTGTGTTGAACTTTAGCAAAAGCATTTGATCTAGTCAGAACACCTTCTACACCTGTTTACAGGGTATACAGCAACACGATTCTATAATTAAGTATTAGTTCTTATACACGAAGAAACAACACAGCACAGGGCATTAAATTACAAGTAGTTTCTTGTTCGCAACAAAAAACACAAGACATTTGCATATTTCTATCATTGAGTATATGTATATATATTTATATGTTTGTATATATATATATATATATGGTAGCAAAAATTGTTTGAAATTGAAATTAAAATTACGTATTTTATTTAGTCATGAATTAAAATTGTGTGTATTTTAATTTAGTAGCAAAATGTGCATTTAATCAAAAGCAAAAACAACTAAGAATGTTGCAGTCGGGCATAATCGACTGCATAATACTCGTTCACGCTATAAAAACTGTTTGCCTCTATATAAATATAGTTTTCTGATGTACAATATTATTTATTGAGCAGCTCAGCTCAAACGTATTCCAATTCTAATGTGCGCCTATTCCTGATATTTTGATGTATAAAAATGTATATAGCAAACTTCAAAACTCTCTAGTTTTGATATATACTTAAGATTATATTGTGATGCTTTTCAATGGACGTGAATAGAGCATTTATGATTTCTTGTATAGTAGTTGAATTTTGAACTTCTATACATATATATCTTACCCCCAATGGGGTTAGCTTTATATCCTTACGTGAATATATATTCCAAGTTTCAAATCTCTATAGACAAACCAAAATGCTCTTTTGTCCCTGCGTGAACGTGTAGAACATATCGAAACACTTCAAATTTATTAGCGGGCAAAATTGCAAATATAAATATAGATATCGAGTTGACTATTGTAATATTATTTATCTTATTAGCAACAATCAAATTTGAAATTCAAAATAGAAAAACCAAGAAATGTAATTCTCTCTATCCTCTATCCTTTATTAACTCACATATACACACACCCATACATACACACACATACACACACACATACGCATACATACATATATAAAATAATTCAAATCATGTTTGATCTGTAACAAACATGTGAATTTATGCATATTCATTGTTAACAAATCCTAAACTCCCTCATGCCAAATCCACAAAAATTGTTCGACTGCGTTAAAAAAAAGGGAATATCGTTTTAAGCATGATTTGGACCAGAGATCGAGTACGAAAAGGCAGCAATCTCAGGCGAGATACTTCAATTCAAGGCAGAGTGTAGAATTTTCAGCTCGTCATCTACGTGTCGAGCACCTGGATTTCGATGAGGATCTGGATAGCAGGGATCAGCAACGTGAATTCTATAGACGCCGACAGCGCTGGCAGGGCAGTGAGATTCTGCACATGTAGCTAGAAGAAGCTGGGAGGAGAGCAAGTTCCTGTGTCTCTATATACCATATATGTATATAATATTTGTGATTTTAATGACATCAATTGAAATAAATATATATAAAATTATATACATGTTATAGACTAAGTGCTCATCAAATTGATATAGAATTCTATGTGTGTATATATATATGCTCAGGGCATGCCAAGCCATATCCATTATATATCAATCAATCAGTCAATAATAAAGAAAACACTGTAGTATTCTTACATATATATAGATATATAGGATCATCTCTGTACAGATGCAAGTCTTAAAATTGATCCAACTGTGATAATGATTACTGTAGTTAAATGAATGTTTTCAAAGAATTGCAATTTATTTCATATTTCACGTTGTTTATATCTTAAGTCAATTGTACTACGCTTAACTTCAAAGAGAAATCAAAAAAGGAAAGATGAAGAAATCATTCCATAAACTAAAACTAAACCCACGTCTAAATGAATGTACAAAAGTGGAAGAAAACTTGTATGTAAACCAGTTAACAAGAACTTTAATTTAAGCTCAACTATTCCAGTCTCCATTGTTGTTGTTACACCCTGAACCACTTGAAAACAAATATATGTATGTAGACTAAGGCTGAGCCAGACATGTGCGTCTATCTGTTTTGTCTATATGTGTGATATAAGTTTATTATAAAAAGAAAGTGCTATTTTACTATACTTAAACATGGAACATTTCCTATGTTTTGGACACGTACCCATTTGGGCAAACTAATTATAAATTGTTAATAATCGAGTTGAGGATCATAGGCTACATACATATGTTACAAATTGAATCATGAGCACACTTTAAGCACCGATGTTATTCTATAAATGAAGCAGCATGAGCACAGCATCTTTATGCATAAAGACAGCTCGCCACTTGGTTCAGGGTATTTGCTAGTCGAGCACTGCCGACTAGAGCAATCATATTTGTTTTTCAATATTGTTAATTTGTGAAATATTTAAAAATATATATATATACATACAAATATATAGTCTCTTAAGTAAATCTATATGCCATCCCTTCTAACCTACCTATGCAATTAATAACTGTTTAAAACCCAAGGATATTCCAATCAGAACATCTATTAAATACTTATAGAATAAAGTTCAAGTTAACAAAAAGCAAAATTTCTAATTGTTTTGAAGCTATTCAAATAGCAATTAAATAAAATATATAATATTTATATATACAAATGTATGTCAAATATATGTTTATTCTAACTAAAATAGCAGCTGATGCATTAGTTTTCATCAACTTGCATGCAGTTTAATGAATACCCTACAACATTTTTGAATCCCACTAACAGAACAAATCAGTTTGGCACAATATTTGACAAAAAAAAAATGAAAAAATGTCGAAAATGTTTTGCACCTTTTTTGATTTTCTATATTTTCTGTATAATCACACAAAGAGCAATTTATTTTTTGTGTTTTATATAATAAAATATCTATGCAATCTATATGAATATCAATATATTATATATATATATATTTTCTTGTGTGTGTGTGTGTGTTTCTGTGTGTGTGCGCGCAGTACTATGTATGCCTTGGGATCAATTATTCGGTGTAAGTAATACATGAATCAAATGTATATTACAAAAAAAAACCTAAATACCAAATACATAAATATAAATGTACACATACCTATATTGCGAGGGTAGTTCAAAAGATTGCAGTGCCTAACATACTTAAATGAAATTGGACATAAATTTACTAAAGTTTTATTTAAATTTAACATTCTTGAGATTCGTGTGCAAAGTTTTCAGACTACCCTCGCATAACGATAACATTCAAGTCGAACCCATAATCATAGACAGTCACAAAACACCCATTCATCCGAGCAGGCCCCGAAAACAACTGTTGCAATTAGAGGGTATCAAATAGTTAGTGTTAGGCAAACGGTATAACAGCACAGATTTTGTAAAATATACAAATGAATAAATAATACGTATTTTAAGGTCGCTTTCGCATTGCATGTTTTTGTTCTCAAATATATTTCTTTGGTTAACTAATATTGAAAAAAAAAAAAGAAAACAAAAATCTTTTTAAAAACAATTTTGCATGTCCCATAAAAATTTGTCACATTTGATTGTAGATTTTTTATTGCTCTCCAACAGCCGCTCACAATTATCTTTTTTTTTTTAACTGTATGTAGATGCTAACAATTCAAAATGAAAATTAATAAAAAAACAATTATTTTGCCTTACAAAAAATTAATAAAATTGTGAAAAGCAAAAATTGCATAACTTATTAAACCACACAAATAGAATCCTAAAATGAAATATTTTTTTAATTATTCAAAATCCAAAAAAAAAGTTGGAAGACTGAGCAATTCGAAATATTTAACATTAATTTTTATGCTAATTTCCATAACTTAAAAATGTTCGAAAAACTAAGAGTTTTATATCCCACTTAAACCCAACTAAAAAATCAAAATCCCAAAAAAAAACAATTAATTCTACAGATTTACTGAAACGGCGAGATTGCTACGAAATGTTTTCACCCGTCGTGCCAACACAAGAGTCGAAACGGAACTAGAATTATCGCGTGAGTACAAACCATATACCAAAAGAACTGTGAATCAGATGCAGCGAAATGTCCCCGAGGTGCTATTAGTGCAGGCCAAACAGGGTTTGGGCAGTACTTCATTTTTTAATGGGCTAGTTAAAGGCATATATACAGACATATAAGTCAAGTGTATAGTAACATATACCTGTACATATATATCCATGGTTATCAGCTGTAGTGTATCAAAAGGTCAATAAAGGAAATGACATTTGATTTTATATTTCATTTCATCCACACGCTCATTAAAAACGAAATACCCTTTCCCCATCCCATACACGAACAACATATAATTACCATATCTGATATCTATATAACATTTTTCTACATTATTTTTCTACCCATACAGATGGCTATGCATTTTCGCAAGAGGAAGGCGGTGCTGTACCTCAATCTATAGTTATACGGGCTTATGACACGAATTTGCCGAAGCCAGAGGGCAATTGAAGAGCGAAAAAGGAAGATCGAGATATATATATGGATATATACATCAGCTATTGTATTTATGGCTATGAAACACCTTCAATTTACAGCAGCTAATGTGTGTTAAAAGGGCCAAAGAATAAAATCATTTAGAATAATAAACAGAAAAAAAAAATGAAATAAAATTTTAATGGAAATACTTTTGTGAAACATACATACACACATTTTTTCTGGTATTAATTCATCAAAGATATTCTAAATGTGTCTTACATTAATAATATTTTAATTTATATATGTGCTGCGTATGGTAACTTCAATGTGTATTTGTATCCTAACTGTTAATTATTTTATAAGCCACTTAAATAAAGCCGTTAGAAGCATTTTGATTCTTTGTACATATGAAAAAAAAAACTATTTGAATTCATTATACTTGTTTCTAATAATTTTGAATCAGTTTAAATCGAAATATTTTTCGATAAGGATATTAAAAAAGCTATCGCTTCAAACGATATGAGAATACATCGATAACATGACTACGAGTGCTGAAAAATCTTAATGTTGAAGTATACGTAAATAATGAAAGATATATTAAAAATCAGTTAAATATAATTATAAGAAGCAAAATAATTGTTATTGTATTAAATTTCATATAAATTGTATTAATTATAAATAATTTTCAATACCAGATTAAACTATCGTCGTTAACGATATATGTATACATCGATTACATGCTCAAGAGGAAATGAACTTGTGTTTTAGCAATGGAACTAATTAAGTGTTATTTGTACATGCAAATATATTTAGTGTTTATTGCAACCCTGATGAGCGACGCGGCTTTCCATTTGCGCTCGCATATTTTTGTTGCATTTTCACCAGTTTCTGCGTTAGTTTAACAAATAGGAATAAGTAGAAACATCAGAATGGATGACATATTGAGTCCAGGCTTTTCAATACCCAGCATTGGACATGCACCGACGCCGCTGCATCACAGCCTGGACGCCGATCAACAAATCGAAGCATTACCACATCAAGTTTATCATCCACCCGCAGCAGAGCCAACAACAACGGCAGCCACAGCGCAGCAACAACAAACAGACAATGGAACGGGCGTGCCTGATGGAAGCAGCGGTAGCGGTTTGTTTGGTCATGAACCCTCTATACCTCTTGCTCATAAACAAATGCAAAGCTATCAGCCCTCTGCCTCCTACCAGCAACAGCAGCAGCAAAGCGGCAACACAGGCGGCAGCACGCCCCAATCTCTTATGCAGCCACAGACGCCTCAGAGTATGATGTCCCACATGATGCCAATGACAGAGCGAAGTGCACCCGGAGATTCATCCCTGAGTAATATACATCAGACGATGGGTCCATCAACACCGATGACACCTGCCACACCTGGTTCCGCCGATCCGGGCATTGTGCCGCAGCTGCAGAATATAGTATCTACTGTTAATCTGTGTTGTAAATTGGACTTAAAGAAAATAGCTCTGCATGCGCGTAATGCTGAGTATAATCCAAAGCGTTTTGCGGCCGTGATTATGCGTATCCGAGAGCCACGAACCACGGCCCTGATCTTCAGTTCCGGCAAAATGGTATGCACAGGGGCCAAGAGCGAAGATGATTCACGGCTAGCAGCTCGCAAGTATGCGCGCATCATACAGAAGCTGGGATTTCCGGTAAGTGTTGAGCATTTAATTATTGAAGTTACCATACTTAATTATTAAATGAATTCTTAATAATCTAATTGTCTTTCGCTTGCAGGCCAAATTCCTTGATTTTAAGATACAAAATATGGTGGGCTCGTGCGATGTAAAGTTTCCTATCCGACTAGAGGGCCTTGTTCTGACCCATTGCAACTTCAGTAGTTACGAGCCAGAGCTGTTTCCGGGTTTAATTTATCGAATGGTGCGTCCACGTATCGTTCTGCTGATCTTCGTCTCTGGCAAGGTTGTGCTAACTGGAGCCAAAGTGCGACAGGAGATCTATGATGCGTTCGACAAGATATTTCCCATATTGAAGAAGTTCAAGAAGCAGTCGTAAGTTTTCTTTTAGGTTATTGACTCTTAAAGTTGACTAATTGTAGATTGAAATAAGGTTAATAATAAATACTGTATTTAGTTGATAAATGTTGTTGCCTGGATTTTATTGGCATGTAGAGCATCACTTAACCGTTGTAAACCTTAATTAGCTTAGATACATTGTGCCATCAGTGCACCCACATTCTCGAACTCGATCTTTTCCGTAATGTTCTTCGTCTTAATCTTATCGTCCTGGGTGGCAACGACCACAAGCTCATGTCCCTGGTGCTTCCAGCCATTGCGCTTGATCCAAGTCTCCAGTGTGGAGTCTTCAATGCCGCCCAACAGCTCCTTCAGTAAATCCTTCTTGATTGTCTGGAATGTGGTGCCCACCACATGAGAAACAAATTTGCGTATGGAATCATGGAAACCGCTTATATGACGGAACATCGTGCGATTTACTTCAGCTCGTTGCCAGAACAATGTGAAATCGGCACGCTCCAATATATCGGCCAAGTCAATAATTGTCTGCACGTTCTCATCCTTCATCTGCTGCGGCAGCAACAAACATTTTGCCATCACAAAGTCCGTGTGCGGCAAGTTCGTCAAACACTTTAGCAGAATCGTGTAGGTGATATCGAAGTTGAGCATGTGTGGATTGAACTGATATAGCTTGAGTACGGCCAGATTTGCTTCCAAATCATAGGTGTTATTCTTGGCCTGGTCCTGAACATACGATTCGAGTATCTTTAAATGGTCCGGATTGTAGCTGGGAACAACAAATGAAAAATAGGTTATGTTTCATTTGTGTACTTATTGACGGATGCCGAAAAAACCGCTTACCGTTCAATGCAGCCCAACATTTCCTGTATGGTCTGGCTCTGACCGTTTTCCATTTTCACCAAGTGTGCCATTTTGTAATTTATATGCGAAAGAAATAGATGAAATTATATTCGCGTGGCGATGCTAAAATTTATTTTTTACACAGGGCTGTATTGAATCGTTCCGAGGAAGTTCAATAGAACATCTGATTCACAAGAGCGAACTAACAATATTGCAGCCCTGGCAGGACAGCTAAACAACAGTCATTATAAACAAGCAGTGTTTGTTTTCTAATGCCGTAACGTTATTAACAGCTGCTATTAGCGGCAAGCAGTGTTTAGTCACAATTGACGAATACTGTGTTTTAACAGTGGTGTTCAGTTTGTCAAATCTGCCGGGCTCTTATATTAAAGCAATCTATTGCAAAATGTTGTGTATAGTAATATAATACGACGTTTTTAAGGAGTGTTTATGTTTTTGCTTACAACAGTGATGCGCAACGAGAACAACTAATCGCGCGGGACATACAACACCACTTAACTTCAGTGCTCAGGTGTTTAACAGAGATTAATTTTGCGTTCTGCAAATTTCTGCAATTCCATACAAATAAATTGAATCCATTTTTTATTAGTAAATAAAATTATTTTTTATTAATCCCAAATTGTTATTGGTCTATGTTTAAGGTCACTTATTTGCAAAAGTTTATATAAATACTTCTTAATGCATGTATATATATGTACATGTGGAAGTAAATTTCTGTTTATCTTCTCTGTACTTTACGCCTTTTTAACTGGAAGTTTGACTTGATCTTTAGTTAATTTCCAATTGGATTTCCTCTGTCTTGTGTCGGAAGCATAAAAACGATTTGTAGTTGCACCCAATTGGATTATACGTTGCCAACTAATTTTATCTTGGAAGTTTGACTTGATTTATATTTTGTTCCAACTGGACTATCCACTGCCATCTCACTTTGTATTGGAAGTTATATTGGAAGTGTATGGGCATGCAGTATGTGGAAGCTTAGTTTTTTATTTGCACCCTAATGGATACATTGTAAATTTAAAGACGTTTAGGTCTTTGTCGCCTCTGTTTCGGTTCGGCCCGCAGCGGCTGCCATTTCGGCTTGACGTTGTTCCTCCTCCAATTCCAGACGCTCCACCTTTTTGATTTTGCTCAGTTTCTCTAAAAAGATACGATAATGGATATATGTTTATCAATAAATGTTTTTATGTAAGTCCAACTTACTTGCACACTTTAACATAATTGTGCCCCACCAAATGGACCAGCCCCAGCCTACAAAACAGAAGAGCACACAGAAAAACTGAGAGACAGCCACAATGATATTGATGATAAAGGATCCGATGCGAGCGCGCGCGCTATCAAACTGTGAGAAACGTGGAATGCCAACGCACAGGCAGAACAGACCAGAGAGCAGAGTGCCTGTAGAAAACTTGCAAATTAAGGAATGTACGGGGTATAGTGTTCAATTGTGAATACCCACCCAGGCCCGGAAAGATGACGTTGCAGAAGGCGCAAAACCAGGCAAGGTAGAGCGGCAGCACAGGTATGGCTCCTTTCATCTTGGATGTATACTCCACCAGGTCGTTATGGAGCTTGCGACGCGTTTCCTAAATATTAATATAAATAAAAATTGGATATCTATATATTTGTATTTTCTTTTTGATTTTGAAGTGGTTTCAAATTAATTAATTAAATATTTGAGGCTTAATCCAGAAAAGGAGATCTTTGATCTTAAGCTCAATCAGTACTTACCTCACTTGTTGGCGGTGCTATAATACTTTGTCGGCGTGCATCGGAGGTACGGCGTGGTTTCTTGCGACAGCAAAGCAGCATCAGCCAAAAACGTCTGCAGCAACTCCTGAAAGCGCACAGGATGTCGATTAGAGTAATGTGTTCAATTTTTTAAAAAGAACTAATTCCGTTAAACGATAGTGCAATCGATTCGATTTGCTCAGTGATTCATTTGCTCATGAACGATTAGCTTATTCTATTGAGTTGTTCATCTGTCGACCATGAGCGAATGAACATTTGAAGCAAAATCGTTAACAATTATGAGCTGCCAGACAAATTATCAATTCGAAATTGAACAATCGCTCAATTAGTCATCAATCTCAACTAGAGTTCCCATCTCTAAAGTATATGGTTGCTCGACTTACATTTTGGTCGGATCTTCTGTTGCTGTCGCTGCTGATGGCGCCATTGAGGAGCCCTCCAGTATGGCGGCATCTGTAGCAGCTATGCCCAGCTCTGGATCTTGATCTCGCCAAGCTACCTTGGGCTCGGTGGCCGCTGCAACGACTGCATGTTTGCGCCTACAGGGTATACAAAAGCAGCATTTCCTTAGCTCCGTCTCGTCGCCCGTTATGGGATCGACTTTATTTACAGATCGACAGCAGAAAACCTTGCGCAAGCACATGCCACATTTACTTTGCTGCTGTTGCTGCTTTGGTTGATTGCTTAATGTAGGTTGCTGCATTGGTTCCATGATCGTTTTGGTCTGTTTCTCCTCGGTAATCTCAGTAGACTTTGGCTTTTTGCGACAGCTCGTGCAGCAATTGGCTGTGGGCCAGCAGCGTGTCTTTTTCTTAGAGTCCTTCGCCTCATCAACTATCTCCAGTTGGGTTGAGGCGCTGCTCCTACCACTCGCGAGCACAGGCTGCTCATCAGCGGCATCTTGCAGACGCTCCTTACGCAGTCCACAGCAGCGCATGCAGCGAGAGCGACGGAAACGCATGCAAAGCGTGGTGCAGCAGCGGCAGCAACCAGCCTTACCTGCATCATCCTTAAGGAACTCCTGACTATTGGTTCTATGAGGAAGAAAGCGAAGGAATTACTTGAATACAGGCTATAAAGAGCTAAGCCAATTGGAATATCGATTTGAAATTGCTGAGAATCTGATTAGACTTGCTGCCTGCGCTCCTATCGGAAATTGGCTGTTAAGTTAGGAAAGGTTAGCAAGCTACTTAGATTATCGGATATATCGTATGTTAAAGTATAGTTTATGTCCATAGGGGTCTCAATCAGACTTTAGTGACAGTAATGATTTACAGGCACACTCAATAGACGTAAAACATGTCTACCGGAAGTCGAAAGTGGAAAAACCAATTAGACAATTATATTTTCAACGTTGTAAATCAATCCACTCCTTGCCTTTCAAAATGGCTATAACGGAATCAGCCTTCGTTTATAGCCTTGATTCCGGGACATAATTGCTATAATTGCTGTCTATCGGAAACTGTGGGTAATAACCATAGAGCCGCAGAGACCTTGTCCTTTTTGTGATATCATGGTAATAATTTGCACTCAATTTGCATGGTTCACATTTATTATGCAAATCGATTTCGTGTTGCATTGTTGCCATACAATTGCATTAGCATATTTAATGACTTTTGCATTCGATGCGATAAAGATGAAATGCACGAGAGCATTCGCATTAGCATGCACATATTTTTGCTTATAGGTCAAAAGTTGAAACATCCTTTATAATATTTATTATATACTGTATATATATATACATTGTTCATTCACAGATTGGATTTAGTTTGTGCTACGCACACGCATTGGCTTGGTGGGTTATTAAACCCACTTTAAGTTCAAGGTTAGCATTTTCGTTTGGGGTAACTCTAATGGGTACTTTAACTAAACATAAATTAGCCCTCACTTACACAATTTTCCACTCGACCACGTGCCAAAGGCAACAGAAAGAAGAAGAAAATAAAAATATCCCACACGCTAATAAATATGATTTCAACAACCGCACGAGCCAACGACCAAACTTCTTTTGGAGGCCGAGAACTTGACGCGAGTCGAAAGAAACTACAAGTTTTTTCCGTACTTTTGTCGCATTAACTACTCAATTAACATTGGCCTGCACATATATAATATATACTGGAAAATAAACAAAGCTTTCCTTTCGGAGTTTTCGGAGCTTGCAACTATTTCCGCATTGCTCAATGACTATTACTTAATTATCATTGTATAGCGTATTTAAATGAAGAAACAAACTTTTATTAAGGAGTTACAAGTCCAGCTGATCTTTGGATTAGTCGAAAATATATTTAGGAAGAAGTAAAAATCTGTCGGAGGAGCTTTTAGAGTTTCATGCCTCAGCTAATATATTTTATATATTTTAAATATATATCTTAAAAGAACCCAGTTTTAAGAAGTTTTCCTAGAATTATTAAGGTATGCCGAAAAGATTTTCCTTTACGTCTTTCCGCCTTTTTCAATGAATGTTACCTAATTATCATAGTATATCATATATGCAAAACAATTCTGCCTTAGCTTTAAGATTTTTTGGTTTAGCTAAGAATATTTTAGGACTTTTGTAAATTTTATTATCCTGTTATATCAAATAGAAACAAATATTGTTTATCTTTTAAATAAAAATAAATGTTGTCTTATCTTTCAGAAAGTCGATATTGAAAGAAGAGCTTTCTATTGCTTAACAGTTCTTATAGTTCAATAAGTTCTATAAATATACATCACTACATATACAATATATCCGCATTGCTCAAGCAGTGCATAAACTTTTCTTTATGAAATTTCGCATTAGATAAATTTTGATAAGGTTAAACAACAAAAAACTTCCATTCAAGAGTGATATCCTATATGATGCTTGTAATCAATATATAATAAATACTTTGTTGTTTACCTAAATAAATATTTGTCCGGTTCAATTAGCGAATTCTGCGGCAGATCAATGTGAAAGATAACCGAGTTCTTTTTCTTCTTGGTCAACATGCTTAGGTCGCACAGCTATCACAGGTATCACTCGTTAAGATCTAAGTATTTTTCATCAATATTGTTTTTTATATATTTTTATTTTTTCAATTTGAATTCGAATCCTAGTTGTGGTTGGCGCGATTGTCCGGCTAAAACTGATTTGTTATTGCGGCATGAAACTTTGGACATGCCACGAAAACTAACTAGCTAGGCAGATTGTTATGTATGTGCACACCTCTTGACTGGCCGACCTGCAATACAACACACACAAACGTATATAGGTATGCATATGTATATGTACACTTCGAAGGACGTCGGCGCTTGAGGACGACAAGGCAAGCGAACGGATATCCTTAAAGGCGTTTCGTATGGTCGCCCTAAAGTTCGCTTAGCCCCCCAAACCCGAGCAGCTCGTAAATTTATTGACGCATTTATGAGTGGCCTGGTGGCCCAAAGCCCACCACAACTACAACTATATAAATGTATGTGTATATGTAGTCCTATATAAACATATATATATATATAAATATAAATATATATGTTTATATAGGTATATGTGTGTGTGGGCTACGTGGTTTGGCGGTCTAAAGTTTTAGCCGTACGTTTCTTGTTCGTGGAGTTTCCGGCTATGTAAATTTACTGGCCAAGGGGTATATGCCAGGCAATTGTTTTTACTTGGAGAGTTTAAGAACGACGCAAAAAGTTAGTAGACTTCCAAAAAAATGCAAAAAAAAACTGTGGCAAATTGGCTGAGATTTGTTTGTGTTTTGTTTATGCATGGGAAAGTTGTTCAGTGAACAGTCGCCACAGTAAGTCTATAGACGGCTTGGCTAGTTCTTCTACAGCTGCTGGGCATTGATCAGAATCAAGCGATCAACCAGCTTGATCTAGACCACTCTATGTCCTTCTATATATATATAGAAAATAAAACAATATCCTTTTCCATTTTCATGAGCTGAACGTTCCCTCGACGTTGATATTTTACTTACTTGGCAATTCCTCCGCTGCCGACAGTCGAGCCCTGACCATCGGGTGAGAGTCGTTTGTCGTCTACTGGAAAATCATCACCGAGTCCAGCTGTCGTTATTGGATGCTCTAAGTTCGTAGCATGATCCTCTTGTAAATTGGCCCGTTCGCTGTCAGCCTCTGGCACAGCGCTAAGCTGAGCGCTGGCTGCATCTGCCTCGATCGCATTCAGCACAGATATCGACGCCTCAATGGGCTGTGTGGGTGGCAGGGGGGACTTTTGTAACTCGGCGGGGGAGCTGCGCTGCGCATTGCTTCCATCGGCTGTGTCCAGACGGGGGGCGACATCATGGGTCTTGGCCAGCATTGTGACTCCACTGGGTGTGGGAGAGGCAGCAGTAAGTGGGGCAAGCCCTGATTCACTTTCATGGCTTTTCTGGTCAATTAAATGTTCATTAACCGTTTTCTGTGCCTCGGTGGTGCCGTCCATAGCATCAGCACTTGTTGCAGTGGGGTCTAAGCTGTCGCCCGACTGTGGTGTAGACTGCCCATTGGCTACTGTGAATGTAGAAGGAGTTTAATCAATATTAGACGAAACAAATACTCTTCATACGGAGTTCCACTTACCTTCAGCTTCTAGAGCGAGTTCTGGGACCGTGGCCACTTTGCTATTCTGTGCGGAATCGACTCGCTTCTTGTTGCTTAACAAGCTGAGACGCGAGCTCATGCGTACCAAATTGGACATATTGGAAGGTTGTCGCTTAACAGCTCCCGGCTTGGCTGGAGTTGCATTCACCTCGTTACGAACTGCGGGCAAAGCTTCTGCAGCTGCATTCACCGCATTGCCCACATGCATGGCCAAGGGTTTTATGCTGTCCGCCGTAGTTTCCTTAGAAGCAGAGGCAGATTCAGAAGCAGTAGTAGCAGCAGCAGCAGCAGCAGTAGCAGCAGCAGCAGCGGCAGCAGCAGCAGCAGCAGTCGTGTCCGACTTCTCCGGGGATTCCCTTTGCATGCTTTTTGTGGCTGGACTTTCGTTTGGTTTCTTATTGTTGTTCTGCTGGGTTGCAGCGCGCACCTGAGGCTTGAGTAAACCACTAGCTCCATTAGTTTTGCTTGCTGTCTTATCTGTTTTAGAATTCTTTTGCACAGCTTCCGGCTTTTGTTGCTTTGCTGGAGTTTTATTTGGCTTGTATGCTTGGTTGCTTTTAGAAATAGTTTTCGCTAAGATCTTACTTCCGTTTCGCTTCAGATTCAGTTCGGGTTTGGTTATTGCTGTGTTCTTCTTTTTGGCACTTTCTGCTTTACTGGATTTCTCCTTGGGGCTGGCTTTAAACAGTATTTGTGTAGGCCTTTTGCTCTTGGGCGTTGCAGTTTTCTCAGAGGGCTTTTCCGGCTTTTTCTTGGCCGGAGAACTGGACTTGGAGGCAGCTCTGCGCACACTTGTACTTGTTGGTATAAGGGAACGAGAACTTCTACGTTGACTACTGAGAGGAGCTTCGTTGCGCTCGTGTCTTGGCGTCGGCTTACCCTGCTTGACCGCAGGACTCAGTGACATTCTGCGTCCAAACATGCCTTTAGGCGGCAGACCTTTAGGACTTGTGGAAACAGTTTTTCTGCGATTGGGCGTAGTTTTAGTTTGACGGCCATTACGCGATGCTGTTGAGGGTGAAATGCTCGAGGAACGTATTGATGAACGCACGCTCAAACGAGAGTTAGCTCGAGAGTTAGCCACCGAATCTGCCCGCGAGTTGGCTCGTGAATCTGCTCGAGAATTCGCCCGTGAATCTGCCCGTGAATTGGCTCGTGACTCTGCTCGAGAGTTTGCCCGGGACTCGGCTCTCGAGTTAGCCCTGGAGTTGGCTTGTGAGTTATCCTTCGCTTGAGCTAAGCGTGAGCTAGGTCTAGAGGGCGGGCCTCTAGAGACGGGGCGACTGCTATTAAAGCGTGTGGGCGTCAGTCTGCCTTCGAGCAGAGCCTGGTTGTCAAAGCTACTGCGTATCGTGGTCAGCGATGGGGAACGGCTATTGCTGGCCCGTGAATTCCTACCGGACAAGCTGGACAAATTGGCAAAGTCCTTAAGTGGCGAATTGGAGCGACTATTTGGATAGGAATCCTGCCGACTGCGTACAGGTATGCGGGACATAGAGTCCCGACGCATCGACAAGTCGGAAGGTGTATCTCTGTGAGCGGCTTCATAGGCATCGCCATGCAGTGGACTCTCCTTGCCGCTATCCTTGTTTGGTGTACCAATTATAGGTGACAGAGTGCTTGGCTTAACTATCTTGGCGCGCTTCGAATCCTTGCCGGGCAGTGGATGGCGTCGGGGACTCTTCAGCTTGCTTGCCGGATGATAAATGGATTTGCGACGTTGCATTCCTGTTTTCGTTGTTGCTGGCAGTGTTGCGAGTGTCGAGGGTCGGCGGAAACTAAAATCGGAGGTTGTGATGCTGCTCAGATTCGAGCTGCGGCGATCCGAAGCTGTTTGCGTGGAGCTGCGACGCTCCGGTGAAGTAGAGCTAGAGCGTCGCCTGGCCTGGATGCGCATTGGTTCAAACGTGGACTTGGCCAATTGTGCACCCATTGTTAGATCATCCAGACTCAGCCAATTCGAACGGCTTGGCTGGCTGGGGGAGTCGTCATCAGCCTGTTTGTTGATAACTCCAAGCAATCCACGCTGCTTACGTGTAGGATTCGGGTTTGGCTTTAAAGGACGCGGCAATGTGCCCGGTGGTATTATTGTTGTCTCCTTATCCAGTTCCATCGAGGATCTACGGAAACGGTTTGCCTCCTTATCCAGTTCCATGGAGGAGCTATGCAAACGAGGTATGGCGCTGCGATAGGGTTGCGTGATGAGAGGCAGCGATTCTAGACTTTTGATGCGCTGACCAAATGGAGATGAGGCCATACCCATGGAATCACGTCGCTGAAAGCGCGGCGTATATGTATCCACCGATGAAGTCAGCGAATCTCTCTGCTGTAGTATACCCTTTGTGGGCATGGCCAGTTTGCTTGGACTGTAGCGTCCGGTCATATTGAACTGGACTGAGGGCCGTGGCGAATCATCATTAACTGGCTGGCTGCTGGGCGGCAATTGCGGTAAGCGTGATGCAGTCAGCGACTTGCGACGCGGCCTCAACTGTTGCTGTGGCTGAGCTGCATTCGACGAGGTAGTGGTTGACTGTAACGAGGGATGTCTGTTGATTGCGGGCTGCCGCTGAGTCACAGGCGTGGCACTTGGACTGTGACCCAACGAGGATTTGGGTGAACGCACCGAGAGTATGGTGAAGGCAGACTTCTTGTGCAGCCGTGTGTCTCCAACACTGAGGAGCGGCAGAAAGGGAGTTGGGATAAATTTTCTGATGCTTACAGATCCTAGTTAAGGTCTCAGAACTTACCGATATTCACCGCCCGTTGCGATCGACTCCTTCATGACGACGGGCGACAAAATCTGTGATTGCGTCTGCTCCTCCATATCAGTGCTCGACTCTGGTAACTGACTTTGCTGCAGACTGGCTGTTTGGGGTTTCTCCAAGCCATAAGCCCGCATGCTCTCAAGCAGCTGCCGCTCATTGAGCAGTAGCTCCCGTTGCTGTTGCTGCAGAAACTGCTTTGGCGAGAGTATGAGATTTCTGTCCATCGTGGGTGTCGTGCTTCGGGCTGGTAACTGCTGCAATTCATTGTTCAGCAAATGATCTTCGCCACTGCTGGTCGAACCGTTTGAATCTTGTAGCATAGTGGCAAGCGGAGATAGCGGCATATCCTCGTGCTTCATGGACATCACCATCTTGGAACTGGGTCGCAGCTTGGGTATGCGGCTAAATTCTGCGAAATGTTGCGCCGTCGGGCGATACCAATCTAAGTCCGATATAGTCCTGCAAAAGTTGGGAATCAATTGGGGAACAATAGGCTTTCGGCTTCTTTTACTCACCTATTTCCAGTCTGTGCTGCTTCCTGCTCCTCAAACGTACGTTCCGTAGCCTGAGTGGCCTGTTCGTACTCACATTCGTATACATCTGGCTTATTGACTATGTCCTGCGGTGTAAGAAGCAGAAAATTCGGTGAATCGAGCTGCTCTGAGCTGGAGCCCCCACTCGAATTGGGCAGTATTTGTATATCAGGTGGCTGCAGCCGCGGTATGGATTGAGACTGAGCTCTTAGAGTGCTGTAGGGCACATTGGAGAAGAGCCTGCGGCGATTATCCTGCCCCATCAGCGTGTTAAGGGCAACGGCAGCCACAAGGGTATCCTCCTCGGAACTGGGTATTTCGATAGACCCTGCACGTATCGTCTCAAAGGCTGCAGTGCCAAAGTAATCTTCCGGCTGCGGTGGAGGCACAGGATCACCAAACAGACTGCTATACGGCTGAATATTCGCTGAGCTCTTTTCCATATACAGCGTCTCCGAGGCGATCTCTGACCCGCGCTGATCCCGCTTAGCCGTATAGCTGACATTGCTGCGAGCCGATGGCGACATTATGCGATTCGGATCGTAGCTATAGTCGACAGATATTATAGCAGGCGCAGCCGTTGTCGTGGCTGTGCCTGCGGCTGTGGCTGTGTCTGTGTCCGTGGGCGATCTGATGATTGGCTGAGCTATTGTCGAGATGAGTGTTGGTGAAGGTGATGATGAATATGATAATGTTTGCTGCATGATTAATCATTTGTGCTGTTCTCTCTCCAAGAACTCCTTGAGGGTAAACGCTAAGGTGGCACAGGAAGCACGCCGTATATTTCAATGTGAGCTGCAGTTGTTCTAGCCTGGAAGATGTGCCATAGTTCTTTATTCTGTAAAAGAAAACAGAAATACATTATATACTTATATATATATATATATACTTATGATATATATACATTTTTAATAATTCAATTTTTAATTATCTATTTTATTTTCGTATATTAGCTTTACATCAATATCAATGCAGCAGACATTTCATTTCCCTCTCTCTCTCTATTTCTCTCTAAAGAGATTAATCTTTGGGCTTTTCATTTAACTCACATTCTGTCTTAAATTTGTTCCTAAGGACTTTTATACCTCTGTCTCTCTCTCTTTCTGGCTCTCTTTGAGCAGAGGGAAATTCTACTTTGTTAGGGATTTTTATTTCTCTGACTCGCTCTTTCTTTATATTCGCAATGTGTGCAGGGAGTAGCTTAGCTGATAGATCGTGCACTTGATAGCTGCGCGACTCAGGTTCTAATCCAGTAGCAATCAAGCATGTTACTGTATTATGACTCATATTGTTTTATTGTTTTTTATAATACTATAATTTTAATTTAAATCAATTGTTTTTAAAGGTTTCCTTTACTCTAACGAAAAATGCTTGGTCTTAGCCTATTTTGTATAAAGCCCAAAAGTTATTGGTATTTAAACATGAAGTTATTTATAATTATTTCGATTAAAGCTTGACTAAAATACTCAAGTCCTTCGGCTGCACAGGTAAAGTAAGTGACACGAAGCAACTAAAATTATATCGCCACACTTACTCTGTACGTATCCAATTTTATGGCCATAGACGACTGTCAGTAAGACCTTCTATGGCAATGGGCAATGCAATGTCAGTGCACCAAACACGCGAAGCTCCATAGGCCGACTGAATGAAGAAAGACCCAAACCCGGGCAAATGTGCAGCGGAAAAGCCGATAGACGATGTGCGATGTGCGATGTATGAGAGAAGTTGCGAAAATAGTAATTATTTTTTACTACTATATAATATATTATATATATCTAGGGGCATTTCTAATATCAAGTATTTCACTGCCATTGCCATTGAGCGTTGCTGCTTGAGCTGATAAAGCAACAGACAGCTCAATGTATCCACAGTTAACAGTTCAGCGATTATTTATACCCTGTACTATAAGTGCATTGGGTGTACATAACTATGAGGTCTAGTTCACATGTTTCTCGAATTGATAAAAACAATTGAGTGTTTTTTAAAAGACACAGTTAACGGTACACAGAGCTCATATACCTCATACTAGAGATGCATTGGGTATACCCGACTCTTATTTCTAATGCAAACTTAAGGCAATCTAATAAAATAATAGTCAAATGTTGCCATCTCAGCCACTATTTACACCCTACACCTGAGAAGCGTTGGATGTGTATGACGCTTGATTACGCTTGACTCGACAGTAACTAAGTAGGTTAAGCTTCAACCATAAATCTTCACAGCTGTTGCATGTTTACAGGGTATTTAATTAATGTGAACTCCGCCAGTTGTAGTCATTTGATTCGCCTTCGATTGATGTTCGCTAACGAGAGCATAACTTGTGCGTGTCTAGATTGTGGCTATGCCTCACGTTGCATGTGGCAAATTGCTGCTTTATGTTGCACTTTAAAGCTGCACCAAATAACATTCACACCAAAAATGTGCAGTGACTTTAACTGTTCGCTTATACGCAAGTAATTAGTGAAAGTGATTTTCGTCTGAACCAAGCATTAATTGTGAGTTATCTTCAAATGATGTTCAAATTGACTTTACAAAGAAAATTTAAAATTCAATAATAAACAAATTCAACATTTGCCGCCAACAACAAAAAATCACTTAACCATAAAGTTTTGAATTTCGCGGCTGTCAACAGTCAAGGCGAAATCAAAGCAAAAGTTGTAATTGCTTTGAAAGACACTTAAAAGTTGGCATAAATTCCCACGTCAAGTAGAAGCCTGAATTCGCCCTTGCCAATTCGCCGCAAAAAGTAAGCGGGCGAAGAGCCGCCGGCGCCATTGCCTGCAAGCTACGATTGTGTGTATATGTGTGTGTCTGTGTGTTTGCAATTTACGCTTCTGTGAATGTGTGTGTGTGCTTCTGTTTGTGTTTGGTCACTTGCCGCGTGGCACCTGTTGTTATGACACGCGATTTACATTGTATATGTATCTGTGTATATATAAATATATACACATGTGTATGTGTGCCACAATTTTCGCATGCGTTCTAAGTCTGAGAACTATTTGATTAACCTATATTGAAAAGGCTGTGCGTAAACCTAAACCTAAACCAAAGTTTTGGCTTAAAAAGTGACGTGAAATCTATTTTCAATTCAGACACGTACACACATAACTGTGTATGTGTGTGAGTGTGTTACACTCGCGTTCTCATCGTTGGGTCTAGGCTTCGTTCGCCTTTTGCCTTCTCCTTGGCTTTGGGTTTAAGGGGGTCAAAATAGCAACAATTTTACACAAGTCAACAACCAGGCAGCACTTGAATGACCAACGCGACTTGCCACGCTCCTTGGCGTCCGTCTAGTTGCAACACAACACAGTCTGCCAACAGAAACGACTATTAATGTGCCACACACACATACACAGAGCACACCGCAAGTAAATTAAAAAAGGAAAAATCCTTGGTTAGTGTCGTGATGGCAAATTTCCATTCAGTTTAAAACTGCAATTTTCATTCTCTTTAAGAATTGGGAGTTTTCGTTTTTTTGGGTTTTCCCATTAAACAGATTTCAACAGATTGTTTTGAGCTATAAAGCGGCTTTAGTTTGGGGGAATTTTTTTTTTGATTTTCCGTTTTCTTTAATTTAAATTAAATTGTTACAATTTGTTTTATCAATTCGGAATTTTAATGAGCTTTTCTTAAATAATTATATATATTTTCCTTGAATTTTTTCGTTTTTCTTCATTTGACTTGAAATCTTACTATTGTTTAAACTAATTACTTTACATATTTTTATTTCTGTTTAGTAATACAATTAAAGTTTACTTTTATAATTTTGAATGGAAATTTGTATATAGCATCGTCTCATATAGTGTTAATCAAGTACAACCGGTTAACCCGCAGCTAGGCCATTTGAGCTTTATAGTTTTCATTAAAATCCATCTTATAATTTTGATTTTTAGTTTTCTTTAAGCACAATAGATTTTTAGTTTGAAGAAAATTAATAATATGTTAAATAAATATGTTAATTTATTTAATATTTTATTTTCATTTTATTGATTCATTTTTTATATTTTATTTCAGAGTTTATTTGTTAGAAAACCAATTTATTTTTGCGTAGCTTTTTTAGGCTTTTTTATATTTGAATATTCTAAATATTTTTTAATTTATTTATTTAATTCGTATTTTATATATATTTTTTATTTGAATAACGATTTATTATGATATATCCAAGATTTCGAAAGGACCTATGTATACTTTAGCTTTCAATTTATTTTAAAAATTTAATAAAGAAATTAGGTATGTATATTATTTGGTATTATTATCACCGGCATTGATTTAACATTTTATATTCATTCAAGCTTTTATTATCCGAGCTGAGCTCTAAATTATATACACTTAAAAAAAGTTGTGTTTGACTTCGTTTAAGTACCGCACTCCTGTAGGCAACACTTAAATGTGTGTGTGTGTGTGTATGCGTGTGTGTTTAAGTATAAGTGTGTACATACAATTATTCAAATCGAATTAAGGAGTCAGCACAACGCGCTTTTCGCATCGATCCGATGCACTTGCCGTTCGTTGGAAAACTAAAACGTTGAAAGAAAATGCCTTCTTATACTACGAGTTGCCGTTGCCGTTGTCGTTGTTCGTCGTCTTCGTCTGCCACCTGGATAAGCAGCTAACCTAAGCTAAGGTAAGGCAGCCAGTTCTTGATGTGTCCAGCAGTAGTCGCCTCTATTGGGCAGCCGAAGTGTACTTTAACGGACGAAGTCTTCGGCTGTCGTTCTGAAACGTATACGTGGGTCAGTAAACCTACTTCCGGTTGACATAAATACGCCTTGGACATGAAAACTTGCCACTGTTTGTTGTTTTTGTTGTTTGTTAGACTGACATTCTATGGCTATAGATTTGAATTTAGTTTTTTTGTTTAGTTGTTTTGTTTTTTTTTTTTTCGGCTTTTCAATTGCAACTGCGTGCTTCTTTAGAGCAAGCCGGCAGTATGTAGTGGCTTAAGCAAAGAGAGTTCTTCTTGCATTTTGGCCAAGGTCGCTAAATTTCCTCTGCTAAGCCAACGAGAAATAATAAAAAATAATAGTCATAAGCAAATCTTTAAAATATTTTTAATTTATTCCATGAACAATTTTTTTGCAATTTTCAACAAAATACTTGACTTTACAATTTACAATAATTAATGTAGAATAAACATTAATTCTTATTAATTTTATATAATGAAAAAATTAAAATAGAAAAATATATGTATAATTTTTAAACATTTTAATTAATAATTATTATATATGCATAATTATTATAATGGAAAATTATATTTCTACTGTAACAATTAACATTAATGAATTAAATAATTGTAAAATTTATATCAAATTGTTGGAAATTATTTCTATTAAATATTATCTGGTTAGATAAAAGCCTAAATAAATTTCTACTACTTCTACTACTATTAAAATGGTAGGCAAAGAGTCTTAATATTTAATGAGCAAGTCTAAAACAAGCTATTTTTGGCTATGAAATATTTTATGCTTCATAAAAAGGTTGTTTTACTGAAATTTGGGTCTGCTTCCAAATATATTTGAAAGATGAATCGTGCTTGGGCATTGCAATTCGCAAGTATTTGTAGTTGTTAGGCACTCATTACAAGCTGAATGGTTTTGGGTTGGGTTTCCTTGCTTGAGTCAATGTAATCGCTTCGCTGACCTTAATCAGCAGGATACCAAACCCAGAATCATATTTTGGCCTGGCCAGGCTTAGCTACGCCTGGCCAGGCAGGCTTTCAATCTAATTTCTATTATTCGGAACTGCACCTTGCACTGGGCGCAGTCCAACGGCAACAGCAGCTGAAAAAGCAACAGCAACTGCAACAGCAACAGCAACAGCAACAGCAACAGCAACAAGCTGTGTAGCCTATTCATGCTAATTTCTGGGCGCACAAATGTTTTCACGCGATGCCGATTTAAAAAGCACAGCCAATAAATTAATATCAATTGCTGAGAAGCGAACAATAGACCAAGCCCGAATCTGTGAAATATCCAATTACCGGCACAAGCGTGCTCCATATATGAATAGAGTTACGTATACGTAATTTTCGAATGGGGAATTCCAGGCCGCAATTCTAACTCCCTTTTAATTTGCTTGCAATTTAACTTAACCTCCTTTTCAGCCAGTCAGCCAGCCAGCCGGGTCAACGTGAATGCCTAAGTCACATTTAATTTAGTTACCAAAAATACTACGATATTTTTCTTTTCCGATTTCTCACCTGCTTGTGGCATGGAATATCCTTGACCTCAATGCTCGTATTTTTTGCTTACGCATTGATGAAAGTTTTTGGCAAACGTTCTGACCATGGTGCGTATGATTTCTGCCATTTGCCAAACAATGCTTTTCTAATGCTCGTTCACAAAGCGAAAAGGGGGTCTATTTGTTTTCTGCGATGTCTGTTCTTATGAAAGAAAAGAAAAGAAAAAAGAAAAAGAAAAACTATGAAATAGAGCACAGTGTCAAGATTATAGCTGGTAATGCAGGATTTCATATTTCAGATCTGCTCTTTAGATAAGGACAATAGATTTTGTTTACTACTTTTGAGGCGTGGCATATTAAAGAACTATATTTCACACCATTGTACTGCTAATATCATCCATTTTTGGATCATTCTTTTGAGCCTAATTGGGCGTGGCCAATCCGAAAACATATATTCTGTAATAAATAAAATCTATTTTTGTACCGTGAACTAGTATTAGGCAGTCAGTTACGTCTGACTTTTACTTAGCTATATTGATTTAACATGCGAAAAAAAAACAACTGGAACTAAGGGACCTTTTCTAAAACTGTATTTAAAAATATTTTTAAGAAATAGATATGTTTTAATATAAATTTATAAACACGTTATAATACAAAATAGTATGATTATTATTTAATCGCTGGAATTTTGGCTGATGCTTAAAATCTTGATAAATTTAATGGGGTTAAAGTTATATATATATATATACATTTTTCAAAACAAATTCTTCCGCAAATCTTATTGACTGGCTTTTCTGTTGTTGACTTGTGTGTTAACGGTCATACGACTAAAGTGAAGGGTATATACGCACAAGAAAAAGCTTGCTGTATAAAGTAAAAGCTTTTCAACTGGTATGTGTCTTTGTTACCAGCAATCAGTAGGAGGTAGTAATATTTTCTTATTTTCTAGCCTCTCAGTCATAAGATCATATAAGATCGTCCATAGATGTAGTATTACAAATTACTTACTTTTAAAACCAGGGACGAATCGCGGAAACAATTTGATAGAAATCGATAACATTTTGGACTTTCAGTAACCGGTTGGACTTTCGGACGTCGACTGCTGGTATCGATAGTTGCTTAATCTTCAATCCTCAATCAGCTGTTGCTTAATAATCAAAACAAAACATTTTTGATATACCTTTAAATTTTCTATAAGTTACTTAGAAATATGTTAAGACTGTAAGTAGATAATGACATTTGTTTAATGCAGTTTTGCGAACTTCTCTGTTACTCTCTTTTACCAGTTGCCGTATAGAAGATTGCAGAAGGGCTCTCAATTCGCAACAATTTCGTCGTTCGATAAACAGTAATAGCCCTTCTAATCCGGCACAAACATTTGCCACCAGCTGGCAAAGACCATGCGGTGAGTACACTGGCATAAGCATTTACAATCACAGAGTGCGTGGGAAAGTGCCCTTGATACTGCGCAATCCACATATGGTTACCTGGTACACATGTGGGCCAACAGTCTATGATAAAACACATGTGGGACATGCGAGCACCTATGTAAAGGTGGACATAATACAGCGCATAATGCGGGACTATTTCAAATACAATCTTATAACAGCCATGAATGTCACCGATGTGGATGACAAGATTATCAGGCGCAGCAAGGAAACGAAACGTAATTGGCAGGAGCTGGCGCGCGATTACGATGCGGAATTTAAAGAGGACATGTTGCGATTAAATGTAAAGCCTCCTAATATGCGAGCGCATGTATCTACCAATATATCTGTAATTTTGCGCTTTATCGAGAAACTGGTCAAAAATCAGCAAGCATACGTAGCTGAGGATAAATCTGTTTATTTTGATATAGCCAAATGCCCGAATTATGGAAAATTGGAAAACATCAGCAACGTCGAACGAGACCTACAAGAGAACGAGCAGGGGAAACGGAATGCTGCAGATTTTGCGCTCTGGAAAGCGAAAAAGACAGAGGACGAACCAAGCTGGAAAACGAAATGGGGTGGAGATGGACGTCCAGGCTGGCATATTGAATGCAGTGCAATTGCTAGCATGTTTTTCGGTGAAGAATTAGATTTCCATGCGGGTGGCCTCGATTTGCGCTTTCCCCATCATGAGAATGAGGAAGCACAATGCTGTGCACGCTACAAAACGAATCAATGGGTCAACTACTGGCTACACACCGGCCAACTCCATTTGGTGGGCAATCAACAAAAGATGTCAAAGTCGTTGGGAAATATAATTACTGTAGATGAAATGCTGAAAAGCTATACAGCGGATGAGTTCCGCATGGCCTGCCTCCTATCCAATTATAATAATGCAATGATTTATAGTGATCAACTGATGTTGACTGCACGTCAAACATTGAACAAGTTCAGGAATTTCCACGCTGATCTTAACGCTTATATGCAATTCAAGAAGGCACCAAAATTACTGGATAAGGGCGCACTGCAGGCACAGCTGAATCATATGGTAATGGAGTTTGATAATAGTCTGCGCGATGATTTTGATACATCACGGGCCGTTGGCGTCTTAATGGATCAGATGAGCAGCATCAGTCGCTGCATCAATGAACAAGCAGATGCAGAACAGGAGCCCGGTTACTGTCTCGATTTGCTGCTGGCTGCAGGCAATTTTATAGGCACATCTATGATTAACTTTGGTATCAGTTCGCTAACGGATAAGAGCATTGAAAAGAGTCAGCAGCAAAATGCAAATAGCTCTGCCAAAGTAGATATAAATTTGCTAGTTGCCGATCTGTTGGCCGTTCGTAGTCAACTTCGAGAGCAGGCTGTTAAATCCTCAGATACGAAGAGAAACGAACTACTCGAACTATGCGATAAGCTGCGAAACCTTCTTCAGCAACATGGCATCTATGTACGCGACCACAAGCAGGGTAGCTCCTGGGTTTACAGTGATCAAAAGAGCGTAATTCGAAGAATGTAAATTATGTTGTTAAATATTTTTAATTGAGCGATGCAAAAAAACTAGTTTTTTAAATATACACTTTAGTGTAATGAATACATAAATGACAATAAATTGGCTAATCGAAATTCATGTTGTTTCTCCATTCTGTCCCGAATTTTTTCAGGCTATAATAAGTGGGTATATACGGTAAGATAATAAGTTATCTATAAGTAACTATATGTAAAAATCTAACATATATTCGTTTTGGGTTTCATTCAATATTTTTAATTCAGTTCTTTATTTTGATATTATTTAAATCAATAAGTCGGCATAAAAATGGTTTTTATAGATAGTCAGTCCATTTAATTTATTGGGATTTTATATTATTTATATTATTTATATTATATTATCTGATATTATATTTTGTATTCATCATTGGCTTAAATTAAAAGATTTTCATATTGACCTTAAATTAATAAGAAAAAAGAGGAAAGAACTTAAGCTGTTCCATATATTTAAAGACCTAGCATATGTCATTTTTTGACATGAACACGCTCTTAGCTAACTTAATTGTAAATGGTGGAGCACTCTGCTTTGTACAAATGCTTGGTAATCAAGTAATCTCGTACCAGTTTAAAGAAGGCGACCATGCTAGTAAAAGCTACAAAGCTAATGGATAGTACAAAATGCCATTCAATGCTGGCCGCGCTTAGTGAAGCAATCTCCACTAGGAGCACTGCTGCCTGCAAAGTAGCTAAAGTGGAGTAAATGACAGTGGGATTGTGGAACAGTTTCTGTGAATACAAACATATATAAGTAGCTGTATAAGAAACATTGAAAAAGAGTTTTACTTACATAGAAACGGAGATGGCTGGCATTGCCGGGAGTGGCAACAGTGACCAGGCCGTGACTCCGATAGAGCGCTCCATTGTGCTTTACCACCGTACCATGCCCGTAGACAGTGTACTTTGACCAGCTCTGTGCGTTGGCTGCTACAATAAGCTGCGAGGGCGCTGCCAGTGGATCTCGATCCATGCGCTGCCAGCTGCCTAAGTGCAAAGTGGCACGATGCAGAGTATCGCTGTACTTGGCCGGATATTGGAAAACAGCTGACAAGCTAAAGGCGCCCAGGCAAACGATAATGCAATGCTGAGCAGCACGCATAACATTATATTGCACACTCAATGACAAAAGACAGGGAATAAGCACTAGATATGCATTCAGCATGCAGGTGAAAATCAATTGCTTGAAACGTTTGTTGAAATCATGACGCAGCGTTTCAATTTCGTCACGTATTTGTGCTGCATTCGTAGTGCAGCTATGTACGGGCAGATCGTTGATATAAACGCCCGGTACCTCGAAACGAGTGCGCAGAAACGGTTCCAATTGAAAGCCAAAAATTATGAGATATACCACCACTCTAAAAGCAAAACACGTATGTAGTATAAGAAGGATCAATTAGTCAATTTCTTACGGATAACTCAAATAGAAGAGCAACATGTAGGTGTGTGTCTGATAGAGCCTGAAAGCGCAATAGCACAGACCTATCTGAACAATAACACCGAAGCCATATTTAATGCTCAACTGGACTATGCGACAGCCATTGTTTTTCCATTTGGCCAACAGCATGCAATAAAGAAATCTTCGTGTATTTAGAATGAGTATAAGATAACGTAAATACGGATCGATTAGTTCAATGTTCTGTAAATAAAACAAAATATTAATTCGGATTTATTTTGCTGTACAATGACAACTTACCACCATGTGACGTGTTTGGAACTGTGGCAACCACCAATTAGTGCGATAAATGTTTATAAATTGTACAATAGCTGCGCCCATTGTAAAGGCGCACATTATAAGCTCACTTAGCCATTCCGATGTAGTTGCGTGCTCCGGAAAAGGAATATGCTTAGGCATAGTCACCTGCTGTGTGCCCATTTTTGTTGACATACTGCGCTGAAAACAATCCTGAGCATCGCTAGAGCTGCTGCCATCGCTGCGTTCGTCATAACCCATTCTATTTTAGAGGTTCTCAAACCGAATGGGGCTACATTTAAACAAATTGCCGGAGTCGTTTGCACCGAAAACAATAAATGCTGTTGAAAATATCGATAGATTTTTGTCAGCTGTTCTTTGTGTATCTTAATGAGCTAACGATTGTTCATTCATGGCGAAGTGCTATCGATACTGCAATACTATTCGTGATAGTTTGAAATTACTCAACGAAACAAAATAATTAGATACTAAAATTTGCATAATTTAAATAAAAATAAAATACATTTTATGCATTTCTATCTGCCTCCAGTTAAATATAATTATTTGGCGGTGGCAACGGTTAGAGAGCGAGTGCTGCCAGATTTCCTGGTGTCCGATAGCAATCATATCGATATACTATGACACCTCTGCTGTCAACCAACAACAACAACACACTTGCTACTCTATTTTCATAGTCGTGCGTAGGCGAATTTCTTACTTTTCTTATTGAGACCGAAGCGAAATTTATGTAAAACCATAACACTGCAATTGTATTAACTTTGCTTGAGGCAACAGTAAACAGAGTAGCTGCAACAAAGGCGTTTAAACACACTAACAACACTTCAATATGGGAAACACTGATTCAAAACTAAACTTTCGCAAAGCAATCGTACAGCTAACGCAGAAGAATCAAAAGATTGACAACAATGATGACCAGTTCTGGGATCAATTCTGGCAAGCGCATCAAACAACGTTAGAGGATGTCTTTGCATTGGTCACAGCAAGTGAAATACGTCAAATAAGAAATGATAATCCAGCTAATTTGGCTACGCTCTGCTACAAGGCTGTGGAAAAGTTGGCACAGGCTGTCGACAGCAGCTGTCGCACGCAGGCCGAGCAACAATGTGTGCTGAACTGTGTAAGACTACTCGTACGGCTATTGCCTTATATCTTCGAAGATGATAAATGGCGTGATTTCTTTTGGAGTAATCTGCCGGCACAGGAGCAGGCAAATCATGGTCAAACGGTGCCCCTGGCTCAATCCCTTATCAATGCCATATGTGATTTGTTATTTTGTCCAGATTTCACGGTGACGGCAACAAGGCGTGCAGGGCCAGAGAAGGCCGAGGAGTTGGCCAATATTGATAGCTGCGAATACATTTGGGAGGCGGGCGTGGGGTTTGCCCAATCCCCGCCCCGCAATGCGCACATGGAACGCAGGCGGACGGAGCTATTGAAGCTGCTGCTCACCTGCTTCTCGGAGCCTATGTATCGTACGCCTCAGCAATCTGAGGAGCCCAACAAGTGGATTGCCTACTTCACCTCTGCAGACAACAGACATGCGTTGCCTCTGTTCACCTCCTTCTTAAATACGGTTTGCTCATATGATCCGGTTGGTTTTGGTGTGCCCTACAATCATTTGATATTCGCGGATACGACTGAGCCGCTGGTGGAGGCCTGTCTGCAGCTGCTAATAGTTACTCTCGATCACGATATGGTCGTGCAGCACCAGCAACTGCAACAGCAACAGCAGCAGCAGCAACATCAATTGGCTCATGCTGGAGGCGTGCTGGTCACGCCTTACGACGAGGGCGGATGTGGTGATAATCTGTTCATCAATTATTTATCACGCGTGCATCGCGATGAGGATTTCCATTTTGTGCTGCGTGGCATTACGCGACTGCTTAACAATCCTCTGGTCCAAAACTATTTACCAAATTCAACGAAACGCCTCCATTGCCACCAGGAGCTACTTATCTTGTTTTGGAAGATCTGCGACTACAACAAAAAGTTCTTGTACTTTGTGTTAAAGAGTTCGGATGTGCTCGATATACTCATTCCTATACTGTATCATTTGAATTATTCACGTGCGGATCAATCGCGCGTTGGTCTCATGCACATTGGCGTCTTTATACTGCTGCTGCTATCGGGTAAGACATATATGTAGAGAGAGTATTAATATATTTAACCTCATTGAAACATTCCCAATATACTTTTGTATATTTATAAGATTTAATATATATCTCTTTTCCTAGGGGAGCGAAACTTTGGCGTACGCTTGAACAAGGCCTACTCGGCTACGGTGCCCATGGACATACCGGTCTTTACTGGTACCCATGCAGATCTGCTTATCACAGTGTTTCACAAGATTATAGCCACAGGTCATCAGCGTTTGCAGCCACTGTTCGATTGTTTGTTGACGATATTGGTGAATGTTTCACCATATCTAAAAACCCTTTCGATGGTGGCCAGTGTAAAGCTATTGCATTTGCTGGAAGCTTTTAGTACGCCTTGGTTTTTGCTCTCGGCGCCTAGTAATCATCACTTGGTCTTCTTTTTGCTGGAGATCTTCAACAACATTATACAGTATCAATTTGATGGAAATTCGAATTTAGTATATACGATCATACGCAAACGTCATGTCTTTCATGCCATGGCCAATTTGCCCACAGATATGGCTGGCATAGCTAAATGTCTGAGTGGACGAAAAACGGGTGGCAAATTTAATTTGCCACGCGTGCCACAGAGGAAGCAGGCAGCAGCAATGACTAGCCAGGAACTGCCTTCGGCTCAAGTACCGGACGACGATTATATTGACGAGGAGGAAGAGGAGGACGAAGATGTTGAAAATATTGTAGCTGACAAGGAGACTGCTGCTGCTGCTGTTTCTTCTGGTATTGCCGAAGAGGATCTCGAATCAGAAACAGAATCGCACGAGCGTTCACAGATGGGAGATACACAGTTGGACTCTACAGCACCTGTAGCACAGCCCGCCGAGCCCGGAACACTGAAAACCTCTCTGCTGGACACTCCAAATATTGGTCAAATGACCGAAAGCGAACACCCACATCCCAATGACAAAGCCAACGACATGTCGCCCGCCAAGTCCACATCCCCTACACGTCTATCTGTCGCACATAGGGCCAGCATACGCATGGTACCGGCTGAAAATGATCGCTGGACGCCCACACCTGAATGGATTGTCTCGTGGCGTTCAAAGCTGCCGTTGCAAACGATAATGCGATTATTGCAGGTGCTGGTGCCGCAGGTGGAAAAGATTTGCATTGATAAAGGCCTCACAGACGAATCGGAGATATTGAAGTTCTTGCAGCATGGCACTTTGGTGGGTCTGCTGCCTGTGCCGCATCCCATTTTAATACGTAAATATCAAGCAAATTCTGGGACTACGGCCTGGTTTCGAACCTACATTTGGGGCGTTATCTATTTACGAAACGTGGAGCCGGCCATTTGGTATGATACTGAGGTGAAGCTCTTTGAAATACAGCGCGTCTAAAACTGTTATAATAATAGTAAGTGGAACCAACAACAACAAATACAATGAAAAACAACAACAGCAACAAGAACGTAGATTATCCAAGAAACAACACGCTTTTGCATTTACTGTAGTTAATTTATTTAGTTTTTAATTCATTCCACAAACCAAATTTTTCAAATTAGTAAATGTCAATGTTTTAAAAGAATTTTAATTTAAAAATATATAATAACTTAAAACTGATTCATCAGTAAGTCGGCGGAATATAAGATTTTAACAGTCTAATATTTAAAACTGCTTCTCAAATTGCTTTTGTCAACAAATCTTTATTTTATGTTTTTATTTTAAAATATCAAAAGTTCCTTGTGCCGTATTCGTAAAACTTTGCTTAAGTAATTTATTTGTTTTTTCTTAGTTTCTATTTATGCATATATGTTATATAGATTCTATACCTGATTGACATACTATCGTAAAGCTCATTTAGAACTAGTTGAATCTGCAGATTTAACTCTGCCTGCCTAGCTATTCTTTTAAACATTGTATTTCTCAAAATATAAAACGATTAATATTCCACTTAGAAACATACAAATTTATTTATTTTCTAACAACCAAACAAATAGCAAGCTTTATTTTTTATATTTATTGTAATAAGCTTATTTTATGTGCAATGTCTGCTTAAAAAATTCCATTTATATATTCATACAAAATTGTGCTGCAATCGTTTCAAAATTTAAAATTTAATTATGTTCTATAATTAAATACAAAAATGTAACCCCAAAAAATAAATGGAAAAAGATTAATAAAATATTACATGTATATGAAAAAATCTATTGCACTATATCATTAAGTGCTTATAAATAAAATAAATAAATAAAACATATTTAAAGAAATGTACAAAAACGACTTTTATTTAGTATAGCCTTGCTAAAATTTTTTGGCAAAGGAAGACATCCATCCATCTATCCATATCATGGTAACAACCGGATATAACCAATTTGTTTTTGTTTTTAAAACTTTTACAATTGCTCAAAACCTGATTTATATATATATATATATATATATATATAATGTAATATAATATAAAATATATGGCAAAAGAGGCTTTTTTATTATATATCTTGTATAAATTACATGAGAAACTAAAAAATGACATTCAGAAATTATTCTTACAATGTCTATTAAGGCTTTATGATTTACTTTATGAATTTCTTTCATCTGCATCTATATCATCTTCAATGATTAGTTCGGTGGTGCCAAATTTGCGTAACCAAAATGTGTATTTTATGGCGAACATAAACAAGACTGAGGTAAAGGCAACTATAATTGATTTTGTATGCTCTGGTTCGCCTTCAAAGTTGTTCTGGCTGGTAGAATAGTTTTGCCATACCTGGGCTGTATCCAGATTGCCGAGTAAGGGAAACAATTGAGTTGGTGGTTTTCCTGCTAGGATGGGCATAAAAAAGCCCATTGGTTGTCACAATTCCTTCACTGTGGATGCTTCTGTTTCCGCTGCAGCTGCCAATGGGATAATATTGAATTTGATGTAGCTTCCCTTTTGGCGTTTTTGCACAATTTTGCCAATGACTTGCGGCTCCTTAATGGTCATCTCAATGGCCTTGACAATGCGTTCCGCATTGCCCTCATCGGCGCCATTCACACTTCCCTGGATGAGAATTCGCACTTCGTGTCGTTTATTCAGCCATTTGATTATGTTCTTCAGCCTGGAAGATAAATCATGGTCAGCCATTCGAGCACCAATGGATAGGGATTTTTCCGACTTTCTGAGGCCCTGCGTATCGGCTGATTTGGAAGCGCCTTTGCCAAGTGTTTCATCAGCCAACATTTCACTAGATGTAACTAATCTGCATAAAGACAATGGAGTATTGAGTATAGGACATATGTTAAGTCGACTACACCTACTTGAACATCACTCGCCCGGTTTTGACATCCGGTTGTTGCAAACGCAACAAATGCAAATCGCGACGCTTGGCCAGCTTTTGGGCCTCTTCCAAAGTAGTAATGCTAATGGCTTCATTCTGTGCAATAAGCGTTATTTTTTGCTTTAATTTTTTTGATTTTTGATCATCGGTTTTGGTTTTTGGTGTTATTGCTTGTGTAAGATTTCGATTAAATATTTGTGGTTGTGCGCTGGGCGAAGCATTGATTGCATTGTGGTATTTAGGTATTTGCAGCGTCAGCGAACGAAATGCCAGTAGACTACGTATAATATTTAAGTGATTTTGCTGCATTTTATTTCAAGTTATTTTTTTTTTTCTTTTGCTAGTTTAACTTTGTTTCCGAAATTTGACTGTTCAATACTGGCAGAGTTGCCTATAGATGACAAAGCTTATCATTATTGAGTTTGATAGCTTAAAAATGTAATACATTACTTCATTAATTATATATTTCTATTATATATTCACACAAATAATAAGTTAAATGTAGGTATTATAATAAATTTAATATATTTTCATTGTTTTACTTATTCAACCATATATGAGTAAGTATCGAGTACATTTTTATTGATATCGAATTAGGCGCGATAGCTTGTCATCGTTTTAAACTATAACGGTAATTAAAAATTCATTTCTGATTATTTGTTTATTAAGCTAAAGAAAAAGTTTAAAAGACTGCAACTAATTAAAAGTATCTTAGGCTACAATCTCACTCTTAACCCCATTGCCGGTTTCCATTATTTCGTCTTCTGCTGCTAGAGTAACTGTTGCGCTGTTCCTCGCGATTTCTTTGCTGCGCCCTCTGCGACGCTAAAATCATTTCGCATTCATGTGAGATGGACCGCTGCTCTTGCAGCTGTTGAAATTCGGAACGACGACACTCTTCACACTCCTCCCACCTGCTGAACTTGTTCACATTGCGATCGCAAGGATCCGCCGCGAATAACATGCACTCATCCACACAAAAATTGTAGAACCAAAAGTGCCCGACAACAGTCTGATTTCTACAGCGCGGCTGATTGGTTCGCAACATTTGAAAGCAGCGCTTGGCCAGGTTCGCATCGTCATCTGTCTCGTCTTCAATATTTTCGTGATTAAAGTTTCTGTTGTATTTATTGCTGTTCATTCTGTTCCATCCCCTGCGCTGTTGATCATCTTCCTCCTGCTCTACAGCGACTTGAGTTTCACTCATCTCTTTATTGCCATAACGTGTTCGGTGCTCATACTCTCCAATGTTGTCGCTGGGGCGTCTGCGGTTCCACGGCGCTCGCTCCACATCTTCCAGTCGGGGCGCTTGCCCATAGTTTATTTTGCCCTCGCTGCCCTTCAAGTTGCCTACATCAAACCCGTCAAGTCTACGACCCTCATCCGTTTCTCCCGCATCGTAATCTCTATTAAAATTATTGTTGTCAAAAGCTTCCGGATCTTGCTCATTCTCCCGCTCTAGTTCCTGCTCAGGCTGTGGCTCTCGTTCGTCATACGGCGCTTCAATGTCTCCTCCATTTAAGTTACCCAGGCAAGCTCTGCCCGCACATGGACGCATCTCCTGCAGCTCTAGCCGGCGTACGCTCTGGCATTTGAGCTCAGCGCTTGGATTTAGATATTGCCGTTGACGCATCTGATAGCCTTCTCCGCAGGTAACGCTACACGAGCTCCATCCACTCCAACCAGACAGTTGGCATTCGGCACGTCTCTGATATGCATCCTGTTGCTGGTGCTGTAGACCCATGTTAAATTCATCATGATCTTCGACATGCCGCATCGGATCGCCGCTTAAACCGCAGTCCTGGCCGTCGCATGCGCGTTCCTCGTATTGCGGCACATTACAATTGTAAATCCTGGCCAGCTCTGGCTGCTTGTAGACTCGTCTTCTATACTGCATGCCTTCGCCGCATTTGGTAGAGCAATCGCTCCAACTGGACCATGGATGCGTTAGACATTCACGCGGCACATCGGCATCATTGTTAGCTAAGGTACAGTTAATAAGCATTATATACTGAATGTTGAATCCGACTTACAATCTTCATCCGCACAGCGACGCTCGTAGATGCGTTGACGTCTCACTGTTAATATGGCCATGGGCTTCATTGGTGCACCCGACTCATCATAGAAAGGTGAACGCGGATCATTCGGAAAGTCGGAGCGTATTCGTCTAATAACATCTGGCGGTACTTGTGGCTGATCGGGTGACTGGAAGATAGACAAGGCCAAACAATATTTAGCTGCCACACCTTCTTTTACTTACCGTATAAGTGGGTCCCGCATCGGTGCCCACGTCCCAGGGATATAAATTGATAACCTTTGCCTCCATCCAAGTGCAGTTGCGTAGACATAATTCTAGCCCACTTACGCCCACTATCCAATCTGGCGAGGGCTCAATTTTGGATGCAAACGATACCATATGATGCACTGGATCTACACGTACCGATGCCATTGATTTGCTATTTAGATTGGGAAAGGCGGGCCCACGCGCTTTAATTATGGTGCGTACCTTTTGATCCTGCAAAAAAGACTTGATTAATTGAAAGTTTTTCAGTAATTAGGCGGACTCACTCGAAAGTTGATGCTAAACTCACGCTCGAGCAGGCGAGAAGTGCAGTGCTCAGCATATTGCTTGAGTCCTTCGCTGGCTAATTCACCGGACTCCCAAAAGCGATAGTCGGCGCTGTGTGCGGCGCCCACCAGCTCACAGAAGCGCGTCTCCCAACCACGGGCTGGAAAATTACGCGGATGTAAATTACGTGACCAGACGCCTTCGAATGTCAGCTAGAAAATAAGGCTTTTGGTTAGGTAAACTCTGGATTACATGTATTTCAGTTAAGGTTTGCAAAGGAGTTAGAGAGTGGGGGAGTAGTGACAGAGAACCAGAAACACATTTCTTCAATTATTTCACTTGATTTCTGTTACCCACTTGGGTTGCTTACTCGATTTACTCACCTCATATCTCGCCTCGTCGCAGGCGCAGCATGGATTGCTTAGAGTAATGCCTGTAGGTTGACTCTCGACATCATCGACAACCTCCTCGCATATGCGACGTGTCAATCCGCCATCGTCCATGTGCCAGACGTCTCGATGCTGCAACACTGTGGCACGTATCAATATGCAGCCGTTGCCCGGCTCACTGGGCGCTATCCACGTCAAATGCATGTGGGTCTTGGGATTGGTGTTCGTGTTCTCCACCATGTTAATACAGTTGGGATTGAAACGTGTCTCAATCAAATTGCTTAGCTCGAAGCGACCCAGATCGTTTATATAGCTGAAGTCGCCGTTCTCATTCTCCAGCGCCAGTATATAGCTAATGAAGCGATGCCCATTGAATGCATTCAGCGAAACTGTCGAAAAAAAGCAATGAAATAAGAAATCATATTATGTATATAGACGACACTTATCGGGGAAACCGACCTTGAAAATCGTGAGACCTTTCAAATTCGCAATATCCTGATAAGAATGAAGCGAATGCCTCTATTTTGTTTACAAAGCAAAGCGCAAGTATTGCGAAACGTTTGTTTTTGTTTTCTTTTTTGTATACCCTGTACACACAGAAAGGCAGGAGTTTAATGAAGCTGCGGAAATTAGGACTTCTGAATCACTTAGCAATATGAATAAAGCTGACTACAGAGCATCAGCAAGCCGATTACGCTTAACTTTGTTTCGTACACTAAGACTTTGAGTAAAAAAATCACTGAACAGGGTATATTGAGACAGATTGTGATTAGAATTCGCAAGTCACTTCGTAAATATGAATGTAAGTACGAAAGCTGTGTACAGGGTATCTTCCAGTCGATTACTCTTAAGCAATTTTGTTTATTTTTTACACACTGAAACAATGCGAGAGCAATCGGAAGCAGACTTTTGAAGTTCAAGCGCAAGGTCAATGAACTCACGCGCTCACCGTTGTACTCCTGTCCGAGTATATAGGTTTCCGGGTTGCCCGTTATGCTTATCACATAGTTCTCGTCCACCGGGGATTTGGGCGTATGTGTATTGGCCGGATGACGTGTACAGATCAATGCCCAGCTTGAGTAGGGCAGCATCACGAACACCATTAATAAATGCCACATTCTGGAATTAAATCCTCTGACTCGTCGTCTTCAGCTGCTGTTTGAAACTGAGAGCTCATTTTTTTTTGGTTCTAGCAAAAAGCCAGCTGCTGGGAGATGCTGATAAGGCCTGCCCGGCAAGAGAACTTTATTTTTCTGACCCACTGATACAAATACAAAAATTGACTTATCAGCAGACGCAGCCCACCAACCCAGTCGAAAAGCCGGAAAAACAAACTATATAGAGTAAAAATTCATATAGAAATTAAAGAGAATACAAGAGAAACACTTCAGCTTGAGCTCTTAAGAGAAAGAGACTGCGCGGTGCAAGTCTTTAGTCTACAATGAAAAAATTTAGAGAATAATTAGAGAGCATTGGCTTTGGCACTTGGAAACATAAGTTATATTAGACTATGTTCAGTACCTAAAGTATCTGAAGAAGTAAAACTGCGGTAACAATAAGATATTATAAGCATGACACCATTTGGCCATCTCTACTGCAAATAGACACAGATTTATTTAAAAAGATTGTAAGCCAGGATTTCAAATACTAAGTGAAGCAAGCTCGGACAAGCGTAAGACTTCAATATGATCTTCGTTCAGGCTTTCTCAAAAGAAGAGCCTCCCATCTCAACTAAGACAAACTGGCTTAAATGTCTTTTTGCTTTAAACTTTATTAAGTGCTTAACTGCCATATCTGCCACGTCGGACATTGCTATATTTGTTTCTTGTCTGAGCCATGGGCTGACCAAAGCCTTCATCTCCTCTGAAACCGCCGCTTGGCTGGAACGTATCGGCTCCATAGGGGTTATCACCTGCATATGGGCTCTCTTCGGGATCGTCGGTACGGGCCAAATTGATTTGGGGCAGCAGGCAGGTGCCCTCGCACGCCATCAGTGTGCGAAAGCGATTGTTGTTCTCGTCGCAATTGTCTGTGGTAAAGATTTTGCACTCGTGATCATCGTGATCGTAGAACCAATAGTTGCGCACGATAACCGGGTTGGCCAGACAGGGTACCGTCGAGGCGAAGGGCTTCTCATAGCAATAGTCCTGCATCACATTGTAATTGCTGCCTGCCGCATCCTGTTGGCCCTGGCGATCCGGATAGCGTGGAGCAAATGGGGCACGCGTGCCGAAGCCGCCTCTATATAGGGTATTACTGTAGTCGTTGTTATTATTGTTCCTAGAGACGGATTCATAATTGTTGTTGTTATAGCTGTTGCCTCGACCGTCCTGCTTGTAGTCGTTGTAACTATCGTCTCGATTATCCTGCCTGTAGTCGTTGTCGCTATCTTCTCTGTTCTGTTTGTATTCGTTGTAGCCATCGCTCCTCTGATCATTATTATAGCTGTTGCCTGAGGGTCGTTCCATTTCGTAGGGCTGTCGTCGATTACTCTTGCCTAGTTCTTGATAGTTGGGTGTGGCCAAATTGTTTCCAGTCCAGCCTTGATCCATCCTATCCAAGCTCGGCCTTCTGTTGTAGTTGTTATTCAAGTTCCAGCCGGGTCTATTACTTTCAAAGCCAGCTTCATTGATGCCTCCGAACGGATCCGACTCCGGTTGCAGGCCATCCAGGTCGCCATTGTCGGCTATTGTGCCACCACAGTCGGTGCCGGTGCACTGCCTTGTCTCCTCTAGTGGCATTCGCACCACTGTCTGGCAGCGCGACCTGGCCTGAGGATTGTGATAGTCACGCCTGCGCGTCGATATGCCACGCCCACATGTCTTTGAGCATGGCGACCACTCACTCCACGTGCTCATCTCACACTCAGCCATGGTAGCCGGACCATTGGCATCTTCATTAAATTCACCATTGCCCAGCTGTTCGTTCTCCATGCCGCATTGCATGCCCTGACACTGACGCACTTCCTCCATGCGATTGTCGCAGCTGTAGCTGGCTGCCAGTGACGGATTCTTGTAGCTGCGATAACGTTGCGAATAGCCAGGTCCACAGCGCGTGCTGCAATTGCTCCACTCGTTCCACGGATGAGTTGCGCACTCCAAAGGACCGTCTTGAGGCACTACAAGATCAATTTCTATGTGTTATGAATAGTATTCTGCTATAATCATTTGTCTAGGCTCACCCTCCTCACACTCGCGTATGTATAGCTTCTTTCTGGTCACGTAGAGCGTGGCTAAGGGCTTCATTGGGGCACCCGAATCATCAAAGAAGGGCGAACGATAATCGCTGGGGTACGACGAGGTAATGCGACGTATAACATCCGGCGGTACTTGTGGTTGATCGGGCGACTGTTTAAGGAAATCAGTTTAGTTAAGCTTAAACTAAACAGAACTTGAACTGATCTCACCATGTACGAGGGACCCGAGTCGGTGCCTATGTCCCAGGGATATAAGTTCAGAACTTTACGCTCCAGCCAAGTGCAATTGCTCAAGCACAATTCCAAGCCAGCCACGCCCACTATCCAGTCTGGAGATGGATCAATTTTGGCCGCCAGAGATATTTGATGATGCTGTGGATCGACACGCGCATTCGCCAAGGTGGTGCCAAAGACATTCTGACGATGTCCGATGCCAGGTGCCTTAATTATGGTGCGCACCTCGCCATTCTGGAAAATGTGGGGAAAAATGAAAAAAGCTGGCAAATGGAAATCAAACTTGTAAAACTCTGCCACCTGTGTATTATCCCTAATCTCCTGCTCCAATGTACGCGTCGATCCGTGCTCTGCCATTTCACGCATGCCTTGACTGGCCCGTCCGCCATACGCCCAATAACGATAGCTGTAGCTGTGCGAGGCGCCAATTATTTCGCCCAAACGTGTGCGCCAAGCCTCCGATGGAAAATGCTTGGCATGCGTATTCCTGGCCCACTTGCGCTCCAAAATTATCTGCATACATATGAGAACTCGAGTCTTAGTCTTTAGATCAGTTTCTCAGTTCATTCTTCAACACTTACCTCATACTTGGCCTCGTCGCAAGCACAGCAATTTTGCAGCGCTGGCGTTAGACTGTTCAGCTCATCGATTTCCTCTGGACAGATGCGTTTTGTAAGGAAGCCATCATCAATGAACCACACGTCGCGATGCTGCACCACGCCTGCCCTGATCAGAACACAGCCACTATCTGGCTGCTTTGGTGATATCCAGGAGACGTCGATACGCGTCTTTGCATTCGTATTGGTGCTCTCGATCATGTTCTCGCAGCCAATGCTGAAACGCGTCTCGGCCGTGTCGGTCAGCTCAAAGTGTCCAGTCATATCCTGTGCGTTGTAGGCCAGCGATTGATCCTCGCTTTCGACAATCAGCGTAAAGCTAATGAACTTCAGGTTGATCGGACACGACAGGGAAACTAAGGAGTAGAACAAGTGGTTCATGTAGTTTAGCTCTCGACAACTGTGGCTGCGTCGCCAAGTCACCATTGTACTGATGATCGGGTATAAAGGTCGTCGGATTGCCATCGATTAATATTTTGAAATTATCATCGACTGCCGAACGCTCTCCCGTTGCGCCCTGCGGTATGCGACTGCAACCGCCAGCAGTGAGCTTGAGCCAACTCAGACTCAGCATAAACAATAAGAGAATTCCTCGACACATTTCCCAGCACTTCTTATCGCAGTGACGGCTCACTGGTAACTGTCCGAATTGGTTTGAATTTCGCTTTTCGACTCGTTGACGTAACGTTTCAATTATATCTATCTCAGACTGCGTCGCGACGCTTCAAAGCGTCTTAATTGGTTCGCTCGTCATTTGAAATATTTACTTTGAGTTGAGCTCTTCAACAAGCCGTCAACAATTTGTGTGGCTTTTGCATCGCTGGGGCGCCAATTAATTTATTTTGCGTAGGTTCTTTGAACTTTTGCGAGATCTGAAGCCAACTATTTTATAGCCCGTCTTCCCAGCAATTTAAGTAGGTCAATGATAAACAGCAGGCAGCCAAACATATGGCGAATTCGTAAGAAAACCATATAATATCGAAAACGTTCCATTAAATTAATAAATAAATATATGGGGTAATGGAAAGTAGTTCATCTATGAGTTAAAGAATTTGCTTGGCCTGTTTTTAGTACATTTGAGACATGCAAACTTGATCTGTGCTTGAAGACTGTAGACGATCCTCTAGACTGTAGACTGTAGACGATCCTGGTTGATTTATTTAAAGTATAGAAATTATTCCGCTTAAGTCTCAGGAAGTTGCCAGACATTGACGCAAATAAGATAATTTCATATTTATATTTTATATTTTATATTTATATAGTTATTTATTAATACGAGTACATATTTAGTTTGGTAGCGACATGCAAACTTGGGAGCTGCTAATACTTGTAGCTAAATTAATTTGGTATAGAGTATTCAGAGCTATTCAGCTTTTGGTGTTCACCACTTGTCGCTGTCGTCGTTGCTATTGAGCATGCACGGCATCATGACGCACTTCTCGATGCGCACCCTGTCCTTGCACTTGTAGCTCAGGTCAGTGTTGAGGAGAGTGCGTGTCCGCTGTCGGACAGAGTTTTCGCCGCAGCTCGCTGTGCAGGGCGTCCAGGCGGACCACTCGGAGTAGCGGCACTCATCGCGTGGCTCCAGCTGGGTCTGTATCTTGGCGGGCATATGTCGTCGTTCGCCAAAGGCTCCACTCACCGAATACATGTCATCGCAGCGCTGATAGCAGCGATCCATGCGCACCAAGTGCTTGGGACACTGTTTGCCACCGTATTTGGGTGTGCGTAGTACTCGACGTGTCCTCAACTGTACGCCGTCGCCGCAGCTGGCATTGCAGCTGTGTGCTATCCACTCGGAGACCATGCAATCCACGGGTTGCGGCTTCTCTGAACTAAGGCGTTCGATCTGCAGTTCCTGCTTATGTCGGGGCAGGCGACAGGTCTCATCGCACTCTTCCTTCGACTTGAATTTGTTCTGATTTGTATCACAGCGATCCGACCAGTAAATGGCGCACTGATCACTCACATGATCGTAGTACCAAAAGTTGGCCACATCGCTGTCCCGACAGTGGCTCACGCGTAGCGAATCGTAGCAATAGGAGGGCACAATCGTGTCGCAACTGGGATTCGTGCAGTTGACCTCTTCGATGAGCTTGATGTGACGACAGGGATCGGTGCCATCATCTGTGGGATCATGTACGCCATAGACTTCATTGTTGTTCCATACTTTTCGCATGCGACGACGTTGACCGCTGCCACCACAGGGACCCAAGCAGGGCGAGAAATCCGACCAGGGTGAGACGCCACACACGGGCGGTATATAGTCCTCGCTACGTTGACTGAAGCTCTGAAAGTTGCGAAATAGTGAACGCTTCTCTGCAGAGCCCGCTTCGCCATCAGCTCCACCGCCTTCCGCTTTAGCTTCCTCCGGCTCACCTTCGCCGGCCGCCTCGTTGCCTATGTCGCCGCCACAGTCGATAGCCTCACACATTTTGGTCTCCTGCAAACGCGCCTTGCTCGCCTTCTGACACTTCTTCTTGGCCCGCCTGTTGAGGTAGTGGCGAGTGCGTACCAGCTCGCCTGTGCCACAGGTCACGGTGCATGATGACCATTCGCTCCACTCGGACAGACCGCATTCGGGATCTGTGCCGGGTTGCTCCGCCTCGGGTTGCGCACCCTCCGACGCCTCCTCGTTGAACGTGGCGCACTTACGGCCCATGCAATTCTTCTCCTCACGCAGCGCATTGTTGCATCTGTGTCGCTGTGATAATGATTTGGGAATGTCTAAGAAGGACGTGCATATGCATTGTACAAGTTGCTCTCACCATGGCTAGCGTTGGATTCCTAAACTCGCGCGTTCTGTACTGTTTTCCAGGACCACATTTGGTGCTGCACTCGTCCCAACGTGTCCAGGCGGTTGTGCCGCATTCCAAGGGCAATTGCTCCGCTAAGGAATAGAAAAGAAGTTAAGCTAGCTTTAGTCCTGAGTGCCGGAGATATATCATCAGTTTTATTATAGACGGACTGACAGACGCAGCCGCACAGCCTCAGCTTTGGTTGTTAATCCTGTTCTAGAATACTTATAGCTAATGAGATTTGTCGCTTTCTCTCTCTGCTTCTTATACATCTTAACCAAAATAGTTTATCCATGTTCTATGAGCTATAACCTACCATCAGGTGTTTCGCAATTCTTCTCGTAGAGTCGACGCCTGTTTATGTGCAAAGTAGCCAAAGGCTTCATTTCTGCGCCCGTTGGATCATAGAAGGGAGAGCGTGGATCATTGGGAAAATTGGATTTGATGCGACGCACAACATCAGGTGGCACTTGTGGCTGATCGGCGGACTAAAGAAGAGAATACCTTAAGTAAATAAATAACAGAGCACATTGTATTGAAGACAAATTACTAACCATGTAGGAGGGGCCGCTGTCTGTGCCCGCATCCCAGGGATATAGATTGTGCACCTTGTTCTCCACCCACGAGCAATTGGCTAAGCATAGCTCTAGTCCAGACACGCCCACAATCCAATCGGGCGATGGATCAACCATGGAAACCAATGAAATCAAATGATGATTGGAGTCGACCCGGAAGACAGCAAACGTTTTGCCCGTCACATTTGGATAGGCGATGCCGCGCGCCTTTATAATTGTTCGAATGTGCTCGCTCTGATCCTTCAGCTCGCTCTCCAGAGTGCGCGTCGAACCATGTTCGGCTACTTCGCGCAGGCCTTCGCTAGCCATCTCACCATACTGCCAGAAGCGATAGTCGATCGTGTGGGAGGCGCCGATGATGTCGCTGAATCTTGTGCGCCAGCTGTTGGCCGGAAAGTCCTTGGGATGTGTGTGGCGCGACCATTTGCCCTCGAAAGTTAGCTACGAAAGACAATCATATGTGTGTGCCTGTTAGATGTTTGGCCGACCTCACAGTCCTCGTTCTCACCTCATATTTGGCTTCGTCGCAGGCACAGCAGGGATCCACAATGCTGGGCTGTGTATTGATGTCGTCCACTTCCTCCTCGCACATGCGTTTGGTCAGCAATCCATCATCCATGAACCAAACATCGCGATGCTGCATGACTGTCGCGCGTATCAGCACACAGCCCTGACCCGCCATGGTTGGAGCTGCCCAAACAACCTCCACATGTGTTTTCAGATTCGTGTTTGTGTTCTCCACGACATTGGGACACCGCGGACTGAACCGCGTCTCCGACAAGTCGCTAATCTCAAAGGCGCCCATAGCGTTCGGATCGTTCTCACTATCGCCCGTTTCCAGTTCCAGGGCGAGCATAAAGCTCACAAACGACAGACCCGAATAGGCGCTCAGCGTCACTACGATAAAGGGAACAAGTCGAAACTCTTTGCTGTTGGAACTGGCATTAGCTCACTCACCATTGTATTTCTGTCCGGGCACATAGCTCTGAGCATGGCCCGCCACGGACACAACGAAATTCTCATCCACTGGCGATTTCGCTGCGGTGGCTCCCTGTGGCACACGACTGCACGCCTTGATGGGTGGCAAGCAGCAGGTGGTTGCCAATATAATTATGATGCATACGATTCTCATCTCTATATATTGCCTGTGCTGCCTCTCTCTGTGATTCTCTTCGCTTACTTTCTGCGTTGCTTGTTGCTGGCTGTAATTAAAACGCCATTAATTATGTGTTCTATATTTAGCTAGGGTGCATTTGTCAACTGAGGGCTCGCTGTATATATAGCCTGTTTGCAAAGTTAGAGAACAGGTATATTAGCGAATGTATACTTAGCAGATATACAATAGTATAGACTATATATTGAACGAGTTCACATATCTAATTATACTTAAAGAAAAATTGCGAACTTAGCTTTAAGCTGGACGAATATTTAGTTGAAATAATCTATATTTAGATTTTACATTACATTATAATTTCTATTTTTTAGATATGCGGAAATTATTATCTACGTTTCCATAGCTCGTTTAGATCATTAATTGCTTTGCGCCTCTAATCATTGGTGTCCAATGTCAGTGACTCATGGACAGACATTCAGCATTCGCCATGAATTGCAATTGCTCTTGACATTGCAAGAATTATTTACGGAAAATGCCATAAATATGGAAATTTCATACAATTTCAATTGGAATATATTTATATAATTTTGCAGTAAATCAAATAAAAGTTAAGGTAGTGTAACACTTTTAGAGTAAATCTCATTCTCATCTCATCTCAACTTTAAAAGTCGCAAGAGAAGTTAAATGTGTGAAATATTTCTCATATTAAAATCATTCATTAAAAATTTCAAAAGAAAGGTCCCTTAGAGTAAATACATTTCAAAAGAAGAGCACTGCGAAAGCATTCGAAAAACTTCAGCCCTTTAGTAGCCGAACCTTTCAGAACTTTTCAAAAGTAGATCAATTTAACACTTGCGCTTTTCAAATCATTTTAACTATACAATAATCTGTGGGTTAGTTTAGTTAGTAGCCACCCCAAGCAGTTGGCAGGGCGCAAGAGAGAATCCCTCTCGGAATAAATCATGGACTACATCCAGCGGCTACGTCACTGATTAAACTCAATTGAAAAATTGCGAAAATAAAGAGAACAAGCCCAGCGCGTAGCAGGGAAATCAATTGCAATAGAAAAACGTATGATTAAAATCACTTTTAGGGTTTCGGCTGTGGCATTACGACCTCTCGAAATCCCACAACTTGGCAACTTACATGGACTATTACAAATCCTATAATATATGTATACTTTGACAGTCGCAAGTGTGACAACACGTTTTGCATTCATCAACGAAATAAATATATTTTTAATATTAGAACATATCAGCTAGCAACTGTGATTAGCTTTTCATATTATTCACATTAATTCACTTTACATTCACACTCACATTCACATTCCTATTCACATGGACGTCTGTTCCGTCGGGCGCTCGAAACGCAACTGAAATGCAAATTGCACGAACTGATTTCAACGAGTCAATTTTCAATTATTTCTCACGAGCTGCCGCTGCAGCTCGGGGCGGAGCTCCATCGAGTGGGTGGCCAAAGAGCAACGTTTCGTTTGTCTGGCTCCTGCCTCGCGTTTGTTTATGTTTGCATTTTTGTTTTTATCACGCTATTCTAGACAAACCCGGGGAGCAGGCTATGAATTGAGGCACTGGCAACTGGCACAGTGGTTCGAAGCTATTGACTTTTTTATGCTTTTTACTTGAGCTATTTAATAATTTAGTAGACTGACAGTTGCTTAAATATTAATATATTGTAATTATACTTTCATTGATTTGATCTTTGAATAAAGTCTTCAAATCGGAAAAATCTGGTTTCCTCTCTTTTTCTTTTCAGTTCTGACGTAGCTCGTAGTTAGCCATTAAATTTTCGTGAAATATCTGTAACAATTGGAGATAGTTAAACTTCAGGCTCCTCACGAAAATAAAGTAAAAGGACATAGGACATATCTTCGTAGACAAAGCAGGCTGTCCTATTAATTGTCATTTAACTCTGTTAAGAATTCAAAAATAATTTAAGTCTATTCGAGTCATTCAACATCAAACAGTACACCGCTGCGTTTCGTATTTCGAAATTATATATTTTTTTATTTCTAGATATTTGCAGATTCATGCACTCAGTCGGTTATTATTTTTGGAACAGTATTACATAGTGAAGCCTAAGGAGCATAAACTTTGTAGCCAATATGCAAAATTCCGCTGTTTTATCACGTGGTAACGCTGAAAGCTCAACTAACACTGATACTTCGAAACTTAATTTGCCTTTCTATAGCAACGCACCTACCAAACGGGAAAAATGTTGCACCTAAAGTGACCGAGTCAAAAAGAAATGAAACAGCTAGGGGCCAGCACGTAAGTAGAATTTAAGTATAAACAAGATGAAAATGAATTAGAATTTCTCTCTCTGCTTTCAGAACAAACCGCCGATAAAACGCATACCAATTATCAACAGGTCAGCTTCCGTTGTGGCGAACAACAACAATAAAACTAAGTTAAATAATAACACGGGCAGTATCCCTTTGGATCCCACACAACCCGCCTCGCCGCCATTGGATTGTAACATAGATTCAACGACATCCGGGACAAGTCTTGTGTCGCGACGAACGGAAGCCGATTCGGAGGATGCCCCGCCCAAGACAAAGACGAAGTTTACCAGACCGCGCTTGAATCAACTAACAGAGCAGCGCATTAGCCGCTTACGATCGTCTGCGGCAGATGGAGCCAATGGTTAGTCGGTACTCGAGTTTCTCGAAATAATTTTATTTACGCTCTTTCTCCTTAGTTGGGCCGGAGAACACGCCTTCGGAGGCACCCACGCCGCATACAAAAAAGAAATATTTTAATAGCTCCAGCCAATCGTCGATGTGTGCTCAGTCACAGCCGGATGAAATTGGGCCAATACCATGTCCACAGCCCCTGGAGGAGCTACAAAGGCGATTGGAGGACCTGCAGTCGGAATTTATGAACAGAGTGGTGAACTTTCGTGAGCAAGGCTATGGATATGCCTACAAACTAGTTACCATCGTGCACAACGATAATTGCAAGGTGCTCGTGCGCAATGACGACTTGCTTGCCCTGCCCAAAAATCTGCGTGAGCTTCAATTGGGATTCCCTAAGTGAGTTCACTTGCTTATATCAATCTGCATCCTTCCTTAGCTGCTCATTCGGTGAATGATTTTAAAACCCTGTGTCATAATGCACTCAAGGAGGGCTATACGTTCATTTTCGAGCAGTTCGCATCCGCGCCGTCGGATGGCAAGAGCATGGAGCCTGTATGCCGTGAAGAACTACGCAACAAGCTGATGGGCGTGCTGGTCAGTAACATCTATATTGAACACTCTTAAGATAAATCAATCTAAATCAATTTATTTAACTATTTAGAACAACAAACTGGCTGCAGTCGACAATGAGCTGATGCATATGTGCAAAGCGGCTAGCAAGGAGGACACCTCTAAATTAACGCATCAGATATGCGAGCTAAGCGAAGTGAACACCCGCCTAAAGTCCACCAACGCGAAATTGGACACGGACTTAGCGGACATGCGCAACAGTCGGGATGAACTTCAAAAGGTGCTCGAATCGTCGCAGAAGCGCAACAACGATCTCGCCTTAGAGCTGGCCGAAAAGAATATTTTGCTGGTGGAGCAGGCAGGTGCCATTGATGACTTGCGCGGTGAAATTAAGCATCTAAAGAAGACGTAAGTCCATGACCATTGAAATTTCGAGAGCTGACACTTATTTAACTTGGAAACAGTCATACCAGCGGCAAAGTGGTATTGCAGCAGCGCATCAAAGAGAACGAAAGCAGAATGGATAGCTTTCGGCTATTAAATGACAAGCAATTGCATCGCATCGAGGACTTGGAAGAGCAACTGGTTCAGGCACAGAACGAATGCTTATTGCTCAAAAGGAAAACGGATGAGCTAATGCAAGCTCTGACCGGTAAGGAGACGCTCATTGCCGAGCAGACGGCGCAGCTGCTCGAACTGGAGCAGTACAAGATGACGTCGGCTGATGATCCGGACACGGAACAGATAACGTAAGCTGAAAGATATCTGATATCCTTTATAGTAATGTCTCTTCTCATGTCTTAGCCACCTGCAAGCAGAACTGGAGCGTCAACAAATGCTACTTTCAGGGCAGGAGGAGGCGGAACAAGTGCTGCGAACGGAACTGCAACAAAAGCAGGAGGAACTGCGAAAGGCGGAGCTTAAGCTCAGCAGACTGGAAGAACAGAACGAACACAATCGCCAAGTGCTGGCCGTGCGCGGTGAGCGCATTAATTATCTGGATCAAGAGATGAAGCAACGTGAACAGGAGAGCAATCGCAGGATTAATGAAATTATGGCTCAAACTAGTGACAAAAATACGCTCATTACACAGGCAATAGAGCATCAAAGATTACAATTTGATTCGTCTTGTAAAATTGTACCTCTCACACAGATATCAAACGAGCTGGCATCAACAAACGAACAATTCCAGAATCTATGCTCGACGCTCAGCACCAAACAGACGAAGCTCCATAACCAAGAGCACGTTATTAAGCTTCTCGAGGAGAGCAATGCACGCAGCGTCAAGCTCCACACAAAACTGGGCGAAAAAAATGCACTGCTAAAGGACGAACTCGATCATTTACGGCGCACTGTGTAAGTTATATATATGCGTAGATGTGTATATATGTGTGTTTGTATATAGAGCGTAACAACTCGTAACAAGTACGCTAGATAAAATGTTTTACGTTTAGCTACATTCATGAAACCGGATTTCTATTAGATTGAGTTTTATGTCGTAACTATCGATTCTTCCGGCTTGCCATGTTCAAGTTTCTTTAATATGCTGCATAAACCGGAATGTTTCGTATGTTTTCAAAATTCAGGTTACTTTACTTTATACTTTTATATTCTTCGATATTTGCATATGAAACAAAAATGTAAAAATTCGGACTAAATTTAGTAAATTGGCTCGAACTCGAATAGTTTTCTTTGCTTTTAACAACTTTAATATACTGTTCTCCAATACTTGTTTCGTCACAGAAATAATCTAATGTTAGGCAGTGATGTGAACGATGCGGATGTTGCAGATATTCTGCTGGAATAAACCAAAATAAGACTATATAATTAGCAAAATTAAGAAAGTTATTAAGGTAAGCGGCACTTGTTACGAGCACTGAACACTGAACATTAAAGAAACCTAATCCCTTTCATCTCTCTTTCTCATTTGTAGCAACGTTTATGTCAAAATTCTAATTGGCAACAATGGACAGAATATATTCGAGCCAGTCTCGGCTCATGAGGTGCTAACTCTTGGATCCAAACGCAACAAAAAGCAGCAGCAGTCACAACAGTAAAACCAAAAAAACAATTTCTACAAAAATTTATATATATAGCTATATAGCTTTATATATAAATATATATATATACATATGTGTATATATATATGTGTGTGTGTAAATACAAATTTGTCTATATATATGTACATGTATTTAGCGCTTAGCGATATTCAAATAACTGTTTCTTCAGTTTCTGCATATATACGTACCAATTAAATCACATGTAAATATATATACATATGTATTTGAAATACATATATATATATATATATATATATAGATATATATAAATATATATATATATATATATATATATATATATAATAATATATATTCAACAAAATTGTAAACCCTGCGTAGTAGAACACCCGCTCCAATTTTGTAATTACTAATAGATCGGCTTTATATTTTGTGTATGTGTATATGAGTAAATATTTTTAAATGCATCGGCGGCGCTTTAAAGAAAACTTTCAATTAAGCGATTTTGCATTTTGAGACCAGAGTCTCTCCTCTCTCAACTAGATCCAACTGGCTAGATGTCTACATACACATAAGCAGAACATAAATTGTAGCATAATCTTGAACACAGACCTGCCCTGCCGAGATTCTGCGTAGATTTCTTTTTGGTTTATCAGTTAGATTTCGAATTAGTCGCGTCGCGTTGCTCTTCCCAGTTGGTGGCTGCAGTGCTCATCGTTTACAAAGTGAAAATCATTTAAGGTATAAGCCTAAAAGCGTGAGATTCAAATATTGTATACTTAATGCGCCTTAATCTTAAAAAAACAGTGTTAGGCCGCAATTTTAAATATTTTCAATGTGAATTTTTAAAATTTTTACCTTTTGTGTTTGATATATTTAAAAAAAACTTCCAATCAAGTTTGGAATTAAAATGTTCCTTTTGGCATAGTTCTTCGATCGGCTATAAAGCGTTTGATAGCTCATGCAAATGTATGTAAATTGAATCTGAAATTTTTACTTTATTTTAATTTTCTGAGATGAGATTAAGTTGGCAGTTTATGATCAGTCAGCCCTTTGTTAAAACACCAAAACCTTGCAGCTCTGGCAGCCAAAAAATTTTCAAAAACGTGCTTTTTATCAAACTTTAGAAGTTTAGATAAGAGGGATTTGAAAGCTAATAAAATGTATAGCTTATAGCAGTGTTATATTTGGCCTTAATAACCTAGTCTTAGCATAAATTTTGGATAAGTAACTTTATCTTTATTTGAAATGTTTTGTTTGCACTTGGATAAAAATAGTCTACTGAGAATGTTTTAGAAATCCTCTAGTCTTATAATTAAAAACATTAAATACAAACCTTTCCCTGTCGGGGGCTGCCTCAATGTGTGTACATTGAACCAAACGGTTTCGATAAGGGTTTGTTGCCCAAATCCCAAATGCTGTTGCACCCATAAATCCTATCAGCAATATGACGAAATGATCAGAGATGCATATATACTAATTATGTTAACAATTGTCCGTGGCAAGAAATATATAAAAATTTAAATAATTTCAACTTTTTTGATTTGTAGCTTGTCAGCTTCTGTGAGTCAGGTATTTGCTGTTGTCTGTGATGCAATTTTCCCTAGTCCCGCTCGGATATGCAATCAATTTTTGCCGGCTTAGTTATCTCCCTTCTGCGACTTCTGTTCACCTGGTATTTCATTCAAATTTTCGTCAAGTATATGTGCATACATATATTTATATTGTGTTTATGTATACAAAGCACATGCACAGTTACATGACATTTCAAATATCCCGAATAGATATAAACAAGATTGGCTGTTATACTTCATTAATCACAGCCCCGAAAGTATGCTTTATAATTTCACCATATTTAATTTTTGGCCCGCATTAGAGTATGCAATACTCAGATTTCGAGGTGTCTTCTGTCGATGTTTGATTTGTATGTGTATATATAAATATATAAATATATAAATATATAAATATATAAATATATAAATATATAAATATATATATATATATATATATATATATAAATATATTAAACACACCCCCAAAAGCATGCTACATAATTTGCCCACATTAAAATTTTTGGCACGCACTAAAGTATGCAATATATTTTCACAAAGCAGCTGTCAGGGAAACATATCTCCTTTTTCGGATCTTTTTATTTATATAGATATATAAGAATTGGTTTCATTGTTTATATGCATACTTGAAATTCCATGCTATTAGCTTTAATTGCAGGCTTGTCTCCTACGATTTTAGAGAGCAAAGAGATTATGTATCTCTTATCGTGGACTCTATATAGTAATTGATAGGCGTGTGTGCCCTATAAAAGACGCATTCATTCCAGCAGATGCACTGCAGTTCCTGCATCGCTCGACGCTCATACATAAATATGGATAGCAAACAATTTGCAAAGCTTAAACGAATGGACGATAGTATAAAGCTGACGAAGGAGAAGGACTGCGCGGTCTACACCACCGAAGTGGTGAGTCAGGCTTAAGGTACATCAAGTGCTGCGATTAATCATATTTCAATTGCAAAGCACAGTTGGAAATGGACAACAGTGAGGACGAACCCGAACAGCCAATGGCAACCGAGCGCGATACTTGGGGCAAGGGCGTTGAGTTTCTGTTCTCATGCATTGCGTTGAGCGTGGGCCTGGGCAACGTTTGGCGTTTTCCATTTATAGCTCTGGAGAACGGTGGCGGTGCATTCCTGATACCCTATCTGGTCGTGTTGCTGTTGGTGGGTCGTCCGATTTACTATCTGGAGGTGATCATGGGACAGTTCAGCAGTCGCGGCTGCATAGGCGCTTTCGATATAGCACCCATTTTTAAAGGTACACTGCAAAAAATAAATGAATAGTGTTAATTAAATACTCGAGATGAGCTTTGAGAAACGAAATAGATGGAGAGTGCTTACAAAATTCCAAATGCAAACCTTTTCTATCTTTTAACTTATGTATAACTTACAGGTGTTGCCTTTGGGCAGGTGTATTCAACAGCTTTGGCTACCACATACTATGCCTGCATCATGGCTCTGACTATACGTTATTTGGTGGTCTCCTTCTCCGAGGTGTTGCCCTGGACGTATTGCCTCACCGAGTGGGGCGCTCAGTGCTTGGCAACCGGAGCTACAGGCTTCAATAGCAGCAATACCAACACATCTACTCAAGGAAAATCCTCAGCTGAGCTATATTTTACGTAGGTGTAATTAATATACACTTACAGGAAATCTAATTCCTATTTTCCTCTCTCCTCTTGCAGTCAGACTGTGCTACGTGAACCGGAAAGTTTGGACGAGGGTCTCGGCACGCCCAGCTGGGAAATGGTCATGTGCCTGTTGGTCACTTGGATCATCATAGCTCTGACCCTGTTCAAGGGCATACGCAGCTCGGGCAAGGCATCCTACTTTCTGGCACTCTTTCCCTATGTGATTATGCTGATACTATTGGTCAGAGCGCTAACATTGCCAGGCGCCTGGAATGGCATTATCTACTTCATACAGCCGCAGTGGAGCCAGCTGCTCAATCCGCATGTCTGGTATGCGGCCATAACGCAAATGTTCTTCTCCCTTGCCATTTGCTTTGGCACGCTGGTCATGTACGCCTCCTTCAATGACTTCAACAAACGCGTGCACAAGTGAGTACTAGAAATATTGTTAGTATTAGAACCGTTTGACTGATTGAATGTAACTCTAATTGCTTACTTCGTTCAATGAATCGATACAGGGATGTCATCATAGTCACTACTATAGATTCGTTTACTTCCATTTTGGCTGGGTGCATCATCTTTGGCATTCTCGGCAATTTGGCCTACGAGACTAACGTCACGGACATATCGAAGGTGGTGAAGGGCGGCGCCGGCTTGGCCTTCATCTCGTATCCGGAGGCCATAGCCAAGTTTAAGTATTTGCCGCAAATGTTCGCTGTGCTCTTCTTCTTTATGCTGCTAGTGCTGGGCATTGGCAGCAATATTGGCATGGCCTCCTGTGTGATCAATGTGGTCAAGGATCGCTTTCCCCACTTGCAGCACTGGCAGCTAGCCATAGGCGCCTCTGTTGTTGGATTCCTTTGTGGACTTGTCTACATGACGCCCGGAGGACAGTTCGTACTGAATCTGGTAGACTTTTATGGCTGCACCTTCATTGCCCTGGTGATGGCCATAGCTGAACTGTTTGCTATCTCCTGGATCTATGGTGTCAAGCGTGTGTGCAGCGATATAGAGTTCATGCTGAATGTTAAGACTGGCTTCTATTGGCGCATCTGCTGGGCCATTATGGCGCCGGGCTTAATGTTCCTTGTGCTCATCTATATGCTGGTCAGCTATGAGCCGCTGACATATAAGGGCGTCGAGTATCCAGAGTCAGCCTACATGGCTGGCTGGCTCATCTGGGGCCTGGGCGTGGCACAGCTGCCCTTCTGGGCGCTCTACACAATTTACCAGCAACCGGGTCACGGTTTTCTCACCGTAAGTCACAATGTGCTCTCGCAGATTTCCATTTGCTATAAGAATTCTTCCTTGCAGAAATTTCGACTTGCTCTGCAGCCCACCAAGGATTGGGGGCCACGGCAGCCACAGCAGCTGCAGGCATATCTGCTGCACCGCCAGAAAGTCATGAGCTCTAAACAGCGACGCGGTGGCTTCTTTTTCGACAATATCTTTGGATAGCTCCGGAACTAAACCGTGTCTACAGGGTATCAAGGAGCGATCAAAGCAATGCGAGACTAGTTTGAAAATACTCTTGTACGCTTTATTTCGTTTAAATGAAAGAGAAAAATTAAAAGCTGCAAAACTCTTAGCTTTTAAATTGCAAAAGTTTTAAAAACTAACATTTTTATGCATATAGAGTTTTATTATATTATAATTATAGGCTTTAGCATTTTAGCAGCAATTTTTTAACTATATATTTGTTCTTACATTAACTTTCACTTAAGATACTTATGATAAAAGTTCAAATAATAAAAAAAATGAAAACCTGTACGATTTAACTATAATAAATAAATACAAATTTAAATAAAAAACCATACTAATTGCTAGAAAAAAAGAAAAAATTTTAAATATATTTATTAAATATAATGCCTTGAAGTTTTATTTTTCTGATTTGTATAACGCTTAGATAAATAATAAGAAGAATAAATAAGAGAAAAGATACGTCTTTTTTTTAAATATGAAAATGGAAAATATAAATTTCTATGGATTTAATATGAAGAATTTTTACAAATAATCAAAATAAACTGGGCAAAATATTAAAAATTACTCAAGAAGCTTCAAGTGTAACTTAGTTTATAACTTAACTATAGAAATTATTGTTACTTTATTATTTATGATTCTGCTGCAATTTGAATGCATTCGAATAATTCACAAATTACAATAAATCTCTGGTTAATTATCACAGCACTTTTTGATTTCTTTTATTATTATTGTGCAAAATCAGATATATGCCAAAACGAAAGTTGAAAATGTCCCGAACTCAGGTATTTACAGCTCCCAGCTTATGCATAAGAACTAAGCTAATTATTATTGTTTTTTTCTCCTTTTCGTTTATATTTTCTGTTCAGCTGCGGCTAAGCAATTTGTTTAAATTATTGAATAAAATTATTTTAGAAAGATTTTTCATTTATTTAGTTATTATGTTTTTGGCTTGCTTTTTAAGATACTTTTGAACTGGCTAAAATGTGTCTTTAATAGAGCTGTTTTTATTTTTTTTATTTATTTATGTTTTTTTATAATTTTGTTGGCAGATTTTTGTTAGATTTGGGCAATGTATTCACATTATGTTGTTTTTTTTTTTTTTTTTTTGTTTTGATTAGTTGTTGAAACCCATTAAAATGTGATTTCAATTTACTACATATATATATATATGTATATATATATGCACGTATGTATATCATCTAATCGGTATACGAACTAATCAACACTAATGAATTAAGAATTGACTTGTAATTTCATAGCCTACATTTCAGCGCAAAGTTTTAATAAAAATTCAGCGTAACTTGGCTACATATATATATATATATATTTATACATATATATGTATATATAGAGTATATTCTTAAGTAGAATTGAAAATCTATATGCGCTGGCTAAAAAATGGAAGTAATTTTTGTTTCGCTTTAACGATTTGTTCTTTTCACACTAGATATGGTCCTATTTGTGTTGCGCCTATATATATAGAAAAAGTTAACATATATACGATATGAGTTACCTTGAGTATATTGTCTACTTGCTAATGATATTGCCTGGTTTGTAGGTGTGTGTCTGTGCCTAATAGAATTTAAAAGTTGCTTGTGTTGGCTTTATATATATATATGTAGATATATAGGTCTACCCCGTTAATAATTAGTTAAAAATCGATTCACTTAACATTTGCCTTTTTCAGTTGTCAGTTTTCAGTTTCCCATATCTATTTACAGCATAGAAAAATAGTAGATATTATTTGCTTTAGAAAGTCTGTATTGGTCGATAGAGTCCCGTATAGCCGCACAGACGGGCACGCAGTGCGGGTATCAAAAATGCGGCCAATGAGATATCCTTCAAAAGTTCCGCACACTCGCACACCAACAGATACATTTTGTCCCCCTTCTGTGAGGTGCTCTTGTGCAGGGCAATGCGCCGAAGGCCCGCAGCGCGAGGTAAATATCTGTGAAACAAATAAAGCAAGATATATATAAATTAATGTATGAATATGATACAGATACAAATAGTAATAAAGATATGCATGTAGATGCAGATATAGGTCTAGATACAAATAGATACAGATATATGTGCAAATACTGATGCAGATACATCTAGATATCAAGATATCAGATTCAGATTTAGATACAGATTGAGATTTAGACGCAGATACAAATACAGATACACATTCAGATACCGAACCAAATTCAGATACTGATACAGTTTAAATATAAGCATATATATATACAAATACTTAAAGATTCAGTTAAAGATACATTTCGTTATACAGTGTAGATACAGATACAAATATATCTATAGATACAGATAGATTTAGAGAGAGATCCACAGATAAAGTAAGATATATATTTTAATATAAATACAGATATATATTTTAATACATTAATATATATATAGAGTCCAACGCTCGGCCTACCTGTACAGCATTCGCGCACCTGTCCAGTACAGCCAATTCTTTTCGAAGCGCTCGCCATCGTCGCCCTCGAAAACCTAAAATTAAATTTTGCATTTTATATGAAAGTGCAATGTATGATATATATATATATATATATATATATATATATATATATATATATGTGTGTTTCTTGGACTTGCCTTGAATACGCTGATTATGTAGCCGGTGGCCGCTGTCTGGGACTTCTTAAAGCTGCCCGCTTCGTTAGAGGGTAGCACCAGAGGCGGTCGGCAAATGGCAGCCACCTCGCTGTACAGGTCTAGCGTGTGGGCGGCAGTGTATCTGTGGAGGAGGAGGGGTTAATAACTTAATAAAATGGCAAGCGTGCGAGCTGATGGAATATCAAATATCCTGGAATTTGCTACAATATGATTTTGCTTAGTTCAAAGATTATAAAGCTTGCAGGCGATCAATGAAAGAAATCTCTGCAGCTTGATATTTATGCAAAGACTTGCAAAAAATAGTAATATATCATCAGATTGACTTTTAGATTGATAAAGCTGTCATTTGTTTAAGATGCTCGAATGTGCGATACTCTGCAACTCAGTCAAACACATCAAACTCGTTATGACTTTTCATATAACTAAACAGAACCATCATTGGGAAAAGCATATCTTTCAAATTGAAATTACAGGGTATAGGCAACAAACTGCATTATTAATGTGCATGATTATTGTTGATTGGCTTACTTGAGTGCTTTCGGCTCGAATTTAGATAGCGAAGAGACGCGCAGGTTGGCATAGAAATTCGATGGATCCGTTTGCATCGTGTTTATCAGGTAATACGATATAAAGGGAAATTCGGCTGTAATAATAGAAGCAAGATTTTTATACTATTTATACTATAATAATAATTTTGTATTTCCTATAAACTTACAGCTCTTCTCCATGTTGACTAGTATCATGCCCCCGACAGCTGTATTTGCCTGCTGCACCTCTGTTAGAAGCTCTGAGGCAATGGCCCGTTGCTTCAGCAGCGGATGGGAGAGCGGTGATTCCATAACGGGATCTATGGCCTCCAGTGGACTCATGAGATGGACAAGTATGCACAACTTGGGATCAGAGACCTCTAAAACGCTCAACGGACTGCACGCCTTGCCATCGGCACTTAGAGCAGGTAACTAAATTGAGAGACCAAATAAAGCTTTAAAGTTTTCTAAATAGATATTTAAGCTTTTCTTACTGGTATGCCAGCTGGCAGAAAGCGATCTACGCTGTGCACCGGAATGATGAAACAATCGCGATCCAAGGTAGCCAAGGATATGGGCTCTGCCCGAGTGGTTCCCGCGTTGCCACCACTTCCAAAGTTGCCTGTAAAGCAAAAATGAAAGCTTAATATTTAAGGAACTCCACAGTAAGTTATATATCCATGTAGTTAAATAGAAACAACATAATTACGATAGAGATCATTAGGAAATATTTTCAATACGGACAAGCTTTAAAATGTGTTCAGCTTTGTGAAGCTTTTTTCGATCACAAAGATCATCTAGCTTAAAGCTTTGAGCAGAAAAAGCTTGCTGTTAGAAGTAAATCAATACTTGTTGAAAATTATCGTTAAGCCTTTGTCGATTTTGAAGCTTTTGCTGTATATCCTCTAGTTCACAGTGTTAAAGAGCTTAAAGCTTCGAGGAAAAGGCTTAAAATGACAATAAAATCATTATTTAATAGACTTGTGTTAGACTATTTAGGCTTCCATTAGTCAAATACTGAGAGCTCAACACTTCCAAAGCTTTCGTCAAACTCAAAGTTAAATAAAGCGCCAAAGCTTTTAAGCGAGTACAAAAAAACATGTCTAGCTTTCAGTATTCAATCAACACAACAAAAACTTGCACCAACAACAACAAGATGAGAAACAACAAGAAGGAGTAAGGATCAAACTGAGAAACAGATTCCTTTTTCTCTTTTTGAGGTTAGGATTGAAGTATAACTGTATTAACTGTGTTTGAGTGTGTCTGTGTGCGTGCGCGCGTGTGTGTGTGTTTAGGGAATCAGTGCACAACAGATGCTAGTTGTGAGCTTTTAGATTTGAGATTAGTTCGATATTTCTTGCAGTGTATTTAGTTATACAGTGAAATCTCCATTAACGCACAGCTACATTCGCAAGGACAAACGTCTCAGAAGTATATTTATAGAAATTCCATTAGATATCTTCCATCTTCGATTAGTCTTTAACTATGATCACGTTTGACCCACTTTGTAAAATAAGGGAAAATATTTGAAGCTTTTGAATCGAAAAAGGATGTGCAGATCCTATTGATAGACCTTAAATTGAAGTAATACGTCAACATGCTCTACTCTTAATCGGACAGTTCCACATGGGAGACTACATGACAAATACATCGCATAATATGTAAATTAGTGCTTGTTCGCTCATGGGAGATTTCACTGTATTCATTTTCTTTTTTTTTTTTTTGGTGGCAGCAACAACAACAACAAGTTGACTAGTTGTGGGGCTCAAACCTTGCCGCGTCGCCGCAGCGGCAGCCGTTAAATAAGTGTTCGTCGCACTGAGAGTCTGTGGCAGTTGCTGCTGCTGATACGGGTAGGTTGGTAGGAGTTGCTGTTGCTGTAGCTGCTGCTGCTGCTGCTGTTGCTGCT